ATCTCGGTTCACGTCGGCGTATCGACATGATAAATCGCACCAAAAAAAAGATAGTCAACGGTCGATGCGCACTAGAGAGGTTAATCCACTGACAGGAGTCGGATCTTAATCTCTTGCCAACAAAAGGAAATTGAGCTGCTCATCACTCTATCGCTCATTTCCCATGCGGTGAGGAATCTCTGATCAGCGATCGTATGTTCTCCACAACAGGTGTTAGTTCGGAAAATTCAAATGTGCTAAAATCCTTTGATTGCCTTTGTCAACAGCTCATCAGGGAACCAAAAACGGTTCTAACGTGTTTTGTCGATCACTCAAGTTGCGCTGAGATCCTGTCCCAAGTAGTCTCGTATGATATTCTGCGCAGCCAAGGTTATGATCTCCACCATGGACTAGCGCTGCTGCGCTGGTATCATCGTATCATGGTGAAATAGAAACTACGACATAATACGGAGTAGTGAGGAGGAAAAGAAGGAGAGGGCTTGGCCGTGGATCGGCATCTTCTCCAACTGGAGATCTTCAAGTGGACACATATCTCTTGATTAGATCGTGTCATTGGCCAGAAGAAGGCGAAAATCCGGCGTATTTGCGGTCGAACATCTCATCGTCTCTCGTCAATAGCGCGCTAAACGGTGTGCAGGCACGTGAATCTCTTCAATGCCGAAGCCACCATCGATTTTTCGTATCCACACTCTCTGGCTCAGTCCCATGGAGCTACTGTTGTGTTGTTAGTGGGGTGTGCCTCGTAATGAACATTGTCACAGCGTCTGGGTTGGGGTTTTTAGTTGCCTTAAAAAGGCAACCAGGATAGTATACTCCTTGCAAAGCGGACAAAGTGGTTGCTGTATTGAAACCGGGCCTGCAGACAGTCCGATCTTGTATGATCCATCAGAGCGGACTTGCAGGTTGTGACTGGTTAAGATTCCAATAGTTCAGATCGAAAGGCGCCCAGACATCGCGGGGAAATTCGGCTCCGGTGAACGCCCAGACCCAGACATGATTCAGTCTCTTTCCTGGGAACGCATATTGGATGTTATACGATGTCAATCTCGGGGAAATCTAATCTTCATATTGTGGGATTTTGGTGACTGTATTTAGATTGTGGATTGTGATCAGTCTCATTGAGTCAGCACTCCGACCGTTGTTGCGCCTGGTCCCTTCGGACCCTTCCTACCCCCATTATCGTGCAGGTGGAGAACTCTCCCAATCGCCAAGATCCTTACATCTGTACATATTTCATGCTCGGCAGGTGAAGTGACATACCGTGCATGCACTATATCTTCAGTGCGCACGGAACACATCGCAGAGGTGGCTGAAATTCTAAGATCTGGCGCGCGCATTGGACTCGCGATTACTGTGCAGATCGATTCCTCGCAGTGGTTGGTTTCGGACTCATCAATAGGATTAACAAGGCCATTGTGCCATTCCAAAGGCCTTGTTCTGAGATGTGATTTTGGTGCGCTTAAGTCATGTATGCATGTACGGGGGATCGCTCTATGAGACTCGAGGTTTGCTCTTGTTTCCATGCCGACTGCATGAAGATAAGATATGTCAAGCGCCCTTCAGTCTTCAGTCCAATATGTTAAAACCGTTCCGGCGATCGGACCGGGGTTCAGCTCATGACCCAGCTGGCCAAGAAGCCTTGACCTAGATCAACGGACCGTAATGTAAATTCTGAAGATCTCCAGGCGATTGCCTTGCATGTCTAACCGTTTTTTGGATCTCCCATCGGCGGTTAGACACTGGGCCGACCGTTGGGATACATCATTATGGGTCTTCCCTTTGAGTCTGTGCGCTGAAGTTTGGCCAAGGAACCCTGGAGGCGAATCTGGCCACGAGTAGTCAACCACTCTGCCGCTCTGCCGCTCGACGCTTGGACGCGGACAGGGAGCGGGAAAACGGAGCATTGATCCCAGGTGTGCAAGCTAAGTGCTTTACACCGGACAAGTATCGTTCTAACATCCCTGGTAGCGCTACGAAAGGGAGACGGAGAAAGAAATATGACGTCCAACGGCGTGGGCCCGAGGGCAGCAAACTCAAAGATCCAGAAAATGGATCTTGATTTTCCTTCTTCAATACCGAATAGCTTTGGTCGATCCCACCACATTAACCCACCGGTGCTTTTGTAAGTAAGCTATCGCCACAGCGACATCATGCAATGTTGTAAGCAGGTAGTGAAGTGCCAGAGACTTGGGAGGGACATTACATTGTATAAGAGAGATTGAGCATAAGCAGAAACTTCCAGGGCCGATCTTTGACCCATCTTACGCAGGGTGCCTAGAAAGGCAACTGGCCCTGATACACACCAACGCTCCTTCCCTTTCTTTCCCTTGGACCCCAACTTCCTAGGTGCATTGCGCATTTCAGCATTTCTGTATGGATGCCAGCATGCTTGGACACTGTGCATGTTCAGGCCTGAAGGGCTAAGATGGAGCGCAGCACACGCGATCTCACCAATAGACGTCCCGCGTTCGATCTCGATCTAAAGCTTAAGCAACGTGGTTTGCAAAACCCTTGCGACCCCGATAACCTTCGGCGGGTACTCAAGGGGGTAGGATGCTCCGAGACTGAAGAAACATTTATTTTCCTTTTGATTATTTCAGATCTGTTTTTCTCACTTTGCTTGCCCGGTCTTTTTACTTTTATTATCTCTTTGTGATCTCACCTGCGTCCGATCTTGGCTTGAAACGGCGTGTGGCTTGGTGACGTAAATTAGATCAACTACGGAGTAGTTGTATCTGGCTATTTTGTTATTATTTTGTTATTCAATGCTCTTTTGGCGAATGTGTAAATGTTGTACATGTAGACCATGGTCAAGTACACAGTAAAAGAACCTGTACTATGCCCAAGAGTGGAAGTATATAAGTAGCAAATAAGAAGCCAATGAAAAAATAAAAATAAAAAATAAGGTCAAGCGAACCATGGAACGTTGCGATCTGGACACGTCAGGCACTTTCAGAGCTGACTGTGTAACCTCAGCCACGTCTCTAATTCCCCCAGTTGCGATGGGAAGAGCCCTCATGTGTCTCCATTTGAAAGATCTTGGATTCAGTATAACCCCCTTGTACTTCTTGTGCTTCGCCTAGGTGACACTGGGGTTGCATGTCCTCCAGACTCGATTTGAGCCATTTGTTTCGGACCCGATGCTGTGGGTTCCGCGATACTGGCTATTCCAGCTAAAACGATAGACATCATATGAATCATGCATCAGATCTCGGATCGTTATTTCCCCCTGGGACCGAGCACCGGGGTAGCCTCGGACAGCCTCGGACCCGGTGACATCATTTCGGCTTCATTGATAAGCCCTACGATGAACGTTGTACGGTCTATCTGGGGACGATGTACAGAGGAGCAAATCTGGCAGATTTAAGTTGTTGAGTCATATATTGTAGCTATGTCTTCACCCATCCGAGGCTGACATTTTACCCACTCTGAATCGGAGATCTCTCTCATGTGACACGGATGCATGTAGTTACAGGTACTCGTACATTGATACTTGTCCTTGGCAGTCCGATCTTGGGGCTAAACTCTGAAAAGATCAATAAGATTACTGCGATCCCCTTCTGCGTGATTTATTATTCGTCCCTTATGATATACGGACTATGCTCCGTACATCAAGCATCCACACAAGACGTAACAATAGATCGGTTCCAGAAGGCTGGGACAATAGAACACTATCGTGATGAGCTGTAACTATTGCCTATCGTCCGCTAACTAGCTGTGCCACTCCGGAGATCGAGCCATCTTTCAATAGCACGTTGGGAATCGGCCGTTTATCTCGATCGAGCATCGATCTTGCTGGGGGATAGCCCTATCCCCTTTGTCATAATTAAAATAGAAAAAAAACAAATTCGAGAACTTATACTTGGTAAGTCATTCCCAGTTTATGGGTCCTAATTAAATTACATCTAATAACTGTACCACCTCCAAGCCTTAGGTTCCTGGCCTGTGTCGCGCTATGCGGGTCACCAAGGACACCGAGGGCATCCTACAGGAGACTTTAGGTCAATGGATCAGATATTCGGACAGATCTAGTTTAGCTTGCACAGCCTCTACGATGTACATCCTCCACTGTGGTAAGTTAGTGGTATCGTATGTATGAACCCGATGATCCGCAGTTTGGTAATTTGGCAGTAAAAACCGGGATCTGACGATCTGGCAATTTCCCAGGGTAATTTTCCCCTGTATGGATCTCGATCTTTTTATATTTAATATTTTTGAATAATTCTAAATTTTAATTCTTAATTCTTAATCCTATTTCTATAGAAATAATACACTTTTTCTAAGCTTCCCGTTTCCAATCTAAAGCCCGAAGTGAAGTAGCCTCGATCCCCCTTGGATTTTGGCTTTTCCCCTCTCTCGAGTTTATTTTATATTCTCATTCCACCTCGTGCTTTCATATTTGGATTGACATTCTCTGTTTCCACGCTTTCGATCCCTTGCATTCGATCGAATTTTGCCTTCTTTTTCGGACTTTAACGTACTTTTGGAGGGGTTTCTTCTCTCTCTTGTGTTCCTTGCTAAGGTTGACGTATTTCATCGGAAAAACAAAAAACAAAGAAAAAAAGAAAAAAAGGAAAGAAAGAGAAAAAGGAAAAGAAAGAAAGGAATGAACCAGTTGAATCGATTTGACCTATTTGATCAATTACTTGACTGTTAGGTTAAACTGGTAGGGTCAACGGGGTTACTCGGACTCCATTTAAACGCCACAACAACTTGCGCCCCTCTCCGGGATTACTTGGATCTTTGGGTTCTTTGGGGATCTTGGCTCCTTTGGACTTCTTGGATCTTTCCCCCTTCCACTCTCTCTCCCAAAGCAACTCAACGAGTGGAACGCTTTTCCTGGTCGCACAAGAGGCGGTTTTCAAACTTTGTTATTGTTAGCATTCGGCCGGACTTCGCTACTTCCACTGGTCCTTCAATCCCACACTCTTTATCGCGGACTCTACAATAGCTCGCTGGGTTGATGAAAACTATTTCATCAATCTTCTATACTCCACGTGATGGGGTCTTTGGAAGCCGCACCTAGGCACAGGTTGGTCTCGTTGCCTCAGCGCATCCATCCCAATGCTGACCACCCTTCAATCTACAGAGACCCTTTGCCCGCAATAGGTTTCCTAGGGAAAGACGGACCAAGCTACACCCCCAGATACCCGTCGAGTGCGACCGCTTCCCCAACTCCACTAATGAGCCCCAACATCATGTATTCCGGTCAACACATGCCCTACTCCTACGCGCCGTCGGCAAGCGCACCGCCGCAAGGGTATGTCTCGCCACCGGAGACCCGTCGCGCCATTGAAGAAGAAAAAGAAAAGCATACTCCCAGACAATCCCTCCCGTCAATTCACGAGGCTCTCGGCAATGACAATCCTCTCCCCTACGCTACACCTACCTCCGCTCCGCCCTCACAATCCGCACACCCTTCGGCGCCCTCACATCTCATCGGACGGCCGAGCACAGAAGGTCCCGCCGGACCACCGAATCCCTTTTCGAATGGACCACCGACGGGGTCATTGATGCGGGAACCCAGTTACTCCCATCAATCCCAGCTGCAGACCGAGGCTGCCCGCTCTCTCACCTCCATCAACACACAAGGTTCCCACAATGCGTCACTACAGTCCATCAACACGGGCAAATCCCCTACACAGAGCTCCAAAACGGGAATTACATCGGTTGGATCACAAAACTCCGGTTATGAGTACAGTGCGCCAACGTCCGCTGGTAGCGTGGCTTCGCCCAACGGTTACAGCCATTTCGCACCAAATCCCTCCTTCCAATCCCAGCCTGCAGGCCACGCCTATCCTGCTCCTTACGGCAGTCGCCCCTATGCATCGCGCGTGGAAGAAGTCAAGGGTGGATTTGTGGGTCGACCAATTCCTCCCCATAATGACTCCGTCAAGCGACATTTGGATGTTTTCGATGTGGAAACATCTTTGAATGAGGTATGGGATTACTGCTTTCTATTGTTTTTATCGTCCGATTCCATCTTTGACCCGTGATATTGAGCAAACATCGAGATGGAAGCGATTGACAATCCTCTTGAAACCTTCGAACTGACACTGTGAAATAGATCTCTGATTTGAGTACCCGGACTCTGGATTTCTCCCGGCACTACGCAGCTCGCGCGCACCAGACGCAGCGATCCGGGCCGATACTGGGGTCCCTTCCTTCGCTAAACGAGGTGGAGGATATGCTTCATATGCAACGGCGGAACCAAGATGCCTTGATTCGGATTCGGACAGCGGTGGTGAACCAGGAACAGGCGCTCGCTGAACAAATGGCGCAACGAAAAGCGTTCAAGACCGAGGATGAGCACATGGCCATGTACCAAGAAGAGTACAAGGGCACAGGTGGGTTTGCAGGCGCAGACCCAAAAAAGCGGCGTGGAGTAAGTCCTGGACTTTCCCTTCTGAGCCGTTCATCCATGATCATATTCCGCTTCTCGTGGCATTGACATCATGGTTGCCACGCGGTCCCTCATATCCACATAGTCATCGCTAACCACATCTCTTTACAGAAAGCTGCCCCTCCTGGTCGTTGCCACAGTTGCAACCGAGCCGAAACACCGGAATGGCGTCGGGGTCCAGACGGTGCCCGGACGCTGTGTAACGCCTGCGGTTTGCACTACGCCAAGCTGACACGCAAGATGGGCGCGAAGGCGGCGAGTCTGGGATCAAACCTCAAGCCCAAGTCGGTACTCGACTCCGCATCGCCAACCAGTCATTAATCTTTTTTTCCGAAATCTGAATGTGGCGTTGAAAATAGGTGGGAAATAGAAGGGAGGCAACGGCGTTCAGTGTCCATTTCTCTTTTTTTTACTGGGACTTCAAGAGTTGATTTACCCTCTTCGGCATCTTTATTTTATTATTTCCCTCCCTGCGTGTTCATTTTTTTGTTCCTTCCTTTGCTTTGGGATCCCTATTCGGTGCCTTTATTATAATACCCCCCACGGCTTCCAAGATACTGGGAGAAAAACGGCTTCAGCATAGATATCCCCCTTTGATGATTCAATAGCCATTGGCCTGGTGTGAAATTGGTTTTTGATCTTACTTTCTATCTCTTCTTCTTCATCTTTCGCTCTTGACCTTTGCTCTCCCCCTTCATCTCAAGACTGTTATTGGTTTATACCCTGCATCTGTTTGTTCTGTGAGCCACTTCAGAGGTTCAAGGACCTCATCTCGCGTGTCTGTTGAGTATGTTCCTGATATGATGTGTGTACGATCGTGTCTCATTCAGCGTCTCCCTTACATTTACGGTCCTAGTCGATATTTGATATTCGATCTCGAAGGTTTTATGACATGTCCTCTTGTCCCATTGTTTCTCCGAATTCCGGAACACCGGGAACCTTTTGCGGGTGGCAATGACCATCCTTAGGAATGAACATCGATTTAATTACTTCTTAATTGTCCTGCGTAAATAGTGTGGGTTTGTCGGAGTTACCCGTGAAGTGTTGCAAGACATGAAGATGAAGCCTCAACCCTAAACCGTCAGTCTGGGATCTGGGTCGAGCTGAGCGAACCTTGGAACGCCCCTAGGTCGAATCTCGGGCTAGATTTCGCGCTTGAAACGTGGGTTTGCCGACGCCATGTGGCCTGTTCTCATCGAGACATAGAACAGAATTCCTTGGCATTAAGATTTCTCTTCTTGGCACAGTTTGGGGCGATATCCGCTTGCACTGTGGCGATTGAACTGTGGTATAATCGTTAGACTTTTTAACCGTTTGATGAGCTCATATGATACCGCACGGACTGACTAACTAATTAGACGGGGTATTTGTAATAATCAGTGGAGATTGTTGATAAAGTTTAAGTTTATACATAGTTTCATCATTGTTTTTCGCCGATGTTTAGATCTCAAGCAATACTGTGCATTGTACTCCGTACAGACTGGGACCCCGGAAGTAAGTTTCCACTTTAAGCGACAGCCGCGACAAGATAGGACAATAGTAGAGTAGATCATGGAGACTAAGGTTGACGATATGACTAGCGGGGGATTAAAAGCGATCATTCGCCCTACGGACAATGTATTTGTATTTGTGTTTGTCTCCAACGATCAGATCCGATATACGAAGTGTGGGATCGATCGGGGAGGCATGAGATCTCGATTCTTGAACCTTGGTAACTCGATCATTGTTTGCTTGGCTAGGGCATATCGTGTGACAAATATTGTGACCTACCTAAAGCATAACAAAGAACAGAGGAACGAGCTACGAGCTACGAGCCGCGCTTACGATGTAGATACTTACAGACCGCCACATTCGCCAGTAGGCGATAGTGGGTCAATCCTGTAATAACCCGCGTCTCAGGATTTGTCATTGGGGCCATTTATTTTTCTCGAGGATTTTGCAACAATCATAGTTCGTGAGCCACCAGATTGGCAGGGGACCCCTGTTCGGAGGCATCGCGCGGTTGCCCGATTGCTCCTGCAAGTGGGGTATTTGTTCGATGCCATTCCCGGTAGGTTGGAGAGTTTGCGTTGGAGGATCGACGCAATTTTGAGATATGGATCCATGTACGATGTGTGTATGTACATGATCTTACATTCAGCGTACACTTCTACAGCATTCAGTTACTTGGTACGTCTACCCTTTTCAACAATTTGAATTTAGTTCCTTACAAACGCCCTTCAATATTGGTGGGGTCAAGAGGGGCGATGACGGCATACGATTTACCAACCCAAATTTCATACCTTTTTAGCAGGTAAGCTAGCAGGGATGGCGAAATGAAATCGATCGAGATCTCAGATCCCACGTTCGTCCATCCCTGTGGCGATCTACGATGTCACTAGCCGTTCCTTCCTTGCTCTCAGCTTGTTTCAACCATAGATCGGGAAAATGAGGGAAACGTAGCAAACGCCACGTGGTGTGCCTGGAACCATCTGATCTTGAATTTGTTCCAAGGGAAAAGCTGAATCGATTCCATGGTTGCTGCTGAAGGTGCGTGGTGCTGACTAACGCAAATCCCCGACCTCGGTCGGGACCGGCCACGGGGCTCTAAGTGGAGTCCGATCTTTCGTCGTCTTCTCCGTGCATCGTGCAACATCTTCGACGTTGTGTATATTGTAAACGACAAGCGACCCCTGGTTGGGAGTCTTGGAAGCAGTCTCAACCTTTCTCAATCGAATATATCCTCTTTCACGTCATACATCGTCCGAGATCTATATCGGCCGAGTGTACCCGGGCACTCCGCTCGGCTCCGTGGAACTTTACACAGTATGTATATGTTCATCCAATGTTCGAAGGCAGTCCACGTACATACCTACAGCATTAGAATAGGTGGCGACGGCGTGGCGATTCACGCACAAGGCTGTGCCAAGTCCTAGCATCTATGGTAATGCAAAGAGTGGCTGTCTAGTCCCATACAATGAGACATTACACGGTAGAGATGACTCTAGATATCGGCACCTCACTGCCGTGGGCTTGTCGGCAGACAAGTCCGAGACTGAGATTTCAACGGAAAAGGGGATGGTACGCATCGTACCAGAGATATCACCTATGGAAACCTCCACAATGTGCTTAATGTTCTCCGAGGAGATCACCTGGGGTTGTGGATGAGGTTGCAAGTCAGAAATATGCTACTTGGTGGTCACCCATGGGCCATACCTAACTATGCTTGCAGCAGATGCTCGAATCCCTGCCCGTTCAAACTCTATCTTTGGGTCTAATATGAGATCTTACAGATCATGCATATCGCGGAGAACTATACGCTGCGAACTCCGAGATCTACTCTGTACACTACGCATCAATGCAACGGCGGTATCGAGTGCCCGGCGCCTGACGAAATACTTATTTGGAGGAAAAGTCGGTGTGGTCCTGACATTGTTTGTACCACTGTAGCGTCGCGGAAGATTAAGATTGCCAAGAGCTAACAATGGTAGATCGGTATGTAACATGACTCTCGGGCCTTGCGCATATGGCCCGTCATTGGTAGTTTGAATAATTCTGTGGAGTGGAGGGGAAGACTATCTTCTTCTTCGGGTGTTCTTTTCCTTCTCTGCGGTCGCTAACTAATAGGGGTATGGGTGAATCTTGATACCGATAACTATTGTTACTCAAGTGAGTTAGGGTAGAAGCTAGTTACACTATTGGACTGGGCCGTGGACCGAAAGAGTATCGGTCTCACTAGAATAACGGACTTGCATTAGTATCTTCGAAACTGTAACCCTTAAATTGTCGCGGTTCTTCACTCCGACTGGACTGTACACTGGCATTTCGGAATGAACCGCAGCGGATCTATCCGAACCATCTCAGCACCGACCCCCGTACATACGAGGTGCATCTGTACGAGTAAGCGACATCATCATTTCTTCAGAATCAGTCTGCCTACAACATATTTCCCACCCCCAGTCAAGCCGGGATCGTCTACCCGGATGTGCTCTTATTGGCTGCAAAGCACTTCCTGACTCGTTTTCGCTTATTCCGCCCTTTGATTCCTAGCCGGTAGATAGGCCTCGGGGTTAGCGGCTGACTCCACATTATTTAATTAGACCCGTCACACCCGTGTTCGGATCCGAGATTTACCCTTAACCCTTTTGTTTTTGTGGGAAGTATATCTGGTCGGAGCCAATCGTAGCTCGTTGTGGCGCGATGGTGGGAACGAATCGAATTAGAGTACCAAACCCACGGATCAGACTATGTATTGGCTTTTCTTTGTTGGGTTTAGTGTCGATTTAGATTGCTCTATTACACTTTCCGTTGCGATGTCTTAGATCTGTGTATGGAGATGTACTCGGTGTTTTGTTTGTGTAAATTTGTATCTGTATACAATCCCTGTCAGTACTTAGTCTGCACAATGTGCATACAAGATGGTTTCTTTGGGTAGACGCAGGACACAGCTGTGGAATCGACGTTAACTGCAATCTGCGTTAGACTGCAGCATGCATAAAACTTTCAATAGTCTAAGCTCGTGTCATCTCCGAATCATGCGCACAGCTGATATTGGTCGGAACTCACTACCGTGACAACCCGCTTTCAATACGTCCATACGCAGTAAAATATGGAGACAGGCAGCTGAAAATAAAGCACTCCATAAACTAGAACAAAGATCCAAATGCAACTACAGTGTTTCAGCCCCATCACCATGCCTCTCAAGCTAAAGCACAAATCGATCCCGGGGCCCCCGAAGCGGGCCGTAACAAAACATTTTTCAGACGCCCATGCTGAACTCACTACTAGCTTAAACAAAGCTGTCGATCAGATCAGATCTAAGATTCATTCATGCGGCTCGGGCGCCCAAATAGGCAACATTCGATCAATAGCGCCCTGATCGTCTCCTTTCTAGAACCATGGTTTATCCCGAAACTCTGTAAGACTCAATAATGTGATCTCATCTCTTTTTACAGTTTGTCGATATGCATACATCGATGATCTCATGATCTAACGCATACCACTTCCTCCGCCGTTCCCACATCAAGCGCTTATCGCGCCCCAACCAACGAACCCCTCCCCATCTTGAACGAACTAACAACCGCATGTCAGCCCCACACCATCTATGCATGCAGCATGTACGACCCCTTTTGTCTCCATTGGAATACACAGCGCGCTCAGCTCCGAGAATGCATTCTCAAAATTTGGTCGCACCCCGTGACGTGGCCGACGTCCCACAAATTTTCCTATCTCACATTCCGATGTCCTCTCTATACTTGCTGACCGTTTTGGTGGCGGCTGAGGGTGTACGGACATTCCAGAGGCTCACCGCCACAATCTCAAAGGAGGGCGCTTGGCATAGAGCCAATCTCAGATCGGCGGGGGTTATTATTCACTTCGAGTAAGGATCTCCTTTGCGCGGTACCGGGATCGTGGGCTCTAGTTTTGTATACTTTCGTGCATAACGACTACTGACCTTTTTGAGCCCCTGGTTCTGCTTCTTGTCACAGTGAAGTACTCCCTACATATTTTCTAGGCAGATTCAAACGATAGCTGGAACATTGGAAGTCATCGGGAGATTCCGGTCTCGGTCTGAGACTGCGGGAAGGAGCACGATGGGGTGCGAAGGTACTACCAAGTACCAGTCCCGTAGCGATGGGGCTCGTGGGTCGATCGTACGGAGTAGATCTTCAGGGATCAGTGGTTCAATCCATGGATGGATTTACTTCGGAGATGAGGGTCGGGTCCGACGAGCCCCATAATCTCAGTTGAGAATTCACAATATCAGCTTTGATACTAGTGCTATGCATGCATCCCAACGAGGTAGTAGTATAGAACATTCATATACTAGTAGGTGGACCATACGGTGCCAGTGGAAATTTCAGCTGTGCAATGCATTTCCCTTTTTCAGCAATATCAATCTCGTTATGAAGATCTCTGCAGCCAGAAAGCCCGCGCTACGAAATTGATATTTGATCTAGTCAGTCCCATCTTTGCGCTAGGTATCAGCCTCCATTTGGCTAGAAGTATTAGCGTCGAGAAACGGATCCACGGGATTGTGATAGAAAAAGGCAACCAATGAAGAGATGCATTTACAACACCTGTGTTGGGATCCAGGTCGTCAATGAAAGACGCCCCCATGATCGCCATCATGGAGCTGAGGTCAAAGTAAGTCTGCGGAAACCCGGCAAAGGGCATTCCGTGCTGATATCGTAGCCCGTCGATATTGTAGAACACAATGCTACTTCCTCGAATGGGTTGCCTTAGAGATAAGAGGCACATTGGCAGAAGCACATTGAAACGCTAGCAGTATGCCGGAGTCGATGCCTTCCCATTGCCGCCGACGATGAGCGTGCATGAACCAGTCGCCTGCGAAGGTGAGAGTGCGGCGCCATTCATGGCCTTTGATGGGCCATGACACACGCCAGTCTCCGAGATATGCTGGATCCCTTGCAGAGGGTTGTCGGGATAGTTCTCGCTTGGCCACAGACGGAGTTCTTTGGAAGTTGAATCTGCCCTCTGGATGCGTTCGCTGTTAAATGAGGTGTGTAGGAGCTCTGTATGTATGTGTCGGATAGTCATACCATTCTCCAGTATTCAGTGGTATCACGAGCTAGGTCCTGTGTACACAGTGAAATGAACAGTTGTGCTTGTAGAAGCGAAAGTGTATTTTATTGTAGGTAGATGTTGATGTATTCCCAGAATGTCTCGTCCTCGATGGGGTACGTGATCTTCGGCGATTGGCTGCATGGTTGTGGATGAAAATGGGTAGGTTAAGATAAAGAAATGGGTTCGAGGTGAATAGGGGTGTTGGGTTGCGTGTCGTGACGGTCTGCAAACTGTTTCCCCGTTCCCTTGCGATCAATGTCTTTTCCAGTTCGTGAACGACCGAGCTGTTCTGTGGTTGTAATCAACCACGATCCCTCGAACCCATCCACAACCCTGCAGCTAATCACCGAGGACCACGTACCCCTGCTTGCACAGGGATCGGATTCCGATTGCTATGGTGTTTCTTGGTTGTTCTTCCTTCTTCAGCACGAGGATCCAGAGGTAATGCCGGCATACAGCGACAACTACTTGCTGAAAACCGACATCAACCCACGCTCTGAGGCGTACCCAGTAAGCCTCAAACTCAAAAAAGGAGGTAGAGCGATCACCGTGGAGAAGGAAGAACAACGAAGAAACATCAGAGCAATCGGAATCCGATCCCTGTGCAAGCAATTGCAACAACCTGCCCTTCGTCTGAGACAAGCAGGCAGTAGACCTGCCAACATCGAGGAAGAAACATTCTGGGGCTGTCAACCTTCTGCTCAGGCTTACCAGCGAGTGCAAGCGAGCGGGTGGCCCACGCCGTGAGCAGCTTAGACTTCGGTGAGTATTCCAATCGTTCAATTAGCCTATCCAGAGAACCAGAGCTTCCTCCTGAGCCCTATCTAGGGTCCTATTAACGCGATATCCACGCGCAATCGTGCCGTTGTTCGGTATTTTCAGGCATTTAGCGGCTTCGCAGGCCTCCACCATACGATAATCAGCAGATTGGTCGGTTTTAGGCATGGTTGGTCGAAGATATTGATTCCAAGAGTGTAGTGGCGGGGGTTTTGGCAAAAGGGCGGTTTCAGTGCGGCGCACAGCGGGACGGTGTGGTTGGGCAGAAAGGCACAGACACTACACCGACAATGCAAACGATGCAAACATCCTATCAGATTGCATCTCGAAGACATCCTCAACTCCGGCTTCAACCCTACAGAGCTACACCCTTCTCCACATCAATTCACAATGAAAACAGTCCAATTAAACTGAAACCCTCTCTCCGCTATAACCGGTCACCACCGCAACTTCCCCGATCCCCCTACACCCCAATTGCAACACCAAAATGCCAAAACCTCAACACCCAAGAGGAACGCCAATACCGAACGCGCGCTTCCGAGTCCAACGCCCAGTAGAGATAAATCCTACACTCCCAGAACAACCACCAGCTCCCGCAGGCCCAGCCCTCCTCCCAACGAAACGCCGACCATTCCTTTCCCCCCTCCTAGCAGGCCTGCGCCAGCGCTTCTCAACACTCCCCTCCCCAGTCCGAAGAGCATGCGGGACCCTCCGATGGCTCGCGCCCGCCCTGCCCATCGCCCTCTTCTTCCCAGAACACGTTATGCAAGTTATGTGGGTGCGCGGGCCGTCGATGACGCCATATCTGAATGAAGACTACGCACAGACGCAGACGAAGAGCGACATGGTGCTGGTTAGCATGTGGCCATGGGGATCTATTACGCCGTTTAAGAAAGAGCGGAAGCTTGAACGGGGGATGGTCGTTACGTTCCGGTGAGTTTGGGCAATGTTAATTTGGGTGTAGGAAGTGGAAAGACCGAGGCGAGACTGACGATTACAATGAATAGTTCACCTGCTAATCCCTCGCACATCGCTATTAAGCGCATTATTGGGTTACCGGGTGACCGGATTACGACCCGTGAACCGTGCGTGAAAAAGAGCCAGATCGTGCCGTGGAATCATGTTTGGCTTGAGGGTGATGCGGAAGATCCGAGGAAGACGCTTGATAGTAATACGTATGGCCCTGTTAGTCTCAGTCTGGTTACTGGGCGTGTTTTGGCGGTTTTGGGGCCGCGGATGAGGTGGCTGGATTGGACGGAGTGGGATTCTGGAAAGGGTGAGATTGCATCTAGTGGCTCGACTGATTTGCATAGGCAGAGTGTGCGGGATCGGGTCTTGAAGGATGCTGTTAAGCTTGAGCGGCCGCATTTGAACTGATGGGATCTTATAGCCTGCTCTGTTCATGCGCATTGCTGCGATGCAGCTGCGGACTTTCCCGAGTCTGATCGGTATGACTGGGAACTGTACATATAGGTACCGGGGGATCTTTGTTCGGATATCATTGTATCACTATTGTAAAGTAACAAATGCTGTGCTATGCCCACATCCAAAAGATAGAGCTAAACGACTGGCTACAGGTCCTTAATCAAGCAAAAGAGGATCCAAGACTGCCCCAAATATACAAACAACGCCGGCAATGAAAGCAACGCTATGGAGAAACAAGCCGTATATCTTCCGGTTTCTCTTCCTGGAGTCTGTCAATCTCCGAAGAGATACTCATCACCCACCGATCCTTTTCCACACGACTGCGCGCTTTGAACACAATCGTACGCCCATGCTTGCCCAGCGTCGACACATGACGCAAGGACCTTTTCGCTTTCCCTTCCTCTCCTATTTCGTGCGCTCGGAAGAAGCTCTTACTCAAGGGTTGCCAGACCACGAAGGTAATGGCGGTGTCCTCATCACGACTTGTGAAGGCGTCTGAATCGAGATATACCCGTGGGAGCGCATGGAGACCAGGGTTGTTGCTGTCAAACGTCTGATTGGCGTATAGTAGATCGTTCTCGGTGATTAAGCCAGAATAGATGTAGCAATCTTCCAGGTCGATAGTTGTTTCGAGTTCTTGGTGAATGTGTGGGATCACGGTGCCGTTTCGTTTGCGAAGAGTGCTTCGGAATATCAATAGTTTACCTGCCGTGAGGATAACATGGCATTGATGAAATGTGGTGTGGCGGCGGGGTTTGCGATACAGATGTCCGGACATCTGGTGAATGTTGTTAGTAGACTGCCAAATGTTCCGTCCGATGTAATTTTGAGACACAACGCACCTTGATGGTTCGACACCCGGACAGTGAGCACATATTGTGCAAGTGTGGCGATGCCTCTGATTTCTTCACTTCCCACTTTCTGGCAAACTGTCCGACGACAGATTCCATGGCTTCATCAATGTCCAGCACTTTGATGTTGCGCTGCCGGACTGCCCGAAGCACCATGGCATCATCTGCGCAACGTGCGTGCCAGTACTTGACCAGAGTATCGAGGTGATTGACCCACTCATCTCGGGTGGTTGTATCATATGCCTGGAGCCGAATGACAAGGCCATTATCGAGAACCATTTCAAAGGTTCTATCGTCATCGAACTCTCGGGTTGCACCATCATCTTGCCGTGTGTCTCTGGGTTCGCGGTCAAAGTCCACAGAAGGACCTTCCCCTACGTTGGGATCCGCAGCGCAGCTGCCACGGTTGACGTTGCGGACTTCTTGCACCTGGGACATATCAATGTAACCATCTGCCTGGCTGATGTTGTGTACATTCCTCTGTACGAGTGCATAGGCCTCTGCGTCGTGCCGTTTGACGAATTCCTTGTTGCCGCTGCGGAGCCAACTGATCTCGCCATCCTCAAGCGGATAAGGATTTACTTCCCAGGAGTTTGGAATTTGATCCAAGATCTCACGAGCAGATGGTATGCTCCCATCTCCTGGCGGAGCACACGGCGGTGCCGGAGGCAATGCCTTGGCTGGACGAGTGAAGAACAAATAATGATCTTGAGTGAAGAAATACAGCCGCTTGAAGAACATCTTGTTCAGCCGCTGATGCACGCCCTTTTGGGACGTGAGACGGATTAAAAACCCTTCAATCGGCGCAGGCTCCTCCTCCTTTCGGCCTCGATGCTTGACCCCCGTAGGATAATGATGTCTCGGTCGTAGCTCGAGCTCGTGGGACGATTGCATCGCAATAGAGCCATACATCTTTTCCTCGTTGTTTCCGAAAACCCATTCAAGTCGGTCGTACCGCTTCCAAGCAAGTCCCATCTTTTCTGTCTTGGACCAAGCTTTCAAAACCTCGGCCCACTCCGGGCGTCCTTCGAGCATTTTGATGCATCCTCTGATGATGGTTGCGGCGGCATATCTGTCATCTGCTGGTCTGTCCGAAGCTAGTTCCGTATGCTCGGAATCAAAATTGTCCGTGAGATCCGGTTCAATCTCCTTGAAGGGGTTGTTGAAGACGAGCGAAACCCCCAAGTCAGGAACATAGATAGGAAGTGAAGTGGGACGCCGCCATCCGAGCACCTGGCGGATAAAAGTGTACCACTCGACAGAGTGTACCGCAGATTTAGGGCGGAGGATGAATATTTTGGTTCCATGCCTGTGAGGATACCAAATTACGATGGTCTTGTCGAGGGGAGAATATAGATTGACATGGGTGTTCTTGTGGTTGAGCCGTATTTCGTAATAAGGCGGCGTTTTGCTATTCGGACGTTGCACATCAGGGATCACACGAGTTCGGTACATCTGAAGGGCAAATGGTGTATGTTCGGCCGAGCTTTTGCGGCACACGACGAGAAACTCCCTCCACTTATCCACAGTCCGAGTTTCCATGCGCAGACTGTCATTCTCGGAGTAATCTGCGGGCAGGGTGCTCTGCACACTCTCCTCCACGCAGACTAGCATTCTTTCTGCCTTGACAACCTCGCCATCCTGCACTTTTCGCCGGTGCGGTCGATTGGCAGAGATTGTACCTTGGGTCTTTGCAATTCGGGAGCGCACCTTTCCCTGTCCATACCTGATATTGTCATCCAGGTTGAATTTTGCCATCTTCCTAGTGAATGTTCGTTGTACTTGCATATCACCACCAGGGCCGTCTTGGGTATTTTCGTCGTCCTGTGGATCGTGATGTTGAAGCGTCACTCGAGATACACCAGATGCCTTGCTTTCTTGTCTCTTCTTATTCTTCAAACTGCTTCGAAGTAGGTTTGTCGTTGAATCGGCGTCACTTTGAGCCATGGACGGTTTAGGACTAATAGGACTGGGATAAGTATGACCGGTCACGGTTGTATTGTGAGAGGACTGTGATCCTGGGCGAGGCTCAGGCGGTGTCAAATTGCTTGGTCGCACGGTTGCTATCGATGCTATCGATCCTTCTGTATCAGCAGAGCTGGAGAAATCTTCTCTGGCTGTGACAAACGAAGATGAACCGAGATCATTGTCGTATACGTCGTCCTGCGCCCTTGGGCTGGCTTTTGGGGTGCTGTCTGTATCTTCTGTGTCCTCTCCGCTGTCCTCACTGCGGTCTTCCCCGCTGCCATCTCTAATCTCTGCTTCCTGTTGCGGCAAGGTGGCATCGCCAACTTCCTCGCCGTGATCTTCTCCGCTGACGTCTCTAGCCTCTGTGGCCTCCTGTGACAAGGGATTGTCACCGTTGGTCTCGGGCTCAGGGTGAGTCAGGGTCCGTAGTTCGCCCACAGGCTCTGCTGTGGCCTCTTCTTCTGTTTCAGTTCCTAACACCTCCGCGGCGTCCACAGTACTGGTGTTTGTGGCCGTCAAGGCGAGCTCATCCAAATCTGGTAACGATGGACCGGCCTGATCGTCATGCTCGCTATAATGGGTTTCAACGGGCCCTGCGGAGAACGAGGCGGTATGTGATGAATAGTTGCTGAACCTCAACCTCGTCCTGTACCAGGATTTGCGGTGGCCTTGTAGCCAGCCTTCTGGAATGGGTCCGACGAAAAATCGCCTGTTTGTCATATGCAGATGGTTGGCAGAAGCATGTCGCTATTTACAAAGACCAGGTCAGTCTCATGACTCAAACCACAAGGGATCAATACGTACCAATTGCTGTTCTGTATATGAACCAACCTGTAAACCGTGATAGTGTCCATGATACGAGCGTGGGTCTGCTTCTGGCCGCGGCGACCCGTTGGCCTGGTCCGGTGGAGTGCTCATGGCAATCTAGTACCCGCGTGGACCAAGTTGACAGCTGCCAGACATTTGCAGGATCGAGGGAAGCCTAGATACAAGCAATGCAGGAGCAGGCAAATGACCAGACACCCAGAATCTGCCTCCAAGTACTGTAGATTTCTTAGTGTGATCGCCAATCTCGATGCAACCATGCAACGGGATCCGATGACGTCGGCCGCGAGCTTCGGAAAATGTTGCAAACACTGCAAACACATGTTGACACTTCTGGTTTGCACTGTTTGTGTCATCGCCCCTGGGCCCCGCCATTGGCTTGCGTGGCAGCAGCGGTGAAGTTGACAGTATTCAACAACTCCTCTTTCAGCTCATTTTACTTTTTCTTCGTCTATTTCTACTTCAGTTTACAAGTATGGCTGCTATTCCCGCTGACGGCACATGGTTTGATACCATCAAGAGATCCTTCGCTGATGTTCCTATCGGCGCGGATGATGGCATCTCCACTACCGAGTTCCTCGAGGCCGCTGAGTCGCTCGTGACTCTCTTTGGTGCGTGTTTCTTCCGCTGCATAAGCAGTCCGCAAGCTAATGCAGGCATTAGATGTCCTCGGTTCCGCCGCTTTCACCCCTGTCAAGAACGACTTGCTTGGCAACATCAAGGTTCGTCCCAACATATCCCACTGCCGGTGCCAACATACCCTAATCTCCGAGATAGAAAGTCCGTGAGCGTCAATTGGCAGCTCCTGCGGAGTCCGAGACCCTGCAGGCCCTTGTGGTGAATGAATTGAAGACCGGCAAGCACGTTGCCGCTGAAGGTCTGGTCTGGTTGATCCGGTATGTTCAAATCTCTCAATCACTTAGGACACCGATTGCACCGGGGTCTCCTTCGTTTGCATGAATAAACATGAACAATTGACTTATCATCTTCTCCCAACAGTGGTCTCGACTTCACCGTCCAAGCCCTTCGTCACAACATCGACAACGCCTCCGCAGAGCTGTCAGACTCCTTCCGTGGGGCTTACGGCAACACCCTCAAGCCCCATCACAGCTTCCTTGTGAAGCCCATCTTCAGCGCAGCCATGTCAGCGACCCCATACCGTAAGAACTTCTATCCTAAATTGGGTCAGGACCAGGCCAAGGTTACCGCCGAGATGACGAAGGAGGTCGCTGCTCTGGAGAAGGTGGTCAGCATTATCAAGGCTTTCCAGGATACCAAGGCTGCGAAGTGGTAGTTTATTTTGCCCTGGAGGCATTTCCACTTGAATAAGTCTGTGCACAGTGCAGCTTGGTGTGTAAATATTCGTTCTGGCTTCATTCAACCATGCGAGTTGGATTATATAGCGAATTCACTTCAGTCATGGTCATGAATATCCGGGGTAGAGCACCGTCGCATCTGGGGTCAAATATGGGTGAGCAATGGAACGCGCTAAGCGAACGAGGCAACATCCGAGAAATCACATGGTCATGCGGAGAAAGTAGAGCGGCAAATCAGCCTATCAAAAATGGATGGAACATGATGTAGCAACAAAGCAGTAACAATATCCATTCTGTTCCATTGTTCCTTAAGACATTGAATAAGGCAAGTTCCCGCCACCAATCAGACCGAGATATATGCCCGATCGTGGCTGCCGCACACCGGAGATATGAGCAGAAAGCAGGTACTCCCGAGGAGAAGCCTCAACCCATGGTCCTTGGCACAGGGCCCCGGGGGGCTCCGCCTCGGATTTGTCTCAACTCCAAGCTCCACGCACTCCACCTAATAATGCGTGCATGGGATCCGTGCGTTTCATGAGGAATCGGTAGGAAAATTTTTGAGCTTCTGAATACGAGCTATTCCGGGATAGGTAGCCAGTCACTCATTGCTTATTGCTTAACAGGATAACTTTAACTTCAATGGATCAGGCCAAGAGTTCACTAGGTAGGTTCGTACTTGTAGGATCTCATCGCGTATTGCGATTTGCGATCCATGGTTGCTGGATGGATACCTTCTGCCGAGTTTCTGGAATGATACCCTGACAGGGCCCAGGCCGGGGCCAGTATTTATCCAGCGAAGGATATGTGTTCTTTATTAGCCCCTAGGTAAGCGCGGACTGCAGAGTAGCATTCTACACCATAAGTATGAATTCAGCATGGGCCATAGTACAACTTATTTATAAACGCACGATGGGTACGCGATAGTTAACCGAGTCGCTCTGTGGGGAGAGTGAGGGTCAACAAGGCATCCAGTAATTTCCGATAGCCCACATATATACTGCAGATCATATCCACGTTTACCAATCTCCACGCTGATCAAACGTGCTTCGTACCAAAGGGAATTGCGATGTACTCCCTACCTAAGGTACCGGCAGAACGGAGTTCCGCCCCCCGACCACCCCCGGGGAGTTCGAGAAGGATTTGCATATTAATTTAGATCTCGATATCGATCGATACGAATCGCCCAGATCAGTATCCATAATCGCAATCGATAGCCACAATATCGCCCAAAACTGCCCATAGTTATCCCCCGTGGTGATGACACGTTATTGACACTGCCCAGACAAGGCGCTAGCCTGCAATAGCCGCAGCTGAAAAAAATTAAATTTTTTCTTCAGCGAGGCTTTTTCGGAATGACCGGGCGCTCCCGCCCCTGAAGGCAAACTGCGTAGCTACAGTAGCCGTGAAGGTGTCAGCCATATTGATGATGATCAGAACGGGCTACCTTTTGGAGGATAGTTCCGACACTAGCATCGCCGTATCACTACTGTTACCTCGCGGACTTGAATCTTTTTCTGGCTTTCGACTCCACTAGGAGGCCTTGATTCGCAGCAATCAGTGGAGTAAACTCTCAGCCCGGTCAAGTCATGTAGAGGAAAGGCCTGTGCTTCGATAAGTAAGTTCTCCTCCTTACTCCGTACATACGGAGTACTTCCATATCGCTTCCACGCAAGTGTGTGCATGTTTGGAAATTTTAATGTAGTTGTCCCTTGCAGGTGTTGTATATCGATTACTGAAAGAGGCTTTAGCGGTGGAACTTCGATTCCATGGATGCAAGCTTAGTGTTCCAGAATTCCAACCGTGCGCTTCCACATGGTTCGTCATGACTTGAATGGTTTAGTGTTCAATTTTGCCTGGCTGACGGCGCCTTTTCTTGGTCTAGATCCATGACGCTAAGAAGCATTTGGAAATGGTCTTCAAGTTTAAGTTTCCCGATTCTCTCCAGCGTGAAACTTGGGTAACTATTTTGCCCTACCACAACTTTGTGCGGCAGGACAGGCCTGAAATGCTTGCCGACAGAGCCCATTGTCAGAACCGCCTATGCCGGATCTTGACAAGCGTCCCTATTATTTCCTGGGTCGGGATCATTAGAGCCTTTTGATATTCATCTTGGCGTTCTCTTTTCTTCTCTTACTTTTTTTCCTGGTAAGAGTAGTAAAACACGGAGAACACTAGCAACACTACTGCTATTGCCCCTCCCTCTTGGCCCGTTCTCGCCACTCTTACTGTGTACACCCGCATCCGTGGACCGTAAATGCTTGGTGTTCCGTAGTGGGTTTCCCTTTTATTTGTCACTCGTTTCCCCCCTCCATAACTATATGCCTTTCCTTTCGCTCTTTTGGATTTTCTTGGTGAGCGACGTTGCTGGGCCCTAACGTTGGCGCCCCGTATTCAATTACGCCAATATGATGGAACTCGAAGGTCGCAGCGAGTCCATCTTCATTGTTACTACTATCTTTCTCGGTCTCTCGTTTATTGCCGTGTGTTTACGATGCTTTGTGCGACTGCACCTTGTCAAGGCATTTGGCTGGGATGATGCGTTGATGGTGTGCGCAATGGTATGCTTTCATAGGTTCTGGTCCTTCGAATCTGGAATTGGCTCTAATGGGACTCGCAGCTGGTCAATGTCTTGTTCGCTCTTTGCGGTATCACCGGCGCATTATATGGACTCGGTCAGAAGAATGCAGTGGTTGTAAAAAGGAGAACTTTCGAAACGGCAATGTTTGTACGTTGGCTCTTCTGCACCTGTGAGATGGGAATATCTGGCTAACAATACCAGTGGTGGTGGCTCGGCCAAACTAGCTATGTCTGGGCTTGCGCGTTGGCCAAGGTCTCCATCGCATTCGCCCTTCTTCGCTTGACCGTCTCTAACAGACACAAACTTATTATATATGGTGTCATTGCCGTCACCACCATCGTTGGTCTTGTCTTCTGGTTCATGTTGACCCTGCAATGCCAACCTGTCTCCTTCTTCTGGCAACGAGTGCGCGCCTACGAAGACCCCGGTAATCAAGTCGCTGGAAGCTGCATGAACCTCGACAACATCATTACCGTGGCTTATGTCTACAGTGTCACTGCTACACTCTGCGATTTTACCCTCGGTATTTTGCCTGCATTCCTGGTGTGGAACTTGCAGATGAACAGAAGGACCAAGATTGCCTTGACAGGCATTCTGGGATTGGGCTGCATGTATGTTTCCTTCGCCCATTCTCGGACCTTCAATTGCCCCGTTACTGACGTCTTCGCTTATAGTGCAAGCTCCGCTGTCATCGTCCGCATTCCCTATTTGCACAACTATAAGGACGAAAATTTCCTATGTGAGTTTCACCTCCGCATTGTCCCACTCAACCGAGAACTCGCCATTCAATCCACGGCAAAAGAAAATACCAACTCCAAACTAACACAACTACTCTCCCCCAGGGGCAACAGCCAACATTTCAATCTGGTCCAACGTCGAAGCCGGCCTCGGAATCGCCGCAGGCAGTCTCGTCACCCTCCGGCCCCTCTTCCGGTGGTTCCGCGACCCCAGCTCCAAGGGCGGCAGCAAAAGCAAAAGCAAGCGCACCAACGGCGCCAGCATGCCCCTCTCCAGCGTCAATGCCGTCCGATCCAACGCCTCCGGCTCCGGTCCGACTTACTGGCGGCCCGACTTAGACAGGGACGACTCTCCTGCCGTGGTCACCACTATCCACACCTCAAACCACGACAGTCGCACAAGCAGCCAAGAAGACCTCAATCCCAAAAATGGGGGGACGTTTTTTCATGGTGTGAACGTGCAGAAAACTTTCTACGTCTCAGAAGATCAGGCGTCATAGAATTATAGATGCTAGATGGTTGCATGGATAAACGTCATAATGTATACTTATTACCCAACTATATACAACATACTAATATTTTCCTTTCCCATTGACTTTATCCTTCAATTGATTAATCTAGAGCAATTGCCGGTAAAAATCACATGTCCGTCGGAAAGCCGACGCCCCTGTCAACTATTAGCCGAAACCTGCATACCACGGCATGTATACATCCACGTACATCCATGTGTTTATCAACGGGGCTACAGGATGCGCTAGACCCGCTGCTACGCAAGGATATCTGACCCATGATCTGCGACATCGATTGGAATCCTTCCGAAGTCCCAGACTTGAACGATCTCCGTTTAGTTCTGGGGCCAAAATATCTTAATATGTGTTGTTTGGGGTTATAGAGTCTAATGTTCATCCCGTCTTCAACAGCCCGGCCGGGCTAGCTCAATCGGTAGAGCGTAAGACTCTTAATCTTAAGGCTGCGGGTTCGACCCCCGCGTTCGGCTATTCCTAAAAACTGATCCTGAGATTTCTTTTTTTTTCTTCTTCTTTTTTGCATGCGAATGGTACTGTGTAGATAATCCTCAGGTTGATTAATTGTGTCGTAGGATGCTTGTGGTTTGTTGGGGCTTAGGTCTAACAGGTTGTCTATAGGTACCTAGGTCACTGGAGCATGCATGGTCCGTAGGGAAGACATAGATGGGTTCGACAGTCCACTGAACAAACACTTGGGAATCCGAATATATATATATAGCAGAAGGGCATTGATTGTATATACCCGAAAAAAACCAACTCCTGATGCTATGCACGTATCAATGTAAACAAGGGTGCTCAAACTCCAGCGATTAGACCAGAACCAAAAACGCATGAGCAAGGAGGAAACAAGCGAGTGAAAAGAGAGGACCAGAAAAACAGCAAGAGACACGCGCTAGAACGATGAGATCCCCCCATCCAACAACCCTCGAATCAAGTGCTTGGCTGCGGATTGCCCGTATAAACGCCTTCGAAATCAAGATTTGCAAGCATGCCGTTGACGCGATCGATCTCGCGGCTTAGATCCTCGACGTTCATTGCAAGACTGCTCACTTCATCGAACTTACGTCGTCGATTGGCATCTGCGATCATCTCGGACACAAAGAACTTCTGTTCTTCTAACACGATCAGCCGGTCTCGAAGGGATTTTTCTTCTGCTTCCAGGGCTGAAACGGCGCTGCTAGTGTCGCTGGCCAAGCTGGTGTTGCTACCGCTCGCGGCGACGCTGTTGTATTTGATGGACGAAAGGGCAGTCTCTGGAGAACGTAGACCCCTCGTAGAGCCATTTACTGGAGTACTTGGGGAGATTGTCCGGCTGGGTATCCTGTCTGACGCCGGGGTCGTATGCTTGAGGATTTTGGGAAGGGATTTCAAGGGTAGCATATGCAGGTGAAGGAAGTTGCTGGCTTGTTGATATATAGCCTTCTGCAACTTTTTCTGCGTGGGGGAGTCGGTTGGCATGTCGCGAATTCGTCGAGCTGCAATGTCATACTGCGCAAACGAATCAATAAGCCGCTTGCGAACTTTGGACGCATCGGCGATTTGGGCAGAGGATGGAGGCCGTCTTGGGTCTCTGTCACGTCATTGTCAGTGACAGAACAATAAGCAACCTAGAAAAGTGAAGAACATACTGCAGAGCTGTCAATAGCTTTTGGAATCTAGGTAAATGAAGACGGATGCCTCGCTCAAATTGGACCAGGTTTTCGTAGGCCCTGATCTCCGGAGGCTTTCGCATAGTGTCTGCTTTGAAGTCGCGTCGATCAAAGAGGGTCGACTTGCATTCCTTGCACAGTCTCACATCGACGTTGATAAGGTTGTCCCCATTGGCTTTCTCAGAGGTCGCTATCGACAGAAATCAGACTATACCCCACTAAGGTACACTCTGGAGACTTACCGGGAGAGATGCTGAGTCCAATCTCACTCGAACACCCAGTACTGGGATCACCGCACACCACTCGTCCGCAAGTTCTGCAGTGATGCCTACGGAACGTATAGCCCGAGAACTCCTGTTGACAAAATGGACACCGTGAAACACTGGCATCATCTTGCCAGCTGACGATCATTTGCTCTATCTCCTTGCGTTGATCGCTCTGCCACGCAAGAGAAAACAGTTTCGTTGCACTAGGGTGTATTTGATCTGGTGGCAGACTAGCCAACATCTGGGTGAGACGAGTCAGTCGTTTCTCGAGTCGGGAAATCTCCAGAAACTCCTTGTCGACAGTTTGTTTTCGTATTGAATTGAACGCATTTGTTAGATTTCTCGTCGCACCTGTTTCTTGTTAGCTTGGTTGATAACCGCAAAGCCGAGGTTCTCACCATTGTGATCATTGTAGCCCTCTCTTGACTTGTAGCAGGTTTCGCATACTCGAGCCCATATTCCTCGAACTGGTTCATGATGCGCCGACCGCGAAAGCTTCATCTGATACATCGTGTGTTCCTCACAAAATAGCTTCCCGCAACTCCGGCAGTTCACACACCCGTTGATGGTGTTCAGTCGTTTCCCACATGATGGCTCCAGACATTCGTCGTAGATAGAACTCGGTTGCCAGTGGTCTTTCGTGATGAGATCTTCCGGGTCTAGCAATTTCGGAGGCTCGGGAATGCCCACGTGGGGAGCTTGCGAGCGGCTGGGGAGGCCGGGGATAGGCGCGCCCTGGTTTTCGTTTGATTCGAAGACATCCAGGCCCTTCAACTTCTGGTTCAAAACTGCCAGAGGTTGGAACTTCCTTGCCTTCTCCATTTGAATCTTAAACCAGTCTTTGACTTCATCTTGTCGGATCTCTTCTAGGTTCTGATGGATGTCGTCGAGGTGTCTGCGATAAGCCGTTAATCACAAGTCACGGCGGTCATGAGGGAGGGTGAGGGATACCTATTGAGCTGTAGTAGAGTCATCTATAGACAGTCAATATCATCTCGCTTGCCCCCAAGGACCGAATGGGGGTTGTAGGAACAAAGCATACCATTTCCTCGCTGCAGATCGGACAGGAGAGCTGGGCACCCGGAGCAGCCGGGGCCGCAGATATCGAAGTATCGCCATTTTCTAGTGATATTCGTGAGGTGATATCGTGAGTTTCTGTCGAGAATTGTGATGCTGAGGCCTGTGAACTCAGGGAAACGCTGCTAGCTGTCGGCGAGAGCACCCGCGGCTTCGGCTGCGGGGACGGAGCTGAAGCAAGAGCGCTTGGGTTGCCGAGAACACGACCTCCACCCAGCGTCCTCCGCGACATGATCATGGGGGCATGGGAAGCTGGAGTACAAGCTGTTTCAGCACAACATGCGTTGGCTGTACAGAAATGGACTTGGGGGAGACCGGGAGGAAGTGCCAGTTATGATGCGGTGGAGTCAGCCTTGCATGTGGTGGCCTGAGGCACTGCCAAGACATTGATATCGGACAGTCGGACTTAAGTAGATTGCTGAGATGTCTTTCATTCTCACTATTTCTCTTATTCGATTTGATACTACTGGATTGGCTAGATATGGGGCAGCTGGTTCGCTAATAAATCCATAAATTCAAGTCTATACTAAATCAGTGACACAGATAGTTCTCGCTTTGGTATCCCTCAGAACGAGCGTAGAGTAAACGAGCGTATGAGCATATGTACAATAAAGGGAGCAAAGCATGGGATAAAACCAATGCGAAACAACGTGTTCAGATAGATGCATTCTGTCTGATCTTAGTTGGGAGCAATACCTTGGAAATACTCCAAAAAATCAGAAATCGCGTCAAGCATAAAGCGAATAGCCGTATAGTCGCTAAAGCAGCCAACAAACGAGTGTGAAGATTGATGTTTTTCTTTGGTGAACGTGTTGAACGTTCTTTTTCTTATGGCCATTGACCACATCTTGCTTCTTTCATTCGTTTTTCCGTTTTGTTTTTTCGTTTATACAGATTCGTGGTCTCGTGTCATATATACATCGGGGTCGACCCAACAAGAATGCGCATTCAAGCGCCCTTAGCGCTCGTAGTCACGGTGGTAACTGGTACCAGTGTTGGGGTTGTCGTATTCTCTGTGGACATGAGAAGTTCCATCATCGAATCGGTCAACGTCACGGTGTCGATAGGTGCCACTCTGGTCAACCCGCTCACGATGGTGTCGGCGGCCGGTGGGAGTGCGGTAGTCGAGATGTTGGTCATAAGCACCGGTCTGGGGATCGTATGAGGTGGTGCCGTAGCCAGAGTCGTAAGTGGTATCATAAGTCGTGGTTGGGGTGGTTGCACTGTAGCCAACGGTGCCGTAGTCGGTTGCGTCCGTTGCGTCGGTACGGTAGCTCAAGTTGTCGTACCGAGAGCCGACTGTATCGTAGCCAGCGTCGTAGGTGGAAGAGTAATTGTTGGTCATTTTGAGGGTCTCACAAAGTGAGATACTTTTCTCAGATTTATTTTAATTGATTTGTTCTTTTTGTCTTTGGATGAAATCGAAAACATCTGAAGCACTGGATTTGGATCATTCTTATATTGTTCTCGTGGCGTCGAATATCACGACAATGATTATTGCTTGACATCACTGGCTGAAGATTCGCCAAGTGAGGCGATTCAGATGAACAACATGAAAATCGATCGAAAAGAACCTCATCGTTGGTACTGGCCTTGATTGATCGAATTTTCGGGCGCTTCGGTTCCAGACTGTTGCCCCAGGAGGCGGATGATAAGTCGTTAGTGGTTCTGACCTATAGATGTGACCACCAAATGTTGGTGAGCATCCAGGTACCCACGAGTACCAAACATCTCAGATTCCGCTGGGTTCGAAAATGATGCCATAAATCGACACAAGAAGATCCTGTGACAGCGATCTTGTTAGATAGACTTTGATGGAAGAAGATTTGCCTAGAACAATGGAAGGTGGGGATTTTGGGCGGCGCAGTGAGTATACACTACAAGTCATGATGATTGCTGGAAGTGATTATCCACTCGATAGAGGAATGGCGGTTGACCTGGAAATAGTCTTTGATTGTGATCGATGTATGCAGCTGTAAGGCACATCAGAACGCTTTGAATTATAGTATGTTTTACAGTCCTCAAGTCCGTCCCATATTGGATATCGACCTGTCTTTCACCTAGCCACAATTGCACTTAGCTATCCCGACCAAGAGGCGCCAATGAGTCCAACAGGAATTCCGTAGCGTTCATCAGGTCTGTACTTCCATAGACAACCCTGCGGCGATTCCCACTGGCCGCACGAGCCGGCGCACCATCTGCACCCTGTTGACCGTTTGTTCGGCGAACCCATTCCTGTAAATTGCCGTACTCGTCCATACTGCCTCCACCAACTGTAAATACAATAGCCTCACTGAAGGCTTGGCGACGTTGGCCGAAACTGGCGCCAGTGCCAGGGCCTGCGCTACCCATTCCGCCGGGTATCTGCGCGTTCCGCGATGCAGATGCCGGAGGCATCGCACCACGTGCGTTGGCACTCCTCGGGTCGAAGTAGAGGTAGTTTTCAGTCTTTGCAATAGCCGAACTTGAAGCTGCAGCAGGGTCCATGATTGACTCGGTGATTTTGGTCACAGTAAGATCCTTATTTGTTGGAAGGAAGTTCTTCACGCCTGAAATGAGCGAGTCAAAGTTGGCCCCGAGAGCGCCCGAGGTGATGCGATCCGTCAGGCGATTTGAAAGCGAGGAGAATCCACGGAACAGATCAGAGGATTGTTGTTCGGGAGCGGTGGTGGTCATCATGGTCATACGAGTGATTTCGCGCACCTGGCGGACGTAGGCAAGAGGGGAAATATCGGAGACACCGGCTCGGGTAAGGGCCTCTTCGAATTGAGTCATCTCGGAGCGGCTGAGCTCAGTCTCAGTGCTGAGGAACCAGATCATGAACAAGCGCAGCTTGTCTAATGACTCGCTTCCTTTAGCGGGGTCATTTATGAGCTCCAGGATCTGTGACTTGGATTGTTTAGTGATGGTTTCCTCGAGCTCGAAGAAGTTATCTAACTGTCGCTCCTTGATGCCTTTGAGCAGTGCGGTCGCAATGTTCATGTGCATGTCGAGGACCGCCTTGCGTTCCCGCAGCTCAGGGAGCAGTGTGATAGCGGCCTTGAGATGTTGTGCGGATGCACTAGTATCATTTTGGAGATCTTCAATTGAAGAGGCACCCGTCTTCTTCGTGATCTCATTCGCATCCTCCTTATACCGTGTGAGCTCAGCATCAATGTCCTCCGCAACCTGGGGGAATGGGACTCCGGCGTTGCGTTGCCAGAAGAAATCGGTACTGTTCAAGTCGTAAGATTTCTTAGAGCCCTTGGCGGAATCCGCATCACCAGCACCAGCATCTAGAGTGATTCGGTTGAGACGCATTTCAAGGACATCCTGTACCAGAGATTGGTACGTCCACGAGTGGGAGAGCATTGGGACCAGATCGATGTTTCGGTCCATAATGATCAGTACCGGCCGCGCCGATGGCACTCCCGGTAGAGCGTTCTGATTACCGGAGAAGAGGTTGTCTTTGGAATTAAGTATGTGGTCTCGCAGTTTGCGGTCCAGTTTTGTCGCAATCAATTCCGCTGCACCGCCCTTGGGGCACCGTATAATTGGGATTGTACCTGCCTAGTTAGTCACATTTTCATACGACAATTCAAGGTGGGATAGAGTTACCCATTGTCACGCTCACACTGAATAGCCCACTGACCACTTTGTCAACAATCGCATCTAGGTCTTCATCCGTCGTCTTTGGGCTGTTGATCTTGTAGTATGCATCATTCCCAAGCCCCAAGCTAAACAGGTCCGGCTCTGCAACAATGAAGTTGAGATACTGGTCAAATACTTGCGCAATATGTTCGGATGCGCCTGACGTGACTATTTGAGAAGCAAAGTCCTCTAGAAGTGGCCGCGGGACGGAAGATAGGAAATTCACGTAGGCTGGGGAGTAGAGCCCGTGGGAGAGATCGCGAGTGATTGCTTGGATATTATCGGGGGTCGGTTCCACGAAGTAGACGACAGGGACATCAGGGATGGGGTATCGTTGCGAGTGGAGGTTTCTGAGTGGCTATTCGTTAGTGATTCAGCCGCTTTAGGGGGAAGACAGCAGTCGCACAGATGAATGGTGATGCCCCATGCGCGGAGATCATTTACTCTCAGCACACTGCTGATAACATCCCGGCCCATTTTATCGAATACCAAGACCTTCCAGATGGGGTCGCCATCTTCGTTCAGGATCGGAGTGGAATGCGAGATAAGACCGCCCGATCCGGACTGGTCAATGGAGTTATCTTCAGCGGGTTGCGGATCATGGTTCAGGTTCAGTAGCTTTTGGATTGATGCTAGATTCAAGAGATTAGTAAATGGTCTTCTATCGCATGAACCCAGTCCGCGTTACTCACCGACCTGTCGGTCCCGGAGGGACATTGACTGCGCCATGGCAATAGCTGGCAGCGCTGTGAGCTTGAAAAGATCCTCCTGTTTCACCAAAGATCGGGTAACATGTGGTGGTGCGCAGTATGAAACTTGAATTATGCACACAACTCTCAGAATGATGAATGGGAGTACTCGATACTGTTGACACCGGGGTTCTTGCTATCGCTCCACCTGGCATCCCGCCCGCAGCCCTGGAGCTGAGCTGTGCTGACCTAAGTTTGCAATCTATGCAAACACCGAGGATCACATGAATATGTGTTCACTCAGGAACGCAGGGGCTGTAATTTACACAGCGCACCACCAATAGGAGCAACCAAATACAATCATTACGTTGAAATTGCCGTATGCCATCGTATCATCGGCTAACCGCCTTGCCAGCCGTTTTGTCCCTTTTGCGGTCTTCTTCAACTCAAGTCATCTACTCTAACCATCTCTCATCACTTTCCCCCAATCCCTTTCTTCTTCTCCCGTAAAGCGAATGGCTATGACGCTAGAGTGGCCCTTCGTATGAGAGCCTTTCCCCTTCACTAATTTCCACAAAGACTTTTTGGGACAAAACTTAAGCACGGAAAGAGGAGAGCGAAAGCCCTGCTAGGACGACAGAGAACGGCACAAAGAGAGGGAAGGAAGGATACAAAGTCAGGGAACAAAAGGAGACGGCCCGAAATTGAGGATCTGGGCCTTCTTACTATACTTCTACGTTGTATTCGCAACTGCGGAGCCCTCGTCATTAAGCTGCAAGGCCAAGGACGACGCCGTTACTCGCGTCACTCAGTGAATAGGGTTGCTGCCTGAGGCTAACAACTCCTTAATCAACTCTCGCCCCACGCTTAAAACAGTCTTTGTTTTTCTCTCAGCTAAGGTATGACAGTACTCAGACTACAAGAGTGAAGTCCATTCTAGCCGTATCAACCATTGAAGTCGTCTAATCTGATCCAACTTCTTCAGACCAGCAGCTCTACAAGTGTCGTGAGACCGCCAGCCAATCATCTTGTCCCCTCACCGGAAAAAAGTTTTTGACTCTATCTCACACCGCCCCACTTCCTCCTCTTCATACAGAAGGCGGTGAATACCGCTAAACAACCACCGCAGCTGGATTCCACGTGACCACCTGTATCTCATAGTACTTAGAGAAGGCAACTGTCGCTCCAGGGCTCCTGAAGTCGGTATGGAGCAATCAGCCCAAAACTCGATGCAGGGCTTGCCTCATGGGAATACACAACTTCCAGCGGATTATTGGAATACTCTTGATGCGGCTTATCCCGGTCCTGAACAGCACCTTTCGACCCAACCTCGACACCAAGCTCCGCAGCAGCACGATTCAGCATCTGAACCATCACCCCTTGGCATCGGATGGGATCACCCTATTTTCCAACAGCAGCAAAGAGATGTTGCCCAGCGACCGGACTCAAATCATGGCATCTACTCATCGATCCATCAACCTTGGCCGCAGTCGAACCCTCTGCAACAACCACCACAACGACCATACGGAAATTCGTCCCAGTATCACACACATCCTCAAGCTCCTCGATTCCAACAAGGACAAATGACCTTTGATTCCCAGCCCTTGAGCGCATCTGAATCGTCGACGTTTCCGGCATTTCCCTACCAGCCAAATTACTTCCATCCATCACACCCACAAATGCCAGTTCCCGAGACTTTTACGGAATCACATACGCAACAGAGGCTGCAGCCACGGGCGCCGCAACAACAGCCACAGCCGCTGGCTCCTACATACTCTTTGCCTCAAGGTTACTCCGCGGAAATGCTGGTAAGATGACTCTCAACGCATCCATTGATGACCATGGTCCTGACTGCTGGCAGCAAAATACCATTGACCTGACGCAGGACTACCCTGATTCGGACCGAAACGTCACTATCAACCCCCAGTTTTTAGACTCCCCTTCGCAGGCATTCAATCAACAACAGCCCTCGATGGCAAACGGTTACCTCCAGGGTATATCTGCGGACTTCCAAAGACCCGGCAGTGAGCAGTAAGTTCCCACTGTACTCTTTGCTCAAATACAACGACTGATGTTCAAAGGGCTAGACTATTCAACTACTACCAAAACGATCTTTCGGTTCAGCCGCAGATGACGCCTACTGGAAATCACGTTCTTTCGACACATGCAGGTATGTTATTGAAAGTTACTGTATCGTGCGCTTTTACTGATTCCTGTTTAGGACTGCCTGCCCCAGATGCCCTGGCCGCAAATAGTAAGGGTGCTCCTAAGAGGCGGCAAATGAAGAAAACCGGCCCGAAGAAAGCCACGAACAAGTCGGAAAGTGAAAGTTCAGACGAATCAGACCTCGAAATTGAGGAACCCGACGAACCGTCTCCTATCCCTCCAGTTCGACCGACCGACCCCGAGGCTGCAGCACAATACGACACTCTTCAGGCTGTTTGGTCACCAAGGAATAAATGGCCGGGTCCCGAAAAGGTTAAGAATGCGCTGGTAGCCTACAAAGATGTTGTCAAGGCATTGAGAGATGCCTGGAAGGACCAGGTTCAGGCAATGAAATCGGCCGAGAATGACGGCGACAATGATAAAGCGACTAAGCTGAAAGAAAAGGTCATGCTGCAGCGCCGCACAATGGACAAGATCGCAACCACCACGTTGGATATGGGCCATCCTAATATTGTTGAGAAGTATGTTCCTTCCTCTCCCCTTTCCACTGCACCACCCCATAGTTTCCACCCCTGCCACATGGCGATGACGGCCATCCACATCCCCGAAGCCAATCGGCACATATATAAATGTCCATGGAAGCATTGGTACGGCATTGCCACGAGTGTAATAAAGGGCAATTGCTCTACTCGCTGGTGGCAAGGCTTTGATTACCTATGCGTGCTGCGCACAGATATAATAATATCCCATGGAGCGAAAGGACCCCATCATAATGATTCTCCGATATGCTTTAGAAAGCTATCTCTGAAAGACAATGAAGGGGAAACCCTCCTATCTAGAAATCGGCCCCCAATCTGCAGTTCCCACACTGTGGTAACGAAGCTGGGCCCACAGTGCTTGATATGATTGTGAAAAATGACTAATCATTAATTCTATGTAGGCTGGGAGAGCATCCTATGATTGTTTCAGCCCTATACTCCTTTTTGCTCGATCGTTTCCAGGCAGCGGATTATGCTGGCAATTTGACCATCAACCTGCTTAAGGTAAGTCTGATGCCTGACTACATATGGTCTTTTGTGTTGAATAAATCGCTAACTTGAACTAAGATCTTGTCACGTTTCTCGACTTTAACCGAGGATTTGATGCAGAAGACTAATCTTTCCAAACTGCTTCCCAAACTTATCAGGAAGGGTGGACCGGAGGTCAAGGATCTGACACAAAAGATTCTAGATAATGCTGCAGCCTGTACAAAGCGTAAGCAGGAGAACGAGGCACCAGCGAAGGAAGTGTCCCAGATCAAGGGCCCTTTGGCAAATCAGCCCAAGGGAGACGCTGGATTGAAGCGACCACGTGAGGCGGATGGAAATCTACAAGCTGGCACAAAACGAATGGCAGTCACTACCACCAACTTGAAGGATGCGAGTAAAGTTGCACCTACTGGTAATGGCCCAACGAAGGGAGCCCAAAGTAGTAAGCCAGCTAGCGCTGCAGCCTTGCGCCCTAAGGCCAACGTCGTGGCTCCCAAGCCAACAAGCTTGTTTGGAACCCTAAGTTCAGCATCAAAGAGGCCTGGGACTACAAATGCGGATAGGGCAGCAGCAGCTGCTGCCGCAGCAAAACCAAAGTGCGTATTCACGAGAGTGTTTTCAATTTCATCTATTGACTTTCTTTTTAAGCAGTACCGCCGCCGAAAAGGAGAAGGCACCGGCTCCCAAGCCAGCGTTTTCCTTTGGTGACCTTATGGCCGATTTGAACAAGCCAAAGCAGGCACCAACCCCTAAGCCTACCGAAGATCAGCCACCAGAGACTGAAATTGAGCGGAAGAAGCGACTACGTAAAGAAGAACGCCGTAAACTTCGCGTGTCCTGGAAGCCAGATGATGCGCTTACCGAAGTTCGACTGTTCACCCATGATCCCGATGAAGAACTGGGACCTGGTGATGGGTCATTCCGTGGACTAGGTGACATTAAAGGCGAAGGTAGCGTCCTCAAGCTTCACAAAGATATGGACGAGTTAGAAGAAGACGACCTTGGTGGTATTCGCGAGACTGTGTTCCAAGATGGCTATACTCTTTCAAGTAGGTCGTTCCTTCATATTGACCGGAGTCTATTACTAACCATGGCAGTGATCGACTTCGCTTTCGACGAACCGAAAGATACCAGCTTCATCAAACGAGGTGGTCCACAGCTGCCTACAAGCCCCGAAAGGGAGGCCCAGGAGCTTCGGGAAGCCACTACCCTGATGGTCTTCTACACTTCTCCTGCTGAGATGCCTGATACACCCAAGGAGCCCCCCACCCCTGACCCCGATGAGGTTGTTACAGAGGTAGTGCCTTTCGGAGAGCTGCCCGACAGCGTCAAGGTATGTTTCACTCCCGTGGCAGTGATAGTCAATACATGTACTAATAAGGACAATGCAGGCTCGTCAGGAACGTTATTACGCATACATCAATCCAAAGCCTGCCACTCCTCTACAAACACAGCAAGCTGCTCCCGGAAACATGGACATCTCTAACCTCCTCAAACTCATCCAGACTGTGCCTGGGCAGGCGCAGCCAATTCCAGCACCGCAGGTGACTCAGCCCGGGCCAATGCCCGACCTTGAGAGGACGATCAACATGTTCCGTCAGCAGCAACCTCAGGCCCCGACACCCCAGCCTCCGCAAATTCCCATTCCGCAGCCCCAAGGCCTCGATTTCAACGCGATTTTGAATGTCATGAAGCAAATGCAGACGCCGGCTGCATTCCCCCAGCAAGCACCAGCAATGGCACCCAACCTCGGCGCCATGTTCGCGCAATTCGGTGGGCAGAACCAGCATGCTGGCGCGCCATTCCAGCCACAAGGTCATGAATACGAGGACCCAGAACGCAAGCGAGGCCGCGAGGGCGGTTATTACGACGAGCCCCATAATTCTGAATGGAGCCGCTCGAAGCGGACCAGAGTTGGCGCTAGCGAGCCCAAGCCTGTAAGTACATTGCCAACTCAGATCCTCATCGCCAACAGTTGACTAACTCAAGGAAAATAGTATAAGGTTGGACTTGTACCCTGCAGATTCTGGGCTGAAGGCAAGTGTCGCAAAGGCGACAATTGCACTTTCCGTCATGATCCTCTCTAAACCAAACGCCACACAATTCTTCTCCGACTGATACCCGGGGGGCTTTACCTGCGTCTTCTACAGGGGTATGCCCTTCATCTTCACTGTTCCTCTACGCATGATACTTTGATCCATGCCTTCTCCGTTTCTTTCCCTCCATCTGGCCATGAACATGCATTCTACAGCTAGAAATCCATCTCTGTTGGCGTTCATAGCATGGGTGCCGTTCACACTATCTGGAAGACAGCACATATCTTTCCGTCCTCCGATTCCAGAAAAACCTTTGCATGGTGTTTGAGGCATCGGCGTTTTCTTTCCTCTACTCTTATTCCGCTTTTGTTTCTCGCTTAGCGAGGGGGGTTTCGTACTCCGGGGCTGACATCACTATGGCGCATGGATTAAGAACCATGCGAGAAATGTACGATTAGGATCATCTTTATCTTTCTAGTGCCGAGAATCTATCTTAGCGCATGTTATCCCCCTCTTTGAACGGTAACAGACCAACCAATATCCGACTCCATAGGACCCCATAGAACTCTCTACGCAGCTGCGGCTTCAGTCGGTAGTAACGGACAACATCTACGAGCATGTCATCTCAGAATCTACGAGCAGCCTGCGCTGATCCAGCTTCACTGTTTGACCGTTCAGACGAGGAGCTGATACACTGCGTGCGCAAGGAATTTCCGCAAGAATTCGACCGTCTGCGCCGCGCATGTTCCATCCGAGATGATCCCTGGACGCCTCCAAGCACCCCGTCCCCATCCTCCATCTTGTACCGCAAAGACCACGATGAAGTGAACCGCACATTGGTGGGAATCCTAGCACTCCGCTGGCTTCATACTGGACAGTATGAGACCTTCATCGGTTCGCAGCCATCCGAATGTCAACTGACGCGAGCCTCGTTCGACTGGATCCGTCAATTCTATACCAAAACCATCACAGACGCCGACGAACTCTTCACTCTGATTACCTCACTCGTCATCAAGAATCTAGGCAAAGATCCGCATTTCGCACTCGACTGCCGCGCGAAGACTGGCAATGACATCTCCGCTCTCAACCACGACGCCATCCTTCTCGCGGCATGCAAAGCCAGCCTGGTTCCATCGCTGGCCCAGCTTTCAGAGAAAAACAGGGACGACGTTCTCCGCACAATCGAACTCGGCGCGTCTTTCAACTTCGGCCAACTCGCCCAGGCTGAGAACGCCCCCGTTTCCCTGGGCGGTTTACGCCGCTTGAAGGACCACGAGCACTCCTTCCGGCTCCGCTTCATGCTACAGTTGATTGAAGTCGCTGGTGCGGCGGGCCACATGGACTGGACGTGCGCCAAAAGGCTTACCCAGCCTGTTTTCGAGTCCTATCGCGCTGTCTACGATGCTTGTGAGGGTGTTATTGCGGGTACTCTGAGTGTCCGCAATGCGTATGACATGGTTCTAATTCGACGCGGAGAGGCTCTCCGACAGGATGGGGTGCGATTGTTCAATATCGAGAAGAATCCGGATGATCGGGCGTTGATGCGGTTGTTCTGTATGGGCAATGTGACTACGAACGACAAGGCGCTTTTGTATGAAGATGCCTGGCGTGCTTTGGAGGACCCGGTTAGAGAGTCTCTCAGGGATGCTCTTAACCTCGACGGTAAGAGGGGCGAGCCTGCTGTCCAGCCGACATATATGCCTGCTCTGCTTGACCGTACGCCGGATGTGGATTACTTGGTCCGTACCCTCTGCTACCTTGCTCGGGTTATGAATGCTAGGGATGTCGAGGATCCTTCGGCTTTGGTTATAGAGCGGAGTATGTATGATGTTTTGGAGCAGGTTGTTGACAGTAAGGAGTTTCGGAATGACCCGTCCTTGTTGGAGAAGGTCGATGTGCCTGATGGTGTGGTTGTTTTGAACACAGCCATGGTTTAATGCCCTATTGCAGCTAACCGTTGTTTTACCAATTTGACCTACGAATCTACTGCTTTCTTTTCGTCCTCTCTCTCTTTGATCCTACCTAGCATCCATAATAGACTACTGGATAATGCCTGGCACTCGAGACCTTTGCCTTTCCGTATTAGTGCTCACCTCTTGCCGCTTTATGATCACTGAGTAAAACTGAGCACGTCCTGAGTTAGTTATGGCACCACACTGTCCACACTCCACACGTTCTAGTTAGTGAAGAGCGAGAAACGCGAACCTGTCTGCGAACCAGGTCCGCCACTGGGAGTAGTGGGATTACAGGAGTGGTCTAGAAGAGGAGAAGTGTGTCTGTGTCTCTATCCATGCGATGAAGCCTTTTATATCACAAATGCCGAATAATCCGCACACCGCTCATTTCACCACGATGGTGCAGTTCTCCCACTACATTAGTTACTACCTGGCATAAGCACAGGCGGTGGGGAGTTATTATGCCGGGTAGTCAACCGAGAGCCAGTCCATTCCCTGTTATATCTCTCTTCTACCTCCCTGCACCCAAGTATTCGACCATGTCTGCTCATCGAACTCCCGAACTGGAACCCATCAGTCGGGTTGCACCTTCAATTCCATCAAAGACGCTCTTGATGGCCCGCATCTCACCCGAACGTGGCGAGCCAGAGTTGCAAGAATTCCTTGATCGCGCTGTCCGTGATGGTTATGATATCAATGATTACTCCGAGGTCATGATTGATGCTATCAGGTCAAGGAAGATGTATCTCGTGAAGGCGCTACTCCGATGTAATATGCCTGTATCGTCAATCTATGTACTGGAAGCTGTCAAGAATGTGTCGAAAGATACCCTGACACCATTCTTGACAGCATTCTTCGAGAACGGCTGGGATATCAATGCGCCAATTAGTGGCAGGGACCCCCCTGTTCTTGCGTGAGAAGACCCCATCATTATTCTAAAACTTCCCAGCTAACTAACATTTCCATTTTAGCAAGGTTGTCTGGAACCTGGATATGACAATATGGCTCCTTGATCGTGGCGCAGATCCGAATGAGCGATGTGATTTTGATTGTACGCCGCTCTCCTATGCCGTCAGAGAGGCCGATTTGCCAACCATTGATCTTCTCCTTCGCCGTGGTGGTGATGTCAGAATAGGCCAGCTTCTGCATAATGCGATGTACAGACTGTCCGGAGAGTCCGGGGACATCCTCAAAATTGTCGAAATGCTCGTTGATCGGGGTGCTTCTCTCAATTCCCTTATGTATCAAGACCATCAATATTCTTGGACCATGTTTCCCTTTATGAGGGAAACTCCCCTGCACATCGCAGTGGCTTACAATAGACATGACGTTATTCGTTATCTGATCCACAAAGGTGCAAATGTGGAAATTGAAAACTACCAGGGCGAAACAGTCGTGCAATCCGCCCTACATGAAGCCACTAAAAGAGTGATCTTGCAAGAGCTTTGAGAAGAGGGAGTCACACGCATCTTTATGATACGCCCTCTAGGAAAATATTCAACCAGGGAATTGATTGTTACCCCCCCCCCAGATAATTTTACTCCTCCCTCAAGTGAAACACTCAGAGAACACTATCAGGAGCCCAGCCATCGGGGGTTTCACGCATATAAAATTCCACATCCTGATCGGGGTCCGCAGTATTCTCCAAGCTCACGCCCTCTACCCAGTCAGCAATCTGTTGGTACACCCAAGCTGCCCTGCCGCGGATTCTGAAGGCATGTGGAGGGATTTCCTCGGGACGCAGATAACCAGCCTTTGGGTATTTCTGTTTCTCAATCAACGTTGATCCCCAAGAGAGGGTGTCCTTACAATGCGGGCAGGTTTGCCAAGCCGAATCCAAGACCCAACAAGGGCGCGGAATTGTTGGGTTTTTGTAAGAGGAGAATTGGGATCCCATTTTTCACGCTGAAGACTACATGTAGGTAAATAATAGGCACATAGTTAGGGCACTGGGATGGGAAGGATATCCACAGGTGGGATTATGAGGGGGATTTACCGCCCTCTCTGGACTACCTGTCACTCAGGTCAGAAACACAACGTTGAACCCACGTGAAGCAACCAAGTGACTGGCATTCAACTTCTACGACTTCGTCTTGTAGCGTCTTGGATGATATACAGCGAGTCACTTTAGGAAAACGCTCCAAGATATGGCCTCAAGTTGCTCAACTGCAAGCAATGCCGATTTAGCTGAATGCAACCACCTGATAATTGTCTGCTGTCATGCGATATACACGGGAGGGAAACGGCTCGGGTTCTCAGAGGATGAATGGTCGGAAATAACATGTCTATACATATAGATCGCCAGCTCACATGAGTGCAGGATCATCGAGCCCTTCCAGAAAGGAGAAACGCCAACATTCATCGAACATATCATAGCTGGATTGAAAGCCCTAGCAGGAGACTCTAAGAGCTTGCTTGTGTTTTCTGGGTAAGCCCTTCTCATAGTAACTAACTATGCTCACCGATTACCCACGTTAACCCACCACTAGAGGGGCGACTAAGAAGCCCAGAACTGAGCTCAGTGAGGGTCAATCGTACCTTGTGAGAAGACCTCCCCTATGACCCGATTTAGAAAAACTTCTCACAATATTCAGAACTTGGCCCGAGAGAATAATTATTTCCAACACATGTCAGACATGGCCGCAATTGACCCATCAAGAGTCGTTGCAGAAACTAGCGCCACGGATTCATATCAGAATCTTCTGTTTTCACTCATTCAGTTCCGGATACATACTGGTGTCTATCCACAACGAGTTACGGTCGTCACGCACGAGTTCAAGCGCGCTCGTTTTATGCAGTGCCACTTCCCGGCTGTGGGACTTGTACCTATTGGTTTGGAGGGAGGCTATACGCACAAAGCTGCGGTTATCGGTATCAACCCGCCGGAGGAGATTACCCCACTGGAGACATTAGTTCGAGGCGAGGCATTGAATGGGATTGGGCTTTGGAGACAAGATATCTATGGTGTAAACCGGGATTTGGCGAGCAAGAGGGTGAAACGAGGCTGGAGCTCTGGAATGGAAGAGGCCCTGTTCTCTGATTTGGGGCTGGAGGATGTGGTCTTGCATTTTCTCCGATATGATGGAGGTGATCATTGCAACAAGTGGTTCCCGAAGCTGGAGGATTTGCCTTGGGCTTATACTGGACGTGATACAACAAACAAGCCTTGATTTAGGTTGGATACAATCAGTATTTCTTGCATATCAAATGTATTATGTGAGACCTTGATCCTTCCCCAAACGCCAGTCCATGTGATCTTTCGTGTCTGGTCGTAAAATGATACCGAGGGCCTAATCTGCCAGCCTGTAGCTAACCAAAGTTCCCACTCGGTGGTTGTTCGTGCTGAAGCTTCTTAACTGAACCTTCTCTGCATTCTTGATCTCCTTGGCATCGCTGTCACCCCATTCTACGGGCACATCTGAATCAGCGTCGGCATAGACAAGAACATTGAATGTGCAGTCGCCGTCAAGGACGGGGAGGAATGTGACAGAGGCGGTAATCTGGCGGAAGATGGCTTGGATTTCCTCCTGGATTTGCTTCTCTGTCTTCTCAACAGGTTCGGCAGGCTGCGTGTTTGCATCTCTACAAGAAGACGACTCGTTAGTAGAGTGATCAGAGGGAACCCTAGATTGAGACTTACCCCGAGGCACTGTTCTCTTTGTCGCCAGATTTTTGGGCGCTCCTGCTCCTCGATTGCTTGCCGAAGATTTCAACCTATTCCACCCATGATGCAATTAGCCTTTGACCCGGACGAGGAAAAGAATCGAGATCCTGTATGCATACGTCGAACTGCCACCTTTCCACATGTTCACCGGTCTCCTTGTCTGTGATGACCACCACGAGCTTAGATATTTTCCCTCCTTGCATCCACTCTCTCAACTGCGACATGATCTTCTTGATATAGGCTTTGACCTGGTCGTCGGCCGAAACTGTTCTGAGGTTAGACGAGTTGATGTTGATTCCGGGGAACGTGATCCACAAACCCAGCATGTTGAGGCCATATTTCTTGATACTGTTGCCAATCAGCTTATTTCACGGTGCATAGAGTTGGAACAGTACTCACGCTGTGAAATCCTCAGGAGGATAGACCCCACGTTGGAACCTAAAGATCCAATTCGATAAGCCAAGGTCTTGGACTGGGAGCCAATTGCGACTTACAGGATCGAATTGATCGAGTATTCAAACTGAGACTATTAGTATTTCAATGTTGCCGGTGCAAGCGAAGGCGACTCACGAATTCGGAGACAAGCTTGGCCGATCCTGTTATCTTGTGAGCTCAATACCGCCACGTTGAGTAGACAGGACTGACCTTTGATGGATAACTTGTGCACCTTAGACTTGTCCTTCGTTTCCGGCATGATGAGCTGATAGTAGCAAGCCCGAGTCTTGTTGAGAAAGAATGATCGGAAGAGGTAGAAGAGGTTTGTTTATCTCGACAGGTCACCGCAGCAATAAGCCGTCACCGCCCGCGCATCCGTTTTTTCTCCGCAAATCGTAACGGGCCACCAGCACTTGACGCGCTAAATCAATTGATTCACGGACAACTTCGCTGTGACCGACTGCATACCATCAGCCCCTCCTATGCCACCGCAGAAGTCCCAATGCGAGGATGTCTGCAGCTAGGCCGATGGCTGAGCGCAGCGCCGAGATGCCAGGCCGCTAACCTCCGACCATCAACTTGCCTCTCTTCTTTGTACAGATTGCAGAGGTCCTTCTCTAATACTACGAGATACCATGGACGTTCGAAGACGACGCCACTCAAGTTGGATGTAGAGCTTGAGAAAAGAATTTCCGCGATCCCAATCGAACGTTTCCGCAATTTCTGCATCGTCGCACATGTCGACCATGGCAAGAGTACGCTTTCCGACCGATTACTCGAATTGACGGGCACCATTCAGGCGGGAACAAACAAGCAAGTGTTAGACAAACTCGATGTCGAGCGCGAGCGAGGAATCACGGTCAAGGCGCAGACCTGTACCATGATCTATAACTACAAAGGCGAGGACTATCTGTTGCATTTGGTCGATACTCCTGGCCATGTGGACTTCCGTGCAGAGGTGTCGCGGAGTTATGCCAGCTGTGGTGGAGCAATTCTCTTGGTTGATGCTAGCCAAGGTGTTCAGGCGCAGACAGTCGCGAATTTCTACCTGGCATTTGCGCAAGGCCTCGAACTCATCCCCATTCTCAACAAGGTCGATCTCCCCTCATCTGACCCAGAGCGGGCTTTGAAGCAGATACAGACCACATTTGAGATCGACACAGAGAATGCAGTGATGGTCTCGGCTAAGACAGGGTTGAATGTCCCGGCTGTGCTGCCCACTGTTGTCGAGAAGATCCCTGCGTACGTCTGCCCGGTGGCTAAGTGAAATGTGTATCTTTGCTGACTGTATATTAGACCCATCGGCGATCATACGAAGCCTCTACGTATGCTACTCGTGGACTCCTGGTACGACACCTATAAGGGCGTGATCCTGCTGGTTCGTGTTTTCGATGGCGAGGTGCGGGCGGGCCAGCAACTTATATCCTTCGTGACCGGTCTCAAATATTATGTCGGCGAGGTCGGCATCATGTATCCGACTGAAACCGCGCAGACCGTTCTTCGTGCAGGTCAGGTTGGGTACATTTACTTCAACCCAGGCATGAAGCGGAGTAAGGAGGCCAAGATTGGAGACACATTCACAACGGTTGGCTCAGAAAAGCTTGTCCAGCCTCTGCCTGGGTTTGAAGAGCCCAAATCGATGGTTTTCGTTGCTGTATACCCAGTCAATGCGGATCATTTCGAGCACTTGGAGGACAGCATCAACCAGCTGATTCTGAACGATCGAAGCATCACAGTACAGAAAGAGTCTTCTGATGCCCTCGGTGCCGGTTTCCGTATGGGTTTCTTAGGAACCCTTCACTGCTCCGTTTTTGAAGATCGTCTACGACAGGAGCACGGTGCCAGTATCATTATTACACCACCCTCTGTTCCGGTCAAAGTCATCTGGAAAGATGGCACAGAAGAAATCATCACCAACCCCGCTAAATTCCCCGATGACGACAGAGTACGCCTCAAACTTGCCGAGGTTCAAGAGCCATTTGTCTTGGTCACCTTAACATTCCCAGAGGAATATTTGGGAAAAGTGATTGAGCTCTGCGAGGCCAACCGCGGCGAGCAACAAAGCATCGAATATTTCACTGCGACTCAAGTCATCATGAAATACGAATTGCCCCTGGCGCATCTAGTCGATGATTTCTTCGGAAAGCTGAAAGGAGGCACCAAGGGCTACGCCAGCCTGGACTACGAAGAATCCGCATGGCGAGCTGGCAACATTGTCAAACTGCAACTCTTGGTCAACAAAGAGCCCGTGGATGCTGTCGCACGAATCATGCACTTGAGCCAGGTGGACCGACAGGGAAGAATATGGGTTACCAAGTTCAAGGAGCATGTCGACCGACAACTTTTCGAGATCATCATCCAGGCAGCTGTTGGAAAGAAGATTGTTGCCCGTGAGACTATCAAGCCATACCGAAAGGATGTTCTAGCAAAGCTGCATGCTAGTGATGTAAGTCGTCGACGAAAGCTGCTCGAAAAGCAGAAGGAAGGCCGCAAGAGATTGCGAGCTGTTGGAAATGTGGTGATTGAGCACAAGGCTTTCCAAGCATTCTTGGCGAAATAAACATTAAATTAGCGATACAATGTACAACACTCAATGACCCTTTTCTCATGTATTAGGCGTGTACTGTCTAGATATCCCGTCGAGTGCGCATACAAAGCTGTGACCCGCTGTCGGCGGTAAGAGCTTCGCCGGCAGAAAAAAAAGTTCATGTCAAACCCCGCGCATGTCACTTCTTCCTTCGCTCAACCTCACTGCAATTACTGCCGTTTCAACGGTCTCATTCATTATTGTGTCTTGAGTTGAGATCTAATACATTACAAGCCCACGGCGGATTATTTCTTGAGCGCCAAATTCTTGTCCTTGGCGGTTGACGTCCGCATCTGCCGATCGCATCACCTTGTCACCCTGCCATGCTTTGCAACTGACACCGGCCATGCAGGCTCCAGAGGGTGTGCAGATCGACCTGGGCAAGGCCCAGGTCATCGACAGTGTCCCCAAGGTGATCAAAGAAGTGAAGTTTGGTGTCTTGTACGTTGGCCACCCCCAATGTGCTTATCGCAACAGTTTGTCGCAGACTTGACCACTAACACAGGATTGTTTTACTAGATCGACTAATGACATTGTCGGCCAAGCGGTGGTGGAGGTTTCCGATCGAAAGTTTTTCGAGCTGGATCAGTCCCGATCTGTTGTCGCGAATGGACCTCTTGACCAGCGCATGGGAATTTCCAACAAAACTGACCTTTGCGCAACATGCGGAAACAACCTCAAAGACTGCAACGGTCACTTCGGCCATGTGAAGCTGGTTCTGCCGTCCTTCCACGTCGGTTACTTCAAGCGCGTCATTGGGATCCTTCAGGAGATTTGCAAGGAATGTTCGAACATTTTGCTACCCGAAGCTGAGCGCCGCTCCTTCCTCCGGGACATGCGCCGCCCGGGCCTCGATAACCTGCGACGGACACAGATCGCGAAGCGCATCAACGACCGGTGCCGGAAAACTCGTGAATGTCCATACTGCGGAGCGATCAATGGTGTTGTGAAGAAGACCGGCACCAGTGCCCTGAAGATCACTCATGACAAATTCCGTGCTTTCAATGTCTCGACTTCTGTGAAGAAGCAAGCGCCGATCAGCAAGGATGTTTTCGACAACTCTTTCCTTGAGGCCAGAAGCGCGAATCCAGAGGTCGAAAAACATTTCAAGAAGGCGCAGGATGATATGAACCCCCTTCGTGTTCTTAATCTGTTCAAGAGAATGTCCGACTCGGACTGTGAATTGATTGGCATGAACCCAAAGGAGGCTCGTCCGGAGATGTTCCTGTGGCAGTTCATTCCCGCTCCACCGGTTTGCATTCGACCTTCAGTAGGACAAGATGGTGCGTCTACTGAAGATGACTTGACTGCCAAGTTGGGCGATATTGTGCAAAGCAACATCAACCTAAAAAATGCTCTGCTTAAGGGTGCGCCAGTTCAGACAATCATGGAGTGCTGGGACTACATGCAGCTTCAAATTGCTGTCTACATCAATAGTGACGTGCCCGGTCTCAACAAAGCCGACCTCGGAAAACCGATTCGGGGTTTCGTCCAACGCTTGAAGGGTAAGCAGGGTCGTTTTCGAGGTAATCTGTCAGGAAAGCGTGTCGACTTCTCTGGTCGTACTGTCATTTCACCCGACCCAAACTTGCGAGTCGATGAGGTTGCGGTTCCGGAACTGGTCGCAAAGAACATGACTTATCCTGAACTTGTGACCAGATACAACAAGGAGAAGCTGAGGCAACGTGTCTGCAATGGCGCCAACAAATGGCCTGGAGCGAACTTGGTCATCAAGAAAGGATCCGGCTTCCGACAGATGTTGAAATACGGCAACCTCGAGCAAATGGCTAATCAGCTGGAAGAAGGTGATCTGGTTGAGCGGCATATTGAAGACGGCGACATTGTGCTGTTCAACCGACAGCCGTCCCTGCACAAACTTAGTATCCTATCTCACTTTGCCAAGGTTCGACCTCATAGGACCTTCCGACTGAACGAGTGTGTCTGTAACCCCTACAACGCCGATTTCGACGGAGATGAGATGAATCTACACGTGCCACAGACAGAAGAAGCCAGGGCAGAGGCGATGGAGCTAATGGGCGTGAAGAACAACCTTGCCACACCCAAAAACGGAGAGCCCATCATTTCCGCCATTCAAGATTTCATCAGTGCCGCCTACGTACTGAGTAGCAAAGACAACTTCTTCAATCGCGCTGCATTCTCACAGATCTGCCTTTACATGCTTGGTCCTGAAACAAGATTCGACCTTCCACCACCTTCAGTCCTGAAGCCCCAGATGCTTTGGACTGGCAAACAAGTTTTCAACATTCTCATGCACCCCAACAAAGATGATCCCGTGCTGGTCAACTTGGATGCTGCATGCCGTGAGTTCAAGATGCCAAAGGATGGTCGTCCCAAGGACTTAGATCCCAATGATGGTTGGCTCGTTATCCGCAACTCGGAGGTCATGTGTGGCGTGATGGATAAATCTACGATTGGTTCCGGAAAGAAAGACAATGTTTTCTACATCATGCTCAGAGATTATGGACCTCCTGCTGCCGCAGAGGGCATGAATCGTTTATCCAAACTTTCGGCACGATGGTTTACCAACATCGGCTTTTCCATTGGCATCGGAGATGTTTACCCCAGCGCAGGGCTCGTTCAATCAAAGAACGATCTTGTGGAGGCAGCTTACGCCAAGTGTGACGAAGTCATTGCTAAATACAAGGCTGGGACTCTGGAGAAGTACCCTGGATGTGACGAATTGCAGACCATGGAGAACCAGATTTCTGGTATTCTCAGTAAGGTCCGTCAACAAGCTGGTGACGAGTGTATTCAACAGCTTAGCAAGTACAACTCGCCCCTGATCATGGCTACGTCTGGATCCAAGGGTTCCAGTATCAACGTGTCCCAGATGGTTGCTCTTGTGGGTCAACAAATTATCGGCGGTCAGCGTGTCCAGGATGGATTCCAGGATCGTACGCTACCTCATTTCCCGAAGAACGCACGACAGCCTCCGTCCAAGGGTTTCGTGCGCAACAGTTTCTTCTCCGGTCTCGAACCACAAGAGTTCATTTTCCACGCCATGTCCGGTCGTGAAGGTCTAGTCGATACCGCCGTTAAGACCGCCGAGACTGGATACATGTCTCGTCGTTTGATGAAATCTCTTGAGGATTTGTCGTCTATGTATGATGACACGGTCCGCAACTCGTCCGCCGCCATCGTCCAGTTCCAGTATGGCGATGACAAGCTGGACCCGGTGGATATGGAGGGCAAGGCCAAGCCTGTCCATTTCGACCGAACTTTTATTCACTCGGAATCCACGACATATGACAATGACGAGCGAAGCTTGTTGCCGGCTGAGATCATGGAGGTTTGCGAAGAAATGCTCTCAAAGGAACGTGCCAAGCTTCGGCGTAAGGACTTGCTCGGCAATGACCTGGAGTACATGGATCGCAGTGACCATGGTATCGATCAGCTCGAGAGCGCGCGTGATTTCCTTGACTCTATCCAAGAATACGTGCAAAACAGAGCCGACAAGCTGACTTCTCGTGGGGGTGATATTGATCCTTCCGATCAGCGGAGCCGAAAGGCTTTGGACCACACGGGAAAGCTGACAGAAACCACGCTGAGGGCCTTCATCACTGCCTGTCTGCTCAAATACAAAAAGGCCCAGGTTGAGCCCGGTCATGCCGTCGGTGCCGTCGGTGCCCAATCCATCGGTGAGCCAGGAACACAGATGACACTGAAAACTTTCCATTTCGCCGGTGTTGCTGGAATGAGTATCACACAGGGTGTTCCTCGTATCAAGGAAATTATCAACGCCTCGAAGGAGATCAGTACTCCTGTCGTGTCTTGCGAACTGGTCAATAAAGAAAGCACCATCGCTGCCCGCATTGTCAAAGGACGCATTGAGAAGACTTTCCTCCAAGACGTTATTCACTCTATCACGGAGTACTGGTCCCCCTCTGATGCATATCTGAAGGTTGTTTTGAATTGGAAGACAATTGAAGATCTGGCACTGGAAATCACTACGCCACAGATTGTCGAAGCGATCAAGACTAGCAAGCGCTTCAAGGGAACCGACCTCAAATTCTCATGCAAACAGGCTTCAATCAAAGTGCACATGGATCTCGATCCGGCTAGCAAGTCATCTCTTTCCAAGACGGAGATTGCCGCCACCAGCGCCGATCCCTTCCTGCGCCTGAAGCACTTGAAACGTCTCCTTCCTCAGATTCAGATCCTGGGTCATCCACGTGCCACCCGTGCTATCATCCGCACAGACGAAACTTCTACCACCAACACTTTGCTCGTGGAAGGCTACGGGTTGAAAGAGTGCATGACTACGATGGGTGTGGACGGTCTTCGAACCCGCACTAACAACATCATGGAAGCCAGAGATGTTCTCGGCATTGAAGCCGCTCGAACTACGGTTGCTGTGGAAATCAGCGAAGTCATGAAGGACATGGACATCGATCCTCGTCACATGCAACTTCTGGCAGACGTGATGACGTACAAGGGCGAAGTACTGGGTATCACTCGTTTCGGTCTCGCCAAGATGCGTGACTCGGTGCTTCAGCTTGCTTCGTTCGAGAGGACCTCTGATCACCTTTTCGATGCGGGTGGTGCTGGTCGCACCGATCTCATCGAGGGTGTTTCGGAATGTATCATCATGGGCAAGACCGTGTCACTCGGTACAGGCGCTATGGAGGTGGTTCGCAAACTTAACTTCTACAAGGGCGAGATTGGACCGCGGAAGACGGTCTTTGAAGATGCCTGGACTGAACACTGCGACGAACCACTGGTTCGGAGGCCTAAGCAGAGGGTCCGGTAGAGTGTATGATCTGTGATCGGTGACGTGCATTGAATATAGGCGTTAAGCATTTGGCCTGGACAGGGCTTGTAACATGTACTTACCAGACCACTGGTGATTCTATGAGCGATGGTTATTTCCAATATGATGAATGAATTCCATGAATTCTCTTCATTTATCTCGTATGTACAATGACTTAGGGCTGGACCCAACGCATGACTGCTCTCCCTCTCCAACAAATCCAGCAAATCCACCTATCCCAGCATCCCCACTGGTCCAAAATAATAAGAGGGATGGCGCGCATTAATTTCCAACTCGACTATAGAAAATTCCAGGTACAAGCTTCTAGGTTATATTCAAATCAAGTCGCCTTACACAGAACACAAACTTCACTTTCCCCTCGAACGGAATGTCTCGGATTCCCTCGAGAAGGAATCTAACGTCAAGTACCTATATTTCTCGAGAAATTCAATCTGTTCTTTGCAACTGCAGTGCACCGAAAAAAGAAGTTCAGAAATACGAACTTGGAGACTTACATTTCCGTGAACCGTCTGGGGAAGGGTTCATCTGGGGAAGACAAGTCACCCCCCCCGCGAACTACTTTCTCCTTCCTCTCCTTCATCCACTCATAACCCATGTCCGAAGTGACCAGGGAGGTGACTATCCTCCAATCAGCATCGTGAAACCCCTGAGGCAGCCATGGGTGTGAACCTTTGGCCATCACCAGTTCTTTGTTGCTCTTCGCCCTTTGCCTTATCTGGCTACGCCACATCCATAAGAACTCGGTGATTTTCATGACTCTTTGTCTCCAGTGGGCAGTGAACGCCCAAGGGTATTGGTTTTTCTAAATAATATCCGTGGGTCGCACTTGATCTTCCACATCTCCCCCCCAACTATCTCCCCGACCTCCCCGAAAAGACCCCCTCTCGTTGCACTTTAGAAGAAATGGACTTCAACGAGTCCAGACTCGCTAAGAAGCGTGAGACACGAACCCGAGCTCCGACAGCCTGTCAGACCTGTCGGTTGCGAAAGACTCGATGTGACAATGCCAGGCCAACCTGTAGCTACTGTGCCTTGCAGGGGGTCGAGTGCAACTATCCCGAAACCTCACCACAGCAGAACCAGTAAGATAACCCCAAATCCAAAAGAAAATCAACGGAAGACAAAATAAGCATTAACGTCTTTTACATAGAGCGGGCTTTGATCCCGCGCATCCATCCAGCCATGAACTTCTTCAGCGACTGAACCATATCACCGGTCTGTTGGAGGAGATCAAGTCCGAAGGCTCCACCAACTCCTCAGCTCGCTCGCTCAGAGAGTCCTTTTTCGAGTTGAACACACATAATAATACTAGCCCCATGGCTGATTCCTTGTCGAGCAGCCATACGCATGGCAGCAGCACCGCTAGTTTCGATGACCGGGGAGGACCCGAGCATGATCCCCGGATTTTATACATGGGTAGTTCGGGGGAATCTATGCTCCGATGGCCTATCTTCAATAGGGTTATCACCGAAGCTGAAAAACATATTCGATCGTTCCTGCTTGATTCGCTGGACAATCAACTCCCCAGTTTACCAACACCCCGGCCGGTGGGGATCGGAGGTTTTGTCGATGAGATCCCTAGACTGTGTAAGAAGTACTTTTTGCTATGTCACCGGAGAAACCCGATCGTCGATCTCGAGAATCTAGACCGCTATGCCAAAGAGGTCACTGTGCAGGGTCTTGGATGGGACGGCCCGTCGTGTCAAGTGGTAGGTCAAGCCTGGGAATTTGGCTTAAAACAAGTCTCACCCTTACTGAATCCCGGTCTTGCTTAGCTCCTGGCATGCGCCTTGGCTGCCTGTACCTCCTCCAATTTTGTTCCTCTGGCAGATGATGCCCCCGGAAACCTCGATGCGGTTCAAGCACCAGCCATGCCCGACGCCAATCTCGATTTGGCGGAGACCTACTTCCATGCTGCAAAGCAGAGATTCGGGTTTCTGCACACTTCTCCCACGGATATTCAGTGCTTCCTTCTTGCTGGGAGTTACCACAGACATGCCATTCGCCCTCTACAGGCCTGGTTTTGTTATCAGCAGGCAGCTTGCAGACTAGAAGTTCGTCTGCGGTCTCTGTGTAGAGAGCAATGGACCGCTGATGATAACTACCATAATCTGGAGTCACGACTATACTGGTCATGTATTCAGGTAGAACAGTAAGTGTTGTACTGTGCTGGGGATTGACCGGTCTAACTGACTGTCAACAGTGAGATGCAAGCCGAGCTTCCTCTTTGGGGTAGTGGGCTTGAAAGCCTGGGCTATTCAGATCCCTTCCCCAAATTCAACCGCAGGGCTGCTCCCGCCTCATACGATGAGATGGAAGAAGATCAGGATTTCTCGGTCAAGCCCGCATTTGAACTAGACGGTACCGAAGAGGAGAGAGGCTGGAAGTTCTACATCGCATCTATCTGCAACCGCCGCACCATCAATGACCTAACGTGTGACATGTGGCGCCAAGGGGAAAAGGCGTGGGCTAAAGACATTCCTGGTCTTCTTAACAAGATATTAGGGGCCGAGAATGTTATAACATCATGGTACAAGCTTTCCCCAAACATGGTAAAGATATACCCCGAGCTTCCCACTGACTCTCCCAGGTACCGAATCTCCCTTGCCGGGATCATGTCTCGGAAAGACAACCCAGACCTCCGATTCTTCTTCCGCGGCCGTTATCACATGGCACTGGAGAGAACCTACCGACCCGCTTTCTACATGGCAATGCACTTCCAGAGCATGCCGACCTTCATCAAGAACAACCACCAAGTCTGGGCAGAGGTGTTCAGCCTCTCCCAAAAGGCTATCGACAACTGTGTCCTCCTGATCCCAAACTACTTCTATCAGTTCCGGCACGAGTGGCTTTGGAACGTTATCCGCGCCAGCTTCGCTTGCGCTCTGCATATTATCGCTGTCGTCTTGTATCAGCTTGAAGCGTCGCGGGATCCGAATACTTGGCAGCTGCGTGTGCCGCCGAATTGGCCGGCTTTGGTAAGGATGTCGATTCGTACTATGAAGCTTTGGGCAAGAGAGTCGATTGATCTAGAGGTTATGAGGTCTACTCTGGAGAGGATGTATCAGGGGACTTGTCGATTGGCTAATGTGCGTCCGGATCTTCATTTGCTTTGATCTGTTTGTATATGGGAGCTGCTTGGGGTAGGAAATAATTGAACTGAACAGGTATATAGGCCTCAATATAGGCCTCAATGGGACATAAACTGTTTTTTTTCTTTGAAGATAATTCCATAGCAACTGATGTGAAAAGGAATGACTCGTCCACGTGAAGGTAGAGCTATCCCTACTCCGAGCCCCACCTCCAACTTTTCCTTCAACTCCCAACACACTCTCTCCTCTCTCCTTTACACTCCAACCAAACCACCCCAATTCCTCACAATGGGAGAATATCACCCCCCACCCCTTCCCTCCCCCTTCAACAACACATCCCCACCCCCAACCCTCCTCACCCAAGGCGCCGAAGCCCACCTCTACAAAACCACCTCCCTGGACCCCTCCATTCCCGCCGCCCTCAAAATCCGCCCCTCAAAACCCTACCGCCACCCAACCCTCGACCGGCGCCTGACCCGCCAACGCATAATCCAAGAAGCGCGCTGTCTGGCGAAACTCGTCCGCGAAGGCGTTTCCGTCCCCGCCCTCCTCGCCATCGACTGGGCTGGCCATGGTGGGGAAGAAGGCGGCTGGGGCGGCGCCTGGCTGATGATGGAGTGGATTGAGGGGTCTGTTGTGCGTGTTGTGCTGGAGAAATGGGAGGCCTGGATGAAGGATCAGACTTTGGATGCGGCAAGTGTTGAGAAAGAAGAGAAGCGTGTTCGTGGCTTGTTGAGGCAGATGGGTGCTGCTATTGGTGTGCTTCATAAGGCTGGTGTTGTGCATGGGGATTTGACTACGAGTAATCTTATGCTTAGGCCGTTTGGGACGGAGGTTGTGGAGGATGATGGTAATCCGTCTATGGAAGGGGATGTTGTGTTGATTGATTTTGGGCTCGCTTCGCAGAGTAGCCAGGATGAGGATCGGGCGGTGGATTTGTATGTGTTGGAAAGGGCGATTGGGAGTACGCATCCGCGCTCGGAGCCGATGTTTGAAGAGCTTATCTTGGGTTACCGGAATAGCTACAAGGGAGCTGTTTCGGCGCTGAAGAGGTTGGAGGATGTGCGGATGAGAGGGCGGAAGAGGAGCATGCTTGGTTAACACCTTCATTTGGGTTATGCATATATTTGCGCATCGGCTATGATCGATTTTTAAAGCAAAAGGAAAAACGCCAACGCTTGTCACGACAAATCCTTATTGGGACGCAAGAAGCATATCATCGACTCTTGACACACGTGCCCACATCAGCCAATGCGAAATACCCCTTGTTCTCGACCACTCCGCGATCCTTGACTACTGCCGTGTACTTGACCACCCACTGCGGCTCGACATCTCCCTGGATGCCGTCGTTAGCCGTGGGCGACGAGGCCAAGATCCCCGCACCCGCCGGACCCAGCAGTTCCCGCGTCGTGCCGACAGGCAGAATATCATGACAGTCGTTATGGGTGAGGAGTTGAATCTGCTCTTCCTTCGCATAGAGAATCAAATTCTTGGGAACCACACAACAATCCTTCAAATTGATCTGATCCACCGAGGGCTTGACCTTGGTGTGCGGCAGGAACCGCGCCAAACGTTCGGCGCCAAACTCAGCCACCCCCAGCTGCGCAATCATTCCCTGCTTATGCAGCGATTCCAGTGTCCGCCATGTCTGCACGATGCTGTCGAAATCGTCCTCCCCGGTACTCGTGCTGTCTTCCTCTTCGCTGTCGTCGTCGGCGTCGAATAGGATCCCCGGGAACGATACTATCAGTAGATCGATAGACTTGATGTGTAGCTCCTTCAATACCAGATCAATTGCTTCCCGCGTGTGTTCGCATCGTCTTGATACCGGGATCCCCGGTAGGTAGAATAGCTTTACTGTGATATCGTATTGATCGCGCTCTTCTGCCAATCCGGGCTGTGAGAAGTCCAGCGCGGGGATATAGAGGCCGTCTTCGGTCTGTAGTGTCCATGAGGGATGCGCGGTTGAGTGTCCATTTGACTTGGTGCCGTTGGGGGAGGAGTCAGTTTGTTGCGAGGCGAGGAAATTCGATCGGAGCGAGTTGATCAGTTCGACGTTGGATTTTTGTGTCAGAGGCTGGCGGATGACGGATTGTCGTCCGGCCTGCATGATATTCCTACGGAGGTTAGTGGTTGGAGTCGGTTGGATTGGACATGCCACTTACGAACTGGATAGAATCAACTTCATTATGAATGAATGGTATTAGAAGATATCAAGAGAAGAAAAAAAAAAGTGAATGGAAAGTTGAAGTTTACCCCCGCGGAAGATGAGCCCCCTCCTGACAAATCCATTCCCCTCCGCTCTCACTACACTATCTAGTCTACTCTCTCTACTCTACACTCTACACATAATACTCTCAACTTCAATCCGAATCAACAGTCGGATCCCAATCCGTGGGCGAATACTCTCCAGTCTGCAACAACTTCATATCCTCCTCGTCCAACTCAAAGTCAAACACCTCAACATTTTCCCGAATGCGCTGAGGCGTGACAGACTTAGGCAACGGGACAAATCCCTACAGCCACATTAGAATCCTCTCATACACTATTACTTCTACAAGAGAGAACATACCATCTGCAAACTCCACCTTATCATCACCTGCGCCGGTGTCTTCCCATACTTCTTCCCAATAGAGACCAAAACCGGCTCACGCAGGCGACTCCCATGCGCAAGTGGCGAGTACGCCTCGACAATAATATTCCGCTTCTGTAACCACTCCACGATATCGGAGTGGTCTAGCCACGGGTGCAGCTCGTACTGACCGACGTCTATTTGGCCGCCGCCGCCGGATTGGATGTAAGACTCCAGTTCTTCGAGGTGGTGGATTCCATAGTTTGATACGCCGATTGCTTTTGTCTGTCCGGCTTTTTGGGCTTCGACTAATGCATCCCAGGAGCCTAGACGGGCTTCTTTGCCGCCGTAGGGGGCGTGGATGAGGATGCTGTTTTCGTCAGTTTAGTTGGGGTTTTATGTCGGATGTTTTTGTAAGATTACGCTTATGCTTACAGGTCGAAGTATTCTTGCGAGGCTTCGCGTAGACTCGAATTGATGGCTCGTTTGGTTGCTTCGTAGCCCATTGATCCGGGGGGATCTTCGTCGTGAAGAAGATCTGGGAGCGATCTAATGAGGATTGGGAGATGGCTTTTCCGCATGGTTTCTCGTTGCGGTACATTATTGCTGAGTCGACCTGGTTGCCATTAGCTTCTTGCTGGAGTCGGAAGTGGGAAACGAACGTACATGGCGGAATCCAGCGTTCAGGGCTTCAAGGGTGGCCTTCTCGGTCGCGGATGAGGGACTATTGCTTGTTAGGAGTCGAATTGAACTTCCAGCATGGAGTTGAATACATACATCATGTACACCTATGATCCGTTAGCTTTGTCCGGAGACTTGGACTGTATTGATTTCATCACTCACCCCATATCCGATGACGGGGATCTCATGTCCCGACTGCAGTCGATGCTTAGTCTGTAGGGTAAGCTTGGCCATTTTGTGAATGTGAGGAAACATGAAGGAATTGACTGAAACTGTTCGATGACATTTAAGATGAGATCATAAGTGGGGGTCGGAGTTGGCTGCGATCTGCCCCATTCAGATCGGCATTCGGCCGTAGTATACACTTTCGCTATGGAGATGGGTTCCATAAGGGAAGAGGCCCACCTCATGTACTCGATTGAAGTGAGAATTATACTTGGGAAGTGAGTAAAATCAATAATAAAAAAGAGCAATGTATTTGATGCCACGTAAAGCATCGGCATTCTATCCAACAACCGCCCCACTCTATGCATACAGATACAAAGAATCAATCACCGTCTAGATCTTTCGCTGCTTCTCCTTCTCAGCTTCAGCCTCAACTTGCTCTTGCAATTTGCGGGCCTCCTCGCGCTTGAGCTGGTCGGGACGACGAATGGCAATGTCCTTGGGACGGAAGTCACTGAAGAAGTGCTTGAGAACGTTCTCAATCAACCAGCAGCCACCGTAGTCAAAGATCATCAGCACGGTCAGCGTCACCTTGAACTCGTTGGTGAAAGGCACAAGACGCAGCTTCTCGTTCAGCTCGGGGATGAACTCCGTGGCGCAGGAGAATGCGACACCGGAGGCGGCGACAAGACCCCAGTACATGGCCTTGTTCTCACGGATCGACTCGCGGAAGGGACGGCCCTGGTAGTTGATCGAGAAAGTGGAGATTTGCTGGATCAACTGGAGGAGGTAGATGGCACTGTTCAGGAGGGAAGGTTCAAACTCGCCCTCGAGATCGATATCGGAGTCTCTTCTGTAGGATTTATTAGCCATAGGAACAGAAAAGGGCAGTGTTCCGTAACTTACGGCTCGTGCTTATAGACATAGTTGGACAGGTAGATCAAAGTGACAATGTGGATAGCAAATTGTCCCAGAACAGATCCAATGATGTACACGTTGAAGATGTTCGGCTGAGGACGCTCCTTGGACAGACCCTCGACAGACTAAACACGTGAGCACATTAGTGCTCTATTCTCGTCATGATGGAATAGTAAAACATACCTTCGCGCGGGAAATAGACAGGAAGCATACACTCATCAGCATACCGCTGATGGTGACTTGTCCATCACCGAACTTAATACCATCCAGATAGATAACACTCAGACTGTAGGCGCTGATCAAACAGTTCAGGGCAAGGATCTTGTACATCTGAATCGTCGCAACCAGGGTGCAACGACCTTGACGAATGATGTTAGGGATGGCAATAACGTTGGCCAACTTGCTAGTGAACGGAGCAGCAACGGACGCATCACCCAACTTGATGGTGGGAGGCTCGCTGTCATCCAGCTCCGATTCCAACATGGAAGAGGTAAGCTTGTCTGCAAGGCCGGCCGCGGCTGCCTGAGCCTGCTGCTGCTTCCGCTGCTGGGGGGTCAAGTTCGATTGCTGCAAAGCCTGGGCACCGGGAGACGTGATGGTCGGGATAGGTTCGGCGGCGCCGGCAGTGATACCCTTGCGCTGCGCTTCCCGCTCCATGGCCTTCAGATAGTGCGGGTTGGTGGGACCGGGGGGATACAAGTGGGCGATGTGGACGGGGACCGGAGGAGCAGGCTGGTTAAATCTTTGCATCATGCCAACTTGCTTTTCATACAACTCTTTCATCTTGGTAGTGCGGTAGTGTTCAGCAATCTTGGTGAGGTCATCCGGCGAGCCGTTCAGGAGCGCGACACCAATGTGAGCTTGCTTCAGAGCGCCAACGTCATTGGTGCCATCACCGCACATCAGAGTGGTGTATCCAGCGTCCTTAAGACCGAGAAGGATCTCCTCCTTTTGCTTGGGAGACACACGGGCATAGACCCAGGTGTGACGGAGCAGATCAGGAAGGGCCTTCTGGTCCTTGAATTTCGTCAAAGCATATCCGGTGATACAAAGATCCTTAGTCTTCAAAATCTCCGGGTCGAGGGGCTTGGTAGGGTCGACGTCAATGTTTAACTTGTCGTCAATGGTACGCCAGACAAGTCTGGTTCCAGAGTTGTCATGTTCCGGGGCGTCAAGAATGAGAACCTCACGGTCAACAATCTCGACCTTGCGTGCGACATGGACAGCGGTCAATGGGTTATCACCAGTGATCATGACAACACGGTGGCTGCTCTCATTCAACATTTGGACAGCCTTGATAGCATCATCCTTCAGGGGACACTGCAGGACAAGGAAACCAGCAAAGATCAGCTCGGATTCAATCTCTTCGCGGACGTAGCTGTTCACTCGGCCCTGGGAGAGTTCGGATTCCGAGGAGAGGTACTTGTAGGCAAGAGCAAGCACGCGCGCGCCATTACGTGTGAAGTGCTTGTAAGTCTCTTCGTAGTTTGGAGGTGTGTTGACCAACATGGTGTTGATAGTCTCGGGGGCACCCTTGACACCCACAAAGGTAGCCTTGGTCTTCTTGGAGGTCTTGCGATCATTTGACGTAATGGTTGCAATGGTACTTTGGCGTTTCAGGGCCGAGGAGAACTGGAATCTTCTCTTAACTTGCACAGACTCGAGAGTGCGACCATTGCTGGTCGGGGCGTTGGCCTTGGGGGAGAGAATATCGTTCTTGCCCAATGTCCAGCCGAGCCATTCCAAAGTAGCCTTTTCCATTGGGTCACCAACGACATCCCCCTCATCCAGCTTCACCAGAGCGTGAGCACTGGCAAGAACGAGAGTAGTGTCGAGTCCAGCAGCGGCGGGCTTGGCGAGTTCGGTGTGAGCACCATCGGCTTCGACTTTCGAACCAGCCTCACCCAAGGTGAGACCGGCAATACCGTCGACGACAAGGTCCTCACCAGTCAGGGTGCCGGTCTTGTCAAAGCAAGCCACGTCAACACGACCAGCGAAGGGGATACGGAAAGGCTCAGTGCAGAAAATGGCGAACTTGCTCAGAGCAGCAAGACTAGTGTTCACAGCCAAGCTCAGTTCCATGGGCAGTTCAGGAGGCACAACACTTGTGATGATAAGGACACAATCCAGCAAAAGCTTGGATCGCTTGCGGTCCCGGATCACACCCTCTTTCCACACGTACCAAGAAGCGGCAATTGCGAAAATCAGGAGGAAGAGGATGAACAACAGAGCTTCCACATTGTTGGCAGAAACACGTTCCGTCGAGTAGATCATGGTCCGAACAAGACTGCCCTGGCTGGTTTCGAAACCGGTCTTAACAACCACACCCAAAGCACCATTGTCGGGGGCCATGGTGACCTTGCTAGCCAAGTTCTTCAAAGAAGCATCTCCGTTCGCGTTGGGGTGCGTGACCTGCAGAACCTTGGTACCACCGTGCACAAATGAAAGCTTATCCAATCCATCGGGGTCAAGCCGGTCATCACCAGGACGGAGCTGAACGGACTCTTTCAGGAGAGGCGTGCTCTCGCCGGAAAGCATGGCCTCGTTCACAATGACACTGCCTTCAATCAGGAGGATATCGCATGCAACCCCGCTGTCCTCCTTAGTGCGGTTCACCGACATGAGATCACCAGGAAGAAGCTTGTCGCTGGTAATCTCCTGCCACTTCCGTTCACGGTAGACCCAGACATCGTAAGGCTTGATGCTCATTCCACGGAACTCGTTCAATGTCCTCTGGCGCTGCCACACAACGGTGCTCTCGAATGCAACAAGCATGAACAGCGTGAAGAGCGAGTAGTACCAGTATTCATCCAGCATCCACAATCCAACACAGAAAATCTGGAACACGAAAAACGGTGCCACAGCGTGCTCTTGGAAGAGCTCAAGGAAACTGGGAACGGGAATATCGAAAGTGTTATCTCCATAGTGGTGGTGAATGCGGTCAATCTCAGCCTTCGCGGTCAAGCCCTCAGTAAGCTGGAAAGTCTTCAGGGTCGGCTTTGGGTCGGAGTCGAGAACATAAGACAGAGGTGCGAATGTGCGAGTCTCAGGGTAGAAGAGAAAACGGCGCTTCTGGAACAGGAAAGACAGAGTCTTCTTTTGGCCGGTGGTCTCATGGATCAACTCGCAGATCTCAGCAGAGCCAGCGTTGGTGATCGGGATCACCTTGATAAGCCGGGCAGAATCGACGGACTTGGCGCGAGTAGTAGTGAAGAGGGTATTTATATCGATACTCCACTTGGTCATCAACCAAAAGAGCGACTGGATCGTGATGATTGATCCCGACCAAACGAAGGTCCATTCCTGTCCCTGAATATAGGTATCATACCGTTCGGGCGAGAGGTAAAAGGCGAAGAACGCGGGCCAAATAATCAGGAACGGCCAGACGTATGTATGTAACTGCCAAGGGAGTGGGTTGTGCAATGAGGCATTCTGGATCTGGGCGTCATCCACGAGCTTTGCCCTATAGACTTGTTAGTTGCAATCGTGAAACATGGGGGAAGGTTCCGAAACGCACATGGTGGCAATCTAGTGACCGCGGTCAGAGTCAATGAGCTAGAAAGCTAAAGACTCATAGGACGAAAGAAAGCAAGAATATTAATCCAATGAAGGAGATGTCTTGGTAGAAGAAGCCACCTTAGATGCAATTTTGGTTCCAGAGGATTCGCCGCTGGACGCGCTAGCATTATGTCAGCCCCTATCGGCGGGTCGGGAAATTCCTATCGGCTCAAAGGCTTGGCTCTTGTTGCACTAATCGGCAGCTTCCTACAACAGCCCGGCCGGGCTAGCTCAATCGGTAGAGCGTAAGACTCTTAATCTTAAGGCTGCGGGTTCGACCCCCGCGTTCGGCTATTCCTAAAAACTGATCCTGAGATTTCTTTTTTGTCAATTGATTTTTGTGGTTTCTCCACGCCGTCAGCTCTGTTCGTTTGAATTTCCTAAATATTACAAAAGGAGTCTTTGAGTGCCACTATGAGTGGTTGAGGTGTAACAAGTTCAACAAGACACAATGCATACATGACACATGGGTATCCGACCCCTAAAGACAGCCTCAGACTGTATCAAAAGTCAGAAAGCTCTTTTCATTTACTCATGTGCTACAGCCTGCCGATATATGTCCATTAGCATGCACGTGCTGTCCTAGTCTGCTTCAGCAGCACTCTTCTTCTCCAGTCTCTCCTCCGTCAATTGCTTGACCATCTCAGTCAATATCTTGACTTGCTCCTTCAGTTCCTTGAGTTCGTATGTGCAGTTATCGACCTTGATGTCTGGCGTAGACTCCACGACCTGCTGCTTCCAAGTATCATCAAGATCAAAGTTGACCTCCGCAGCCACATGCTCCCACTCCTCCGTGCAGTCATCGTCTTCTTCCCCACGACGACGGTTCCATTGAATGCGGTGCGCCTGACGCTTTTCAACCCAGGCGGCAACGAGAAGCAGAGGGGAATATATCACGCCCATGATAAGGTCATTCAGCTTAGCATAGGTCTCTCGAGAAAGCCACCATTCAAATGGGGCTACCAGAAATAGGATCTCGATGAGATTGAATGCTAGTAAGACGGTAAATTAGCCATGAAATACATATCTATGCAACAGCGAGGAGAGTAGGACGTACGTGGGATGAAGACATTCTCATCTGGAGCCCGAACGAATTGCATGGTTTTCTGCGCAAAAACAGCCATGTATTCATCAGTAGCATTTCCAGAAATATCCTCATATGCGCTGTTATACAACGCGATGAGGATATTCAACAAGACTGGTCGACGTTAACATTGCTGCCAAAGGCCCAAGAGTGAGGCTGAACTCACTAGTCATGACAATGAAGTTGAAAGCATAGTATAAGACAATCCCAAATGGCCACGCAAACTCCTGGAAAGTGTCGAAATCAGGACTCTGCATAATACTGTTGATCATTCCCTGAAGAATGTTCCTGTGGATGGCAACGTCATCTTCCACTTGAGCCATGCCGATGAAGGCCTGGAAGAAGCCTGCCATGACCACAAAAAGAAGAGCAAAGAAAATTAAGCTCTCCTTCATCATGACGCGGAGAACCACAAACATGGCACCGAAGAAACGGAATGAGTCCAGATAGAGCATCATGCGCATCCAAAACATAGGGCCCGCAAAAGCCAAGAAGTTGTAGCTGAGCTCATTGTAAAACTGCCTTTGTTCATCATGGGTGGATGATGAGTGCGCAAGGGCAACGAAGCGTAAGATGAGCGACACTGCAAGTATAGTGTATAGGGTTGAATTGAAGGCGTTCCAAAACTCGAGATAATTCAGTCCAACCTTCCAGAACTTGATCGCCTCATCGCTGATGAAAGCGAGAGTCATACCGTAAAGAATCCCTTCGCCGATATCTAAGTTACCGGATGGGTTCACCGTATTGATAACTGCCGTGTAGACTGCTAGGTAAATCAATGAGAACAGAATCTGGCAGACACTCTGATACAAAGGAGTCCTCATTCGATCAGGATGGAAATGAACCCAATAGTCGGTGTTTGACTTCTCGCTGTATTCAACAAAGTTAGTTGGGTTGCCCTCTTCCTGACAGATCCATCCTCTCCAAAGATATTGAATGCATTTCTGATATCCAGAGGAACTGATGACCCTCAAGGCATGGAGGTCTACCGCCCGTTCAATAACATTGGCAGGGTCGGTCTCTACCCCTTCACTGAAGATGGAATATCTCTTGAGAAGAATGTCCCTCAACAAGACATCTTGGTCATGCTCGGTTTCAATACTGTACATATTAGTCACCGAGGAGTAGAGAAAAGAATCAAGGGGACATTACATGCGCTTGGCGATGACCTCGCAAGCCACAGCTCGAACCTGATGGAGGTCTGAGTCCCAAAGCTCGACGTTGGATTGAATTTGGAACCAGCGCAGACAAACAAGAAGGCAATAAACCACGCAGCGTTTATAGTCGTCACCACCAGCCTGCTTGGCGGTCGCAACCACGTCGTCCGTGATGATGCGACTGTTGGGGTCGGTCAAGACACTGTCCTCCACCTCGCAAGACACAACCTGCTCGATTTGATACTTCAACCGAAGGGCAACTTTTGCAATTTCCTTCGAAGCAACGGAGGACTGGGGTTCATCGGCGGCATAGGCAGGGAGTACTGTGACTTGTTAGCAGCTTGGAGTGTTTCACAGAGCGCGTGCGGGGAATGACGTACGCCGGCGACGTTCCACCTCGAGGCGATGCCTAGTCCTGCCACGGTCAGCACTAAAGAAATCTCTCCAATGACCCATTATGTGTGAGATATGTGGAGAGGAAGGGAGAGAAAGAGATGTGAGGTCAAGCTTTATGAAGCTCACCGATGTTTTGGCGCACCAATGATCGTCGGCGGTAGATAAGCTCCAGCTCTTTTCCCCGCAATTTGGTGTTTTCGAACAGGCTTGGTTTGAGACAGTGTCTACATGGATGTCTCTGGTACTAATATCTAAGGGATATATTTGCATTAAAAACATCACTGGCATTGAACGTCTGGGTAGCATCGCAAAACTATATACATCAGAACTTGCGTGCGGACCCAGCATCTTTTAACAGAACGCCGGGCATGAGCATTTCGAGCGCAAATGGCATGCAGTCCATGCAGAGGCATGGGTAATTCATCCCCAGACCCGAGGTGCAGCGACTGTCCTGGGCCAAAAGGGCTAGTTCTGAGTGCAATACTGCCCATCAACACTTAGCCATCGAGTCCTTCTCCATAATATGCAAGCTTTTTGTTTATCCATTTTGCCTATTCTCGTCAGGCGGTAATTCCAGCTCCGGATGCCAGCGCCGATAAACCCCGGGTGCCCCTCAAATCAGAAGTACGGACCATGATTTACTCGGGAACACCCTCATCGCTCTCCGAGTCCTCATCACCGCTGACTTGCATGTTCTCACGTTCACGCTTCTCCATAAGCTCCTGCAGAATGGCATCGTCATGCTCGGTGACGGCCTTGGGTGCCATCTTCACGGTGCAGTTGCCGCCGTTCGCCTTGATGCGCTCTTCAATCTTCAGAATAGCCTCTTCCAGCATCTTGACACCGTGGGTCTTGTCAAGACATTGGCTGGCCAAGACATACAGAGGAGGGGCCACAAGCTTGACCTTGATCTGGTTCTCGGGAGTGTTGTCGGCCTCGGCGGTGCGAAGAGCATCCTTAACGGCATCGATTCCATCGTAGCCGAAGCAGGTGACCTCGATATCGGCACGGACCTTGGTGGGGTGAGGGGTGAGCTTGCTGCTGATGTATTGCTGGAGCTCCTTCTTGACGGCTTCGCTAGGGAAGGTAATCTCGTCCCAGACATTAGGGTTCCTAGGGCGATTGTCAGAGAGATCCAGTCGTACCCTGAGACCGATAAAACTTACGTGATGGAGATCTTGAAAGCGTCGTGCGAGTGGCCATATTTCTGGTTCAAAGGCCAGCTGATAGTCTCGTAGAGAGTCTCGATAGGGGTCTGGGTTGCCTCTGCGACGTGGCGCATGATCGAGTGAACGGCTTTGCTCTTGTTGTACCGCTCCTCACACTTGATCACATCCTCAGGGGAGACACGACGCTTTGAGAGATCAATGTAACCTTAACAATCATCACAAGTTAGTTCATAGGTCATTTCAAGCAGATAGTCTGAGCTTGCCTTTCTCCTTGTCCACGCGGAGCACAATCACGACCTCATTTCGCCCAATACGGATGAGCTTCTGGATACTGCGAATACGTCTGCGGGACAGTTCTGAGAGGAGAATCATGCCGTCAATGTTGTCATACTCAAGCAGCTTCACGTATGCGCCCATCTCGGCGATCTAGTCCGTTCATCAACTATTAGCCTCTGTCGCTTTGATCGCTCAGTTCACGACTTATTATATCCATACCTGCTTGACATTTACCATTACGAAGCTGTCAACCTCGGGGTACTTCTCCTCGTAGAACCGACAGTTCGTGAGAGACATTTTGGCGGGGTTCTTTTTTTTTTCTCGGGGGAGACTTTAGGTGTGATTGCGACAGCTGTTACGGCACGGTCTGAAAGATTGAGACGATGACGAATGAAAAATGAGTGAGCAAAAAAGTCAGCGACACAGGAGCGCAGAGGGGAGAGACGACGTGAATTGAGGCACAATCTATCTCATTGTGGCGGGCTCAAAACCCACATTGACCTTGGAACATCACGTGCGTTAACATCACGTGGATGATTGACACACCGCCTTCCTTCTAAGCCCCGGCCCGCGGGGAGATCTATGGCTGACACATCAATAGATTACGACACGGAGAATCAGGGCGTCCAAGGTCTGTTCTCCGCTGAACCCTCGTTACTCGATTGTATCTGACCCTCGCTGCGAACTAGGAGATTCTTTGATGCTATACGTCGAACATGTCTTTCGTCGAGTTCATTGCACAACCATCATTTGATCAGCGTTGAACCGGTGATAACGTTTTCCCCACTTATCAGTTTAGCGCGCCCTTGCCTAACCGGACCAAGCAATTCGCCTTGGGCTATCGTTTCAATTTGAATTGTTTTTGTTCTTCTGTTCTGTGGCCAGCACTAATGGCAGGGCACTTGGCATCTTGACACCAGACCCAAGCCTCAGTGACTCAATCCTGAATCCTCAATCCTCCCTCCTCGAGAAACAATGTCTGAGACCAGTTCGCTGCTCCCCGGGGAGTCCAACGGGCTCGAACGTCGGCCACTGCGAGACCGCATTGTTGATGCCTTTCGTTCCACACCACAGACTGGTCTCGGTATATTGACGAGTTTCACCAGTAGCCATAACTCGGCGCAGCATGACCAACCAGACACTGGGCGGGCGAGCGAACCAGACGTGAGGACTCGGCTTCTGGAATCATACAACCAGGTCGGTCCTGTGTGTGGTGAGAGACGCTGCAGTCACGGCACATTCTCTCCACAGATAGGGGATGCAGAAGGGCATCCATTCATTGGGGTTCCGGGCGATCAATTCGGATATAGCGGACCTGATGTGTCGGACGGTGCCGCTGGTCGCCCGAGAGGTCAAGTAGACCAACCAGAGTCAGACCCAGATTCAGAGTCACCGTCGAAAATGAAATCATCCTTCACGCTGCCCATAACAGACACGAAGAAACAGTATGTCGTATCCTATGCTCCAGCCCCTGCGAGCGCTCTCGTAACGTCTGTCAATGATGTCAACTGACGAATTCATGGCAGGTACATCTCGTATTATATTCCTCTGTTCAATTGGGTTGGGCAATATCATTGGTCATTCCTGCGTGGAGATCTGATGGCCGCGTTGACCGTGGCATCCATCTACATCCCGATGGCTCTTTCACTGGCCTCAAATCTTGCCCATGCACCACCAATCAGCGGCCTCTATTCTTTCGTGATTCAGCCTTTGGTCTATGCTATCCTCGGAAGTTGTCCTCTATTGGTAGTGGGACCGGAGGCTGCGGGATCTTTACTGACGGGTGCCATTGTCAAAGCAAGTGTGACACAAGGAGACTCAGGCGAGGACGACGCTACTCAGGCCGCGCTTGTTGTAGCAGTGGCTACTGCGATGTCCGGCGCTATGATTTTGATCGCCGGTATAACACGTCTAGGTTTTTTGGACAATGTTCTCAGTCGTCCTTTCTTGAGAGGCTTCATCACCGCAATCGGCTTTGTGATCTTTGTAGACCAGCTTATTCCCGAACTGGGTCTGACCGAGCAAGCCAAAGAGAGCGGTGTCAGCCATGGCACCAGCGTTGAAAAGCTGATATTTATATTCCGATATGCCCGAGAGTCTCATGCACTTACTGCTGTCGTTTCAATCGTTAGCTTCACTGTGATCATGGTGTTTAGGTTCGTACCCACATCAGGGCTCCAGATCGCGATACTAATTTTCCCGCAGAACCTTGAAGAAGATGTTGGTGCCGCACATCCCACAACTAATCTACTTCCCTGATCGCTTCCTGGTTGTCGCTCTTTCGGCGGTGTTGGCTTGGCATCTTGACTGGGAAGCCAAAGGACTTGATCTCCTCGGACCCACAGAGGTCAGCGATGGAGGGCTGTTCTCTTTCAATTGGCCTTTTCAACTTGCTCACATGAAACATGTGCGTACGGCAATGAGCAAAGCGTTCATAATCGCACTCCTTGGTTTCTTTGAGTCGTCTGTTGCAGCCAAGGGGCTGGGCGAAGGGAACTCCAACGGAATCAAAGGCATGTACATGAGTGCCAATCGTGAGATGGTTGCACTAGGTGTTGCCAATGTCGTCGGCGGTTGCTTCTCAGCTCTTCCCGCCTTTGGCGGATACGGGCGAAGCAAGCTTAGCACCCAGACAGGAGCGCGCTCTCCGATGGCCAGTGTCTTCCTGAGCATCATCACTTTCACCTGCATCATGGTGCTCTTGCCCTACTTATACTACCTTCCTGTTCGTTCCTTCCAAGCTCATACCTCTTGAGTCGTACCTTCCTGTTGTGCCAAGTGCCAGCCATGCTAATTCCCAAGCAGAAAGCAGTCCTTTGCTCCATGATCTCCGTCGTAGCCTATACCCTGGTGGAAGAATGTCCGCACGACCTGCTCTTCTTCATCCATCTGCGCGGCTGGACAGAACTGGTCCTAATGCTCCTCATCTTCACCGCAACGATCTTCTACTCCCTCGAACTCGGCATGGCCCTTGGCATGGGTTTGTCAGTCATAATCCTCATCCGACACGCGACTCAACCCCGCATCCAGATTCTGGGCAAAGTTCTCGGTACGGCAGCGCGCTTCGATAACGCCGAGCTGCACCCAGAAAATGTGGAGTTAGTCGAAGGCGCCCTGATTGTCAAAATCCCCGAGCCTCTTACATTCGCCAACACTGGCGACCTCAAGAACCGCCTCCGCCGACTGGAACTCTACGGCACCAACCGTGCCCACCCTTCTATGCCACGCATGCGTGCACCGGAGCACAATAAGAATATCATATTTGATGTTCATGGCGTTACGAGTATCGATGGGTCTGGGACCCAGGTCCTCTATGAGATTGTGCATGCATATGCCGAGGAAAGTGTTCGGGTGTTCTTCTGCCGCTTGCCTAATAGGACTGTCTTCCGCATGTTTGAGCGGAGTGGTATTGTTGAGCAGTGTGGTGGATTAAGTCATTTCGTACCCAGTGTCGATGAGGCGCTGCGGTTGGCGGAATCTGAGAACCAGACGGAGATCTGATTCTCACATCTACCTTGCTGAAATTAAAAATTAGAGCAATCTATTTTTTGTCCAATTTGGACATCCTTAGTTTAGGTACATATTGCACTCGGTCATCTAGTAGAATCAAAATGGTTGCATTGCCTGACTGTGGTCATGGATGCAGCGCCCTCTCCCGAGGCAAATTTCATGACCAATCATCTCCCTGTACATGAGCATAAATATCTGCCGGCTCCACGGGAACGATGTAGGCCCTTATGTCCTGAGATACACCCTGGTCGGTCTACCAGGCGTACCGTACCGTTTGGGCAAGCGATATCTCCTGCAGGTGTAGCAACACTGCCATGAGAACATAGCTGTCTGGTGATCCTAGTAGCCGGTATACACTTGCCTGACTCGGCCATGTCAAGTGCAATGACAGATTGGGGATAGGACACCAACTGCAAGCCTGAGGCGAAGCGATGAGCTTGTAGAGCCAGGCAGTCCTTGCTGATAGATATGAATCGCAGACTCATTCCTCGTTCTGAGGCTCAGAAATATCGTAACATGACCGACTTTCCTTACTGGAAGAAGCACCCAGAGCTTCACGTAGCCGAATGATCCCCCACAGCAGCTTTCCGGATCACCGAACGTAGAAGCGCTTCCCCTGCCACTAGAGAAACATTGTTCCCGTCACCTCGGGCCCGGGAACCGTCATCATCATCGCCATTGTCCTCATCATCAGCAACAACCAGCTTCACACGGCCCTCGCCCAAAACGAACGCAGCACAGGCAACCTTCGACAGCCGTACATGTTTTCTAGCAGCCTGATTCGAGGACGACCCATCCAAATCCACATTCATGGCCAGATGCGTCTCCAGATATGAAGTAAGATTGGGAAGCAAAGGGCTACGCAATTTCGACTCGAGAGTGCGCGATGTCGACTGTCCCGGTTGATCGCGCAGGAAGTCTGCCAGTGAAGACCGTGTCACGCTCACATTGACAGATCGCAGCGCCGGTGCGATCGACGGAGAAAGTGAGAGCGTAAGCTGTAATTCTTTGATTACATCTGCTGCAATTGCCTCGGAATTACCCTGGCTACCCAGTGCATCGATGTATGTCTCTAGGCCAGCGCAGAGGAAGCTCGATGGTAGACGCAGGGGTGAGCAGTACGTGTCGAAGTTGGTGGATATGAATGTGAGGAACGTTTGTCGGAGCCCGGTTGGCAACCTGGTTAGGAGGAGAGGCAGAGATGTGGATCCCGTGCGTTGATTCGGGGTTGATTCTGTGTCTGCTAGCAACGCTACTTTGTAGGTGATGTTTTCGTATTGCAAAGTTATTAGAACTCCAGAGAAGGTGGGTTTCTGGGAACTGATAGACACTGTGTTGCGCGGTGCGCGGATTGGCTGCCATTGACAGGCTCGGAGGGCGCCTGTTTTAGAGAGCGCGTCGTCTTCTAGTGCGCTGGTGCTTGTCTGGAACCCAGCAAGGATGTTGCCAGTGAGATGATCCCGCAGACGCGTTGCATATGTTTTCAAGGCGACCTGGTTGTCCAGGAGCGTTTCACAATCCTTCCCATGATGAAGAGGGGAGAGACGGTGGGTGGTCCACGAAGTATTGAACAATTGCCGCGGGTCTGCTTGTTCAAGAGTTGCCATGGTTTAATCAGCCGATGATTGATTTAGCTAGTATCCCCATGCTAATTTCCGAGCATTTCGTCGTTGAGGGAGTCTGATACTCGGCGATGTACACAGCGACGCGTGCCGGTTGCAAACATAGCAAACATCTACCAACGGCCAACGCCGAAAGTGGTCTTATTCGTAGTCTTCTACAACGACACCAGTTTTTCTTTCAAATTATCGGAGAGAAGATGCAAGTAGATTCGAATGCAAATGCTAATTTCGGCCCAAGATCCAATCTACCCAACTCCAGTATATCGTCAATCCAACTAGAACCGGACGCCAAATCCAATAGTTATATCAATGCAATCATGCTTGCCATCCTCGCGTGTGATGGCAATCCGGACACCCAAAAACAATTGGAACTCCATTCCAAAGCCAGACGTGCTCTACATCATGAGGAATAGCCTGCCGGGCTCTCAGCTCGGCCTCAGCAGCAGCAAACCAAATATCTTGTACAGAACTGTGCAGATTTTGCGCAGGCGCGCGCGCAAAGACAACCGAGTTCATATGGTCCTTTTGATACATCGTCATGTCGTTATAGAAATTATACATAAAGTCTTTGCGCTGTGTTCGTTGGCTTCCCCCGTCTCCAATCTCAGCAGAGAAGAATTCGACGATGCGCACGAAGGGGGCTAATGTAAGCAGCGAGCTGATCCACGAGTCATCTATCTCGCCTTGTTCCGGGGACATTGAATAGCGAATATATGAAACCAGCAAGTGCATGCAATGATGTGTCGCGACTAATGCCGCGGTGTTGGTAAAAGGGGGGCTTTGGAGGATGCGGGTCTGTAGCTCGCGGTACATCCTCTGGCGTATCTCGAGTGGCAAAGGCACCGGCAACTGGCCTGCCTCATATTTTTGGACCAGCATGTTCGTGTGCTCACGCCGAGCGGAGGCGTACGATTCGAGGAAGTAGAGTATGTAGTACCTGGTAGAGAAGAGGTCAGTAACTTTCCAAGGCGACGCGACTTCCATAGATCTTACATTAGTGGTGCCAGGTGAAACCATATGCTAGCTATGCCACGTTTCACCAGGGCGTTTCGCTCGTTTCGCTTTGTGGGAAACGAAGCCCTCACGGCTGCGGGTCCGATTTGGACGAACCGATCGACGATTCGATCTGCCAGGTAGTAGCAGAGCCTCGAGCATAGCACCTGCCTCCGTCGCAGTCCATGCAAGTATTTGAATGTGTACAGGTGGCCACCTCTGGCGCTTTTGGAGGGTGGGAACAAGTCCGACAGTAAGACTACATCGTCGCCTGGGTCTCGAGTATAGGTGCGGTCATTGTCGATCGGAGATGGGAGGGTACCATGTCGGCGCAAGCGGAGATACTGCCGGACAATGTCATGCTCATTCGAGGTGAGAAGTTGGTAGAACGCCTTGCACACGAGTCTCAGGGGATAGAAGTCGGTGATGCCGGAATATGCGAATATGCGGATTTGAATCTCGACTGGGAGGTCCCACAGGCAGGAAGATGGGAGGTCTGCATGGCCTACTCTGATAGAGGAAAAAGCAAAGAAGTCAGTTTCGTGGATTGACCAGGCTGTCTATCAATCGCTCTCACCTTGAAGACGATCCGCGCTCCTCCTTGGCACCCGCCTTCCTTCTGTTGTGGATCGCAGCCCGGACTTTCTGAACGGAGAGGACGAGTTTGGCAAAGCCGGGCATTCTTAGGCCCTGGAATACATGAATTGACTGGCTTCTAGCGAGAAGCGCACATCTTGTAGGAGCTCGTCGACATAAATCAAGTTGTTTGAAAGGGAGGAAGGGTCCAGCTTAAAATAGCACATGACTAAGCCTCAACGGTCCACTTCTCCGCGATGTAGTTACTGTGTACGGAGTGCTACATCGAGGGATCGTAGGTATTCAATTTTCCAACCTATGAAAGAACGATCTAGTGAGACATATCAGTTTGGACTGTTTGGTTGATGAGATGTTGTGGCTTAGTGACTATGATATGCTAGTGGCAAGTACCCCAGATGTACCATGTCAAGGCTCCAGAATTAACATTCTCAATTAAAGATTATGGATATCCGGAGATCGTGGGTCATTTCCATGAAAATGTGAGAAAAATCTGTCTGTTTATTGTGAGATGTTACCAGCTGTATACCTACACAGTACATAGGAGGTTACTAGTACTACTGTGTACCCAGTACAGTTAACTAAAGCAACTACGTCATTGCGTTCCTACCTACTCAGGAATGGCGTGATAAGTGGCAGTCACAGGAAAGTGTCCTCCTAGGCTCCTACTCTCTTACATCTTTCAACCTTTCAACATTATACATAGATCTCTGTTAAATCCTCGTCAACCCTCGCTAAGATGACCAACATCCTCATCCTAGGTGCCACTCGAGGACTCGGTGCTTCTCTCCGCACCCTCTACTCCTCAAAGCCGGACACCCATGTCTTTGCAACGTCACGATCATCGAACCCGGAGCCGAGTCAAGGAGTTACCTGGCTGACAGGTATTGATGTCGCTCAACCAGATGCGGGCCAGAAGTTAGTGTCGCAGCTTTCATCTACAAAGATCTCAACGGCCATTATCACGGCTGGATACTTCGGCTTAGAGACATTCGATTCCCCGGACTGGGAAAAGCAGATTAAGATGTACACCACTTCTGCTATCGGTCCTGTCTTTGTGGTACAGAAACTCGTCAAAGCCGGGTTATTGGATCAGGGGAGCAAAGTGATTCTCGTCAGTAGCGAGAGCGGCAGCATCACTTTGCGCCATGAGAAGGAGGGTGGAGGCAACTTCGGCCATCATGCCAGTAAGGCTGCTTTGAATATGGTGGGGAAACTTCTGAGTTTGGACTTAAAACCCAAGGACATTGCAGTTGGTCTGGTGCATCCTGGGTTTATGCGGACGGAGATGACGAAGGGTGTCGGGTTTGATAAATACTGGGACGATGGCGGAGGTGAGTAACCATAACTTCACGAATGCTTTTCAGGGTGCAGCATACCTGACCAATGCGACGAATAGCCATTACACCAGATGAGGCAGCGGAAAGACTTGCATCTTTTATCGAGAAATTTGATATCAACAAGACCGGGGAATTCTGGGCTCCAGGAGGACCAGGGTAAGTTATGCACTTTCTGCACACTTCGCCCTCCTAAGCCATGCTGACACTATGGCAGTGATATTGGTACCGCCGAAGATGTCCTTGGGAAAAACCTTCCGACCCCTCTGCAGCTGCCATGGTAGCGATATGCGACATCAAAGCCGAGATACTAAATGAGCCACAGACCGGCTCTTTTGAAAGATGATATATTCAAGTATTAACGAAGAGTCGTCTCAATGCAATCTATGACTGTGCATGTCACTTCCGCGTCTAAGCCCCAGTTAGTCTTGGACTCTTGTCTTGGTGTATGTTGGTGATCCTTGCTCGGTTTGGTCAAGCGAATGAACAATCACCGAGAGGATGTAAGCTATCTGATATCACAAATCAGCTGCGTAGGAGAGCGGGGCAGTTAACGGGGATTGGCATTGGCTAGAGGAGATGGGAGAATTCTCCGAGTGGCATGGATGGCTGGGAGGAATTGTCAAAGGTCTGATTCACAAACCTTGGTTTAATCATAAGTCAAATCGTCGGTCTGTTCGGTGGAATCACATAGTTTATCGGGTTATGCCCATTTTTTTGAAACCACGGCAATCTTGAAAAGTGCAACATGTCTACTAGAGCTGAACTCATTGCTCCCGAAGCTGTCAAGCCTGAACGGTTGAGCGACGAAGTCAAGCAGGTCCATGTCCATGCCACAGATCAGCAGAGATTCGAAACCGACAAATTCATTGACTCTCTCGACGCCGTTGGGCCTGAGGTATTTGGCGACGAAGTTGAGCGCCTCAAAGTACGAGCTGCAGCACGTCGATTGCTTGCCAGAGTGGAGACACCATACGAGCGCGCCTGGGGGTTCGGCTTCGAACAGCCTGTCATCTTTGCCGCTATCCAGACATGCATCGACCTGGGGCTTTGGAAATCCTGGACCGATGTTGGGGTGTGAGAAGTCAATTGACGAGCTAGTCAAGATGACCACACCCATTGTTGATGCAAACCTGCTGCGTAAGTCTTCGTGGATACAGTACAGCTCGACTTGGCTCACGAAAAATACCACAGGCCGCTTGTTCCGTTTGCTAGTCGCATTCAACGTCGTTGAAGAGACGGCACAAGATAGATTCATACCGACTCCGTTCTCAAATGCCATTGGCGACGAGAGCACCAAGGTCCGCGCCTCGCTTCAAGCTGCGTAAGAATGTCCCTGCTATCCGTCCATGGCCATACGGTCTGACATTTTTAGAACCAATCAATACCTCGCTGCTGGTCATAACCTGCCGGCATATTTAGCGAAGATCTCCTACGCAGAGCCGACCGACGTGGAGGTAAACAACCACTCGGAGATTGACCCGGATGGTCTGAACTTCTTTGCTCGGTTGCATAAAAGCCCTGCATACTTTGAAGCGTTTACTGGCCACATGGAGGCCGGGACGGCATGGAAAACTCCCTGGACCAAAGTTTTCGATACAACCAAGTTGCTTGAAGGGGTCAAACTTGATGATGGCTCTGCATTTGTGGTTGATATCGGTGGGAATACTGGCATGGACATCTCACATGTCCTTGCCAAACATCCAGATATTCCTGCCGGATCCCTGATTTTGCAGGATCTTCCAGAAGTGATTGCCAATGCTCAGGTTGACGAGAAGATTACAACTATGGCTCATGACTTCTTCCTACCTCAACCAGTGAAAGGTTAGAGCAATTCTCTCCCCTCAAGATCTTATCTCCTATTAATCAACCAGTCTACAGGAAGTCGTGCTTACTTTATGCACGCGGTTCTTCACGACTGGCCCGATGACAAGGCTAAGCAACTACTTACGAATACCAAGAACGCAATGGTTAAGGGCTATTCCAAGCTCATCATCTATGACATCGTTCTTCCGCTGACAGGTGCGAGCATCAGTCAAGCCACGATGGACGTAGAAATGATGTCGCTGCTGTCAGCTTCGGAGCGAACTCAAGGCGCGTGGACAGATTTAATGACCAATGCTGGTTTGCGAATTGTCAACTTTTGGCCTGATCCCCAGCAGTATGAGATGGTCATTGAGGCCGAAATTGCTTAGGGCTTCCCTTCCGTGGGGGCTGTTTCAGTTTCGCGTGGACACTGAGGCTTCACAGTGCAGAGTCTTATTACTTTCAATTCCGATATAGTATCATATGCAATTGAATCAGACAATTCCACCGTAGCAGGAATACAAATGCCGGACTGTGAACGCCCAGTCTCTGGTTGGAATCGCTTGGCAACTGGCAAGTACAAAGCTGGCAGGTAAGAAGCAGTATTCCCACCACAATTAATGAGTAGACCGTGGTATCACGACATAAACAAAAGATAGTACCCATACTGTGTATAGTACCCCAACATTCCCCATTCATCTCCGCAATGGCGTGGTGAGTGGAGAGGATGGTAACTGGGCACGTCATCACGGGCCAAGATGATGTTAGCGAGGTCAATTCACTGCGAATATGGCGACATGGCCACATATCCGACCAGATTCAAGCCCACGCTTATCAGCAACAAATTGATCCTCATGGCGTGTAAGTTGTTCCGCATGGCGTGCAGGGGGTCTGGAGTGGGGGAGGTTCAAGTTGTCAATATACAAGAAAGCCGCCATGTCCAGTACTTTTACAAGGATAGCTTTTTGAACCACTTTGAAAAGGAAGAAAAGAACAACTTACATCATGACTCTTGTACAAAGTCCCGTTCTCCCTTCTCTTTCGCATACTGGGCCTACCACGGAATCGATCAAGGCTTCGGACTTCAAAGGCCCGACTACCGTGACGGTGCAGAGTGATGTCGATTCATTATCAGAGAAGCTCGAGAATGTTGAGTTCAAACTGGAAGAACATCCAGTCGACGTTGTGCGACCCATCAAAGTCGGTGTGATAGGAGCGGGTCTTTCAGGAATCACTGCAGGCGTGCTGCTCCCAGCAAAGCTGCCGGGATTGGATCTTCGCATCTATGATAAGAATGCCGATGTGGTATGAGACTGTTCAGTTCCTGTATAGCCGCTTGACTCCAAACTGATAGTATTTTCTAGGGAGGCACATGGTACATTCCCCAGTTGGCTCAATGGCGTGGAGGTACTAATTCCGGTCCAATAGGTTCGAGAACACATACCCCGGCGTTCGCTGTGATATCCCTGCACATGTATACCAGTCCAGCATTTCGCCGAATACACAATGGACAGAAGAATTCGCACAGGGCGCTGAGATCAGAGACTACTGGCAGGGTGTTGCGCGGAAGCACAATGTCTACCAGTATATTCGCCCCGGTCAAAAAGTGCAGAGAGCCGAATGGCTGCCCGAGAAAGGAAAATGGAAGGTTACTGTTGGGCATGTCGATGGCTCTAAGGTATGAGATGGTTGAGGTCTGGAAGAGTTCCTAAGCTCACATCAATGCAACATAGGTCTATGAAGAAGAGCTGGACGTGCTGGTCAACGCCATCGGCCACTTTAATGCCTGGAAGCTGCCCGACTATGAGGGAATCGACAATTACAAGGGGAAGCTGTTTCACTCCTCCAACTGGGACCGGACTATCGATCTGAAGGGTAAGCGAGTTGCTCTCATTGGTAATGGCGCCTCTGGCTTGCAGGTCCTACCCTCAATCCAACCATTGGCCAGCCACGTTGATCACTACGCTCGAAACCCGACATGGATTGCAGATTCATTTGGCAGCGGAAACGTAGGTGTCCGTCGACTGGAGCCAAACCTGTTCTCTGAGACACAACTGGAGGATTGGAAAGATCCTAAAAAATATCTGGAATATCGCAGGGAAGCCGAAAAGCAATACTTCCAGCGCTTCGGAGCAATCTTCAAAGATACACCGGAGAACCACGCCCTGCGCGAGAAATGGACAAGCATGATGCTGAAGCGTGTTGCCGAAAAGCCAGAGTTAGCAGATAAAATCGTCCCAGACTTCCCTCCCAACTGCCGTCGCCCAACTCCAGGACCAGGTTATCTCGAGGCTTTGGCCAAAGACAACGTCGACTACATCCAAACCCGTATCAAGCGATTCACCGAGAAGGGTATCGTCACCGAAGACGGCGTCGAGCGTGAAGTCGACATCGTAATCTGCGCAACAGGCGCAAACGTCGATCATGCACCCCCTTCTCCATCATCGCCAACGGAATCGACCTCAAGGAGGCCTGGAAAACGGACGGCACTTTCGGATTCCCCTACTCATATCTGGGCTTCGCAACACCCGGCTTCCCCAACCTTCTCTGGCTCGGCGGGCCCTACGCCTCCGGCCACAGCGGCACCGTCCCAAACAACATCGAGAACCAGGTCACGTATATCGCCAAGGTGCTGCGCAAGATTCGCTCGCAGGGAATCAAGTCCATTGCTCCGGCTAAGCAGGCGACGGATGATTTCGTCGCTTACTGCGACCAATTCTATCCGCGCACGGTCTGGTCGGAGAACTGCAGCTCGTGGTATAACGGTGGTCAACCGGGCGCTCGTATTCATGGTCTCTTCCCTGGAAGTGCTTCGCATGCCAATTATATTCGCAGAGATCCGCGGTGGGAGGATTGGGAGTATACTTACGTCAATCCGAGTGGGAATCGGTTTGCGTACTTTGGTAATGGGTGGACTCAGAAGGAGTTGGATCCTGATGCCGAGCTGACGCCTCATCTTGTCCTGCCTGAGAAGATTGATTTGAAGTCGCATATGGAGGGTTGGTGGGATGTTTGATTTCATGTTTGAGGTGGCTAAATTGGCCAGTTGGCAGGATCCAGCCTGCCAACTGGCCAATCTTAGGGTTTCACGGACCGAAGGTGCTTGTATATAGTTGTTACCATTGCAAATATGCCTTTTTCACTCTTCTCTCTGATTATGATTATTTGGCAAACTACCTAGTACCTCGTGTCTTCAACACCAAGGCACCGAATACCTGGGGGAGCCCCGGAGGGGCGGATGGGAGGAGGGCGAGGACGGTTGAGGGAGGGGCCGCCAGTTGGCGGAGGCTGGAACTACCCGACAGGTGGTACATTAACCGAATGTAACCTCCGAAGGTATCATGAATGAACATTATGAGATGACAGAAGCGTTAGATACATGGATTTGAGCTTGATCACTCATGCCAAAGTGAAGTAGGTATGATTTGAACCCTTTCTAGATGCAAAATATCCTACCCAGTAGAAGCATTCAATGAGACTCCTCCAATGAGTAGGCAGGAACTTCCTCCCCCGCCTTCCAGAAGTACTTGGCTCCAGGATGGGCATCAGGAAGCCTATTCTGACCCTTCTTGCCATACATGTTCTCCCGGAAAGTACCTCCCTTGACAGCATAATCCTCCCAGAATAGTCCACGGCGCTGCAGCTCCGGCAGCAGCAGATTGATAACATCTTCAAAAGTATCAGGGAGACTAGCATAGCTGAAGTTGAACCCGTCAACATCGCCAACAGTCACCCATCGCTCTAGCTCATCAGCCACCGTCTGAACACTGCCAATGATCTTAACGCCATTGCCACCGATAACTAGATAATCGGCAATAGTCTTCTTATCCCACTTCTGGCCATCGGTACCAGGAACCGTGCTCGCCCAGTGGTTTACCATGCTCCGCACAGCTGGCTGCCCCACGAACCGGAAGTCCTGGTCATCAGAGTATGTCGACAGGTCATACCCAGTCCAGCCACCGAAAAGAGCCAGCGCGCCTTCCCGATCCCCGTAACTCTTCAGCTCCTCGAACTTCGCCTGTGCAGCCTCATCCGTCTCAGCAACAATCACCAACGCACCAGCAATGACCTTGATGTCCCTCGGGTTACGTCCGAGATCCGCAGCCTGCTGCCGAATACTATCGACAGAGGGACGGACCAGCTCAGGCTTTTGCGCGTGCAGAAACACCGCCTCGGCATGTTTCGCCGCAAAGGCCTTGCCGGCAGTCGACGTGCCAGCCTGCAGGATGAACGGAGTGCGCTGCGGGCTCGGCTCGCAGAGATGCGGCCCAGGAACCTGGAAGTATTTGCCCTTGTGGTTGATCTCGCGGACAGCACGTGGATCCGCGTATCCCTGCGTCTTGCTCTGCGTGCCTTGCTTCCATGTTACTGCGTCGTCTCTCCACGATGCCTCCCACAGCTTGTAGGTGACATCGAGGTACTCATCGGCGATCCGGTAGCGCTCGTCGTGCTCGACCTGGGTGTCGAGGCCGAAGTTGCGCGCTGCGGAGTCGAGGTATGAGGTGACAATGTTCCAGCCAATGCGGCCGTTGCTGAGGTGGTCGACGGTGGAGAAGCGTCTGGCTAGAGCGTAGGGTGCATCGTAGGTTGTTGATGCTGTGACGCCGAAGGAGATGCTTTCGGTGGCTGCTGCCATGGCGGGAATGCTGTACAGAGGGTCGTTGATGGGGAATTGGGCTCCGGCGGGAATGGTTGGCCCGAGATTGGATGGGCCTTTGTAGACGTCGTAGCCTCCTAGCACGTCGGCGAAGAAGATGGCGTGGAATTTGGCTTTCTCTAGCCTTTTGGCTAGTTGAATCCAGTGCTTGATGCTCTTGTAGTCTGCGCCTTGGTCTCCAGGATGGCGGAATAGGCCTGGATTGAGATGACTCGGCGATTGCATTGCAAAGGCATTGATGATGAGCTGTTTCTTTTCTGCAGACATGATGAAGATATGCCTCGCCAGGTTATGGGAAGAAGCAAAGAATTGTGGACTTTCCCTCTCCCTTTTGCAATAGACACGAGGGGTAGATATTTATCGTCCCTGCATAGTGCAAGGTGTCCATCCCGCGCCATGTAGGTAAGACGTGCGGTTGGAGGCCGATGGCGTCAGCATCTAACTTAGTTATACTGTGGGGAAGGATTTGATAAGGAATGAGACTTGCTGCCAAGTCAATCGATAGAAGAGGAGGGGATCTGTTCCACCTGTGCCCTTCAAGTATGGCGCAATACTGCAAGGTAGTTGCGACGTCACGCCATACAACAACCGATGAATAGGACGTTAGAAACTCTGTATAACAGCCCCAGAGCCCCATTCTTAGACGCTTAAAATGCCGTGTTATTGAATAGTTTATCTTTCCAGGTCTGCGTAATTAAAGAAAACCACCTGTACAGTTGTATCGTCTCGAAGACGTCGGGAGGATGGAGAGCTGAAGGCAAGTCGGCCTGCTATCAACTCATGATGATTTCCACCCAGTGAATTACGCACCAGATGCACAGCGACATTGTCATCTTGCACTGTTGTTCTCTCCTCCACGAACTTCCAGCTTACTCCTTTCCAGAAATGGCCGAAGTCGAATGGCTCATATGTTGGCTCCTTGCTGTTCCACTTCTCTCCTTTCGTTTCCAGCCATTTCCCCACTAGATCGACTGCCTGCTGACTGGAGAGCATATCCCACAAGCCATCCGTTGCCATGATCAGGAAAGAAGGGATCCCAGGGTCGATCTTGATGCTTGTCACGACCGGCTCAGCCGTCAGATAGGGTGGGGTTCGAATGGGGTATCTCGGCACCAGAGGTGGTGGACCATAAAATCTCCGTTGCACATCCTTCTGGAATTCAACAGGCCACTTCCACTGGCAATCACCAAAGGCCCGTGAGACCGCAAGCCCTAGTACCCGTCCATTTTTGACCATATCTTCTTCATCAGGGTGCTCTTTCTGAAGCCTGGCAATCTCTTCTTTGTTGTAGCCAGTTTGATCTACCGACAATGGCATTGCTTCCCACCTGCCGTCTGGCCTTTGTTGCCCCAAAACCGCCCTCGAATCACCGGTACACGCCACATGCAATCTGCCTGTGGTGGAATCGTACATGGAGAGCAAAGCACAGGAACCGGAATAAGCGGGGGCCAATTTCCTTACTTTCTCTTGCAAGGATTTTTCGCTCTGAGACGTGGCCAGAGCGGTTTTGACAATGGAATCATCGAGGTTCGTAAACCCCTTTATAATAGCGTGCTGTACCAACTCCTCTGGTACGGTGTTTTCTGTCGAGCTTGGCTTTATTCGACTCAAACTGTATCGGACGAAAGGTAGGAGTTGCTCCTTTAGCAATTCTGCTGTTTGCGCGCCTGAATGACCATCCAAGACAGCCCAGGCCATCCATTTCTTGCCTCCTTTCCATGGCGAAGGAAATTTACCATGGATGAACTGGTCCTCGCACGGACTATTGGAAGCTACTTGAGCACCATCATATCTGCTGACTCCGGAAACATTTCTGACCAGAAATGAATATGCCCCTTGTGATATGATACGCGTCACTTGGTCTTTAGAAGGACCTGGTTCGACGCTCCAGTGCTCGGCTGGCGGGCTTCCAAGGTGTGGCACATCGTCGCGAGTATTCACCAACCACCAAAGGCCTGGTGTACCAACCACACCGGCACCGATCATATATCTCTTCAGGTTTGATAATGAACCTGCGCCTGAGCCAGAGCCCTTAGTTGAATATGAATTGGCCCGCGTCCGTAGACTTGTTGTGGACACGCGTAGTCGCGTTCGAGCCGCGCCCAACGACATTGTTGGTTCAACTGAAGAGGGGAGAGAAGAGACGAAGGGGTGGGGTTGGAAGCAATGTATACAGACGTATTTTGAAAATCCGTTTAAATCTCTCTACAAATTCAGGAGGGCTGATGCCATGTTGTGTCACTTGTACGGAGTACATACAGATGTCCAAGCGAAGAATATTATGGGCACTCGTGACAGCTCGATTTTTAGTGGCTGGGGGAAATTGGAAAGGAGAACCCTTTATGATCTTTGCTCGCGAAAAGTTGTTGAGGGTTGTATAAGATTATGAGCGTTAGCGAAGCAATAATACCGTTGTTGTTTTTGGTTGGAGAATTTTACCGTGAGTTTACCAGTACGCTCACAAAAAGGAAAAATAATAAAAAGAAATGTGCATCATCCGTGAATCGAACACGGGCCTCGTCGATGGCAACGACGAATTCTACCACTAGACCAATGATGCTAGTTCATGTGAAGGAGAGTTTTATTATGCAATACCAATATTTTGAAGCTCGAGTACATCTCAATGCGCGAAGCTTGGCCAAGAGTCAGTCGGGCCGGGTCAACTGAAAACCCAAGGCGGTGCCTCTGCACTGCCCCTTCGGAACATCGGCAGATTGGAAGATCAGGTCGATTCCCCAGAGAGTTGACTAATGCTTATCCCAAAGCTCGGGTGCCCAGGACCACGGGTCGGACACTGCCTCAATATGGCCAGGACCCGGTGGGGGTCCAAGGAGCGCGGATTGACGTCAGGCAAGAGGTTTCCAAGACTGGAAATTGGAGAACGAGTCGAATCACAGAGTGCGCGTATTCGCATTCGTTTTCCATCCCGGACCATCTTTGCCCGTACCTTGGATCCTTGGATCTGACAGCTCATGTGATGAAGCTGGGCATGGACACTTGGGAGATCTGCCTGCCTCATTCCCAATTGCGCTCTTGCGCCCTTGCGCCCTCGTGGGTCCTTTAGAAGACGTCTGGAAACCGGAGGCCCCTCGTGTCTAATCTCTGGCGAATGGGAACTTATCCGACGATGCCCGGACATGTTTGATTGATGATTTGCATAACTGTACATGCGAAGAAGGGTCGAGTGATTCTGGGATCATTTACACAGTAAAGCTATGTGTGGTTTTGGTGGAACTATGATTGAAAGACCGTGGTCCTACTCCGTACCTGCACACTGCATATATCGGGCATAGCCCGGTTATTGGTGACTTGTCGGAATATAGATCGGTCCCGCTACAACATGGATATAACTAGTTATGGGCTAGGCCACCTAGGCTAGGTAGGCTACATATTCGGATCTATTTGGGAGTAAGAACCTTAGCACCAGGGCAGCAACTTGTAGTGCCATCAACTTTACATGATGTAGACTCTAGAGAGGGCATAAAGCTCAACATCACTTGTCCACTGCTCTCGATCACATAGGACCATTGAGTATAGAAGCTGGTTAGCGGCCTTGGCTTATCCGGTATAAGTATATGCATAACCTGGGGTACAATTGAGTACAGCCCCGACTCCGAGAGGCCTGACATTACGCAAATAATAATTCAGTCGTATTTCTCTCATGCAACAACCGACCTAAACCAGTGGTGATCTCATCGGTTACTCGGCTTCAAGCTCACAGGTGCGCCCGACGAACCTTAGGAAAGGCTCAGCCCTGGGAGGCTTAGAAAGAACTTCCAGAAGTGGGTCCATTTCCCCCAGTCAGCCTAATGGGTTCCACTGCGGAGAATGAGGAGAGCTTCACGGGCCACGGTCCAGGGTTCTGTTTGTTCTGTTTATTGTGCATTTAAAACCTTTCCTTCCCCTCATTCTTTCCCCTTTGAAATTAAGTCTCCCTGAATCCTCCTGGGAACCTCCCAAGTCTTCTTAACCTTCTCAAAATTACTCGCACTGTCACGATATTTCGCCATGTCCGCGAACGGCGCAAGCACCGGCAAGGCTCCAGTCCAGGACCCCCAAATGCCCCAACCTTTTATCAATGTCCAGCCAGCTCGCTTGAGTGACCTGCAGCCCAAGTACGCGACGCGGATTCAACATGACGACGATAATCCCGATGCGCACGGCTGGTACGCTGGTTTCAGTGAGTCACGCTAGTATACATACGCGCTGCAATTTCACCCTAACCCCCTCTACTTTAGTCCACGGTCTAGGTGACTGTATTGGTTTCTTCGGAGCCATTCCGTGTTGCTTCTGCTGCCCTAACCCCTTCAAGCCCGTTGATCAGGGTGCGGTGGGTTTGATCTCGCGATTCGGACGGTCAGTCGACCCCCTTGGATCATGTGGAAAATTAACTGACAATGACCTAGCTTCGAACGTGCGGTCGATCCTGGTTTGGTCAAAATCAACGTGCTTAGCGAAGAGATTACCACAGTCGATGTCAAGATCCAAATCGTGGAGGTGCCCCGACAGGTCTGCATGACTAAGGACAATGTCACCCTCAACTTGACCTCAGTCATCTACTACCAAGTAGTGTCTCCCCACAAGACCGCCTTCGGTATTACCAACGTGCGACAAGCTCTCATCGAGCGCACACAAACCACATTGCGCCACGTGATCGGCGCCCGGGTGTTGCAAGATGTGATCGAGCGACGCGAGGAGATCGCCCACTCGACCTCGGAGATCATTGAGGAGGTAGCCGCCGGCTGGGGCGTGAAGGTCGAGTCAATGCTCATCAAGGACATCATCTTCAGCAACGACCTGCAAGACTCACTGTCCATGGCCGCGCAGTCCAAGCGTATCGGTGAGAGCAAGGTTATTGCCGCCCGCGCCGAGGTCGAGTCGGCCAAATTGATGCGCCAGGCCGCCGATATTCTTTCCTCCGCTCCCGCGATGCAGATCCGCTATCTCGAAGCAATGCAGGCTATGGCCAAGTCTGCCAACAGCAAAGTGATTTTCTTGCCCGCGGCGCCCGATCTGTCCCAGCAACTGGATGCCGCCAATAATGCGGGAGAGGGCCCGAGCAAGTACGGCGTCACGAACCCAGGAGACGGTGGCCTCCAACAAGCGGTCAATGCTCGCGTTATCGAGGACATCTAGATGTGGTCTCGGGTGCCATCGCTGCTTTGACTGCTTCATCCTCTGCTTCTTATATGACTCCTCCCGTCGGTTTGTGATTTTTGTGATATACCTTGTTTTCCCACCTCGAAAGCGGGCAAAACGGCTTGTTTTGATTGAACAGCTGCTTTGTGCGCTAACTGGGCCTTTATGAATTTCTATGTTTTGTTTGGTCGCCGTTGGATCTATGACGATACCCACCTTCACTTGCTACTATTCTCGCGGCTCTTTTGGATGTTCCTCTGGCTGCCTCGGTGCTACTTACCGATCTATAATAATGCGATTTCCTCTTCACTGGCTGGAGTGCCCCTTGTATTCAGGATGTCAATTGAAGACATAAGTAGCAATATCGTGATCCCATGACCGGAGACAGCTCACAGAACAATTAGCAGTCACTCAGGATACATGTACCTGAGTGGAGTCAAACTTGCGCATATAACAGAAGTACCATGGGCCTTGTCCGTCCTGAGAAGAGGGCAAGGATTGGAAGGATTTTTAGCGCGGTTCTTAGTGTAATAACGACGCGTTCTTAGCTTCTTATTGGTAGACCCTGTAATCTCTCTATCACCAGAACCGGTGTAGTTACAGTGGTGTCTGACTAGTATTTAACCTCCGGTACTTAGGTCCCCACTTTAGGATCTGACCGCTCTTTGGACCGCCTACTTGATTCAGCTAGCCAAACCTCGCGCGTCCCCAACTATTGGATATATTCGAATTCCCGAGGTTTCTGCCGGGCAATATTAAAAGTGGGTCCTAGGCCCCCAATGTACCGGAGGTTAAATACTAATCAGACACCACTGTAAATGTAAATACTGCTTAGTTAATTATCCCAACATTGCCCATTTAGACGATACATCATCTTTCTACTCGTATTTCGTGACATGTCATCCACATCTCTGCATGTGGCGCTTTATGTTTTTCATTTCAGTATGTGCTGGACGATGGGATTGGGTGGAGAACGTGGTTGACGGCGCTAGTGTTAGTATTGGCTATGCAGATCGTGGGCTATGGTGGGCATTGCGCCTGAGCGATTCTCGCAGCTCGACTTTTTCGGTTTAGGCGAGAACCCAATGCCCTGGTGATCTGTTGGCCATCCCGACGCCATGTTAAAGTTCTCGAAGCGCTTCAGAGCTGGTCGGCTCCGATATTTATGGTCGATAATGTGCTAAATTTATTCCATGTATGGGGCAGGGAAAACAGCCACCATTGTGAAGAAATGATATGCCAGCCCTCGGGCCATGCGCCTGGGAGCCTAGCTTACATTGGGCTAACTAACTATTCCGCGATACACAAACACCAAAGCCCCCTTTCGGTTTGGGGGCTGAAAATCGATTCCCACTTTACCCCCCAGACCCCCAGAGTCTTGCCTCCTGAGATACCGCATCCTCACCATTGAACTTCCCAGCAGCTACGACTTTCAAGATGACATCTACTATAGCGCCTTCGCCTGAATGGCAGAAGCGCGCAGAAAGCATCACGACATTGGCCATGTCGAGCCTTTTCACTCCCCCCGCCTCATGCTCGAAATCGTGGACATATGAACCGCAACAGGCGAACAATGTCCCAAGCGGCCTCCTGCTCCAAAACGCCGCCCCGAGTGACGGCGCTGATCCGGACTGTTTTCCTTCTGGATACAGTAAGTTTGAAAGAACAGAACCAACTATAATTTATAGCCCGGGCTATTGTCCAGTCGGATACACTTCGGCAACCCTAGCTATTCGCGGCCCAGTAACCAGTGCTGTATGCTGTCTCTCGTAAGTGAACAAGAGAATTCATTTCGGGGCCCTGATTCCGTTATTGACCTAGAGGTTTTAGTGACTACAAATATTATACGGAAGTCAGAGCTGATGACCAAACGTTCGCCGGATGCACGAGTCTATTTGCCAGCGACGCATCTACCATTGTCACCGTTCGCCAAGTCTCCCAGGAGAGTACGCAGGTAGTAGGGCCGATTACCATGTGGGCACAGCCAATTCAAGTCCAACTGGAAGCGACGGACAGCAGCCTATTCGTTACCTCGACGACAACGACAAATACACATTCCAGCGCGACAGTGACACCATCATCGACAACGAAGAGCGCGACAACGACCAGCGCGACACCGTCCTCCACAGACACAGGTGCCAAGACTGAATCAAGCGGTCTATCTACTGGAGCAAGTATTGGCATTGGTGTCGGCGTCGGCATGGCATCACTCATTTTAGTGGCCGCGCTCGCATTTTGGCTCTTTCGACGTCACCAATCAAAGAAAAAGCTTGGTGTACCAGAGACAAGCCCGTTATACGGATCATCCGGACGCCCAGAAGCAAGCGAGCTCGGTGGATCATCAGCCGACGCGGCCACGTCTTATCAACGATCCGGAAACACAGCGGCAAGCGAGGTCGGTGGAAGCTCGGTGGCTGGAACTGATAGCATCCTGGCAAACTCGCGATCGACCCGTTTCTCGGAACTTGATGGAACGAGTCGAGGTCAAAAGTTTGTGCATGAACTTGACGCATAGTTGGAGTTGATGCCGCTTTCATTTTTCTCTCTGGTTTCTTTTGTTCAGGATTCTGTATCACTATGCATAGCTGTGCTTTCTTTCATTCTTTCCTTACAGTGTTATAATTATACCCTTTCCTCTGCCAGCATCCAGCGTCTATAATACCTTTGAACGATACCTATAAGCGAATGGCGATGAGTCGAGTCCGAATTGATTGTCGGGTTGAGTGCAGACTAGTCTCAACTGGTGGAGTCCAACACTGGATTAACAGTGAGATATAATTCCTGTTTAGCTGCGGGACCTTATGCCAGTCGTGACCTGAACTGAAAGTATCCAAGCCAACATGCCAACCCATCAAGGATCAGGAACCGCGGACAACAACAGCAAGGAAGCGTCCCGGTATTCTCATTCCCCGGTATTCTCATTCTGTGTTTGGCCCGGCTGGTACATCTCTTCCCTCCCCTTCCGCCGCCTTTTTCTCGTCGTTCTCCTTCCGCCTTTTCTCTCTCATCCTCTTCATCCACCCCATGGTGTACTCGTCAGCGTCCCAGGCGAGGCGCAATGTGTTCCTCTCTTTGAGTTTTAGAGTCACATATTCCTCCATGAGCTCCTTCTCTGTAGGTTCCAAGAGATGAAGTCTCTTGCGCCACACATCGTGAATATTGATTATATTGTTGTCATATGTGGTCGATCCGAAGAATCGCTGGTCAATCTTTTTCCAATATATTGCGTCAAAGGCGAAATTGTTCCTTGCAGCGTACATGATCCAGGAATCTCCACTCTGCCAACTATCCTGCATCCGACTTGATAGCCGCTGGCCTTCCGCTAGCCGTCTCCCCTGGATTGCCTCATCTTCGCACTTGCGCATTGCCTCAAGAAAGGTCTGAAGAGGCTTCTCATACTCCGTACACCAGTCATCGAGTCCGTTAGACCAATCTTCCGGCTTTTTGAGAAGAAGCCACCAAGGTGGCGCATGAGAAAATTCGGCTGGGGCGGTATATGTAAACTCCCAATCCACCACTCCAGTGATGCTTCCAGCTTCATCAACTAGAACATTTTCGGGTCGAAAATCGTCACACCAGACTGGAAACGGACCATTATCATGAAAGATCCATTGCTTTCTCTGCTCCTGGTCTCGGATAAGTTTCCGAAAAAGAAATCTAGCCACAAATTTGCGCCGGATGTCATCCGCCAAGACATCCTCTTCGACATCCTCCTCGACGTCCGCCTCGTATCTTTGGCTTCCGAGGTGTGAAATGTGTAGGTCCGCCAGGGCTTCGAAGTATGACGACGCGTTGTCGTACGTGATGGTCGGTATTTTCGATCGTGGTAGCGTCCCCAGTTGCACAATTTCGTTCATTGAATAGGATAGGGGCCGGTGTAACACTTCCCACGTAGAATCTTCGTCATATTTGACAAGGGATCCAATCCGGTTGAATGAGAGTGTAGACAGAGAAAGGACGATGTTGGCTAGTTTTCCATAGAGAGCTTCTAGTCTCGCCGGGTTGAGAGCCGGATTCAGTACCGGACGTAGGTTGTCTCCCCTGGAGCCCTAGCGTCTCATCAAGAAGATCACGCATACTTCCCTTGTGGTGAATATAGTCCATGATGATGAAAGGACCCAAATCTGAAGGACTCTCTTTTGTCTCGATCCAGCGGAAGACGGACGGCACCGGAATAGAAATTTTGTCTGAAGATTTTTCCAAGAGAAATCGCATGATAGAGACCTCATTGCGGATCTTTTCTTCTGGAAACATGAGTCATGACAGCGCCGGGCACTGGAAAGCGTATAACAGCGGCACAATCATTGGTGAACATCATCTGGAAACAGGTATTGAAAGAGCCTGTGCCGAGATAGTCGAACAGGGCACACTTGAGATCGCTGAATTCTTTAGAAAGGATGACTCCGATGTCATTGTAGATGTCCGCATCGGTGCCAAGAAGCTTGGGCCAGTCCTTCCAGATCTGGGTGCTTATTGCCCAAGCAACATCATCGTAAGGCTTACATATGGGCATTCTGGGAATAGGGTCCTCACCATTGCTGATGGGAAGTTTGTTCCCCCTGAAAGATTTCAGGATAGGGAAGCGGTCAAGCGGCAGCGGCGGCAGAGGTGGCCGGCAAAGTGTCGCAGGAGAAGCGGGGATTGGTTCTAATACCGCCAGGGCTGTATGTGTTGATGACCAGGGTATGCCAGCTAGAGCCAAGAAGAACACATGAACGATGTTCCCCAGCCCTTTCCATATCTGTGCCTACGCAGTACGCCCTATACGATGCTCCAGAAGTTGTTACCAAATCACGCATAGGACTGCTCTGCAGTTAACAAGATTCGCTAACCCGGATACTGAAAGTTCATCGTCATTCTGCTGAATGTCCATAAGCCATTCTGAACAGTACTGACCCCAAAGAGATTCCGCCTCAAGTACATAAGCTGGCCATGTTGGAAGCAAGCATGTCTAGGTGACCAGGTCGAACTATTGGCTGGTGCGTGCAGCTTGGCATCAACCGCCAGCGGCTGTAGGGCCATTGGCAGGCGTAGAAGGCTGCCACATCGCGCCACTAGTAGCCACCAGCCAATCATTCGACTGGAGATGTGATTGGAGATCACATCAGCCCCAGGTGCGTTGCCTATTGGTTGACCCGACGAGCCGGTCAGGTCTCCTCAATGGTGTTTCGCGTTGCATGCTGTCAGCTGTGCCCAGGCAGAAGAATGAGTCTTAACTCTAGTACAATAGAGGTGTAAGCTTGAAATATCGAGAAAGTCCCTCATTCTTCGTAATTAATAAAAAGTACGAGGTCAAGGTGAGCATAAGTGAATAAGTGAATGTCCCTATCAAAGCGATTGTGCCTGACAAAGGACGCTAGTCCCTTTTGAGGTGCTTTGTGTTCGTTGCAGCCTCAGGGATCAGGCGCGCTCCCCGCCTAGACCAAGGACATCCACATCTTCACTCCTCTTCTTCTCTCATCAACCCTCCATCTAATCTTCGATTCTTTCTTTTCCTTTCCCTTCCCCCCTCTGCATTCCTTCTTTCTTGCAGCTCTTCTCATTTCATAAAAAACCCACAAAAAAGCATTTATCCACTTTGCAAATAAGCCCCCGATTAGTCCCGCCCCCTGGAGAAAATTACTCGCGTTTGGCCGAGAATCCAAGTCGATTTCGCACTTTCCATCGCCTCGAGATACAAGGTCATCTCTTAGGCAGGATTTGTGAACTTGGTTTCATCTCGATTATTTGCATAACACTGGGTTGTTTGATCGCGACCTTCAGTTTGTGTTCCAGCCTTTGAGTCTTCGACCTTCGGTATCGCGTCGACTACTCTCTTTTCTTCTATTCGACTGGGATTTGCAGAGCATTTCCCCGACGTTTTTATCTTTTCTTCGCGCTATTTCGTCGCGTGACTTCTTTTGCTCCCACAATACCGTCTTAATTTTTCCTACTCTTTCGTTCGAAGATTTTCTCACCAAATCACCTTCACGTCAGCTTCATCCATACCAACCCTCAGGATTGCTACCTTCAAAATCAGCACAGTCTTTGTACAGCTAGGTTTCTTGACGCTGTCTTTTATTGCTAGCTATCTGCTCGCTTTCTTTGCACACTTGTGATTGGTACGCGTTATCTGCCATGCTATCCGTTGAATCACACTGACTGTTCATCAAACACAGAGAACTTGACTCCCTCACGTCCTCGCTTTCTTTTGCGGTCTTTGAATCTCGATCTTGCAGGCTTATTCCAGCGCGCATCCTTGCATAGACAACATAATCTCTTAATCGCCGGGAAGTGAGTTCAGCTTTGTGGTTGACCCCAAACGCTCACATCAGATCCGGACGTCAAAAGACACCACTTGCCTCGTTTGCATTCTGCTGCACATACCTACCACCCGCCCTTTTCAACCAAGCCTGAGTATGGACACTGGCGGTCTTGCTCCAATGGCTTACAATTCTTCCTTCAACAACGGCAATTCCCTGGGAGTGCCGGGCTCTGGCTTCGCCACGCGCGGCAAGGGCTCTCACATCAAGCGTTTGAGCGTGCCTCCCCAGGTTGCTACCATCGACGAGTCCCAGGCCACGGCCTCTGTTTCTACCCCGCGTACCAGTCGCTCTCATCTTTTGGCTGGACTGCGCACTGCTCCTAAATCTGCGACCATCCCCTCCGAGCATCAGCAGCGGAGTGGAATGGAAGGTGCACGATTCTCTGGTTATTCCACCCGCGACCGGGTTCCTCAGACTGCGACAGGAACTGGATTCCCGCAGCAGTCTTACACGACACAGAATACGAACTCCAACTCGCACCGTCACAACTCCCAGCACAACCGCATGATGTACACTATGCCGGAGCAGGTGCTTGCGCCTCCGATGCTCGAAATGGCTGGCAGCGATATTCCCATGGATGAGAACATGTACGCGGAATTGATGTCAACCAACTTGTTTCTTGCTGCGCAGCAGCAACGTCTGCAGCAACAGTTGATCAGTGTCACTGCTGCAGCCCAACAATTCCAAGGTCTCAACATTGGAATGTCTCTTCCCCAGCAGCAACAGGTCCCTTCGCTCGCCATTCCCGGTATGGGATTCTATCAGCAACAGCTTCAGCAAGGTGTCCAGCCCATTGTGCAGCCGGTTCCTGGTCAACCCGGAATGTTCTGTGTCTACAATCCTCTGACTGGCCAACAAAGCTACATAATGGACAATAACTCCCAGGAAGATCGTCAGCAACGCTATTACCAGGACACTCAATCCTATACTGGTCAGCAGGTTCCCCAGTTCCGCGCCGAGATCTCTCCTCCTGCCGAGTCCGCGAACGCTACTATGCAATTCCCGCAGCCGATCTCCCCCCCGGTTGGCAGCCCCTCTCCGCCGTACGACTCTGTGAACGCTCTTCGCCGGGGCCACCGCAAGAATCCTTCGTTCAGCCCAGCCATCAGGACAAACATCGATACTACTAAGGCCAACGTGGGACCTGGCCCTAGATCTGCTGCCTTGCCGCCGACACCGGCCACTGGAACATTTGGACCCGGTCAAAGTCGTGCTGGTGAGCATCCGATGCGTCAGCCCCGTGGACCACCTTCGCTCGAAGACCTTTTGTCCAAGCCCACCTCCAAGCATGAAGGCAGTAAGAACTTTGCGACTCGTCAGCGACGTCGCGCTGTTCACAGCCTTGTTCGTGCCGGCATCGAGCGTCGTGGCGACACTCGCAGTTTCGGATATCATAGCAGCGGCGGCACAAATACCCCTGCCAGTGAGAAGGAGTTCACCTTCTCTGATGGCGATGATGCTACTGTGCGCAGCGGTGGAACTCTCTCGAGCAAGCCTAGCCTAGGCAGTCTGCGAGCGGTTGCTAATGGCGCTATCGGGTCTGAGAGAAAAGAAAAATCTGGCCGGGATCGCAGGTCCCCTGACAGCCCCTATCACAGTGCCACACCGACCAGTGAGGACGGTGGGTACTTTGGTTCGAGGTTCGTCGATGCTCGCGGGGACTACATTACCTCGCCTAGCAACAGTGGCACTTCGTCCCCCTCGGTGGCGGCTGTCGTTGCTGGCCAGGGACCGGTAGCTCAGGCACCTGAAAGGCGCAAGACGCCGATGTTGGTGCTGTCCAGTGCCGAAAAACGGAAGACTCCCTTCATGTAATGCCGAATCTCACGCAACAGCGACGTTGAATGACCTTTCTCTTTTCTTCTTTTTCTTGGGAAGGCTTTTTGTCTATTTCTTGCCTATCGCGTCCTGTCTAACGGGCTGGATGGCGGTTGCCGTTCCCTTTTCATTATTACTCTATTGACGGCAACACATACCTTGCTTATGTTTTCGTGACGAAAGACCTTGACCGGTCAGAAATGATTTATTCTCTTACTCTGTATCCCTTGCTTCTCTCCCTCATTCTTTCACTCTTTGCAATATGTCTTATCCATTCGTCTCTCAGCTTCATCGCAGGAGCTGCGCAGACTGGCTCTAACTTCTCGGATGGACAAGATGGGTTTGAGATGGGACGAGAGGCCTCTACTACCGCAAGTTGTGTTTTCTTCACTTCTTTTCCTGGCTCCTGATGTACATCTGGTTATGTACACCCAGCCCTCCCAGGTGCTGCTAAGTCCATATCACCCTGGCGAATACATAGCTTTTAACAACGGATGCCTGAGTCTGTTTGGAGTATCTAACTTGTATTTGATTATGTTGATCATACTCTGAGAACTTTCAGAGCAAACCCAACGTAGTACCCCACGTAAATAACACAGACATGCTAATATGGTCTTGCAATGTGGTTCTGAGGCTGTCCTAGGTACAAGCACCCACGTGGAATCCCTGCTTCGGTTCTCTAAAGCCTGAGGAAGGTGTCCAAGCTTGTAGACGGCTGTCATATTCATTAACGTCCCACGGCGAGATCCGTCGCATGTCAAGCAGCATGAAGAGGTAGCGAGAATGTCACTACACCATATCCGAAGGTCTGCAGCCACCACGTACCATAGCTACATGGTTACAAAGCCGGGTTGTATGCTATTGGTCATGGAGGGGAAGTCCGAGCTCGGAGTACCTCGATAGGGATTTCGGCCTACTATTTACACTTTGTGTATAAAAACAAGATTGCCTGTGGATATCTTGGATACCTGATGTGATGCAGGCAAGCCATCCCAAGAAGCCGCTGTCGGCGAGTGTAGAGCGGAGTCGGCCCAGGACAAGGCACATTGCAGGTTATTGGGGGACAACGGATGCGAGCTGGTCTGAAGATCGTGGATGTAGGTTGCTGACCATTCGGCTTTTGAATATGGTCACGTCTGTTATTTCCCGTTTACGCCATTGGCCTGTTGGTCTGTAACTTGCGACCTAATCATCCCGTAAGGTGAAAGGTGACTTTGTGTGCATTCTTCTGACTTGGCCTGTCATGATGGAATCAGATACTGTATATCTGGATATCCTGTGGCATTGAACTAAGAACGCAAAGAGCCCAAAGATGTCTGGTGCTGATCATGAGAATATACAGGTTTGCTTGAAGTATGTGATGTCCAGGTGCTGACCAAGTAGGTCCAAGCTGAATTACCCAGAACCATGGTACCACCACGGGCCCTAGGAACCTTGATGCAAACCCTAACTTGACTTTATCGTTACATGCACTACTGCACTCGAGTACTAAGAACAGATACAGATACAGAACAGCGTGTCAGGAGGACATCGAACAGAGTGGCCTGCACTGAAGCGCTTTGTGCCTACCAGAGGATGAAGCAGCCGGACTTTGGAGGCACATGCATATCCCATTCACGACATAGTGCCTGTACCAGCTCGGCGGTCTGAGCTTAGGTATTGGTCCCTGCGTTCCTGCAGGTCACACGGTCACACCATCATGTTCGGCACGGCCGATCGGGGGAGAGGGGCCGTGTGACTGAGAGGGAGGGAGAGGGTGGCACGGATGGTTGTGCAGTCGCATAGTTGCATGAGAAGACGGAAATGAGATTGCAAAGAGAATTGTGAGTCAAGCTTTGATAGTATTGACGGTATAAGGCGTCGGACTGGTCCAGGAAGTGAAACAGATGACAGATCATGTCGAGCATAATTTACGTTTGATAACGGACACTCCGGAAGAGGCAGACCGGAAGATACAAACCTGGTTCTGTCTGATATTGTACGATTTCCTGCGCCATCAGAAGCTTATTCTACCCAATTGGGAGTATTTGCCACACCCGGGAAAGAAATTGAGTCCAGGTTGGCGCTCCCCCCTGACTGCTGACCATGAGACTTTGCATGGATCTCAAAGAAGAACCAGTCAGCAGCTACGTCTTTAAGCTTAAATCAACAGAGCTTCTCGCAATGTAGCTTCTGGGCTGTGGTGCTTGGGTAATGATAATCGCCCAGACAAGCAGGCCACAGCTCTGCGTGGCACAATGACGAGCCAGGAGCTCTGGCCGGAATGCTAGTTGACATCATGGCAGGGGCTTCGCGCCCATTCAGGAGTGCGTGTGTGCTCGTTGCACTTTATAGTCGTAGTTACCAAGTCAATCGAGGTTATGAGTACTCACCTTGATACAATGAAGGCCTGTGTTGGACAAGGGACATATGACAATCACATCTCGATCGCATCATTTCCGCAAGCATGACGGGTATTGATGGGCTCGAGATCCGATGTAGATCTATAGGATCTAGATGGGTTTTTGTAGATGATGCAAGCTACAGGGAGCTTTGAACCGGATAGTTTAGGGTAGACCATGGGAATCAGGTATATCATAACTTACCCGACTTGAATATTGTGCTTGCCGGGTGATTTTGTGTGCCTTGGATGAGATCATGATCACATCTCGTCAATATGATTGCAGAAATCAAAAGGGAAAGAGCCTACTGCGCGCTTTCTTGGTCAGCGGAAGGCAAATTAGAAGTTACGTCGAGAAAAGTAAGTTGCTCCACTGATGTACTTCAACCTCTGATCGCGATCCTCGTCCCGATACTCTACACCCTTTACACTTGGATGTGGGCATGAGATTCTCTTGACTTTGCAGCTTGTGGGACCTCATGGGTCTGTGGAACCCCCCGGTCTTTTCCACATCGAGCTCGTCAGCCCCTGTTTCTCACCCCTTTTGGGGGGTTTTTTATGCTTGGCTACTAGCCGAGATCCGATGAAGGTCGACATTATACGATCCAGACCGTTGGGGATGAAGATCGAATGCCTGCCTGGTCAAAGTACTGGGTCTCGTTCAGTCGATTTGCCAATCTCCCGCAATATACCCGCCAAGTGCAATAAGTGCCTTGTACAATCCTCTAACCATTATGGCAGTCAGTTCCCTATCCCGACTCATTTTCTAATGCCATGGATCTTTTCAGCTGACGATGCTGGCCCTGTGAAAACTTATCACGGGGATGGGTCCTTCTACCCCGGCCACACGGCGGTTTTCATGGCTCAAAACGAAAAACACTTCCCTTCAATGCAGCCCCATTGGATCTCTGACTTCCTTGATATGGTCCGTGTGCTGCCCAGCAAACCGGGAAGGTTCTTTCTCATCTTATTTTAGTGCATCGAAGAGCATTCTCGTAAATAGGGAAACGCCTGCCCAGATGTCCATTGCCTCCATTATATTGCTTTGCTTTGCCAGGTCTCTTGCCTGGCACTTCCCCCGAGGTTGCAGACGCGATTATTTTCCGATACAAGATCCTGCCTCTAATTGTGTACCCGTGACATAACTGTCATTCTTGCTGATACTTCCTCCAATATCAAGCCCACTTTACGCGAGTATAACTCGAAACCTGGGCAGGTTTGTGTCATTATTCATTCTGGTCCGGCGTCATTTCCTATCCTATTTTTATATTTCTACTTGAAAAAGGTGAGCTCATCACCTTGATGCTGTCAAAGCTCCTAAAATCCCGGAGACAAGAACACCCCACCCATGTCATCTCACATAGCTGACAGTTGCTGGGTTACAGTTCACCTGGACATATGAACCGTGCTTTTCACTAGAAGCTCGGTCACCTAGGAGGTCTGTGGGCCTCATTGGGTAACCAAGAAATAGACGCGATCCTGAATTAAAAGGGATACACCAAATGGCGGGAGGTTATTTTGACCTTCCGACCTCCCACAGCAGCCCTCATGGAAGAACATCAAGCTTGTCAGGGCCGCGTTTCTTTACATCACAACCGTCCAGTAATAGCTCTCGAGATCAGCTAGGGCCTCAGGTGCGGAGACTGAGTGACGCTAGTGCACAGGATCATCGGAATGCAGGTATTCTGAGAAGAACAAGTCGCGTCGAGCTTACGGGCAGCGAATCCGAGCCGAGAGAACCCACTACTAGGTCTATGGCCGAAGTCCGACTGGACCAAAGGGGCACTGAGCTGCCGCAAAGACCCCCGCCTGCGGCCAGCATTCCGGGCTTCCAGGAAAAGCTCCCCCAGGCTCTCAACTGGCACCACTAGATGAAGACGATCCCTCTAGCGTGTCAGTGGATGGCACTGGTCTGACGATCAACACCAGGACTAGGTCTTTGGAGAGCCTAGGGGATGATGAGCGTGGTCAAGGTACGAATGATAAGGGGCACGCCATCTGCTTTACACATGAGAGGGCCCACAAGCTTGCATCCCTTCTCAATTGCCCCCAACATCTCCCAAAGCAAAACCCAGAGTGTGGTCTAACGCCATCTGTTGCCTCGACCCCCGCTGAAGTGGTGTATCTAACTGAAAATGGGGACAAATCTCCAGTGAATAGCCACCCCGAGAAAGAGCAACTCTTCGACAACTTGGTTGACGAACATGAATCGGAGTTTCTAGACGGGCGATCAACACCCCACACCTCCGACGCCCACTATCTAGTGCATCAAATGTCACCTCGAGATCTCGGCTTTTTGACTCGCCTCCGTCCTCCACCCGGTTTGAACACCCATGATGGGGACACCTCAAGTGAAGACAGGGCTTCATATGAGTCCACAGACCGTCCAACGCAGTACCGCGGAGGCTTCCTGTCCTCGCTCCTCAAGCTCTACGACCAACCTAATTATAACCACAGCCACTCTCGCAAGGGCAGTTCGTCCAGCTCCAGTGGACGCGGCTTGTCCCCGGACTTATGGAAACCCCATAGGAAATGGTACGATAAATCGTCGGCCCGATCCAGCCTTACCTTGGCCGGCTCATCCCACCACACTGGCTCGCCTCTGGCTACGCTCACGCGGTCCCAAAGCAGTGGTGCTTCCATTCCCAATGTAGGTGGTCGCCCACGAAACAAGCCCCAGTTCGAGGATGAAGTCCATATCACTGTTCATATTGCCGAACTTCTATCCCGACAACGGTATTTGATCCGGCTTTGTCGCGCTTTGATGAAGTACGGAGCTCCAACACATCGATTGGAGGAATATTTGCGCATGACAGCTCGTATCATCCAGATCGATGGCCAGTTTTTGTACATACCTGGCTGCATGATCATCTCCTTTGACGATGCCTCCACACATACAACGGAGGTTAAGGTCGTCCGGTCCAGTCAAGGCATTGATCTTGGCAAGTTGGCCGATGTGCATGAGATCTACAAAGAGGTGGTCCACGACGTCATTGGTGTTGAAGAGGCAATTCAGAAGCTCGATGAGATTATGAAATCGCCGAGCAAGTTCCACATCCTATTTCTCATCTTCGTTCATGGCTGCGCCAGCGCGTCAGTTGGCCCCTTTGCTTTTGGGGCTCGTCCGGTTGATATGCCCGTGGCATTTCTGTTGGGTTGTCTCCTGGGAGTGTTGCAGTTGATCCTGTCGCCTAAGTCGAGCTTGTACGCAAATGTGTTTGAGATCTCTGCCGCAGTGCTGACGTCTTTCCTTGCACGTGCCTTTGGGAGCATCAGGCTCGATGGGGAGCCTCTATTCTGCTTTTCGGCACTCGCACAGTCATCCATCGCTCTCATCCTGCCAGGATACACCGTTCTATGTGCTAGCCTTGAGCTCCAGTCACGCAGCATAGTTGCAGGGTCGGTTCGCATGGTCTATGCTATTATCTACTCTCTATTTCTCGGGTTTGGCATCACCATCGGAACTGCCGTTTACGGGCTCCTTGACTCTCAAGCCACAACGGCATACACATGTCCTGCCAGCCCAATTCACAATGAATATCTACAGCGGTTCCCCTTCGTGATCTTATTTACTATCTGTCTGGCTATTGTCAACCGCGCCGAATGGAAACAAATGCCAATCATGATGGTGATCTCCCTGGCCGGCTACGTGACCAGCTACTTCAGCGGCAAGCGCTTGTATCACAATAGCCAGGTCTCCAATGCCTTGGGTGCATTTGTCATTGGTGTAATGGGCAACTTCTACAGCCGACTACGGCATGGGGTTGCCGCTGCAGCAATGCTGCCCGCGATTTTCGTCCTTGTCCCCTCCGGTCTAGCGGCCAGTGGGTCCCTGATCTCCGGTATCACTTCTGCGGAGCAAATGACGCGGTCTGCGGTCGTGAGCAATGGGACACAAGGATTTGTCGATGCGGCAAAGAATCTCTCAGCCGAGGAGTCCAAAAACCAGAGCTACGGCGTCGTCTTTGATATCGCATACGGCATGGTCCAAGTCGCCATTGGCACGACAGTCGGCTTGTTCCTGGCCGCTTTGATCGTCTATCCGCTAGGCAAAAAGCGGAGCGGGCTCTTCAGCTTTTAAGCTATGCAGCTCTCGGTCTGTCCTCTCTATCCTCTATCACACCGCATGTTTTTGTCTTATGCTGTCAACCGGGGAAGTCGCTTGCTGTACTTCTACTTCCTTCTTCTTTTTTTGTATGACCCTGCCAACCTAATGGCAACATGCTTATCTGCTTGGTTCTCTTGAGCGCACTATGTCCATGTCCCTTTGCTTTCTCGCCCATATGGTCTATATCGACTCAAAACCACGGATCTCTGGATCTCTTTCCGACCGCCTGGACATATATAACTAGAAGCTACGATTCTCATGAGTCACGACCAAAAATATCGTCTTCACATGCAACTTTTCATATGTTAGTCCTTTCTCTCAGGTGTTTTCGTGTTAAACAAAACTTGTTCTTATTGTTCTTATTGTTCTATCCAAGAGCTATCTTTTATCTGCCAACTTATCAACTCTTTCTGACTCAGTTTCTGTTTGACTGTTTCTGTGTATCTCAGCCTAAATGGATCTCGGAGGCCTCATCTGCTGAGGTGTCAGGTAACTGAGGTAACTGAGGTGAAGACCGGACTTGGTACGATTAGTCTGAGGTATGAGCGCACTCTGTAAATACTGGCTGTCGAACTATTTCTCAAACTTTTGACATTTTCATCCCGGTAAGCATATTCAATATACCAATGACCCATGTGATAGATTTAATTAAGTTAATATTTGCTTATAGTGAAAAATCCCAGGACATGGCGCAAAAACGTGTCCGAACGTCGCCCTCGCCAGACGAGACGTGACCAAGGTTCTCGGCTAAGAGTGCTTAATGCCCTAGCCAGGGTTGTGAATCACGTGGTTCAAACGGTTTATCAACTTATCAATAAATCCGAGTTTTCGTCGGCATTCCATGGGAACGCATCCATGGCATCATGGGCTGGGAGGCCTTTCCGGTGAGTCTACCAAAGGCATACAGCACCCTTTTTGCCTCGGTCGGGAAAAAGTGGGCGTCCATCTCAAACTTCGTGTTGAGATTCATCCTGAAAACATCATACTCCTTCCTATCGTTGCCTGAGAACATGGTGGCGTCGGGGTAGGTTGGCCGCATGGGGGCGGGGGCCCGAGTTTCTCTTTGGGTCTCTTCCTGTGCTACCGTGGTAGCATTCGCAGTCAGCTCCTGCAGCCGTTGCTGCATGTCAAGGATCAGTGTGTACAGTCCTTGGACGTCGTTTGCATTGAACGGTTGGGCTCCTTGAGGGTTCGTTGCCGGAGGCGAGCCTCCGACCCATTCCATGTTTTCGGTATCAATTACTGGAGAAAGAAAACTACGACAAACAGAACCTCCATCCCGCACGATGGACGAGGGATGGAGGTTCTGTTCGTCGTGGTTTTCTTTCTCCAGTAATTGATACTGAGAGCCGTCGTTTCCTTGGTCGGTCCGTGTTGGTGTGCTTTCTCGAGCGATCTCCGACTCGAGCCGTAAAAAAAAAAAAAAATAAGAAGGGAAGGGTGAACGAACCCTACTAGGAGCCCCGCCTCCCACCACGAACACGAACCCTCAAGGACTCGGGACCCCGCCCCCATGCGGCCAACCTACCCCGACGTCACCATGTTCTCAGGCGACGATAGGAAGGAGTATGATGTTTTCAGGATGAATCTCAACACGAAGTTTGGGATGGACGCCCACTTTTTCCCGACCGAGGCAAAAAGGGTGCTGTACGCCTTTGGTAGACTCACCGGAAAGGCCTCCCAGCGCATGATGCCATGGATGCGTTCCCATGGAATGCCGACGAAGCCGTACGTCCTCACCAAGTTCTACGATGAAATGGACAGGGCCTACGGAGACAGCGACCGACAACAACAAGCGCTTGTGCGGCTTCATCGGCTGCGCCAGGACAAGAAAGACCTTCGCGAGTTCCTTGGAGAGTTCGACCAAGAGCTAGCCGAGGCTGGAGCTCTCGAATGGTCGGACTCTCAGAAGAAAGCAATCCTGGAGCGCGCGGTGAACAAAGAGATTCTGCGGCCTCTGATTGGCCGACCAACCTTAGAAGGAGATGAGTCCTATGAGCATTTCTGTGACACGCTTCTCAGAGTCGATCAACAACAGAAGCGGCTCCGGGGCCGAGTTCGAGATCAGTACTCAGACAGTCGGACTATGCCAACGAACTATCCGATTAGGCTTAGCTTAGCGCGTCAAAAGTTCGGCAGAATTTTTGGTTCATGTGACACATAGTTATAGTCTGAGGCACTGAGGTAAGGCTAGGTAGTTAACAAAGGCCTTGTGTCAAATTAAGGTTTCGGTCCGTGGCGGTTGGACTACCAACTTTAATCTTATTGGACTGCTCAATGGATACAACGCAGTCGTACGGAGATAAAGTATCCATCGATTATGCACGCAAAGCTGCTTTCTGCAAGGGGAGTTATACCGTTATACGTCGATGCTTAAAATAGGTCGAGGTGCTTGGTAGTCTTGGAGTCCGACGGGAGAGCAAAAATAGAATTCGTTCCGAGGTAGCTCTGAGTTCACTACGTGTTTTATTCCGAATTCATTACGTGTGTGTGTGAGTGGTAATCAACGCTTTCGTTCCACTAGCTATTTGGAAAGTTATTCACTGGTAGTTTCACTGATCAGATCTCTTCTCAAACGCAGTGATAGGAGTACAGGGTAGCTCGGGGACAAGATCTGCCGAAGAAACGCTGACTCGCACCACTACCAATTTGTCTCCAAAAAGGGAGAAAGACCTCTCATTTCATTAGACTGAAGATCGATTGGACCTCCGTGGGATCGTATTCACAGGTGTTGCAGTCATCGGGACTACCCCCACCCGGGGTTTCCGAGACGGGGTAGCGAGAGGAAAGGCAGGCAAAGCCAGGGAGGCGAGCTCCCTAGCGCCTCTCCAGCCGACCCAGCGCCCCCAAAACGAGGCCAAGGTCTTTATCAGCTTCCACGGGGCGCTGATCAGCTTTGCCATCCGATGTAAGATGGTGTTGCCAATGGTGCGCGTCTCGCTCCTCGAGGCGTCGAGCGCAGATTCGGAGGATGTGAGAGGAGACTTTGTCTGCTGCTGCGCGGTAGAGTTCAATGTCGTGGACACCGGCAGCCAAGACATCCACAGTGGGCGCAAGACCTGAGGTGAGACGGGATAATTCTGCGGACCAAGCTGACGTCTCAGGACGAACACGCGGCGACGGTTCGCTATCCGACGGCTTGCTATCTCCATGTTGGGCAGCCTGCGCGGGAGCGTCGGGGGAACGGGTGGGAAGACCGAAGGGCGTCCTGGTCGACGTGGCGTTGGCTGTCCCTCTTGAAGAGGGAGGAGCTGGTACATCGCCATCTGATCGGCTTGGAGGCTTCAGAGATGCCAATATGGCTTGTTGTGAGGGGTCAAGGAGAGAAGGATCTATTTCTTCGAGATGTGGTTTACTCGAAGATTGGTTCTGCGGTTGTAGGTTGTTGTGGGATTGAGTGAAGGGTTCGAGTTTTGGGATGGGTGGCTGGCGGAGGAGCGCGTTGAGTGACTGCCTTTCTTTTTGTAATCTGGATTTGGTTAGCAACACGCCCTCGTGGCCGCTTTCAATGACATGCTTACCTCTGTATGTGCTCCTCCAGCTCCTTGATCTTTTCGGAATTTTGTACGTTTCGAGGGTTCGGCTTTCTGACGACTACGGCAGGAGGGTTTAAGTCCTCACGATCAAACCAGTTGGAAAGATTTGAGGTTGTTGAGAATTCTCGAAGGATCTCCTCCTGAATCACACGAGCTGTTGAAGGTCAGATCGAACATCTCTCACTGGGACAGCAATTTTCACATACCTGCTAAGCGTGCACTTTGATCGTCCGAGTTCGAGCCTCCCGTGGGCTTGTCTCCTATTGCACGAGTCGCACACCAAATCAATAGTTGTCGCATTCGCCGTGGCTCCGGAAGCCCATCATCAGCGATGTGTTTGTAAAAGTCTGCTGTGCCAACCTCTCGGTGGGGTAAAGCTGTGCAGCAAAAATAACAAAATCAGTATCATATGATTTATCATGTCGGATTGAGGAAACTTACCATTCGATGTCCCTGAATCAATCAGAGAGCTGGCCCTTCGTCCCCGCATACCTAAGCTGCTGCGCCGCCGCCCTCTCTCACCTTTATCGCCCTTTCCACCTCTGAGCTCTTTATTGCGCTGGATTACTGGCGTATCGGCCACTGGCAGTGCCACCTTCGTACCTGCTGGTTGTACCGGGGACCTATATTCGTTTGACTCGGGAACTGGCGTTTGCGCTTTGTTTTTTGGTGGTCGTCCTGCTTTCTTTGGCTTCTTTGCCTCCGGCTGGTGTTCTGGACTATCGCGAGTTCGTGATGAGCGCATGTTGTTTGTGGGTTGAGGTTCTGGTTCCGTCTGTGCAGTCTTTGCTGTTCCACGCTTTGGTCTCCTACTTGGAAGCTCCACGCTTTTCCCATTTGCTGGTATAGCACTTGAAGTTATTTCGTCGCCTGCTTGCTTTTTTCGCGGCCGTCCTCTTTTTGGTGTTGATTTGGGTGGCGCATTCTCCGTGTCCAATTTTGGACCTTCTGGAATCGGTTCGACAGATGGCCGGGACTTCTTTGACGGTAGAAGAGAGAACTGGAAGTCTTCCGCATCCTCCTCGTATTCTACTGATGGGACATATTAGAAATGCTTTCCCGCCATCATGCGACAACCCAGATTTCCAGCGAATTACTTACCAGCTGATCGCTTCCCAGGCTTGCTTGTGCTCTTGTCGAGCTCGTGTTTACTTGCGCTGAGTCGCGTAGTCCTCCGTTCCTTGCCCTTACCGGCTCCCCCGGCCACGGTCGCAGAGCGCGCTTCCATCGCCATCGTTTCCAGCGGTTCGCGCCGCTTTGTCCTGGTCGTTGTGGTTGCCAGGACCGTGGTGGTCATGACAAGATGGGCGCGGGCGGAGTTGTTGTTGTCGTCGGAGGCAAACGTCTGGAACTTCAACCGGTTACCCTCCTTGCGGTGTCGAATGGTCGCTTTTCTTTGTCTTTTTCTCCAATCAACTACCCCTGGGCGCAGAAGCTTCGTGGAGAAACAACGATCGCGACCCCCGTGTGTGTATGAGCACCGAACTTTCTCGAATCAGTTCCAATAAGCAACCAATCTCGCTCGAGCCAGTATTATGTGCCGATTTGAAGAACAATGGAAATTTGTCGTGTGTGTACGTTGGTGGCACGGTCGAGTTATGGTCGGGTTGGTCGGCTCGCGGCTGGAATGTGAGGCGCGGGTCGCGTCCCAATTCAGAATTACAGCTGAAAAGCAGCAGATTAGGCGACTTATGCAATCGATCAGCGAAAGCGATACGTAAGGGAGCGCCGGACAGGTCAAAAGAGGTGTGAATGGTGGGTTGGGTTCTGACACGCGGTTGTTTTGGTCGGGCGGCGCGTGGGGACACACGCTAGTCTACTTTGGGACTATCGACCGTTATCCGACAGGGTCATTTTGGTCCTGTTGGACTCTTTTATACTCCTACTTCGAATGAAATGCTCTTAGCTGGCTTTAATTCGGATGAAAAGCGTATCAAGGTGTATGTATGACTGACTGTGAAATTCTATCGTTTCTCATATCGATTCTCTTCAACTATGCTCAACCGCTCCTCGCAATGCGCAGATGCTAGATAAATGCTATGTTTTCATCAGAATACAATAAACCCCAAAACCGCTGTTGAAAAACAATATGTTCAGAGAAATAGACGGGAGTTGAGTCCTGTCCGCTCCAGAGGAATAGGAAGACAGATCAACTGATCGTCTTAAGTATGTTAGATGGGTTGGTAGGAGGAGCCAGGCTGCCCTCGATGCGTCGCTTGGCGTCTTGCATCTCCTCGGCAGTGATGTTCTCTGTGTTCTTAGGCATGTCGGGCTCATACTGAGGGATACTTGGGCTGTGTCCGACAGACATGCCAACTCGGATCTGAATGAGAAGTTGGTTAGTATATACTTGATGGTGTGTCGGCGAAGTGGTCAGCTCTTACCAAAGTTTCCAAAGCACCCTTAGAGTTGTCCACCAGGTCACTGTCGAATTTGACCTTTCCCTCTTCAAATAGCACCAATAGCGTACTACCGCCGAATTTGAAATAGCCAAGCTCCTCGGCCCGCGAAACCTTCTCGCCAGCCTTTCGAGTGATGACTGTGCTGCCGACCATCATAGCACCAACGCAGACAACCATGACGCGGCCATGCTCAACAGAATCAATGGGAACGAGGACGCGTACATTCTCACCATAAACATCCAAGGCGGATCGGATGGCCATGGGGTTGACCGTATAGTACTCGCCCTCGATGGTCTTGGATTCTCCCAAAATTCCATCCACGGGGATATGGAAGCGGTGGTAATCCTGGGGCGCCAAGCGGAATACACCAACAGCACCATTGCGATACCGAGCAGCATCCTCCGGATACGCATCGCCCAACAATCTTTCGATCGAGAACTCTCGACCCTTGACCCAGATGCTGGTAGCATCACTCAAGCGGTCAAAGACAACTGAGCGACAATCGGCAGGAGAAACGACGATCCTGGGTTCATCGGGACCGGAGCATGGACGGGCATCAGGCTTAAGGGCACGGTAGAAAAATTCGTTGAAAGTGCGGAATTTCTCTATGGGCATCAAAACCTCGGACATATCCAGCTGGTGGAAGTTGATGAAGTCCTTGATCTGGGACGCCGAAGCTGGGTCATCATATTTGCGGCCCTGCTTAACACTCAAAGAGCGCAGCACACGGCGAACTGTAAAAAGTGTTAGTAATTGTCTTCGCCTCATTCCAGCAGGTATACAGGTATAGCCAAGGGGTGCGTACTTCGCTTCTTTTCCATATCACGGCTCTTGATGCCCTTGTACAACAACCTGATTCCGAGGCGCACATAGACACTCATGCGTTCCTCGTTGATCTGACCGGTGATCCGATCTTGGACAAGGATGTTGGCCGAGTTTGCTCCAAGCTTGTATCCACCATACGAAATCTTTGTAATGACCTTCGAGTACCACTTGCGCTGTGCCTGACTGGAAGTTACAAAGCCACCCATAACCAAGTTGTCAACCTGGCGCCAGTCGCGGCTCGCACACGTAGCGATGTGCGTGATAATATCCGCATCAGAGCGTTTCGCCAGACGTGGCTGGTGGCAAAGGGGGCACTCGCGAATCTCGATGACGTGCTCCTCGCCTCCCTCATCTCCGAGATCATCGGGCTGGAGATACTCATCAGACGGGCTAGATTGGCCAGCGGATATGGTCGGGATAGTGGTTCTCTCTGGATCGGCATTGGAAGCAGCAGCAGTGCTGGTCTCTAGACTGTGCTCGTCGCTGCTGGACGGCTCACTATCTTGACTTCCGGAACTAGAAGAGACCATTGGCCTGGTGGCAGCCATCGAGTTCCGCTTCTGCAAGACTTGAAGCGTGTCCTCCAGGCAAATCACTGCTTGGTCGAAGGTAAGATCGTCTGTATCACTGGGCTTGTTATCTTCGCTAAAGCGTTCGAAGAAGCTGTCAATTGTGGACTCCTTCAGCGTCGAACCGAGAGTGTCAAGCATCGTTGTCATTTCCACTTTGTCGATGCGACCACTGTCGTCAGCGTCGTATTGCTTGAGCATCAACCTCCAGAACTGCTGTCGGAGAGCACTGTAGGGCAAGTACTTTGCCTTGACGTGCAGCTCCGGTGAATGTTTGTCTTCCCAGCGTTCTCTATTCTTGAGCACAAGGGGAATAGTATAAGACCGGAAGCCGTCCTGGTCGGGCGGCGGGGCTGACTCGCCATCATACATGTTCGATGTGGACCCTTGCAGTGTACTAGTGCTATCCATCCCCGAGATACCATCTTCCGGCAGGGAGGAAGGTGTGAGAAGAGCCGGAACTGGCGCTTCAAGCATCGATTGACTTGGAACCGAAGTGGCAGAGTTACGCGTCTTTAATATGGGCCTCGCAAGTCTGGAGAGACTGGACGAAGAGTGAGACGCGGTGACTCCAGGCCGCGGGAGACTAACTCCAGATCCCGTACCAGATCGTTCACCGAACTTGGCAGCTGTAGCGGGATTGACTTTCTCTGTATCCTCTACAAACCGGTATAACCCCGTCTCGGGGTCTGCTTCGGGGCCGGACTGGACAAGATTCTGAAGAGCGAAACCTGCAGAGGCAACAAAGTCATTTCCTGAGAACTTGTCTCGATCCATCACGGTAAAGCTTATGGTGTAAGACTGCTCATGTCGCATCACTTGGAACACCATTTTCTCATTATAAACCGGGTTCAGGTTATGGCGTATAACAGGGGTTCTGAGAGTCTTTCTCCCGAGAGAGGTCACAACGAACGGATCCATATCAAATGATGTGCGCGTCACTAGGACATCTGTTAGAATCTCGCGATCTACATGCAGGAGGACAATCCATACCGTTTCGTTCCGGGGGGAGATCAGTGACCCGAACAATTTCCATAAAAACTATACCCTGCACACCAGTTCCGGAGCCCGAGAACTGGTACGCACGAGCTGCGAGGGACTTGCGTCTCAATCGAGCTAGACGAAGCCGCCTGCGACGCTTTTCCACCACTTCCGTAGCTGCCGAGTCATCGGCCTCATCAGAGCTCTCCGCATCCTGGTCTAATTCGTCGAGCTCAGGGGCAGGAATCTGATCTTCCTCATCCCCCGAGAAGACCAATTTCTTGAACTTGTGGTATATGTCCGGCGCCGCGGCAGCGGGGTTGGCGGAATCGACTAGCGAGAATTGCAACAAGATTTCACCCGATACAGTGCTCTTCTTCTTTTTTGAGGACTTTCGCTTCGAATTCAAGGTGTACCATTTGGGCTGTGGAGATGGGTCAGCGTGATCGTTACGAATCCAAGCAATGTGTCCCTTTACCCACCTCTTGGTTTACCTGCCCGTCGGCGAAGATGTCCTCTAATGCAATGTCAAACTCGCCCAGATAGTCCTTACCAAACCGATCATGATCCCAGCAGATAGCTTCCAGCAATGGTACATCCAATACGGGCATGTCAAATGAAACGTTCCATTCCGGATTCAGGGTCTTGAATATCGTCGGTGTCGACTGCCTTGCGTCTCCCAATGTAACCACCAAGTACTGTACAACGTGTAAGCGGTCTCGATATGGCATTGTCTCCGTGGGTAGGGTGTGCTCACAGGGTCGCTCGTGCCACCCCGATCTTTGGCTGCGAGATTGCGTCCCTAAACATAACCATTGAAATTAGTCAGGCAGCCCATAAGACGAGAAGGTACACGATCTCGTTCAGCGCTTACTCTAATTACTGAAACTCTGAGTAGCAAAGGTTTGGGTTCTGCTGATCGTAGAGGGCTGGTGCTTCTGCTCTGTCCGGGAGTCGACGACGTGCTTCTCGCGGATAGGTGTGAGCTCAACCGGTGGGGGAGTGCCAATCGGACCATGGCGGATATGTAGAATAGAGAGGGTTGAGAGGTAGAAAGGAGAGAGACGAAAGAAAAGTGTTGGGGGTGGTGGCTTGGGTGGCCCCTAGTCAAGACTGTGGCTGTTACGGGTAAAGGACCCCAGAGTTGATCGACGATCTGGGTGCTTCGGGTCGATCACAACAAGTTCGTAGCCAAGAAGTACTGAGCCCACCTAACTCTTTGAGGTTCTCCGCAGAATTTGAGGGGCAATCACAGATGGATTAACCGGTTTAATGGTTTGCAGATCTCCGCAGAAGAGTGAATCTCATTCTCGAGCGGGGGAGAGAAAGTGGGAGAAGACACCTATGGATAATCCATGCAACTGGGGGGGTTCGACGTCAACAGCTCCACACCGCAACTTACCACAGTAGATATCTTAAAGTGGATGCCTAGCAGTGCTTGTGGTACATTATATCGACATCTAACGTGATACATCTTAGATATCCTTACATTACCACAACGTGCTCATGTAAGGCATAAACATGATGCAGGATATGCAGTACCCCGCATCTCTCTATAATTTCAACCACCTGTGATTTTACGGGTCAAAACGGGGATGGATTAATGTCATTGCTATAAAGATTCGAAGAGATAGCCGAGGAAAGCAGAGGGGGGACTGTGAAATTTAGTCTTGTCGTCGATCTGTTCGCCCCCAAACCTCGTCGGCATTGGCTTTGCCTTTGGTTTCTGGCACATGTCGGTAGATGAAGACGCCGAAAAGTCCTGCCATTGCGGCGAACACCCAGTAGACCTTCCCACGGCCACCTAGGGCATCGTTGAGTATCGGGAAGAATTGAGCGACCACAAATGTTGCAATCCAATTTGCACCCAAAGCCCAACTTTGTGCTGCGCCCACAGCTTCGGGTCCGACAAGCTCGGAGGCCAGTATAAAGGGTACGGGGCCCAGACCGACTGCAAAACAGGCCACAAAGAGCAAAGCAGCGATCGCCGTTAAGATCTTCGCATTCAAGTATATGCTTATGGCGAGAAGGATTGAACTGCAGCCCATACCGCAAATGCTCAGCATCAGACACGATTTCCGGCCAATGCGATCGGGCAATGGAGAGCATGCCAGCGTGATCACGAGATTGATTGCAGATATCATCACTGTGAGCAGCGCAGCAGTCGTTGGTAAAATACTCTGTAATAGGGACACACTGTACATGACAATGCTGTTCATCCCGGCGAGTTGCTGGGCGACCATCACCCCTACCACAGCAATGATGGCCGGGCGATAGTAGGGATCTTTGACAACCTGCATAAATGTGGCTTCAGGTATCTTAGGTGATCCCTCACCTGGCTGTGAAGCGAGCAAGGATTCCTCCTCACCAGATGCAGGGGCATCCGAAGATCTCCAGCCCGCGATTTCCGCTTCAATGTCGGCATCCCGCCCGCGGATCCGCTGCAGGACGCGACGAGCCTGGCTGGTCTTATGGTGTTCGGCAAGCCACGAGGGACTCTCTGGTACCAGAAATAGTCCCATAAGCTCCAGAGCGCCAACAAATCCAGCCACAGCCAGAATCAACCTCCAAAGACTAGGTTGGCTCCAAAAGTACCCCAGGGTTTGTGTCAAGAGAATACCGACGTTGGTCATGACCTGGGTGAAAGCACCGAACAAGCCTCGAGCACTTGGAGGGGCGATTTCCGAAATGTAGATAGGACCAACTACGATTGCAGCACCTGATCCAATCCCAGAGAGAAATCTACCAAGAATTAGGACAGGAATCGCCGGGGCAAGTGTCTCCGCCATAGGTCCCAGTATAAAGAGTACCGTAGTCGCTCGTAGTGCAAGTAGACGTCCATATTTAGTCGCGATGGGTCCTGCCAGCAGGGCTCCAAGTAGACCACCGAGCGTATAGATCGAAGAGACGAGTCCGAATTGGGATGGGGTCATAGGGAGGCATTGCGGTAGACCGTGAAATGCGCTGGTCGAGGAATGAATGCCTTGACGTTCACATGTTATGATACTTTGTGGGGCATTGAGCTCTGCCTAGTTGTTGCAATCATGTCAGTATGTGTTCGATGAACGTGAGTTGAGTGCGTACCAGGTGATAGCCAAATTGAAGCGGCCCGAGCGTGACAATAAACACGAGATAGATCAAGTAAGGTGTGACCTTTGAGGGGGTTGACGTGCCCAAAACCATCCTGAGACAATCTAGTTAAATCAGGTCAATCGAAGGCCTCCAGACGAGTCGGAGATCAGAAGGAGGGCCAGAGCTACGATGACGTCTGCCGATCACTGTCTTGAGAGTCTGTGTTCGAGTTAGCCAGACGAGAATTGTCTGCCCGGATATTCCGAAGTCACATCAAGTTTATGGCTGTGGCGAGATAAGTTGACCGGTTGAAGAAAGGAAGCTACAAAGCTCTCTTCATTCGGGTCGTCCACGACATGTGATCTGACTAAGCTTTTGAGTCGCGGCTGATCTCTCTCATCACATTGCTGGAGATATACAATCTCGGACGATATAATCCATCTATTTATCCACTACTTCGTATATTCTTACGCTTTTCCTACTCCAAAGCTGGAAGCCCGTGGAGAAAGCATCTCCACCAATGGAGTAACCACCTCACTCTTTCTGATCCACAAATGAGTCTGACAAACCCACCCTCTTCTTCCGGCTCTCTTCCGCGGACCAGAGTCGGTAATTTGAAACGGGGTCTGCCTACTGATGGTAATTATCTATCTTCCTCCCTGGATACCCGCTGGCTGTGATTCCTTCGCTTGACATCGGTCTGTCTGTCTTCTTCATCATGTTTGGAAAGGGCTTCCCTTTCATGAATTCTGGAGGCTTCTATTCTCGTGGTAACTCTATCCCTTTGATTATTTTGTATTGTCTGATCTAAGATCATGTCTCACGCGGGTTCTATTTCCAATTGGTTCAAATGGGCGCAATCGGTGATCTGTTCTCATATCCGCCACGCATCTGGTTCTCACCTCGCATCGGACTAAACTAACCATTGTTTGGTACAGAATCTGTTGAATCAAGAAGGCCTGGTGGATATACCAGCAAAGTCCGGGTCCGAGATCGATATCATATCGTAGGTTTCATCAGCAGCGGAACCTATGGCCGGGTCTACAAGGCCGTCGGGAAAAATGGCAAGAAAGGAGAGTTCGCCATCAAGAAGTAAATGGACACTTCCCAGTTTGACTACTTCGTTCCCCTAACATCGTCCAGATTCAAGCCTGACAAGGAAGGCGAAACCATCCAGTACACAGGCCTGTCGCAGTCAGCTATCCGTGAAATGGCATTGTGCACTGAACTCTCACATGCCAACGTCGTCCAACTAGAGGAGATCATTCTCGAGGATAAATGCATATTCATGGTCTTCGAATATACAGAGCATGATTTACTCCAGATCATCCATCACCACACTCAACCTCAGCGGCATGCCATCCCGGCGTCCATGGTCCGGTCTATCTTGTTTCAGCTGCTGAATGGCTTACTCTATCTTCACACCAATTGGGTCCTGCATCGCGATCTAAAGCCAGCCAATATCCTCGTAACCTCGAGCGGTGCTATCCGTATCGGTGACTTGGGGCTAGCGCGTCTATTTTACAAGCCACTCAACTCCTTGTTCTCGGGCGACAAAGTCGTCGTCACAATCTGGTACCGCGCACCAGAGCTGCTCATGGGGAGCCGGCATTATACGCCAGCGGTCGATATGTGGGCAGTAGGATGCATCTTCGCCGAATTGCTATCTCTACGACCAATCTTCAAGGGCGAAGAAGCCAAAATGGACAGCAAGAAGACAGTCCCCTTCCAGCGCAACCAAATGACAAAGATAGTCGAGATCCTCGGTCTTCCGCGCAAGGAATCCTGGCCGGGTTTGGCATCTATGCCGGAATATTCCCAGCTACAATCTCTGGCAGCCCACCGCCAGCCCTCACAGTATCACCGCGGCTCTAATCTTGAGGGCTGGTACCAGAGCTGTCTGAAAAATGGCGGATACTCCTCCACCTCGAGTGCCGGCACTCCTGGTACAGATGGATTCGATTTGCTTTCACGTATGCTTGAATACGATCCGACAAAGCGCATCACGGCCGAACAAGCCCTTGAGCATCCGTACTTCACCATCGGCGGTCCGATCAGTGGCAACTGTTTTGAGGGCATCGAGGGCAAGTACCCGCACCGTCGGGTCACGCAAGATGACAATGATATCCGCACTGGCAGTCTCCCTGGCACCAAACGGAGCGGTCTGCCAGATGATTCATTGATGAGGGCTTCCAAGCGCCTCAAGGAGTAACGATTTCGTTCACCTGCTGTACATCTGCATTGGTTTTATTGAGTTTCGGCGCGTGGACAGCCTGGTCATGATATCCCACAGCATACTGCGTATATTTAGTCCGGCGTTGGCATTACATTTTACATGCGGAATTTCCATTACAATGAGTACGCAAAATTCGAACTTCAGCTTTACGGCCTCAGACCACTTTTTCCCTTGAAAATAGTAAGACACGTAGTCCAATTGATCGACCCCCCCCCAATTTGTACCCATAAAACACCATCCATTATTGTCATTCCAATTCATCTGCAAATTATCGTACATGTTGATTCCCCGCCTGGTCCAAAACGCGGGAAAATGAGGGGAGACCGTGTGGAGGTGATTAGTATCCTGCCATCGAAGAATCAGCGATCATTCCAGGTGAGTATCATCCGGGCGGTCACATACCATGCTGTTCATTGCGCTTGTCTCCATTCTTATCATCATTGCTGTCACCCCCCACAGCAGAGGCATGATCAGCTGCATCCTTGATGCCCTGTTCGTCACCACGCAGCTTCTCAAAGTAGCCCTTAACATCCTCAGCACTGACCGCCTGCCCACTTTCAGCGAAAGGCTGTAGGAATGACTTCAGCTTGTCACGGAGGTGGTTGTACGCCATTGCACCCTCAAGAGCACGCACACGGTCCATGTTGTTGAGTGCGGCTGTACCGCGGTCGTAGATGCTGCCCGTACCGGTACTTGTGGCGCCGTTGCCTTCGCCGTCATCCGACAAGGGAGGCTCGTAGGTATCTTCTTCTTCGCGAAGCTGGGGGTGAGGCACGAGCTTTGGGAAGCACTCTTCACAGTGACACAATTGACCATAGAAATCTCCCTGGGCGAAAAGAGAGAAGGATCCCGTGGGGAGAGAGGTGGGCAGCTCAGTGTGCTTGGGCGCAGATGGCCTTACGTGAGTGTCCTTTCCTTGCTTGGGAAGATCCTCTCCTTCCTTGAGACTCTCCGGTTGCTCTTGCTTGGAAGAGGTCCCATCTTCTTTGGTTCGCTTCATGACCGGTTCTCCTTCAACTTGGTCCTCATCGTCTGCCTTGCGCTTTTTCGACGAGTCGGTCCCCGTCTTGAGCTCCTTGGTTTCGAAATTTTTGATATCGGTATCACTAACGCCTTTCTCCTTGAGCCCAGTCAACTCAGTCTTAGAGTAGGCAGAGCCCTCTTCTTTCTTCAAATTTCGTGGTTGCTCTTGCTCGACGAATGGTTCATCTTCTTTGGTCCGCTTCGTAGCCGGTTCTCCTTCAGTGGCATCCTCATCAACTGCCTTGCGCTTCCTCGGAGAGTCCGACTCCTTGAGTTTGGATTCCTTGAGATCGGTCTCGTTAAGCTCACTCTCCTTGAACTTGGTCATCCTAGACTTGGAGTCAGTGGACACCTCGGTGAGAACTGAGATCTTCTTCAGTCCACCCTCCTTGAAAACGGGTGGCAAGAATCCGGGGGTGCCCGCATAGGGCTTGATCCACGGGTTGGAGTCGATACATTTGAAGCAGATCAAATGGTCAAAAGCATCTTCTTCGGGGAAGCCAGGTGGAAGCGATCCTTCCTCGGCTTCCACTACAGCATCATTAGCAGCATCACCGCCACCGATGGGATTGATCTTCTGGAACTGTTTTTGCCAATCACGCGACAAGCCAACGAGACATTCCGGGTGCCACCAGTCCTCACCGCAGCCTCCGGTCTCGACGGTGCCGAGCCCCAGGCACTGGAACATAGTACCCTTCTCTGTATTCGGATCGTATTGCTCGCCACAGCCGCAAAAACGATTACGAAAGTTATGGTTGTAGGCGTTGCCAGCTGCCGCCTTTTGGGAATGGACACCCTTCTTGCCAGTCGCAGGGTCTTCACGGAGCGTACAATAGGAGGACGAGGGCAAGCGAGTAGTTCCACAGTCACAGACAAAGTTGCGTTTGTTGAAGAGCTCAACTAGCTCGTGTTCGCCGTGGCAAGAGATGGAGCATGAGTAACAGACAGCGGCAGCAGAGTATGGATCGTCAGGGTTGGAGGGCGGTGGATTACAGGTGAGGCAAGCAAATAGGTTCTGTCGCAAGGGTCCAAGGTCATAGGTGCAGGAGTCGAAAGCCTGGAATTCACAGGTTAGCTTTGTACCAAGTCACGCGCCGCCCGTTGCTGTTCGAGACACTCACATAAGGAAGCGCCTCCCGTGCATCGGCCTCTAGCTGCAGCTGAGCCTCAATAAACCTGGGCTCAAGTCAGCACTACAATTTTATAGTGTGAATGGGACTGATTGAGAGCGCATCATACTCTTTTGCGGTCTGGGAACCCTGGGAGCCGACGCTGCCGACTGATTGGGGGGTATCCATTGTGCAGTGTCCTGCGAGTCTCACTTATATTGTGGTGTATAATGAGCCACAATTGAAGGGACGATAAATTATTGTCACTGGCTTGCGCAACTGAGTTCGGTAGAACAACGTTGAACGCGCCACGAGGATGCGGAGGAGCGCGAAACAACACTTTAGACTAGTATTGCCGACAGAACAGGGACGAACATGCGAGCGGTGTGAAACATAAATCATACCGCCTTCTGATTGGGGCGTGTAACGGTCTTTCCCTGGGTTCCTGGCCATACATAATGCAGCCTTTCAGGTCTAGAGACCTCGTCCAAAAGATATGAGAATCCCGTCTACAGAGTACCCACTCAACGTGGCCACCAATTAGTTACTCTGGGCGAGTTTGCTACACTGTGATGATATCGAGGTCTGGAAATGGTTGAAATGTCGCCTGAATATAAATCCTTCAATTGAGGTCCAATCACGACAACGATCGACTGGCCAAGTGGTTAAGGCGTCTGTCTTACATTCAATATGTTGGAGTTTCACAGAAGGTCGCAGGTTCGATCCCTGCGTCGATCATTGATTTTTGCTTCATTTTTTTGTCCGACATTTTGGCATCAACAGCCGAGTCAGGTCTTTTTTGATACATTAATACATTCAACTGTTCAATCGAATTATTGTATTCGCAAATCTGGAGTCGAAACAGATTGTGTGATCGAAATCATCTGCCTCTGAGGGAAGAGGGAAAGAGCGAGGGTCCACCTTCCTGTTCGGGCCTTAATTGAAACGCGTCGCGTCCAACACGCGAACTCGCGGCACAACTCGACTTTGCCGCCCCCTTCTCTCCTCTCCTCCCTTCATTCTACTGCGTATCAACCACGCTATCACAAAATTCGAGGAAAACCCCTCCAGACATACACATCACCTGTACTATACTCATATTTCACTGGTACCTTTCTTATCCTTTACGAAAAATCGCCAGCAGTTCCCACACATAATGGAGTCAGTATCTCTCCTGAATTTTCTGCATTCAAAGACTAATGCACTGCAGTCCGCTCCGACCTAGCGAATCGGCCGCAAACCGTGGCCCTCGGGTCAATACTCGTAAGAGAGACAGAGAGGATGATATGTCCTCCCCGGCACCATTGCCTCCTTCGAGTCGTATGTCTACCTACTCCTTGGATTGGGTTTGCCGGTTTGAAACTGACAGACTTCATGTGCAGCCACCGCATTGGGCTCATCTCCTCCCCCAATTCCTTTTGACATGGGAGATGAAGATGAGGACGAGGATACAGGACTAATCCAAGACATTGACGACATTGATGAATTGGCGGAAGATGAGGACGGCATTGACCTGTTCGGCGACAACTTCGAAAGGGATTACCGCGATGCAGCGGAAGATCGCTACCAAAATGAAGGATACATTGATGACGACGAGGATCACGACGAACTTGATGCCGCAACTCGTCGCCAGTTGGATGCTCGATTGAATCAGAGAGACCGCGAACTAGCACGTCGGCGCCGTATGCCCGCTGCCTTCTTACAAGATGATGAGGATATGGAAATGGATCTGTCGCGCCAACCTCGACGACGCAGGCACCATTATGACGAGGACCGTGAAGATATCGACATGGCCGACGAGGGCGTGGATGAGTTGACTCTTGAGGAATTGGCAGATGTGAAGGCAGCCAACATCACCGACTGGGTCACCCAGCCTCAAGTCCTTCGCTCCATCTATCGTGAATTCAAGGCATTCCTCACAGAGTTCATCGATCCCACAGGTCAGTCTGTGTACGGCAATCGAATTAAAACCCTTGGTGAGGTGAACTCAGCTTCCCTTGACGTGTCCTACGCACACTTGAGCGAGACCAAGGCAGCGCTGTCATACTTCCTTGCCAACGAGCCGACCGAGGTGTTGAAGGTATTTGACCAAGTAGCGCTCGATGTCACTCTTTTCCACTACCCGCAATACCACGATATCCACAATGAGATCCACGTTCGCATCACCGATGTTCCAATTATTTACACTCTGCGTCAGCTGCGCCAGTCGCATCTCAACTGTTTGATCCGTGTTGGCGGTGTCGTTACTCGTCGGACTGGTGTCTTCCCGCAATTGAAATATGTCATGTTCCTCTGCCAAAAGTGCGGTATCACATTGGGTCCATTCCAGCAAGAAGCCAGTGCTGAGGTGAAGATCTCATTTTGTCAAAATTGCCAGTCGCGCGGTCCCTTCACTGTCAACTCTGAGAAGACAATTTACCGCAACTATCAGAAGTTGACTCTGCAGGAGTCCCCTGGCTCAGTCCCCGCCGGTCGTTTGCCGCGCCAGCGCGAGGTTGTTTTGCTTGCCGATTTGATCGATAGTGCCAAACCCGGCGACGAGATTGAAATTACTGGCATCTATCGCAACAGCTACGACGCACAACTGAACAACAAGAATGGCTTCCCTGTTTTCGCCACCGTTATCGAGGCCAACCATGTTGTCAAGTCCCACGACCAGCTGGCTGGTTTCAACCTGACAGAAGAGGATGAGCGCCAGATTCGAGCCCTCTCCCGCGAACCCGATATTGTGGACAAGATCATCCGCTCCATGGCACCCAGTATCTACGGCCACCAGGACGTCAAGACCGCCATTGCGCTTTCACTGTTTGGTGGTGTCAGCAAACAAGCCCAGGGCAAGATGTCAATTCGTGGTGATATTAACGTCCTGCTTCTCGGTGATCCTGGTACCGCCAAGTCTCAAGTGCTCAAGTTCGTCGAAAAGACCGCCCACCGCGCCGTCTTTGCGACTGGTCAGGGTGCTAGTGCCGTCGGTCTCACAGCCAGTGTCCGCCGTGACCCTCTCACCAGCGAATGGACGTTGGAGGGCGGTGCGCTTGTTCTGGCTGATCGAGGCGTTTGTCTCATCGATGAGTTTGACAAGATGAACGACCAGGATCGGACGTCTATCCACGAAGCTATGGAACAGCAAACCATCTCCATTTCAAAGGCCGGCATTGTGACCACGTTGCAGGCTCGCTGTGCTGTTGTATCCGCCGCCAACCCTAAGGGTGGTCGCTATAACAGTTCCATCCCCTTCTCGGAGAACGTTGACTTGACAGACCCTATCTTGTCTCGTTTCGATATCCTCTGTGTGGTGCGCGACCTGGTTGATCCCGCCGAGGATGAACGTTTGGCCAACTTCGTGATTGAGTCACACCACCGTGCCAACCCCGCCCGTCCTCTCCGTAACGAGAAGGGTGACCTAGTCGATGCCGATGGCCATCTCATCGATAACGAGGGCTACCGCATCAACAGAGATGGTCAGAGACTGCCTCCTTCCCAAGAAGAAATCGCCAGACGCGCGGCGGAGAAACAGAGAGCCGAAGAGGAGAAGGAGGGCGAGATTCCCCAAGAGCTCTTGCGGAAGTACATCATGTATGCCCGTGAGCGTTGTCAGCCCAAGCTTTACCAGATCGATCAGGACAAGGTTGCCCGTCTCTTTGCGGACATGCGTCGCGAATCCCTTGCCACTGGGGCGTATCCTATCACAGTAAGTTATCCCCTGCACCTCTATGCCTTGACCTTCTACTTACTCGAAATGTCCAGGTTCGTCATCTCGAAGCCATTATGCGTATTGCGGAAGCTTTCTGCAAGATGCGCCTGTCCGAGTACTGCTCCGCGCAGGATATCGACCGTGCCATCGCTGTCACTGTGGATTCGTTCATTGGCAGTCAGAAGGTTAGCTGCAAGAAGGCACTCTCGCGTGCATTTGCCAAGTATGTTCATCCCTATTCCTGACTATATTGGAGTTATGTACTAATATGTCCACTTCAGATACACACTCTCCAGGCCCAAAGCCCAGTCCAAGCGTCGTGCGGGTATTCCCATCTCGAACCCTCACCTGCCGCGGGCTCAGTCCACTGCGCACTGAACACTGTCGCATGATTTCTTTTGTGTCTTATACCATCTTGTTTGCATTTTATGTGTGGCGTTTATGAGAGGGATCCATTTTCGAATTGGGCCTTGGTATGGTAATGAATGGACAAGCATTGAATGATATTTATATTTTAGACGTGAAGCCGACTTGGATTCTCGTACCTAGACCGGGAGGGCTAAAACCTAGGTAGTCATCCATTCCTTAGGTTCCATGTATACCTACGGAGTAGCGATAGGTAGGTGGTCTATATATATCCTTGCCCTCTTCCCGGCATCAGCTCGCTCCCACATTGTCCATCTAGGTCACTGTATCCATGACCTGGGAATGGTGACAAATCGACGTCGGCCTCAGGTATAAGGCAGATCAGCTCTAATCCGTTGCCAGAATAGCGAGCGAGACCTTCATGGTTTTGAATAAGGTATCTTTGTCTTTAAGCGATGACCAGGGCTCATTCATGAATCATGATTACCAAGCCCAGGAATGTTCGATCTCTGCTTCGATTCAACATGAAGACGGCTACTGCACCCTACTAGAAAGGTCCAAGGCGAAATGACGTGCCTTGACCTTTCTTTCCCCCTTGACTCGGCAGATGGCCCTGTCACTTTCTGAATCCCCATGGGCCGGGTGACATCTGGAGATATGCCCAGTGGTCTGCATAGCGTTGGAGTCAGGAAGATGTGATACATGTGCCAATCCACATTCCAGAGATGGGAGATGACATCAAGATGTTCCTGGAAGGAATGCCCATCGTCATTCCGAGAGTTGGCTATTTTGGGTAACCGAGGGAACTGTCAGTACAGGATGTTGTAGTACTGTCATGGTGGATGTCTCGAAATGTCCTTTGTCCTTGGAACCCTGCTTGCTGTCATACGTACCTGTTGGCCTATCGAAAATGTCATCTCGTGCTAAGGTGGAACCATGTCGATCGTGGGCAATACCCCCTTCCCTGTAGAATTAAGTCAGTCTGGAGATTCTGAACAGATAACAGATGGATTCTAAGAAGCATAGCAACTCATAGATAGAATGTGGAATAGAAGAATTAGAAGAATTAGAAGATCGCCAGGGCCCAGGTACGAGCATTGGGGGATGATCAACCATTTTACGTATGCCTCTCTCTCGCCTCCCGTGTCCCCTTCTCCCCCCCCCTCCTTTCTCTCCCCTCTTAGACTTCTTTTCCTTTTTTTCGTTCTACCTTTCTTTCTCTCTTTTGCTTCAACTTTCAACTTATTACAAAGTCTCGACCTTGATCTTACCTTCTATATTCCTTGTAGAGACCCGCTGTTTCACCTGCCACTTTCTTCCGCATTCGTGCGACACCCAAAGCGACCTCATTGACCGCAAACAACCAACTCCACCCCATATTGCCTTGTGAGAGGCCTTTGTCCTTGACAATGAATGCCCCTCCAGCGCTTGGGTTTGCGCCAGGCGTTTCGCTCGCCCCGCAAGGTACGTCACGCTGTAACCCCCTCTTGGGCTTTACCGCTGGTAGTTCGCGCCCCCCTGATCCCTACAGATGACATAGTTGGATTCTTGGTCCCCAATTCTTCTTATATTCGATACCGTGGCTGATTCACAGTGTTTCTGCCAGCAATAGAACATCAACCCTCACCAACAGCGGCCAGTTTTGGCTCCAACAACCCTTTCCGAAACCGCGCTCTTTCCCCCTCAGCTGCCGGACCTGTCTCGTCGAGGAATCCACCGGAGCGCCCAAGATCAACAAATCCATTCTTAGACGACACTGAAGCACTGTCTCCTCAGTCGGCCCCTGGAATGTCGACTGGTACCAGCATGATCTCTCCGATTGAGAAGAACGACGTGTCCAGCCACACGCGGGAGCTTTTTGTATGCGAGTTTCCAATCTCTGGATTCATAGCAAGTCTAACGTCTATCAGGAATCGCTCTCCCTTAACCCTACACCTCAACCACACACTCGCCCCGCTCCTTCTGATGCCAACAGACGAAACCCCCCAACTGGCAACAGGCCTCCGAGAGAGCGCCTGGTTCGCCCGCCCGGACGGTCAGCTACTTCGAAAGAAAAAGATCCGCTCGATATTTTCGCCGATCCCCCTAGTCTGTCCGAGAACGCCAAGGGCAAGGCGCCCCGTCGTCCCCGTCGGAACTCCGAATCCTCGGTGATGGACCGAAGCTCCAAGCTGCTGGACCTCGATGATGATGACAGGCGCCGACGCGAGCGACGTCATCGCGAACGCGAAGGTCGCAGCAAAGATGGCAAATCGAAGTCTGGCCGCAAGGACCGACGACTCGATATCATTGATAAATTGGATGTGACAAGCATCTATGGCACAGGAAGTAGGTGCCTCGGATTATCTCCTGCTTTTTTTTTCGCGAGAGGAACCACGTGCTAACTGAGTTATTAGTGTTCCACCACGACGGTCCGTTCGATGCCTGTAACCCCCATCGCAATCGCCGTGGCGTGCGAACGGCGCCCATGCAAGCCTTCCCCAAGGGATCTTCCAACATGGCCCTGGGCGGTACAGGTCCGAACAACTCCAACATCGATCTCAACCTATTCCATGGCAGGATGGAGGAAGGACACAACGACTTTGCGACCGCTGCCCGCCGCAATGCCGACTCAGGCAACAGTTTCGATCCCACTGCCCGAGTAGACCCGATCCACGGACCACAAAGCATGGGACTGGGAACGAGCACTTTCCTCGACGGAGCTCCTGCCAGTCGGTCTGCCATGGCACGCCGCCAGAGTGAGAATGAGGGCTCTCTGGCGCCAAATACTGGCCTTGCACGAAAGAAGAGTTTGGCTCAGCGATTGCGTGGAAGAGCTGGACCTGGTCGCATTGCTCCGTCCGACCACTCTTCCGTGCCCCCGGCGCCAGTAGTGGGCTCCAGTCATTCGGCCTCTTCCCGGGGCAATGAGAAGAACCCATATTTCCAAGAATATGAAGAGGAATGGGATAAGAAGGGATCAAATATCGAAGCACGCCTTGAAGGTGGCCGACTTCGATCATCTAGCAGTCCCAAGCAGGTGACCGGATTGGAGCGCAAGGCCACCAATGACCGACCTTATGAAGAGTCGAAGCTCAACCCTGGTGGTGGTTTCTTGAACCGGATGAAGAGTTTGCGCAAACCTAAGCCGGAACGACGCACCAGCGACTGAATTCCTCCAAAACCCAACCCTGTCCCGGGGAATCAGTGCAAGCAGCGGCCATCTTATCATTAAGGAAACGGAATGTTGCACCCCCGGGATGTGTCAAGTCTACTCTCTTCCCACCACCCCATCTGATTCCTTAGATTTTAAGGAATGATGACTCAACGCATAATACCCAGCATCAAGCACTGCCGAACATAGCTCTACATGGCGTTTCTCATGACTGAGTATATTCTACTTCTGAGAGTCGAACGCCATGAAAACACACTGCCCTAGTCTACTGTGGCTATGATTCGGAGTTCAAGGTTTCTTTATTCTTCTTGTATTTCAACTTGGAGCTTTTCTTTCAGAGACATGTATTTTTTACTGATTGCGTTTTCTCCATGAACAGAAAAGAATAATTGAATTAGTCTCAGCACTGTTTCATTCCTGGTCACCTGCGTATATCGTATCTTGTCGCCCCTAGCTCTTCAAAGCTGGTCGAAGAGACGACACATAGCCTAGGCGTAGGAATGATCGGCCGTATCGTTACCTGGTAACCACGAAATGGCTAGCCCTAGGTAGAGGTATTTGCGCACTGGTCGTTGAGCTAGGCGCCGTGCATATAAGTTCGTCTGATATGATAGTTATCCCACCTCGTAGATTGACCATCTAATGTCTGTGATAGGCATCACAAACAATCCCTTGTTAGATCTCCTTCAGCACCTATGGCTTAGACGGATGGCCTTGAAACCACCGATGAGACTTCAGCTGTGACCTTGTGTACATGATGTCGGCCGCGGTTGGTGTTTTAGAGCAGAACAGAAGAAGCCTCCCAGCTATTTAAGAAGTGATACTTGCCATGGAAACCTGTCTCCATCACCTCCAAATCCATCGAGCTTCCTATCTCCCTACAGATATCATTACTATCATCATCATGTCCGAGAACGAGAAACACTACAAGGTATACATCGTTGAGATGCCTACTACGCGTGGCTCCTCCTTGACGTATCCAGTCATCTTCTGTGACGTGGGGGTCACCCCTCCGAGCCAAATGGCATAGTCGGCAACATGCACCGCTTCCACATCGTCCATACCACCCTCTCCGGATTTTGCTATGGGGTTCGTCAAGCAGTGGAGCTCGATAAGAGCAAAGTGGAAGCTTCACGGTACAGGGGCATTGTTTCTGCCCAAGACTATAGAAGCTGGAACGATGTGCTGGACAACCTGTCTGCTCCAGAGCTAAACGCTCCACCGTGCCTGGCCAACCTCGAGATAGAGGAGGTGTGCAGACAGGTAAGGTTGCTTCACGAGCAGGCGCTAAAGGTGTTGGAGGCAAAGGGTCTCTTGAAGAGGCAGAAATCCTGGTGGAGGAAGTGAGGGAGCGGAAGCGCCCGGTCATTGTGTCTTTGCCTTTGTTGATGTGACTTCGAAGATTGTGTTGGTAAATTGATTGTCTCTGTCTCTTGTGCTGGTAGCTTGGTTGGTTCCTGTTCAAGGTTGAATGCGTTGAGGGTGGTCTACTTTCTATAGGGAGCAGCCTATTGTAACATAGGCATACTAGACCCTAGTATAGACCTATGAGACTGAAAGTGTTTCAATGAAATGGTGGGCGCCTTTGTGATTTTTTTAGAATCAAGAAATAAGCAGCGCATAGGGAACAATGGAGTACATAAAGGAGGCCTTCGCCCTGCATAGGTTCTTTCATCTCTCAGACCATAAACTAACCATCGTTGCTCGATATCTCTCTCCAAGGTCAACACAGATTAAGACATTATTCGCAATGAACCACAGCGCCCTGGCCTTCCGCCCTAAAGCGACGGACAAACGTCCTGTTTACCTTATCAGCTACACAGTCGAGTCGACCTCTTTCCCACAAGCGGCTATCTTTGTCGCCCATCAAACCAGTGCCTTTCCAGACAGCGGGGATCTTTACTTCATGGCTCCTGATCCTGGCAACGCTACAAGAGTGTGCTTCCAGCGTCAACACAAGGCAATCCATGAGATACAAAAGCTACAAATGAAAGACACCCTCATGCAAATAGGCACCACGTCTTCTAAAGAATATCCCGAGACTTGGGATGACACCTTGCACAAGATGGTAGCCGAGAAGTTCAACCAGCAGGCTGGGACACTTTCGACTTCGCATGGCTCTACTCTCCACCAGTGGGCCGAGGTGGCGAAGATGGAGTTGATGAAAGCTGGACTAGTCGAGTTGCACTCTTCTGCTGGCGATGAGTTGCATGTGTATGAGACTCCGGTGAAGATCAAGGTTACGATGAAGGCTTAGGGCTGGCCCGGCTGGGAAGGAATGAATCGAGATCACAGCTATAGGCTAGGGAGAGAAGTGGGTTGAGAGACACAACCGTTATGTTAGGATATCTAGTTCTGGTACATTGAATACATTGAATAGGTACCTTGAAGTTGTATCTTTCTCCTATTCAATGGCATCTGCACATACAAGAGCGGGTCTCGTATACTTCGCTTTGTCCCAAATTGAATTATTGGTTTAGACTTCTAGCGATATGGAAAATTGGAAATATGAAGATGAAATTGTTTTTCTTTTCTTTCAATCTATCTTTCTTAATGATAGATTCGTAGGGAGGAATTCTCTCTCGAGTCAGATGTGACCTGAATGGACGCTATCGTTACCCGTAAACAACTCAGCTTCTAAGCTCCAGCTCTCTCTCAAGGAACAATCTATCTTTCAGCATCATCACCATGGAGACGGAACAACCTCCCCCAACGTTGACGAACCCGCGATTTACTCTCGAACTCGAATTCGTTTCATCTCTTGCCAACCCTTACTATTTATCACATCTGGCAGTCACTTACCCCAACCTCTTGGGGATCTCCCACGACGATGACGACGAGTCCGCTTCTCCAGATGCCCAGGCATTTGCGGCATATCTAGCCTACCTTTACTCTTACTGGAAGACACCAGAGTACTCCCAATTCCTTACCCACCCAGGCCCCACGTTACGAGCCCTGCGACTGCTTCAGGAGGACAAATTCCGCCGTGACATTATTCTACCCCAGGTCATCGAAGGACTGGCAGGAATCAACGTGCCTGCACAAGCCCAGGCCGAGGCCGATGGGACAGATGAAAAGCCAGAAGAAGGTCAAAATGGAAAGACATGATCAGCCATGTTAGAAACTCTGAACTTACGCTCGATGCGTCCGGGATGTGCTTCTTTTCCCATACCAATACCCCGCCCTGGCAGATATCCGTGGTAGAAGGGACTGGCCCTATTTGGATGATTTGGATTCCAACTCGGCTTCACAACTACAAAGTTGAGTATGATTGGGGGAGGATTTTTCGTGACTGGGCTTCATGTGCGACCGAGGAGCGTGCTCCCGAGGCTCCGGAGTGTCGATCAGACACACCCTGCGAACCCCAACTTTTTTTCTTGCATCACAGAATCCTTCGCCCTGACGGCAGAGAAGATTGCGGGGAGGGAAGATCCAAGCGTTGTTGGGCATGCTCTCTCTCCATCCTGGACTGTCTTACCTCTGGAAGATGGTCATAACGAATTAGCAGTCTGGTACAAACAAGCTTGACCAATGAAATTTAACGACAATGGGCAATTGAAACTCAACTCAATTGATCCGATCTTAATTTTGAGCTTCAATGACTTTTTCATATAAAAGAACCCCAAAGATCTACGTAACCAGGCCAAGAATAAGCACGGAGTAGACAGGAAATATACACAGCCCGGTCATCCCGCATCTCAACCTTTTCTCTCTTTTTTCCTCATTCTCTCATTCTTTTTTTCTTTTCACCTTACCTTTTCTTCGTATCTGCTTTTCAATAATCTATTGGAAACCCCTTGGACCTGGTTCCTGTACCTGTTCCATCCTCGTTACAACAGTGCCCCCACCCCCCCCTGGTGATCGGCCCTGAACTACCTCATCACCCCCGTTCGCATCCACGTCGCGTCGGTTTCGACAACGCCTTTCCCATGGCCCTCGACTGATCCTTCTTACAACACCTCAAATCATCTGCGCTCAAGTTCCCTCAATACTGCGAGATTCGACAGTCGCACTCTCCGCACTCCGCCTCCGAGAGCTGCATGCGGCACCCGCACTCTCCCCAATGGAGTCCGTTCGCCAGTCCTGTCGCCCAAAGCACCAGGTGTTGATCCTAAAATGCTATCCGAAATATCAGAAGGGTGTGGCGGAGGTCAGGCCAAATCCCAGTGAACTCTCATACTTGCTGTACTATACGAGCACCCGCCGCAGCAAGTTGACCAAAGTCGGCGCTTTCCTGGAGAAGAGAGTCGCCCGCGATGTCTGGAGACGCAGAATAGGGTGAGCCCGGATTCTTAATTTCTAGAAATTCCCGCCTTGGGAGAACGCATGGCTGACCGATCTCATTCAACAGGAATGTTCAGGTGGCGCTGCACATCCTGGCTGCGCTCATCGAGAAAGTCCCCCGCGATCTCCCAATATACGCCCGATCTGCTCTCACAATCATAGAGACCGTTGTGAAGTCAAATGACATAACCATGGTGGAGGAATCGATTGTGGCCTTCGACATGTTCTGCCGACACCAGGACATTGCAGCCATTGCGGCGGACCAGGGGCTCGCGCATCAATATTGCGAAGTTGTGCGGACCTACGCAAGGTTCGCCGACCCGGCATTTGCATCCAACTCGAACGCAAAGTTCAGCCCGCAGGTGGCCATTCGGTGGAGGACTGCGGGACTGCGAGCGATCAGAGGCGTGGTCAGCTCAGAGAGCTTGGCCGCTGATGGAGGGACATCGCTGAAGCTCTGTTTGCCAGTCATTCTAGAGAATCTTTACTCTGATGATCAAGATCTTCTCACCACATTGAAGGGCAAGCTGACCGAAGTTCATCCGAGTGAACGCGACGGGTCCAACCCCCGAACCCGTCGAATGAGTGTCAACACAGTGGACACAGCCGATGGTGACCCCGAGCTCGCAGCACAGTCAGCCGTTGATGCAGACCGAAAGGCGGACATGGACGCTCGTCTCTTGGCTTTACGTTGTCTGGAGCAGATCGTTATTTCAGGGAGTAACCGAGGCCAGATCCGTATTGCGATGACGACAATCCTACAATTTATCTCACGCAAGGGCTTTCCACAGAGGGAGAATGGACAGACAGCCGACAAAAGTGGCAACTGGGCAACCTCCCTGATTGAACTCATTGCGAACTGGTGTCCGGTGCAGGTTCGTTTCATCATTTTGATCACGGCCATGGAGATCCTACACGATACAGGTGCCAAAGAGGATGCTTTGGAGTCTTCATTTACCATTCTTTCCGTGGTGGATTGGCTTCTAAAGTCCTCAGTGAATATGATTGGTCTAAGCGTCATGGACATTCTCTATGGACTCATGCATTACGCCTCTGATATACTCTCGCCCTCTGATCGGGCAGGTTCTGCACATTCAGAAAAGAAATCAGACGGACGGCCTGGCAACGCGGTCCAAATCACCCCCCGACGACAGGATCTTCTTACACTATTGGAGCAGTGCATTGGAGATCTCGCAACGCACATTTATTACGGAGACCAAGTTGCAGACATGATGCGGGCCATCCTCAGGCGTTTCAAGCCTAGTTCCACGATATCCACATTGGAAACAGTGCATGAATCTGGGGTGGCCCATGTTGACTCCCCAACTATCGGCTCCGAGGCCAACGGGGAAATGCCAAGCCCTGGAGGCTTCTCGCATGCTGCCGCCAAATTAACTGCTCTCCGAGCCGTCAAGGCTATCTTGGTCGTCGCCAACGCGAAGACAAGAGCTACTGTGTCTGGCGCGGAATCCAGAAACCCAGTCGGAATCCACGTATGGGAGGGAACCCAGGTACTTCTTCGTGATGCGGATCGCGATGTTCGCTATGCCTACACCGATGCATTCTTGTGCTGGCTGAACATCGAGACTAATGGAAACGACCTCAAGGCGCGAGTTGATGTTCCTAAATACACCAGAGCGATGTCCAAGAGAGACTTGGAGCAGATGGACAAGTCGGGTTGGCGAAACAGCTCGGCTTCTGGGACTCAAAGAGACAAAGTGGCGCTGGCGGCACGGTCGAAGTTTCTCCGTCTTCTGCACCTGGCTATATATGATGCTGCACTCGAGTCAGCTACCCAGAACGCCGAGGTCCTCTTGCTGCATCTGCTTCTGACAAGTCTTGTCGACAACGTCGGGGTGAACGCCGCTCAATTTGGTATTCCTATGGTCCTCAAGCTGCAAGATGACCTGTTCACATCCATTGAATTGAGTTCATCCAAGGCTCGCGTGAACATTGGAAGCTTGGTACATGGATACCTTCTGGCGCTCTCGGAGCACTTCGACATGCAGTCTTCTCCCGTGGGTAGTGAGATCACCAGTGAGATTCAACGGCGACAGGATCAGGGATATTGGCTTTCCACAATCCGCCTTCCCCCGATTGGCCTTGACGGCGTCGTGTTCGATGGCGAGAAGAACTTCGACAACGACCCCTCCCCGCCTCCATTGACACCCTTCCGCAATGTTGACGGACTTGTCTATATGATCGACGAGGCTTATCGCCAAAAGGTCTCCTCTCCACCACACGATCCCCCAGCCTCGCTAGCACGGGGATTCACTTTCCCGATCCTGGAGCACTCTACAGCGACATCACATGCCATGGCTGAGGGTGGCCTCCCGTCCGTCGTAAAAGAACAAATGTTGTCTCCGTGGTCTCGTGAGGCATGTCTGGCGGCTGTTGATAAGGAGAGCACCGGACCATCCTCTGTCAATGGCTCCCGGGCTACCATCAACGGCTCTCGGGCTACCATCAATGCCCGCAACAACCAACCCAACGGCGCTTCAATCGGTTCCCCTGCTGACTCCAACCATAACCGCCGCAGGAGCGTCCCAGAGATATCCGCCTCGTCACCTCTTGGCTCGAGCAGGGGCTCTGCCGTTCACGTCAATGAGCTTCGCCGCATGCTCTCAGTCACCAATGATTCCGATCTGCGAGGTCTCAGTCCCTTGCGTGGACACCTCGACACATCGGATGCCAGTATCGTTTCCTCCGGCAGCGAGAGCATGATGAGCGGTAATTTCTCGGTCTCCGAGATCGACGGAGATGCTGCCTCGATCCAGCCAGAAGGCCAACAAACACCCGATGGAGATGGAGCAGAGACACCCCGCGCTTCGGCCTCGACAATTGTCTTTTCAGGTGAGAAAGCCACGAACGATGAGTTGCCATCCCTCAATCGCACCAACTCGGACGCAAAAATTCCCCCGGTCCCACCGATTCCATCCAGCTTGAACATCCCAGGTGGTTTCCCGAACGACTCACAGCGCTCGCTGGTCTCGGCCGACCGCCCATATACTGCTCCCTCACGACAGTCCTCCGTAAAAGACAGCGCTGCCCTGAACAACAAGCCTCTCAACCGCGACAAGAGCCGTTCTGACCAGACTCTTAATGGAAATGGAGTCTCCGACCTTCAATCCGACTACGAGTCCAATGCCTTGAATGGCAGCCACCAAGATCAACTGAGGAAGCTCTTGGATGGATTCCTTTCACCCGTTGAACCTCGGCTGACGAATGGAAACCGTCCCTCAACGGCGAAATCTCCTTCCAAGACTTCGCTGGTCGGTTCGTTTGGCAGGCGACAGGTCAGCGGGGGCATTGGTCGCCCACCTTATTGATTCCTGTTTGATATGTGCCTTGTTCTGTTACTTTGATGAGCGTGATTCTTCGGGCATCTTTGCCGCCATGTCTATTTCTTGGCTCTTTTTCTATGTCTATATAATTCTCCTCTTACATTTTTCTTTGTCTCTTCTTTCCCGTCCGATCTCGACTTGCATGCATCCTCTAACGTTGTCCTCGGGCCCTTCTCCATTTCGATGTCTATCCTTCTCATATTCTTTTCTTTTTGCTTGCATATTTCATACTTCCTTGTGAAAGCTCGGGATCATCTTTTTGAGTCTCTCGGCACCTACATCTTATTCACTGGCCTGCCATGGGCAGTCGCAGCATACTGTATCTAGCTCATTGTCGGTAGACACAAAATAGACAGTACTATGATGAACAGGGGAGGGCCCACGTATATTCGGTATAGAATCGTCACTAACGGCTACCTATAGGTGAAATTTGACTACCTAGATTCAGACTTCGACATAAACCAGACACATTGCAAACGCAGTTGGGATATCATATAATAAAGCAAAAAGGTTGGAGAACACGTCCGTGAAGACAGAAATCATAGCCCACGTTGCACAACGAGACCCTGCAACGAAAGAGCTGACTCCTCCAGCGGACCAAAGTATTTGGTGAAAGCTTCCTGCAGAATCTTGGCCGAAATCTGCATGTGTTGTCCAGGGATGGTAATAAACTCCAACTTCCCCTTCTCACCGAGCTGCTTCAACCCCAGCCAATCCTCCTTGTAGATCGGCCGCTCATGCAACGGCGTCACCTCACCAGTCGTGGGATCCACCTCAGAGAAAAACGCACTCTCCTTCGGCACAGCAACAGTATCATCCTCAAACATGTACATCACAAACCGATTCAACGACGCCAGATTCTTCTTATAAGTCTCATTCTTGACCGCGCGCTCGTTGTTGATATCCGCCAGGAAATTACTTTTCTCGAGGTATAGGTCCAGCTCCGTCGGGTCGCGGAAGTACTGCGCCGGCACGACGCGCGACTGCGCAAAGCTAGTCCACCGTCCCGATCGCAACAGAGCCTCGGCCCCGCGACAGACCCAGTCGGTGGACGCGCAGGACTCGAACTCCGAGATGCCGTTGTGCTGGCTGCCGAATGTGACGAGGTTGTGGACAGGCGGGGAATTGCAGCGCTCGATGTAGCCGCGGAGGAATTGCCCGCCTTGTGAGAAGCCGAGGGCGTTGATGGCTGGTGCGGTGCGCAGGATTGGGTCCGCGGCTAGCTGGTCGCAGACTAGGGAGATTTGCTCGGTCACGTTGCCGATGAAGGTTGCTGAGCGGTCGCCGCTGCTGTCGTCTGCCAGTCGGATTAGGTGCACGTATGTGCCTGGGTTGACTGACTCGGCTAGTGAGGCTACTTCCTTCAGGCCTTCGCGTTCGAAGTCATCGCCTAGACCGTGCCAGATCACGAGGGGGAGCTGCGTTTCGTCTATGTCTGCGGTGGATTGCCATGGGAGCACAGCTGAGAGGGCGGTTGTGGCTAATGCCAGGAGTGCGATGGGACGCATTGTGAATGGTTAAATGGTGTGGTAACTAACAGATCTCTCGGAGTATCAGTGTTGTTCAGGTATGATGATTGGAGATGGTTGGGGAACCGGGTCCGGAAATGACGTTATCAGGTACCAGTCATGTGATGACCGAATGCGATCTAGATCTACGCAGGAACAGGTCCCAACATACGAACGACAATGGGAGTTTAGAGTGATAGAGTCGGACAGTCAAGATGACCTGGCTGAGTTACTCTCACTTGATCGGTGTCTGAGCTAAATGAACTTATTGATTGATATCTTGATGTGAGAAGACGGTAATATCCGCTCAGGTTGGAGATGATAAACACAGCGCCGTAAAGATGCAAAGACAAGAACAAAATGATGAACAAAAGGCGCCCTAATATGGGATCCATGTGAGATATCTCTTACTGGAATAGCAAGGTGGCATTCGTTGTGTGGAGGGTTCAACTGAGGGATCCTTTCTTTTCTCCACGAGACAAGAGAGAAGCTTATCTGTACTGTACATTCACACAGTATACCACCTTCTGTGCAATTGTGCAACCATAAAAAGGAAGTGTCGTGATTGGGGGTTTCATGAGAAAGACCTGTTGAACACTCCTGGTCAACAATACACGGCTTGCTCATCGAGGATACAGATTCCTGATCCAGGTAGCTGTCAACTTCTCTTTCCCCACATCCTGGTCGACAATAGAGGATACTTCATGGTCGAGTAGCATTGACTGGGAAGACATGCTGTTCAGAACCATCCCTGAGCTGTCATTGGATTGTGCTACTGGCCGTCCGTTCATCTCAATCCGGATGTCTTCAATGGTATCGATCACCGAAGAGGGGTTTCTCAGTCTCCGTTGTGGCTTAGGAAGCTCAAAAAAGGTAGACCCGTGGTTGTTAGTTGCTGCTAGCCGGCTTCTGTCTTTCTCATTCAGCCGCCGTCGCTTTCCAAACCGCTCTATTTCCTCTATTGGTGTGAAGGCGATGTCGAGTGGACGAGTAGCAGACACGGCCGCCCAGTCGGGGTCTTTGAGTAGTTGGCGCTTGACCTCGCTCAACTCCTTGGCTCGATTTGAGGGTAGGCCCCCAGTCAGATTCAAGGCCGGCTGTTCCGTAGCTCTAGAACCAGCAACATGACAGGTTAGTCCAATGATGACCGGACGGATGAACGGAAGCAAGGCCCAAGCAATCAACAGTTCTTGACTGACTGATTTTTGTTTGTCTCTGCCTCCTCTACATCTTGGTCTTGGGTGCTCGAGCCCTCCAATGATCCGATGCTAGGGAAATTGCGGAACGGGGAGGGTGAAGCAATGGCCGTGCCCTTCTGGAGCCTCGTTTTGGCAAAGTTCTGCTTCTGAGCTTTGGTCAATAGGCCTGAGCGGGTGTGATGGCGCTGCAGCTGGCCGCCTGTCCAGTTCATCATGCCAAGGAATGAGAAGTGTAGAGTGGAGGCCAATTCATCAGCTCCGAGGTTGGCGATAGTTCTGAGCTTATCTGCTTGCCGAGACAAACAGTGTAAACCGCATATTGCGTACATAAGCCATATCACGTGACAATCCCACCTACAAAAATCTTTTCCTTTCCTTCCCTTCGAGTCTTTTTCTCCATCAATCACATTTGAGGCTGCCCATAGCAGCCCTGTTATGATTTGTTTCATGCCAACACACACCTCTTCCGATATTCCCCGCTAACAGGTAAGCTATTGTTCCTTTTCTTCCGAGATACATTTCACCCTGTTTCGAGGCCCTGCGCCTTTATGATGAACAAACAATATTTAAAGCATAGTTCACCTGAGATCTTCGGATTGCTGAACGAAAACATATTCCATCTTTCTTTTTCTGATTCCTGTCAACCTTCATGTTTTTCACGCATTCAATTCTCACGAATCTGGCTGACCGAGAAAAAGACCGAAATCTAGGAAGAAACCATCTGCATTGCTGCCCAACGTGGGTCTGGCTCTGGCTCGCACCGTCCCGCGAGCCAGTAATCTTAGTTATCTCTATATATTGTTTCAATCCAATTTAGCCCATTTTACATTTACATTATTGGCTTCTGTCACGGTCTATTATTGCTTCACTTCCAAGTCATGGCATCGTCCTTCGTATGCTGTACAGTGTGACCTCACGCTGCAGGGATTTGTCCCGTGGCGCCCAGACGTGGGAGTCTCTCCTCCATAGGATGCCTGCGACCAACTGGCACAGGGACCGTCTCATCAACACGGAGGCACCTACCGATCATCCAATTCGGACATCATGCTGCAGCGTCATCCTGCGTCTCTCGTCACCAATCATACTTCCCGCCAAGCATCTAAGACGCCGAGGCCGTCTCACCGCTAGATAATAGCCCTCCACTCAATCAAACGAACACCCCCCCTAATATGCAGCTGCCATCACCGCCAGTCTCCAGCACTGGCTCTCGAGGTGCCAACAGCGCGCTGGTCTCCTGCACGATGCAAGACTGGCACACGCCATGTGTGATGGCCCACAGTCCCCTAGAGTCCGAGCTTTCATTTTCTGTGTGCTAAAAAGGCCGCTGATCCCCCTCTTCCATTCTGATTCTTCTTTTTCTTTCCTTCCTTAACTCTGGATACCCCTTTTACTACGCTACTCACAACTGTTTATACTTTCACACTATATACCCTTCAACAACACACAACACTTCAGTCCCTGGACCCAGGAACAACCTCTTTAACCCAAGACTCCCTGGTTTTTGATACAATCACTGCCACAAGGATTCTCTCTGCCACATACTTCCAGGACAGGATTTGCTTTCTTGTTATCTCCCAGGCTTTCTTTAGTCTGTCTACACTTTCGACAAACACTCAATAGGTAGCTTCCGCCACTTTTTCCTTACTGATTCTCCTATGCGATGCTATTTTTCTTTTATCTACTGGACCTGTACCATTGTCAATTGTTCTTTTGCCAAGGATCTCGACAACCAATTTCCCAGGATTCCAGGATAGACCTACTCCCCTGCTAGGACTTTGGCCAATATTGGCGACCAAGATCAAGGAACCCCTGCCAAGGATACTTGCCCTCAGCACCTGCTGAGTGATTCTCTTTTGAGATGTGTTTAATGATGCACACTCAATTCGCCATACTTCCACTGCCACTGGACTACTGCCATGGATGTCTCTCCTTTCGGACCTTGACTCTACTCTGAGACCGGAGTTTTGAGTGCGGACTTTGATATATCCTTGGACCCTATTGCCACTGGAAACAACGCCCTGGAATGGACCACTTGATGAACCACCCGAGGACTTGATATGATGACTTCTCTTTTCTACCTGGAACCTTGATGCCCCTATGGCCACTTTCAACAATAATGGAACCACTTTACGCCCAAGGAATCAATCCCGGACTTTTACAAGCTAATGTGCTTGCTCACTATCAATCATGGACTTTTGAAGCATCCGCTTCTATCTCTTCCTTAGGCCATTGATTCATGGGACCTCGCCATGTATATCCATCTGAACCTGATTTGGCCATAGGAATGAACGACTTGCTTTTACTTACCTGGACTCACCTGGATCATGACTCTTCAACCAAATAGTAACTCTGGCCATGATGAGACTGTTTCCCCTTGCACTGGCGCCATTTAGCATTACCTTGGATCAACGACAGAGCTGGATTCGAATAGACACGACAACTTTGACCAGGACCTTACAATCCCTTGCCAGCTGAGGAATATCTTAACCCCATAGGAGCGACGTTGGTGCGTATATATAACGTCACGCGGTTGATCTCGTTACTGACTCTCACTAGGTCTTTTATCCTCTGGACTCTCGGAGCTTTTGTTTTTGTTTTTGTCTTTTTGCTTTGCTTTTTATCTCATTCTCGATGTCGAGTAGTAGGAACTAACTCATGATGTACAGTGTTTCTTCATCACACAATCACACAATGTCTCAAAGGACAAGCAACGACCTTGAACGGGTCTCTACCTCAAAGCCCATGCACACCTCCATGGCATCAGGACTTCCAAGATCAACCCAGGATGAAGGAATGTCGAGCCGTGACACCTCACGCTCCAATCTCCGTACAGCCCATGGAAACTCCCAGGAAATCAAAGACTGGACATTGAACCACCAAGAATCTCTTGACCAGGCCATCTCAAAGACAGACCCATCCGAGGTCCACCTGCTTCCTTACTCGCTGTCCCAGCAGCTGATGACCCCCACGGTCGGCCCAAATGATGTTCTGTTCCCAGGCGCGGACTTCCCAGCAGTCCCTGACATGAATGACCATGAGATGACCCGGGATCTTTATAACTCTTTCCTGGATTTTTCTTCTGTAGAGAATGATGTCTGTGTCGGGAATGATGATGCTCTTTCCATCGGACACAGCTCCCACAGCACCGAGGATGGTCACTATATTACAGGCCCCGAGTCATGGACCCCAATGATGCATGATATGCACTACCCAGGAACCACCATGGAGCAATTTTCGTCAGGTCTTTTCCAGACCGTGCCAGTCTCTCCGCCCCTGACGGACGCTAGCAACGACATGTCTGTTACTTCTTCTTGCTCCCACCAGGGGTTCACTTCCTTCATGGCCGCGGATGATGTCCTCCTCGGAGATTATACCGCGTCTCCCATTGCCACAACCCACGGACTCCACCCCGCAGAGCCCTTGTTCCCCAGCACTTCTCTTGACGACAGAGATCTCAACAGGTGAGTGTCATGAACAGGGTCATTCAAATCAGAAGAAATTTGATCAAGATACCTAACCGCAAGTTCGTAGGACTATCAGACCTTCAAAGCAATCTCGCCGTTCAGGATTGCCAGCTGTCTCCCAGAACCAAGGAAAGACCGACCCGGAGTTCTTCCCAACCCTCCCAGTCAGAGAGCCAACCCGCCAGAGATCCAAGGAAGGTGTCGAGTCTCGCAACCCGCGAGAGCACCAATATTACTCCATGTCCACTCACAGCGATGGAAAGTACTACTGCCCATTTGCCACTGGAGAAAAGCCCTGCAATCACCCACCCACCACGCAAAAATGCGCTTACCAGCAAGTCCTCCCGTGATAAAGTTCCTTTTGGTATAACTTGAATCCCGGCTAACCGAAATCCACTAACAGCAAGTACCTGGATTCTCATCTGAAGCCATACCGCTGCAAGGTCGCCGCCTGCATTGATGCCCAGCTGCGCTTCTCTTCCAATGCCTGCTTGTTCCGCCATGAACGTGAAGCCCACGGATTACATGGCCATGGAGATAACCCTCACCTCTGCCTGTGGGATGGCTGTGAACGTGCCGTTCCAGGCAATGGATTCCCCAGGAGATGGAACCTCTACGACCACATGCGCCGCGTGCACGACTATGCCACCTCCGAGCGCCACAGCTCGCCGGAGACATCGCCCGCTGCCGGTCAGATCAAGAAGAAGGAACCCACTACCCGCAAGAGGAGAGTCACTGGTGTCACCCCGGCCCCCACCATGAAGCGCACTCGCTCCGTCCAGTCCCAGGCTAGCTCCAAGGCCGGTCTGGCTTCCGCTACTAGTCTTGGACAGCGTCTGCAGAACGCCGAGCAGAACTACTACAAGTGCCGCTCGCGTCTGCTTGAGCAGATTGGTAACATTTCCCCTCAGGATACCTCCATGCATGAGAAGGTCAATGCCAGCCTCCAGGAGCTCTTCACCTTGGGTCTGAACTACCGCCATATCGAGGCCAGCCACGCTGTTTCCCAAATGCCGAATGGATTGCCCGCTTGAAGGGATGCCGGAGAAGCTGTAGACCTCCTTCCTGGAGGGACACGGCGGTTTTCTTTTTCTTATACGGTTCGAACAACTTCACGGGAGGACTTTTGATTTCCTTTTCACCTCCGCGGCTAGATCGTGCTGCTTGCTGGCCAGGCGCTTTTGACACATGGAGGAGCCCTGTGCGATTGCTTTCGAGTACAAATCTTGTACTCGGGCCAAAGCGTCCACTTGTCCCAGCCTGATCCTATTATCGGACAGAGACAATCCAATATGGATGTTGCAGCTAGGGACTGGATAGTACAAGCGTGGAGGTTCCACGCTTGAGGCCATGTGATCTTTTCCCGATTACAGGTCGCTCATCACGGGGATCTGAATGCGGCACCAAGGAATTCTGGCCTTCTTGGGCTGTAGTTTGGGTTCTCGGATGAATCATCCCAATGACACAAGGACCCAGGCTTATGCGGAGGGAATAGCAGAGCGGGACGTGGGTGTCTCAAAAGGGGTGACAGAAGAATGGCAGTAGAGAGCGAGAGCAAGAGTGAGAGTGATGTATCGTTCAACATTTCTTCGAACATTTCTTTGTTGATAGTCATAGATTGCGCTTGAATTTTGAATCGAATGAATTTCGTTGCTTTGCATCCTTTCCACGTTCAACCCTACTGTATAATAGTTCGAAAAATCATACCTCTACGTCCCAATCGAACCCTTCGTAGGCTCACGAAACTGTCAAGTCATAACCTCGTTATCTCATAACTACCAAGGGACCTCTAGAAAAAGACATCTAAATCTATCTACTCTTCAGCAACCTCTCCCGAGATCTCCGCATTGAGGAACCGCACAAACGCGTCCCCAATCTGATCAGCCGTCAGCGTACCACTAGAGGCACCATGCCCCCGACCAATATACGCTCTGTTCAAGCTAATCCACTGTCTCCGCAGCCTCTGCAGCCGCGGCAACGCCAAAATCCCACCCGCACCAGCAAGCTCGTCCGTCGTCCCAGACATGGCAATATGTGAAGGGACGAGCACAGCCACTTTGACCTCCGGGACGTCAATAGCGATTGCATCTCGGCGCTTACTCTGCGCAAGGGCAACTTCGGCAGATGGGCAGCTCTGCGTGAAATTGCGGATGGCTGTCACTACTGCCGACGTGCGCTTCTCCATTGCGTACATCGCGTTCGGGTCTGTGGCTACCGCTTGCACGGTTGCTTGGTGTGGGACGATCCGCGCACGGTTCGAGAGACCTGTGCGTCCGCCGCCGCGAGTTCCCGTTGCCGTGCTGGCGGCGTCAGAGAGGGTGGTTGATGCGAGGGCGTCGGCTAGGCTTGGAAGGGCGGTTTCGGTGGGGGTTTCTGTTGTCGGGAGGACTACGCCGGTCAGGGCGGCGAAGATGTCGGCTACCGGTGGTTCGGGGTCGTCCCAGGGGACTGTGAACAGAGGCTTGTCCCAGCGGCTGTGGGTGCTGGGTTCTTCGTATCGGAAGATGAGGTTGTTGAGTAGTTCGGGTGGGTAGGCTTCCTCGGTGTCCTCGGTGGCTGTGGAGTCGAATGCGGGTGTATCATGGGTCTCGGACGGCTGTGCGTCTGTTTTCTTTCTGGCGTCTCGGCGTAATCGGGCGTCGTTGTTGGCGACACACTGGTCGACGGGTGTTCCGACGTGAACCTATTATTCGTTAGCCCTTGGGTGTCGCAATTTATGTTGCATGAGCTGGTCCCATACCACGCAGCATGTAGTTTGCGCAGCTTTCGCCTCACACCACAGCTGGTACCTCCATCCTTTGATATAGTTCATTCCGTCTAGAATGACGATGCTGTCCCGCTTGAGCACGCGCTTCGCTCTTGCGTAGGCGACGCCACGCGCCTCTTTCTCGGTGCGGGCATGGTCGTAGACGATCCGTGGATGGGAGGAATCATGTGAGGCGACAACGTGGACCTTGTATCGGGACTTCAATGAGACCTGGGCGCCTGCTTCAGCTGCTGCAAACACTTCATCTTGGTGTTTCTCAAGCAGGGATGCGAGCTGATTTGCGCGATAGGTAAGACCGGAGCATGGATATCCCGTCAGGACAATGAGCTGAGTTTATTTTGGTCAGATCATTGCATAGGTTCGAAGGCTCCGTGACATACCGGCATCGTTGGTTGTCGCGTGTTTTCGTTCTGGTGAACTTTTTTTCTTTTTCTTTTCTTGCGGGGTTGTGACATGACATGTGACCCGCATCGCATCTATATGAATCGCAACCACTTTACCACTCTTATTGTCTTGTTGTCTGACTTGGTTATTTCTTTGGATTCATGTTAAAGAAGTAAATAACTAGTACCAAGTAATTTCATATTCTCAGAGATCTATCGAACTTTTGTCTTATCATGTCATCGTATGATCAATCCAGGGGGTCCACCACAACGATCAAGCATCTGTTGATAAATCTTTAAAATTCTCCAATTCATGCTGGCACCACCGAATTTCATATCCAAATACAGTTCTTCGAAGCTTCTCATCCTGCGAAGAGTCAGTACCATGGCTGCGAATCAGAGAGGTCTTGTCAGTCTAAACTTACGCCGGGGTCTTCCTCGAACAAGACCGCATCCATCACCTTTTCAAAGATCTTGGTGACAGTAAAACCGCTGGCCTCGGCCAAGGGGAAGAACTGCTCAGTCTTGGGCAGCAGCCAGGGCTGGTAAGGAGTGAAGACGACCAACGCAACAGAGTTGGGGTCCTTCTTCATGGTCTGCTGCATGGTCTTGATCAGATTGGGGTGCTCGCGATGGCTGTACACGACATCCGCCATGATCAAGACATCAAACAATGGGGGAGAGCCATCGGCAGTAGGAGGCAAATACGCCTGCAGCTTGGTTACGTCGTCGCCCCATTTGTAGCCGTCGACGTGAAGGCGGGGCTTTCCGTCTTCCCTGGCAGGAATGGCACCGGCTGACAACTCTGCATTGTGCTGCATGTTGGAGACCAAATCTGGATCAGAGTAATCGGTCATAACCACAGTGCGAGCACCCAGGATGGCGCTCACAATGCTGGGAACGCCTGCCGCGGCACCGATCTCGAGGACATCCTTGTTTCGGATGAGTTCCTCGGCATGCTGTTCAATGTAATGCGAGCTTGTTCGACCAGCATTCCATAGCAGATTTCCCTGACAGCGTGTGTTAGTGGATATTTCTGTTGGTCATGTCGAATGATACCATACGTAGAGGGGGTGGCTGCCGACGAGGCGAACGCGCACTGTCTGGCCCGATAGCATGGTGTGCTCAGCAATTTTGGGCGGCTCATCCTCAGGATAGTACCCTTCTGGGTCCTTAAAAAGATCCCCAGCATCAAAATCGTCGGCCATGGCGGTAATGTGCTAATACATGTAGTACTTCGTATGCTTGGGCAAAAATATCTGTTATCTGTTATCGGCTGCTTATCGTTGGTGGGGTATCTGACTGCCTGAGGCGTCCAATAGGCATCCAATCCCCATGGGATCACATTCATCCCGATGTGGTAAGTGAATGTGATAGCCCAGACAATGTTACGTCGCGGTCACCCCGCTTGTCCAAATTTCGCAAATGCTGGGAATGGTAATTACGGTGGTGTTGACTATCACATTACTAGTACATGTGGAATACTCGTCACGAGGTACTGTGTACTAACTAGTCCTTACTAGCAGATGTGAGGATCGAATGTCATAAGGTGCTGCTACGGTTGCTTGATATCTATCGAGATAAGCACGTGATATTGAAATTTGCCTTCATTTCAAAGAAAACTACAAAAAGGAAAAATCAACCTCGGGAGTATTGAAAAGGCTTGATTTGGAAAAGCAAGAAGAAGAAAATTACGGTCAGATTGTGTGGAGAAAAACGTGGAGATACCGTCACATTACCAGTGATCTGCCCCGGATAAATCTCGGGCTCAAGAAAAAACTGTCTCGTTGCCCTCAAATGATTCCCTTTCCTTTCATAGTTCTCTGCTCATTTCGAAGACTGCTTTAGACTCTGACTCCTGTCTCAATTCTGCCTGCAATTCTATCTGCATCCCATTCAACATCATCTGCCAGTGGAAATCATCCCCGCGGCTAAATTGCTCAATTGAGCGGCTTCGACTTCCTCGCCACTGTGCAAGCCCTTGCACCGTTAATCTCTCATCACCTCATATCTGCTCATAGAAAACCCAATAATTCTCGCCTTGCAACTTTTCTTCCATCCCAACCCTCGAAGATCCGGTCACTGATCACGCCATGGACTCGACTTTGCGAACTCCTTACAACACTCAACCTTCTACCTCCCTCAATACCTCCACCTCTTCGACACTCCACCCATCAACCAGTCAGACCACTATGACCGCCCAGGCCCAAAGTACCCTGGATATCGCAGCGAGTGCAACCAAGCAGGTCTTTTCTTCGCCCTCGCTACAACCTACCTCATCTTCCCCGCATACCTCCGCTCCTCCCACGCAACCCTCGTCACAAACAATCGACAGCACTTCCCACCCGACCACACATCCCATCGCTCCCCCATCCAACGCAAATGATTTATTGTCTGTCAATCCAGTCCCCGACGCGGCACCGTTACGAGACAACAATAAACTGGGGGGACCAACTGCCACAGCACCCTTCCTACAGGACTTCAATCTGGTCGCCGAGGCAGCCAAGCGCGCTCAAATGGGTATTGTCATGCGCGACCTCGAGAGCGTGACTCTTTGATCCGTTAATCACGGCACAACGCAGGCCCCCGGGGTGGGGGCGGGGCCGAAGATACGATGCCATCCCGGCTTTCACGTGCTTCTCCGAGGATCATGACAGGCTTTCATGTTCCAGATACTGTTGATTTGGGCGTTCTATACACGTGGGATTTGATTTCGGGTTTCGCGTATGCACCTTCCTGCGGGGGGTGTTGCGTTATATACTCCAGTGCGATCCCATCATCGTTGAGATGATTCGCCTGGTTGATTTTGGGGAGTTTTAGCTTCAGACGGTGTTTTTATCGGTTCTTATATCTATCTTATGGCTTACAGCCTGAAGCCATCTTATTCACGAGACATGCAATACAATTATTAGATCATACTATCGCGGAGAAGATCAGAAATCAGTAAGAGCTAGAGAGTAGTACATGGATTATCTGCGGCCTAGGTAGAGATGTCAAACGGCCATTCTACACAGTACCTACCACGCTGAACTTGCCTAGTTATAATAGAACAAGCCTTGCTTGAGCTTACATGTAGGTTCGGCATTCTCTACCTATGAACCCAACGATCAAGGCTCCTTACTCCTTGCATACATTACCTATCTGACGATTCTGGAAGCCATGTTCTTTTCTCTTTGTCGCTGTCAATAAATACAGAACTCAAGTACCCGATTTATTAGTTCAACGGGAGTGTCATAATAAGTATTGTAGTGGGGAGGTGTGACCTCCCCCTACAGGCATGCTTCCCCTGACACCTCCCCACTACAGTATCTACTGAGTAGACTGTCCCATCATATCAAGTATGGGACCAGTCCCAACTCACTGCTAGCCCTGATACGGACGGGAGTAAACCAACTACCTACCTCCAGCCTCTAAGCCACATCCTGGTTATGACGCAATAACTTGTGAGGCTATCCACAGTGCCCATTTCCACCCGCGCACGAGATCATAATTTGCAGATCCGGCATCAAACTGGGTAATCCAGTTCTCAGCTGTACCTCTCTAGGATAAGCGTGTTCAGCTCATTACCGAAAGCGTCCAAGAATGAATACATATATGAGAATGTATGCCGTTCTGAGTTAAGGGGGTTCAAACTGTCCGTTCAGGGTAATACTTTGACCGATCCCCCACATTTTCCCCCCGGACTTCGGGGTGGAACCGAGGGATTTACCCGCCTCTTTGTTTGGAAGTTGGGGTAGTGTACAGGGGTAGTGTAGACAGTAGAGTGAAGTATTTAGCCAGCTTCTGAGTAGTATAAGGGCTCAGTTGATCCCCCGCAATTCAGTTGAAGGGGTACTGCGTGTGGAATTTAGTTTCATTGAACAACGCGATGGCAGTCTCAACAACGAAGAAGCCCTACTTCGGGTTAACAGGGGGATGGCTTACCTTCTGGATTACGGTATCGTGATTTCTGGCGATGTTCTGTGCATTCAATTGACCCATGTCTTGCTTCAGGTGGCATGCGCGACTGATATGTCCCTATTTGGCTACGACCAAGGAGTGTTCAGTGAGTAATAGTCGGCATTTGCATGAGCTAGTAACTAAATCTGTATATAGGTGGCGTCGTGATCACCCAGGATTTCCTCGAAATCCACGACCTAGTCGGACCCACGAAAACGACCACTCTATCTACGGTGACTGCGATATATGATGTTGGCTGTTTCTTTGGGGCTATCGTTGCCTTCACCATCGGCGAACGTCTAGGTCGAAAGAAAGCTATCCTGCTGGGAACTACGATCATGGCGCTGGGGGCAATTCTCCAGGCGAGTTCCTTTAGTTTGGCTCAGATGTTTGTGGGTCGTATCATCTTAGGGTAAGTGCCTCTTGATTAGTATAGAACCTTGGACTTTTCCTTCTAATTGCCTTGATAGTCTGGGAAATGGTAAACCAGCCCAACGAGTCAGTCCAATGTAATGCGGAACCTAACAGACATAGGCATCAATACTGCTACAGCCCCAATTTGGCAGACCGAAACATCCCAAACGAAATGGCGTGGAAAATTGGTCATCCTGGGGATGATGATGAACATCGCCGGCTTCTGTCTCGTCAACTGGATCAACTACGGGTTATCATTTGCAGGTGGTTCCGTGGCCTGGCGATTCCCACTCGCATTCCAATTCATGTTCCTGTTCATTCTCTGGGGTACAACGCCCTGGTTACCAGAGTCCCCTCGGTAAGCATCGCCCCACCATTCATGTGCTATAGGGTTGTACCGACCTGACAACGTCCAGGTGGCTCCTCGCCCACGGCAAAGAAGAAGAAGCAATGGAAGTCCTTAGCTGTCTCGAAGCAAAACCAATCGACGACCCGATAGTCGTAACCCAACGCAACGAAATCGCATTCAGCATCCAATACGAGCGCCAGAATGCCGTGCGCTGGCGCGATCTCCTGAAGAAAGACAAGAAAAATGACACCAAGACACTGCGCAGAATCTGTCTCGGCGTGGGATCGCAGTTCATGCAGCAGTTTGGCGGTATCAATATCATGTCGTATTACATGCCCACCGTGCTGACCAAGTCGGTGGGGTTGGAGGAGAAGATGGCTCGTCTGCTGTCTGCTTGTAATGCAGTCTCGTACCTGGTTTTCTCGGGTATGGCAGTCTTGCTGATTGAGCGTATGGGCCGACGTGGTTTGATGCTTCTCTCGACATTTGCGCAGTTCCTCTGCTTCCTGATTATCACCGTGTTGCTCAGCTATTCCGAGACTAGTCCCGATGGCGCGGGCACGGTATATGGCGAGGCTTCGATTGCATTTTTCTTCCTTTATTACGGGGCTTTCGGAATTGGCATGCTGGGTGTGCCATGGTTGTATCCCACGGAGATTAACTCTCTGCCTATGCGGACAAAGGGTGCTGCGGCTGCGACTGCGACTGACTGGTGCGTGTTTGTTGGGTTAAGGACCTTGTTGGCTGTTTCTGACGGAGTATAGGATTACGAACTTCATCGTCGTGGAGATCACGCCGATCGGAATCCAGAGCATTGGGTGGAAATTTTGGATTGTATGGACGGTGACCAATGCGGTTTTCCTCCCTGTTCTTTATTTCTTCTATCCGGAGACTGGTATGTTCCAATGTTTCAATTTCTGTGATCTTCTTACTCACGATCGTCATAGCAAATCGGAGTCTCGAAGATCTCGATGCTTATTATCGCACCAACCCATCGTTGATCGTCGTCAGAGACCCAGATGCGATCTGTCGGAAGCGACCACAGAAATATGTGGAGCGGGAAGATGAAGAGTTTGAGAAAACAGCTGTCAGTAAGGGTATACCTGTCGAGGCAGACCATATTGAAGGGACCGAGGGAGAGAAGAAGTGAATAAGACGGTCATAGATAGTAGACCAGAACTGTGGTTATATCCTCCGTACGGAATGCTGGATAGGAGTTACGATTGCCTTTTGCCTGTCCATAACTATGTTCCACATACTTCGTATCGAGATCCCAAAGAATGAAGCTGCCTGTCTCACAGACGGCCCCACAGATAATATTTAGCCGGTCAACTGAGCCGTGTTGGAGAAGTGGAGTGCCCGAGTCCTTGCTTGGCACTAACATGAACAGTGAAGTTAAGGAAACGGGTAACTACAGAGAGTTCGAGGGAAGCCGTTGTCTGTTTACTTTGTAAGTTTCAGATTCCCGTTTTCCATTGTCCGTCGCGTTTAAAAGTTCGTGACCGTTTTCGGGTTATTTTTAGGCGTTTGTCCGACAATGCTTGGCAGGAAGACTGCATGGTGGCGCAGTTAGCGTTTTGTTTATTGCAAGCCTTATGCATCAAGGGATATCTCTTATGATCTACCACAGTATCATTTTGATCAGTCACAGGATAATTCAATAGTCCATTAATAGTCGAGTCCAATCCGGATGCCCAAACACCCAAGCTATGCGCATGAAGGTATATACAAGTTCAAAAACAGCGATCGATGAAAACGGTCATTCTTGGAATAAACAAAAACAAGGAACAAGAAACGAAAAACCATCGCTATCCACTCCATAATAAGAAAATGAAAAAAGAAAAAAGAACAAAGAAGCGAAATAATTGATGCTGAAGAATGGCCAAAGTGAAGAAATGATTATGCCAGAACGCCCCCTTCCCGTAGTTGCGCATGTATGAATAGCGGTGTGTTCCGCGATGACGAACTCCCATGTGCAATGTACATGCAGGTCGGACCAAGTCTCTTGGAGTTCGTTCGCATTGGTAATTTTGGTTATTAGAGGGAATCTTGGCTGCTGTTTCCGTATTGAGTCGATGAGCCGATCAGATTCGGGGAGGAGATGCTGGCTGCTTTGGAGCTGGGCGCCTTGCCCCGCGAAGAGAAGACCGAAAGCCGCCGCGAAATACGCTGGCTCATTCCTCGTGTCGGTGCGGACCAGTTATCGAAGGAGATGATGGACATCGGTCGCGACCGCGGAGGTCCGTGGGATGTCATTGGGACTTCCGGGAGTGAAGGAGGAATGCTGAATCCGGGTCCGTCCGAGTAGACAGTTGAACGCCGCTTGAGGGTTTGACGAGTCTCTAATTGAAGTGTGAAGTCTTCGCGGATGTCGCCGAGGACATGCGAGACTCGGCGGAGGAGCTTGGGTGGTTTGCCGCCGTAGATGGAGGGCTCTCGTTGTTCGAGGCCGTAGACTTGAAGAGGGGTTGAGTCGGGTTCTTGGTCCATGGGGGACGAATAAAACCGAGGGTACTTGACTGGCATGGCGTTCCGGCGGCGGGAATTCGGCGAGAAAGTACGGATAAAGACCGGTGGCGGTGATGGGTGTTGGTCTGGTGAGTGCACCTCGGAGGAGACGCTCGAAGAAGAGGAACTGTCTGTCGATGAAGTCAACATGGCTATGAAGATATGAAGAAGGCAATGAGTATGGGGAAAGAAAAGAGAAGAAGAAAGAACGAAGAGGAGAAAAGAAAAATAAAAATTAAAGTCCCAAAAAAGAAGCGAGGATACATCTCCAAAGATGAATTCCGAAAAAGACCAAAAGTGGATCAGAGAGAGACATAAACATTTTAGTCCCAGAACTACCAGACGCCGTCCCGTGTAACACTTAGATGACTGTAATTTCGAGGAATTCTTGAATTCTTGATTTCCTTGCCCGTGATCATTAGCTTAGTAGATAACTTCACTATTGACCAGAAGGAGAGATCTGCGGTAGCTGGAATAAGCTGTAGATAGCTCCCCCATGTGGGAAAATTAAGGAAGTCATATGACTGTCATCGATTATCAGATCGTGTCTCAAGATCTGACACACGGATCCCATGACGCGGCAGAACAATGCACGATCTTCTATTTAATATGTACTCCGTAGTCATTCTCGAGTTGAGTAGATCCATGTAGCATTTTCCCCACGTACTTTGTTATGTTGCATTTGTTTTTCCATACGAAACGTCTGTGTTGCCGACTAACCCAAGGGGCAAACTCATTGTATCCACGGTTTTCACCGGGAAGTTGGAACTGTGGATCATCTTTTCGGATCTCCGATTGCTGATTAGTCCGATTCCCGCTCAGGGGGCGCATGGCGCCATGTTTCGACGGGTTTTTTATAGAAATCTTGGAAGTTGATGGATGTCAATGGCAGGAATCAGAGACATTCTAAGAGTCTTTGGGTCATCTCTTTAAAGAACTGCTTAGTGCTTACATATAGAACTGCCAGTGTACGGAGTACACCTTCCCAGTATCCGGAGAAAAGGAAAAGTTTCCCCACGGAGTTTTGTCGATCAGCTGCCCGCTTTCCAGCAAGGAGAGAGAGAACCACAGCCACACATGAGCCCACATGCGGAATGGGGACTGGGGCTGGTATTCTCCCTAATGAAAATCAAGCAGTATTTTATCTGAGGCTGTGTACAATTACAGTACATGTTCGAGTCAATTTCAATGTTGCTTTTAGGTTTTGTACCCAAGAATCAAGCTGTCATGGATCTGAATTCCCGGCGTAAAAACACATATCTTAGCGCGAATCTTATTTTTGAAATACCTCCACAACTAAGCCTCTTACAGCCACCTTCCTGCTGCATCATTTGATACCAATTTGATACTAGTTTCAGTGATAATTGCGCCAGTAGTTAAACCAGTGGCCCGCCCTTCTAGGGGGGTTGCGCGAAAACTCTGCCAATCTCAACACCTCCGATCGCGTCTTAGTAGCAAATCATGACGTCCAGCAGCTCTTCGAGTATGTCGGTAAGGGCGGAAAGGTACCAGCACTGGTATTAGAGATCTCAAGGTGATCCAAGAACTCACGGCGAACCTGATGAAGAATCCAATGGGTGAAGATTGGAAGAAGGGGTTCGCTCAGCTCAAGTCTGGGTTCAGAGGGAAGATCCCTACCCCCCAGAGAAACAATCTGCTATCAAGGAGCAACCACAGCACCGGCGAGCAAATCCAATAAAACAGGGCCTTCAGGACGTGTTGTCTCGTACCGTCGTACGTCTAGGCAGTCAGGCGGTACAGCACCTAGGCGGCGAGTCCCTCGGAGCTCTCTAAGGACCGTGAGATCATTGTCAATTGGGTGGTTCCAATGGCATTACTCACTTCCGCACAATGAGGATCTCGGACGGAGATCAAGGACAGGGCTGGGAAAGCTAGGGTGCCTTGACTCCCTGGATCCATATCGATGAGATTAAGCAGTATGTGAACCAACCTTCCAAAGTGGAAAACTTTGATACCTTTTGCCCTAAAATTAAGTACCAGATCAGACGCGGCACTTGTGGCAGTGAGATAATTGGAGTAATCCATGGGGATAGTCTTGCCAGTTGGCTGGAGGCTGGCCAGTTGGCGGGAAGGATACAACTGGACAGAACCTGGAATGTTTTTGTTGATATTTCATTTTTTTAGAAAGGTAGGTATGTACACATGCCCAGCTCACTTTGTGCATATAGTTAACACTTACAGGTACACGCTTGAAGTGTTACTTGGGTGATAGGTTTATCTCTCGCCGGGCCGCAGCCCGGGGTTGGGTCCTGTCATCTGATACATACGGAGTACATGTACCTCTATATACGCTCTTTTCCGCACTCAGGACTCGGAACCTTGGAAGTGATCTCATGTGATTCATTTGCTACATTAAATTCGTGCTGGGATAACGGCCCAGGTGCAACTTCACATCACGAAGCGGAGGTTGACGTCTGTTTGAGTCAGCGGGGACGTTGGGGTTGCACAGCAGCGAGAAACGACTTACCAAGCGGATGGCTACAGCTCAGCTGCGGCTTTTGCGAATATCTCCCCTCGAGTTCGTTCCGAATTGTGTTCAGCAGCTGCAGGTAACTCTGGTGCGGCCACTGTTGCAGCGATTTTATAAAAGCCCAACTCAATGCACCACGCGCCTGTCCATCCTGGAACGTATCGGCCCTGTTTCGGAGTATGTTAGAATTCTTATTCTGGTCTTAGATTCAAAGAGGGCGCCACTTACGAGGTCTGTGTGTCCTTGGACCCTGAAAACATTACTACGTCGGCGGGGGAGGTTTTGGTCATGAGGGTGCGCTCACGGGCAGATCCGCTGTTGGTTGCTTTCTTGAAGAACGCGATGGCCGTTGAAGCGACGCTCGAGAGATCACCCTGCCCATATGCAGTAAAGGCACTGAACAAGTCCTGAGCCGCTTCCTTGGCCAGGTTGGGCTCCTTGAGAATGCCCTGCGTCGAGTAGATGTACGGCAGATCCAATGCAGTGCCCGAGTGACACGAATCGAAGATGGCCGTTAATCGCACTCCGGGCCGCAGCGGACGCACCATGATCGCATGCATATCATCATCTACTATGTGACCTGCCACACGGTAGTCCACTGGATATATCACATCGTCGAAACCATCCTCCTCGTCTCCATCTAGATCGGGAGTGCGACCTCCATGGCCGGAGAAGTGAATGAATAAAGAATCGTTCGGCTGGGCATCCTTGACGAGCCACTGCATTGCACGTAGAATATTGGCCTTAGTGGGGATGCTCAACGGATTAGTTTGGTCGTCGGTGAGAATGACCATGTCCTCTCGCTTGTACCCAAATCTTTGGGACAGGAAGTTGGACATGTTGGTGACATCGTTTATACATCCTTTGAGCGCATTTGGCTGCCCTGTGTAGTTGATCCCAATCAACAATGCTTTGCGGCGACCGGTACAAGCCGAGTACTGGAACTGGTAACTTGACGGAGCACCTCCCCCGAATTTCTGAAATGCCTGTGGTGGGGGTGGGGGCAAGCCCGGGGAGTCTGCACGAGGATAGCCTGTTTAATGGTTAGCAAGATTTTAAAGTTGATTGGCGTATAACTTACCATTCTGAGGGGCGCTAAGAGTGTGCTGGTGGAAGGGAGGGCGAGGTGATGGAGTGTGGCCATAGGGCGGGGTAGGAGTGTGAGGAGGATATTGGGGATATTGAGGAAAGGCTGGAGGATAGGGAGACGGGCTGTTTCCTGGGTAGGATGATTGCGGACGATGATTCATATAGGGCTGAGGCTGAGGGTGATAGGGCTGAGGCGGGGGCTGCCGCTGCCATTGGGGAGGTTGTTGATACCCCCATTGGGGTGGTGGCCCATACCCTGGAGGAGGCCCATGGGGTGGAGAGTACATCTCTCAAAGATGAAGTACCACCAATATACTCTCAGATTTCAAATCCAACGGGCAACGAGATGAAAGAGAGAGAAGAAGAGACCGAAATCGCCGAACAGTTTTAAATCCGGGCTGGTGCCCCGGTGGGTACTTTCCTCCGCGGAGGCTTTAGTGCCCGGGCAATTCTGCACACAAAGTACGTACAACGTACAACGTCTATCTCTAAGTTGAGGAGGGGGAAAATGAATTAACCGTTAGAATTGCAGTATTGCATACAAAGAATCAATCTAGTCCTTTCTTCAAGTTTCTTGTACATAGGTGAGTTCAATTATCTGCGTATGGACAATCTCTCATATGCACTACGAATGATGAAGAAACATTCGAGGCCTGAGGCCCCCAACCAAAGCAACCTTCAAATCACGTGAACTTACGCGACCTGCCACTTTTCAGAAGATAAAGATGGAAAAGAGAAACAAAGGGCCAGGAAATACAAAAGACGTATCCAGGAATTCTAGACCCTAGTATATACATAGCATGTCGCAGGTATGTACATGGGAGCTGAAAAGTAGGTAGAATAGGCAACTCCATTAAGCATCCGAGACCTCGCCTCTGAGGCGGTGGCTTGGGGGATACGCGTTAATGCGGCTCAAAAGGGCACTTGGTCCCCGCCGTTCTCGTGACCCCGAAGTTGGCAAGTGAGGTTGATCCTTGAACGAAATGCAGAGCTAGATAGAACACCATGGAATTTTTGGAATAAATCTATGCTTATGTATCCCCGCTGCAGGTGCCAAACACGCTTCGCTGCACCGAAGATCCCATACCACCCTGAAAGATTCCCTTTGAGCAATAAGGATCTCGGACTGATATCAATCCCCGCGTAATCCGTGTGACGAGAAAATCGTGCATATCTCAACTCATACATAAGACCAATGGAGACGGAAGAAGTAATGTTTCGGAGTTGTGGCCTGGGCGTCATCCCCGAAAGTCATCCCCGAAAACAAGAGACATGAGACCTAAGAGCCCCAAAAGAGGTCTGTGGTTGTCAATGGATTACGCCATCTAGGGAGATCGTCTCGGATGCATGACTGGCCACTAGTGGCTGACTCGGATAGAATCAGTATCCAAGCTTACGGAGGCGATCGTGCCCCTTTTCTTTTTGGGGTAATCCGTGAATTGAGGCTCTGTTTACGAACTCTGTTGGGATTTATTCGACGGGACAGTACCACGGTTCATCATTCTGGGTCTAATCCTTTTCTGGTAAACCCTTGAGCCTCACGATCTCCACCTTCCCCATATTTAAATCCCCCTTCTTTCTTTCCTATGGGATCGATGGACTTCATTTCATTTCTGGTCTATGGCAGTCGTCCTTCTGTTTGAGCCTTCGTGACATTTGGCCTCTCCCGCGACCCACTCCATCCTCCCTTGGCTTCCTGCACAGCCATGACGACTTTGCATAATTTGGATACTCTTCCATTCGATGTATTTTATCAGATCGCAGTCTCGCTGGACGACCGTGATTATATCAACCTCAGCCGTACCAATCGCGCCCTCTATGACCTGTCACAGAGTGAACAGATTGCCCGAAAAATTGTTGAAGTAAGCCCAGACACAGCCCCAATCCCCGCAACGCTTGGATCGCGAGGTTGACCCCAGTTGCAGAATGTTTTGCTCCACAGCAAAGAAGCTCAGGCGGCCTTGGCGGCCAAGTCTGGCTTTCGTCAGGCTATCGGACGTCGGGTTGCCATACACGAGGCGGTTGCTACTGCAAATCCCTACTCGGTGGCTTGCCTAGGCTATGGGGCCGACTTTCTCTACAACCAAGGTCATCTATGCTATTGCGCCGATCATTGGATTCGTCTGCTGTACGTACATGGTGCGGAGTCCAGGGAGCGTGTCATTGACCTGCGCCATCTAATCCCCCAACTACGGGGATCTCCTGTTGGCCTGGAGGCAGCAGATCTGGTCACCCTCTTGAGCTACAGCGATGATATTCTGGTCTTCCGAGTGGCCGACACGTACACGACTGAGGGCACGTTGTTCGCGGTCAACATGGGGTGGCAGGAATCGCGCCAGGATAGAGAACGTCTACTGCTTCAGCGACAGGTCCCTGCGGATGCACCGATCTTTGTGCGCCATAGTGGATCTTATGTTTGGTACGGCACATATACAGAGCCCGCTGGATCATATGGGGTCTGGTCAATCACTGGTGTGGATCTCGAAACCAATGCATCCATTGAATTCCCGCTCGACCGAGTGGTAGTCGGTGATCTTGGCCAGACATTGTGTTTTGAGATGCACGAGGAACATCTTTACGCTGTATCGACACAAGTCGCCCCAGACGACGAGGAAGTGCACACCTCTTTCTATCATTGGTTCTGTCATGCCCCTCGTGAAGGAGGCCGTAAATGGAACGGTCGTCTCTGGCGCCGAGAGCATCAGGAAGGTCCCATCAACGAGATGTGGACCGATCTTTCGATCCGTAAGGATGAAACCACCGGCCGGCCGGTGATACTGGAATGCCGCCGTGAGTGGCGCGACGGCAAGAGCGAAAACCATCGCACATACTACATACAGCGACTTCCCACCCCGGAGGAAGCTCTGGCGCCTATTTCAGGGGGCACTGGCGTCCCATCTTGGGTTACCGATGATGATCACGGAAATGACCACCCTTACGACGAGCGGCCCGCAAAGAGACTGAGACGCCATTACCATGCCGAGTACGAGTGTGGATCTACAAAGCGGCGGGAGTTTATTGCAGCTCGCACGAAACACAGGAGTTATCATCTCGGTGCATCAACCTTTGTCGACATTGTCAATGACCCTTCCGGTGAAAACTTGCGGTCTCGAGACCGACTAAAACTCAGGACTGTGTCCCGGAAGCGCAAATGTCCCATTGACGAGGAAGGTCTCGAGGGAGCCCGCAACAGATTATTTCAACCCACACAGACGGACCAATATGGCCGCCCCGTTGAGGGATCTGAAGAACGCTTTGAGTGCCAGGGCGTACGCATGTGGCCCCCAGAAGATGCCCCGGCTGCCCTACAAGGATTGCTCTGTCCTGGTCCGCGCACTGGATCTGTGAAGAGTGTTGCAGATGAAAGGTCAATCATGTATTCGATTGACGCGCCGGGACTCCCCCCAAATTACCAAGCCCTTATCCTCATCAGTTTTGACCCTAAATTCCGACTCCCTAGCACTATACCTCTTCCCGACCCTACCTCTCCAGACTACAATCCTGGGGAGTTATTCCCACCAACGCTCAAATCACCACCTCCATATACCCCCCATTCACGCGCCTTGGTAGAAGAAGCACCGCCCTTTTACATAGATATCAAACGCGGTTATCATTTCCGGTGACTCGGAAAGGAAAGGATAGTATTTCCTGAAAGACACCAAAGGCCAAATATTATCAGCCGTCACCTGCAAGAGGCCATTAACACTTAACATGTTAGTCTAGAAGCAAAGAAAAGAAAAGAAAAAACAGATGAATCTCGAATCAGCGCACAGTAAAGATAGTATCCGAGGCTGTGCATGAATCCTTCGCAGTGCAGTAAAGACGACGAAGACTCGTCTTGGGCAGCCAGGGGTAGGGGCCTTGGGCAGCAAACTTCACCTTTCGGGGTTGATACAACAGTCAATTGGTCTTGCTCCTCGTGTTTTACATCAAGCACTTCGAAGTATGCAGGGACACAGTCCCGTATTGTATGTGTGATGCCTCCAGGTGGGTTCACGATAGGGCGGACTCATTGGAGTAGAAGTCCCGGCCTAATCACCTTCTGGACTAAGATCTACCAGCTTCCGACGACTGATGAGTTACGTGGACATGCTAAGAACGAGTACCTACAGGTTCGTTAAGCTAACGAGCCAGCATCCCAGCAATCAGTAAATTACAACCACAGTATGATGCAAATGAGATGAACCCCAGTAATATAATAAGGTATAGGTAGCTTCTAACTAGTGTATGTAGTTATTATCATCTAGGCCACATCTAGGCCAACGCAACCCCGAACCGATATAACAGGCAGTCAAGTTAAAAACATAGTAGAAGAAAAAGCAACCAGGTCTATCTTCTTCACTAAAGACAAGCCCGAAAAAAAGGGAAAAAAGAAACAATATTCAAACCCAAGCGCCATCCAAGAGGCCGTAGCCACAACCCAAAGGGGGAATCAAGTATCGTCTAGGCATCAGCGCGCGAACTTCTTGCAATCATATACATAGAACCCGGAACAAGAAGACCTCTCTAAACAAGGAAAAGAGATGAAACATAAATCGCAGAGACAAAAAGCAAAGGTGGGGGGATATGTTGTGAATGGGATTAGAGGATAGGTATCTACTCACAGCTTCACGTAGTAGTGAGCTAGCGAGTCAATGATTGAATCCCGTTTAACGGGGTGCGCATCGCGGAAGATATCGCGCGCGGCGAGACTGCCCTTGAGCTTTGAGGCGAGCTCGGAGCCAGAGGGGAGTTCGGAGCTCGAGGTTGCGCTGGAGTCGTTGTCCTTGATCTTCGTGAGGTTGCCGAGCAGGTTGCCCCCTTCTCCGCCAATGACGTCGCTGAGCTTTTTGTTGCTGTTGAGCAGGTTGTGGATGGTGTTCTTGAGCAGGTCGGCGATGGGGACGTTGGCGGTCAATGTGAGATCCTTCATCACGTTCGTGTAGTAGGGCACGAGGGTATTGTTCCATTTCACTGATCGGGTGACTGTGTCCAGGGCGAGGTTGCCGGTCTTGATCGCCGAGGCCTGCGAGGCGATGATGGGTCCAATGTTGTCGAGCATGGTGGAGATGTCGAGGATTCCGTTGACGGGGAAGACGTTCGGGCCTGGCTTGAGGGTGACATCTTTCAGGGTGACGTTTCCGATGACGATGTTGCCGCTCTTGACGTCCAGGAGGATTTCGCCGATATCGAGGGTCAGTACGGAGGGATTGGGGAGTGAGGCATTTCCGACGAGGTTAGTGCCATCCTCAAGGGGTGCAATCAGACCACTGTCGGAGATACCGAATCCCTTGAATTGGTCCAGAACTGATGATCGAGTCAGCTTGTTTCTCTAGGGTAAAATGTTTTTCTTTTACACTTACCCGGTGACATGATGTCCTTGTCCATGGTGACCTTGGACTTGATCACTCCCAGGTACGACATGGTCGTACCCCGGACTGACAGCGGGGTCTCCTTCTTAAATACGACATTGCGCACATAGCTCTCCCAGGTGGTGCCGTTGGTCAGCGGGGTTTCGACGTTGTTCACGCCCAGGGTCGTGTTGCCCCGGATAACCTTACCGTCGAGGTGGGCTTGACCCCAGTGGTCTTCGGGGCCGCCAACATCGCGCACGTAGAGATCCAAGGTGATGGGATCAATGCGCACGGGCAATGCGAGCTTCAGATCCAATGCCGACAACAAGGTCAATTCGATCTTGTCGGGTCGTGGGTTCAGCACTGAAGCATTGACCAACACCAGATCGGACTTGTTGACGACTGACTGCGAAATGGCAGGAATGATAACCAAGAACCTGGAGACACTTAGTCTGCAAACTATTTTCCCATTCGCATGTGACTTACAAGATGGGCAAGAGAATGGCCAAGAAGATAATCGTCACAAACAGGTGTAAACACCAGAATCGCTTCCAATGGCGCTGGATTTTCTCTCTCTTCTTCAGCTTTCTCTTCTGCAATGATAGACCTCCAGCCGATTCGACCTGGGCGAGTTGTTCGAGCTGGGCACTTTCATCGACGTTCTTCTGGAGCAGAGGGCCACGGTGAATACCGAGAGTGTATCGCGCTTTATCTGAGGTCAGATAAGCCGGGGTATCTGTATTGGCCATGATGACAAGGACGCGACGCTTGAAAGACACCAAGCTTAGGGGGTTCCGCGTATATGTAGTGCTTCCAGTGCAACGTCTCTTGCAACCTGCCAGGGAACGGGGGTCTCCCCCTCAGAGTGACCCTGGAAAATCATGTGGGAATATCCAGGGGCCCCAGAATTCGGAATGACTCCATAGTGTTATTCCGCTGAGGGTCGGGGGGACCCAGTGGATACAACTAAAAAGAAGACTAAGAAGAAGCGGGTTTCGCGTCGGAGCAGCATTGCTTTCTTAGGCGACGAATGACGCAGAAGGGGGAGGGATCAGCGCCACAGGAAATGGCGATCAACTAGTCAACCGCGGCTTATTCCCGAACGAGTCGAGTCAGAACAAGTTAAGACGTTCACATGGGCCGAGATGATCGACGTTCTCTTAGCACGTCCTTTATTTTTCCTTTTTTTTGAGGGGGTCATTGGTTTTGCGGGGAGAGTGAAGAGAGAAGTTTTCTGGGGTGTGAAGATCGAATCTCTTGGCTCTCTTATCATATTAATGCTCCGTACTTCGCAGTCTTTGCCCTTTTCAAATCAACTAGTCGAGACACTTGGCACTTTAACTATGTCTTCCACTTCATCTCCCGTCTCCCTGAATGAAAAGGCCGTCGAGGCCCTTCCCACTGCACATCGCCTTCCCACGGGAAATGGCTCCGATGCAACAGTCACCAATCTCACCACCGAGTCAGGCCGTCTTCATGCTCTCGAACAGCTAGAGGTCCTCCCCAAGATACTACAGGAGGGGATCCTCTTCGCAGGATCGGGAGCCACCCTGCTGCTGCAAGCTGCCATGCCGGCCATTCGTGATGCCGGTCCCAACACCGGAGGTCACAAGGAACTGGCCACCGAGCTGATCGAGGCTCTACAGGCCAACATCAGCTACCTCTCCTGTCTGGTCTTCGGCACCCGCGAGGAGCGCAAGACTCTCATTGACCTTCTGCTCAGTGGGAATCCACCCCTGCTCGGCGGCGGTCGGTCCAACCGCTTCACCGAGCACCCGGAACTGAGGCGGTGGCAGGCGGCGACGCTGTACGCGACCGCGACAGACTTCTACCAGCGGGTCTATGGCCGGGTCGACTACGCCAGTGCCGAGCGGGCTTATAGCGAGTTTGCTCTGCTCTTGAACTGCATGGGGGTGCCACCGGGCACCTGGCCTGAATCCCGTCAGGCCTTCTGGGCCTACTGGGATGACCAGGTATCCAAGTTGACGGTCTCGGAGGACGCGGCACTGTTTGCCAAGGATCTCCGTGAGAGCCATGAGATGCCCCGCTGGGTGCAGTCGTTGAAGCCTTTCCTGCGTGTTGTTACGATTGAGATGCTGCCCCCAAGTTTGCGTGAGGCGTACGAATTGAAGTCGACTGTCGCGACCCGCACCCTCTACCGCACCTGGATGGGTTTCTCGGTCGCAGTGTATCCAGCGATGCCGAATAAGTGGAGGGCGTATCCTCTGCGATTCTACCAGGACCGTCTCAAGGAGAAGTTGAATGTGGTTTGAGCTGATGTTGTAATTAATTTGTCATTCCCTGTATATACCCGATCGCTATGATATTATATCCATTTCTTTTACTTTGTATATAAGATTGAATGTTCCATTCATTTGCATTTCGTATATATACTCCTTCATGAAGCTTTGGACATAATATAAAGTAAACAATCGTGATTCGTATCAGCCCTTCCCTCAACGCCTTAAAGTGAACCCAGCACACCACCCAGGAGCTTGGAGACATCGGAAAGCAGCTGTGATGTGTTAGTCGAGTCCAAGACCAGTGAAGAGACGAGTTCCATACCGGTGTGGCATCGCCGATCAAAGTGGTTGTGTTATCCACGAAGCTCTTGGTCAACAAGGAGTGGGCGTTACCCAGAATATCGTTTAGAACGTCGATATTCTTGGGGGCGAGCAATTTGGCTGCTCCATCGAGAATAGTGTCCAGCTTGTCGAGGTTTTCCTTGGTCAACAGACCCTGCACACCATTGAGGATCTCAGGAAGATCTTCCAATAGCCCGGCGGCGGCCTCAGGGGAAGCATTTGGGCGGGCTTCGGGAGCCGCCAAAGCCAATGGGGCCAGAGCCAGAGGGAAGAGGATACGAGAGAAACGCATGATGAGAATTGTTGAAGATGAAGCAGAAAGAAGGAGCAGAGAAAGAAAGGAAAGACCCAAATGCTAGCAGTTATACGTTTTGAAGTAATCTTGGGGAACTTGACCTCTTTCACATTTCCTCTTCGTCCACTTCGATCTAGACCTAATCAGCTTTTCATCTAACTAATTTAGCCCGAGGATCGTTAGCCTGATGGGGGAGGCCGAGGAAATCCTCTGCCATGTGAGATCGTGGAAGTTGAGGGGAAGATCCCCGCAGGTTTCACCCCCAGATCTTGATTATGGTAAAGATCGTCGGTTGGAGGAGACGATCGCCCTTAGTTGAGATTAGTCTTCTTCGCTTATTTTTGCTTCTCGTTTAAGACAGTTTGAGACATGGAACCTGTCTTCATGGAATCATGGCTTCATTCTCCACCTCTCTGATACTACAGAATAACATCGGAGAATCAAGTCGGTTGAGTAGGGATCGACAACAATGACAACGTCGCTTATCGACATGCAGGTCACCTCCATCTTGCTGCATAGAGAGACATGGGGCTCTGCCACATCGTCATTTGTCTCTTCCAAGCTTCCGATATTAATTAATCTAACGGCGTATTCCCGTACTCCAGGGCCGAGCATGTGCTTAATGCTTGAGCTCCACTTCATACCGAATCCAAACATTTGAACAACTACGGAGTACACATGTTATCTGGGGTTATTGTGGAGCAACCAATTGCATTTCTCTGAATCACATCTCTCGTCAAGTCGTCTAAAACATCGCAATGGACTTTGCCACCATCACAGTCTTTAGTTCACAGAGCTAGTGCTAATCCCAGCACTCCTAATGCCCCCATCACCGACACCGTCAATCCCGTCGCCTGCGCCGCCCCACCCGTGGAAGTCGAGGTGGCAGACCCCGACCCCGACCCCTCGGTGGCGGTGGCGGTCACGATGCTCGCCGTGTTGGCCGCTGTCGGACCCGTCGTGGCTGTGTGAGCCCCGTCCGAAATCTGTGCCTTGACCACGGACATGTAGCTCTTCACGTCCGAAGGGAGCGCATTGTACCAGGCGGGGGTGGTGCCGGCTCTGAATTGACTGCCGAGCGCACTGCGTTGGTCCGGGTTGATGAGCTCCCAGATTACGGAGACGGGCACCACGGAGAGAATTTCGGGGATGAGTGATTTGGGCGGCGGGGAGATGTTGGCAAAGTTGGCGCTGGCGGTCTGGTTGGCCACTAAATGCTCCCTAGAGAGTGTCAGTCTGGGAATAGAGAGTGCTGGACTAGGATGGGATGTACAATGCGCTGGTGATTGCCGGGAGATCGATGCCATTCTGTCGACGGTGGTGGTGTTCGCCGTAAGCTGTAGCGAGCAAGAGGAACACTGCGGTGAGTTTCATTTTGTCAAGAATAGAGAAACAGACGAAAGTGAGAAGTATCTAAGATCTGTACTGGGACGGGGTTCTACGCTGTTAAAGAGTATATCAAATGCTTAGCATCTCCATTGGTCGGTCGATCTTTTAACTGCTTGGAGACAAGTGCCATTTCTGTCCAAGTCTCAGGTCACATTCAATCTTCTTGATTCTCACGAGTCTAGATCGTGTCGGTCGCCGTTGATCAACCTCGGCCTCCCCGGGATCAGCTGCTAAAGGCGGGGAAATCCTGCACGCTAGCCCTAACACCGACGATTGACTTGAGATCTCGGGGATTTTGTGATCTCCCGAGAAACGTCGAGAGATTTGCACAATAAACTCAAGACGGATCTGCTGTCGATCGATATCAGCACGGGAGACGTTGTGGTCACCTATTCATCGTATCTGATCATAGTCTATGAATCCAGGTATAACCGGCCACCGAGAGATTGATCAGGAGAAAGGGCAGGAGAGGAAGATCGTCGTTGCCATGGAGAAGTCATGTTTACTGTTGACCCGAGGCAAGAACGAATCAAATATTCCTCAAATGGCAGCAACGACTGTCAAAACTACATGTTTACACAGTCTACACTTCACATTACACCAGAACGCTAGGTGACGGTAAATTGGACGCCGAAAACGACTAGTTTTGACGCCATTTTAAGCGTCCTATTTACCAGGTTCTTAGTCATTAATCAGTCACGTGACTCATTTCTGCCCACTCTTACTATCTGTTCACTGACTGCTCAGAGAGCGCTCCCTGAAGCCGAATGGAACTTCAATCAATCAATCAATCAGCGCTCCCTGAGCACTCATGGTTGCTCAGGGATCAGCTCAACCTTCACTCAGGGTACTCATGGTAGACAATCAGGGACGTCATAATGTTTTGCCCACCCGTTCTAATATTTAAAGAGACTCTGCCCCCGTCAACCAACCCATGCAGGTGGGCTTGCTCAGGGCACCTCGTCCAAGACTTGCAAGTACATCGTCAATTTTCCAATTCCCAGGTCTCTTCTGTTTCTCAAACACTCAGTCCTTACGGTTTTCTTTCTCTTTCCTTCTTTTTTACTATTATTCTCGTTTTCTCACTATCTAGTTCCTAGTCCAATTCATGCCATGTCTGTTCTTGATACCACTGCAAATGGAAAGAAGCAGGCTCATAGTCCTGAGTATTACCGGCGACGTCGTCAACAGCTTGAAAAAGGCATTATCCAAAAACGACATGCTACTTCAACCAAGAACAACGGTAAAATTAAAAGACGATGGATCAGGTAATGACCTACCTGACTCTTTGTCCTGATATGAGACTAACCGAAACAGGCACTGTGAATATCTAGGGGAAGATCCACTCCAATTTCTTGTTGCAGCACAGAAGGGAGACGTTATGGTTTTTCTGGAGTGGATTCTTGACAACTCCAAGATCAAGAAGTTCAGCAGTTTACATGAGAACTGGAGGCAATGGTGTTAGCTCTACCGCAAATGGGCGGTCAGGTGACCCTCTGGATGGTGTAGATAGATCCCCTCTCTCTCCCCTCTCTCTTTTTCTCCTCCAGTCCCTTTTCCTGATAGATCGCGCAAAACAGTCGCTCCTACAGATTCTTGCTGCTATTACGGAGCCTCTTGATAGCTCAGTCTCTCCTAACCTTGCTCATCTTTTCTCGCCTCAACCACCAACTCAAATTTCACACAATCGCGAAACAAAACAATTAACGCAACATGGACGAGCTCCGACATAGTCTTCTCACCTACCCAGACTGGGGATTTGTCATCTATCGCACTACCTACTCCGCTGAATCAGATACTCTATTCCCAGACGCTATTCGGTTTATTGAGGGCTGTATCAAGGAAGAATTCTTCGCAGAAGCCGACCGACGTGCACCCAATGAGCCAAGCGAAATCTGGGCTAAACACCGATCGACCATCGTGCAAGATCCTGCTCAATTTGACGGGGCGTCCCTCGAGACAATTCGCGCTCATTTCGAGGCCTGGGTGGAAGCTCAAGGCCTGCGTGACTATTGGACCACATGGCGAATGTGCATGATTATCGATGAAGAATCTCTGCAGACTTTGAAAGGTGCACCAATCGAGGCCCTTGAAGATGGAACCCTAGACGACGCCGACAAAGAGCTTCGATATGTAAAGGTTCTTGAGGCATTCCCAATTGTGGATAAGTATGATACATTTCCGGGGTGGATGAAATGTTGGCCATATGTCCTTTTCGATCTCTGGTCGATGATGGGAGATGGTGACGAGATGAGGGGGTCATTTTGTCGCATTGATGATCCTCCCCTTGATGATGATGAAGATTTTCCCTTTCCAGGAGTGTACTGCGGATGATTTGATATTTTGCTTGATGAGAATATGGTGTCCATCGGAGATATGTGCCCACTTGAGCAGGTGGTGTAAAGGTTGTGGAAAAGACCAGTCGACGGGCAGTCAAATAAGAAAGAAATACTCTTCTAAAGTTTGGTTCTCTAAATGTAACAATGTGTGTTAGCAATATAGATGATGAGGCCCTCAGGGCTGCGAATATCCATGGATGATGATTTCAATTTGCATGCCCTGGTGTTCAAGGTAAATTCTTTGTTAAACGTAGCAATGTAGCGATCTCGTGGACATAGATTCTTCGGAGAAGTACACCATGCAGCACGATATCTAAGTATAGCCCTGGTTCGTTTGCTTGAAATTGGTCTTTGGCAGTCATTCCACCTGGCAAGGTTTACTTCGCAATAAATTTCCTTGTTGGAAATCGGCGGCCGGATCCCGGAATGACTTGCCCCATTGCCACCTAATCTTATCCACAGTTGTTGAAACAAGAAGGAAGAGCCAGCCCCGGATATAGAGAATTGGGACAACAAGCGAATCTATGTTAGGGTCATTGAATGAACGGCGGGACAGAGCCTGCGTGTTGAAGGGAAGAGTGGATGGTGAATTGTAAAGGTGATGAGATGGTCAATCTCTCACACAAGTTGAAAGACACCGTTGAGCCGACCAACTGGAAGTTTACAGTGTGAAAGTTACTGTAGCAACGGGAGAATGCGCCATTTCCTAGCCATCGCTCCCAGGAGTAGGCAGCAGTGCGGATATCGTCGGAGCTTTTGAAAGAACGATGATGCAAGTTGAGATCAAACAGGCCGATCAGTCTGAGCACTGAGGTGAGCGATCAGGTTGCTCAGTGAGCTGCTCAGGGCGGCGGGGTGACTAACTCACCCTGTGCTCCGGGAGCCGATCACTTCCCGAGGCGGCAGTTTTACCGTCACCTAGATTACTGTGTAAAATAAAATAAACCTCAATCATGGCGTTAATTGGATATCATATCAAACACATCGTAAAATCGTGATAGTAAAACATCAGAAGAAAAAAGCACTCGGCAAAGAAAACCCAACGGCTTAGACACCACCCTTCTTCTCCATGTCAGCCTCAGCACCACGCTGACGGACCTTGCCCTCGTCATGCATATCCCGGTACTTCTGCTCCTCGGTACGATCACCAGTAACAGCAGCACCGACCGATCCAAGAGCACCATGAGCCCGGTTCTGGATGCCCTCGCCCCAGTCCTTGAGCTGTCCTTTGGCTTCCTGCTCCTTGCCAGCGGCGTTCTGCTCGGCGCCAGTGCGACGCAGGCTCTCGTTGCCAATCAGATTGCCCAGGGACTCTTTGGCGGAGCCGACGGTCTGGTCCCAGGAGCCGGTGTCGCGCTTGGGATCGTCTTTGGCGACGGCGCCGGTGTTGGGGTCGGCGGTGATGTTGCCTAGCTTGGCGGTTGTGTGGGAGGCTTCATGTTTAACTTCGCCTTCGTCTTGCTTGACTTCGCCTTTCAGCTAGGAGGGGTTAGCATGGGAGTGTAGATAATGTTGGGTTGGTACTATCAGATCGACGCTTACCTGAGTGGAAGAGTCGCCAGTCACGGTGCCCAAGGCACGCTGAGCGAGACCGGTGGCCTGATCGAGGTACGACTGTCCAGTCGAGGCGTTGTTGTTTCCGTCAGACATGATAGCTTTTCGTATTGTAAATGGTAGATAGTTTGAGTCTTGAAGAGATGGTTGGAGAATGGAGGTTGAGAATGAAGATGTTGGTGTGAGAGTGAAAGAGGAGGAGATGCCTCCTTTTATGTGGTTACTGGTAGGCTCAGCCACTTACTTCCAGGAGTTTCTCCCATGTCCAATGTTAACCTGCCTGAGGTTGAACAGGGGTTCAGAATTGTCGCGATGCACTACGTCATTGAATGATGTCATATCACGTGGCTGGAACCAGAAATGACGCGGTTTGCCTTCGCAGGGGATTCCACCGCGTCATGTCATTGAACTAAACAAACACAGCAGAAGATGGGTTGATCAGAAGAGAAGAAGACAGTCATAGTATTCAAAGATAACTGTCCGAATAAAATCTGCTGTCAGTAGTCATAACGTTCGCTGGATATCATTACAACACCAAAAATCACCAACGGCAACACAAGTCATAACCCCCAGATGCAATGTCACGCTCAAAAAGAAATTTACGTCTGAACCAGAAACAATGCTTTTTAAACACCCAGTATGCTACCAGTGGCAGATCCCGCCCTCCGTTTCATCGGCCGTCCAGGTCCCACAGAGACCGACAACCTTGAATTGACCGTCCGGTTGCTCGCCCACTTTGCTCAGCGAAGCAAAGGTCTTGTCTGTAGGGCCGCTCCTAAGCAACCTTCGAGCCCATGAATCGATGGCCGGTTCCCCGGTTTCATCGCGAGCTTGCTTGAGAAACGGAATCAGTGCCGTGCCACCGGTACCACGGAGCTTCTTCTTGTCGGCCGGCGTAGCGGTTGCAAGGTTCGTCGCTGTCGGGCGTGATGAAGCAGGTTGAGAGGGTTGGCCAGCGCGGGACTGAAGTATGATATAGCGTGAGACCATGGTAATATGTTTGTCACGCAGAACACGCAGCATCGCGAGACACGCATCATAGGCAATGCACAAGGCCGAGTCTCCCTGTCGCGCCTGGACAAAAGACCGAATATTGGCGACAGAGTCGACCTGCTCAAGGAACCGTCGATGCGGGCCAGGCATGTATGTGCGCATCTCGTGGATGAAGCTGTTTCGTGATTTGATGCCATCTCCAGGGCTCGGCTGTTCCTGATTCGAGCGGGTTGTACCGGTGGGTCGGTGTTCCACTCCGAGAACGATATCGAAGAATTGGATGAGTGAGCTTTGCGCATTGCTGCCTCCTCCATACTGTCGGTACTCAGGACGGTGGCCGTCATCGTACAGCAGTCCGAGGGGCAATCCCGCATCGCCCATGTTTTTACTTCCGGCTAGATAGGGCCGAATCCGATTGTAAAACACATACGGGTCGCAATTGTCATACATCCTCTGCAACAATGTAGTAATTTCATCGATCGTTTCCGCTAGTCGCTGGAGGCACTCTGTGACCACCAGGCTGTCTTCGGTACGAGCCGCTGTGATTGCTCGCAGCATCAAGGGGATGGAAGGGGCACCACGTGCTTCCATGGCGACGGAAGTAAGGTAAAACCATTGCTCATCCAATGACCCGGTGAATGTTTGTAGGCACGCTAGGTTGTCCAGAGTGTCGGCTGGCTCGTCCGACAAGATTGGCCTGTAGTTCCACAGACAGACTCCAGCATATGTTGCCACGGGCGGAAGTTCGAGTCGCTCACAGACTTCGAACAAGGGGACTGTCAGTTGGGGTGGAATTCTCTTCGGACAATTAGTACTGGATATGACTGATGTAGGATGGAAACTATACCTCTTCCGGGCGATCACCACCCCAAACATAGCCATGTAGGATGAATACAAGTACCACATACGCACGACGCCACTCCGCCTCTGTCCGTAGGTTGGAGGTGGAGAGTGTGGGGAGATGGTCCACCATTAAGCGCAGACGCTTGCTCAGAATCAGCGCGTGCAGATTTGCCAGAATGGACTCCCATTTCGCGTAGTACGGATCTGGAAGTACCTGGAGTGGCAGTTCTGAAGGGAGGAAGCCACAGTCCGGGGTGATTCCGAAGTCGGCAGCATTCGGTACGGGGGCCACATGATTATAGTGAGGATGCGCTCCAACAGCAGATTTGACGTCCGCTTGGAATGCAAGGTTGTTCTTCAGGGGGGTTTTCCTCCTCGGATCTCAGTCCCGGGAATCACCGGATCAGTTTCATAGGTATAGAAACGGAAGAGAGATTTGAATGAAGTGGGCAGTTGTTAGTTAATTAGACGAAGACGGAGAAGGAGAGATGAGAATATGTTAAGAGTTTTGATTGAAAAGGAAAGAGGCAAATGGCTCTAATCTCGTAAAGATGTATTCCCGAGCCATTAATTTCACCGGGACACCAGGGTAGGATCATTTCTAAGCGATTCGGAACGGGTGCGCTGACTTCCCCAAAAAGAGAAAAAGGAAAAAATACGAAATGAAAAGAAAAGGAAGGAAAGGAGAGGATAAGGTTACGACAGTTCCGATATAGGAGACAATCAAAGTGATCTTTAGAGGACCTCGATGGGTGGGTTTAGAGGAGCAGCGAAATAAACCATGGTTAAGAAGCAGAGACCGAGTACATTTTATATGGCTACACACTTCTAGTATGGGACTGCCAAGACTGACTGGGTGCACCCTATAGACCTCACAAGTGGAGTCCCAGTTAAGCGAGACCGGACTGAGTGTCAATCAAAGGGCCTGTTTCCCCCTCCAGACACCGGCAAACAGTCAAATGAGCCATTTTCGGGTGAATTCGCTTATTTTGGCTTCAACCTTCGCTTCACTCATCTTGCTCCAGATCTTGCTCCAGATCTCCATCAATCTGGGGACGACTCCGCTTTATACTTCAACCTTGACTTGTATTCTGACATTCCTTTTGATCATTTCTTCTTCCTCTTTTTCTTCTCTTTTCTCTCCTCCAGTCACATTTATTTCACTTCTTTTGAATAGGTCAAACCCACTGTGGGCCACGGAAACTCAAAATGATTCATCAATGCCTAATGGTTAAGGCACTACTGGCTACTCACGTGATACACCCCCGGGACAACTTTCCATGAACGGTAGAACCTTGTGCCGCAGACCCGACTTTGTTATCCTGGGCAGTGGAAAATGCACAAGGAAGTATACGCAGTTTATGCATTGTTCGACTAATCCTGAATATTCTCATCCATGTCGTTCATAACTCGGACCGCAGAGGAATGGCTCGTTGGCAATAACTATTGAACCACGGCATGGTGATCATTCTTTACCTACCTCCATGGTAGTTATGCCCAAGCCATGGAATTGGACTAAAGTTGGTGAAATTGCCATGGTAGAGATACCTCCACGTCGGCCGAATTATTGTATCTCCCCCTTAGAGTGCCGGAAGATGTAACTACTTGAAGCTCAGGAGACTGGCCAGTCAGAGTGGCCGACTGGCCGTATGGACACCAAAGCACAGGACGAGGATCGGATTAAGCATCGTAAAGCCTTAACTGTACCGGTCTCATTCACCACGAAGGCTATCTTATAGGATATGAACCCCCGCGAACAGACCCTCACCTCGGCAGATAAACTGGTTTACCTTGATGTTTTGCCAGTGCAGGTCCAATCCGCAACCCATTTGGGAGGAGACGCATGAGCCCATAGGCATGGATGCCTATGCCAACAGGATTACAAGTATTATCCGAGTAGAGGGGAAAATAAAATTGCAAGGTAATTATTCTCAATCTGTACAAGTTCGATGTTGTTACATTTCAACGCCGTCCCAAAGGATATTTTTCTCGAAAACGAAAATCAAGATCAGTGCTGGCTCCATTCGATCGTGTTCAGATCAATGCCCTCCTGCACCAACTCCCAAAGCGGACTGAGCTCACGCAAGAAAGAGACACGAGCTTGCACAGCCTTGAGAACGTAGTCGATCTCCTCGTCGGAGGTGAATCGTCCAATACCGAAACGAATACTGCTGTGGGCACTCTCATCGCTGCTTCCCAGAGCGCGCAGCACATAGCTGGGCTCCAGTGAGGCAGAAGTGCAGGCACTGCCAGATGACAGCGCGATGTCCTTCAGCGCCATCAGCAGGGACTCACCCTCAATGTAGGCGAATGAGATGTTCACGCAGCCGGGGTAGTGGTGCTCGTGGTCACCGTTCAACGTGGTGTGTTCCATGGCAAGGAGGCCCTCGCTCAGGCGCTTTGACAGACGGTTAACGTGCTTGGTATCGTACTATTGCAGACAATTAGCAAAATGTTTCTAGATCGATGAGTTCAACTCCTTGATCTACCGCGGCTAGCTCATGACACGTGCAATTTGACACCGTCGGTGCAAGCTGACATTACCATGAGACATGGATCCGGGGAATATTCGACATATGTTGCTAGCAATGTACAAGCGTTGTGGGGTTGGGTGGGGAAGCGGGGGAAAGATCTCGAAATGCTTACATCCATATCCTGAGCGGCAATTCGGCACGCCTCGCCGAAGCCGACAGCAAGGTGAGGCGCTAGAGTACCACTGCGCAGACCTCTCTCCTGTCCACCACCAGTGATAAGAGGATCGAGACGAACACGCGGGCGACGACGCACGAAGCAAGCACCGATACCCTTGGGACCGTAAATCTTGTGGCTGGAGATCGACATCAAATCAATGTTCAGCTTGTTGACATCCAGCGGAATCTTTCCGACGGCTTGCGCAGCGTCGGTGTGGAAGAAGATCTTCTTGGATCGACAGAGTCGACCGATCTCCTCCAACGGCTGGATCACACCGATCTCGTTGTTGACAGCCATGATACTGACAATGCAAGTCTCCGGGCGCATAGCCGCCTCAAGGTCCGACATCCGGATCAGACCGTTGCTCTGCACTGGCAAGTAGGTGACCTCGAATCCTTCATCCTGCAAGTGGCGGCAACTGTCAAGCACACACTTGTGCTCGGTCTGGGTGGTGATGATGTGATTCTTCTTTCCTGAGCGACCGAAAAACCGCGCCACACCCTTCAAACTCATGTTGTTACTCTCCGTCGCACCACTTGTGAAAATGATCTCCTTGGGGTCGGCGCCGATCAGCTTAGCAATGTGTTCGCGAGCCTCCTCGACTCCCTTCTCCGATTCCCATCCGTAAGCGTGAGTGCGCGAGTGCGGGTTACCGTAGATACCGGTGAGGTAAGGAAGCATGGCATCGAGAACGCGGGGGTCCAGCGGAGTGGTGGCTTGCATATCGAGGTAGATGGGGCGTGTGCCCTGGTCCATGACGGTGGCCTGCTTCAGAATACCGGCCGAGGGGCTCATTGCGGCGTCGCCGGAGGTTGCCGAGCCGGGCAGGTTAACACCCTGGGGCGCAAGACCAGACTGTTTCATAAACGACTTTTGTTCCTCCTTGATGGCGGCATCGATGTTGACCTGAGCTTGGCCAACATTCGTGCCGGAGACATAAGACCGGGCACGTAGGCCGGTGGCGAGGACTCGAGGAGTCCGGGAACCATATGTAGAAAGGCGCCTGGAGAAGGCAGAAGCCTGTCTCCAAGCAGCAGGAGCAGCACTTGTCATTTTGAAGATGATTTGTGCCACAATACTTTGAGAGTGGGATGATGAAGGAAGAGTGACCCCGACTTTTTGTTATCATCTCTCTTCATGACTAAAGATCTCGGGGTATTCCACATCGGGTTAATCCGAGCTCCGAGGTGCAACGGGAGGCTTGTTGATCCTATGACCTGGGCACTGATACCTACACTTACTATGTGAACCACTAGCAAATCTAAGTCACTCCGAATCAGAAACGGAAATCTCCCTAGTTTATCTATTAATTATGGCTTCACGCTTGGAGATTGCCATTCTCAACTCATTTTGGTTGGGTTTATTCGCAGAGGAACTTACCTACACAGTATGTGAGAATCATGTGATGGCCTAATACAGTTTAGTGTCTTCTGTGAATAAACCTAAGCTTCATTTTTCATCGCATTTGTACCCTCCAAAAGCCTCAATATCATCGCTAATGCCTGCCACCCAACCAATACCAATCCCCGGGCCGAGTTTAGTGCCCCAGCCAGACGACACCCCCGCGTATACGTTTCCTCTGCCTCCTTTAGACCAGCATTTCAATACAGCAGAGGAAGGGAGAAAGGCGATAAATACATTCGCAGCCCCCCATGGCTGGGCGGTTACAAGCATCCGGTCCAAGGCAACGAAGAAAGGTGTAAAGAAGACTATCCGGTTGATTTGCGACCGCGGCCATGCAGTAAAGGCCGATAAGAATGGCCCTGGGCTGGCCAATGATGATAGCCCTGGACCTGCAAAGAAACGTCGAAAGACTACCACCCTTGCGCTTGGATGCCCCTTTAAGATGGCTCTTCGACTAGATCTTAAGACTGATCTTTGGGGCATTACCCTGGAGCACGCTACGCATAACCATCCATCCTCACATGCATCGACCCATCCTATCCATCGGGCTCTCGAGCTTACTCAAAGGAATGCAGAGGTCGATAATGCGATTCAGCAAGGCCACACAACCAGTCAGATTCTTACTGAGATACGTGAGGCCGACCCGGAGACTATCCTGGTTCCCCGCGATATCCACAACCGTCGACGAAAATTGGATCAAATGTTCCTTGATGGCTGTACACCTCTTCAAGCGCTACTACAAGAGCTCCCTAAGGATGTTGAATGGGTCCTTAGGCATAGGAGATTATCCCAAGGTGAATCTATCAATCCCCCATAGCCTATGGGGTTTCTCGTCGTTATGTTTGTTTTTTGGCAAAAATTAATTAACGTTAGCCCCTAACTACCCTTCTAAAGAAAACCACACAGTTATTCTCTAATTATTAACCCAATAGGTTCACAACAGTGGAAGGCACAATGACTAGCTCCGTATACTAACTTCTGCCCCGAACCATGGTTCGGGGCTGACATTTGAGCCCGGACTGAAATTTACTGTGAGCCTGACTCTGCCCTCAGTAAAAGCGGCGGCAGCTAAGAGAGCTCCAGTGGACCCGAGGAAATATGTTCGTACAGTGACCTGCGGCGTAACTAGAAGCTCCTGAGCATCCGTTCATCAGGTTGTTACAGTTCATTCTCTGATCGCTTCAATGTTCCTAAATTTATGATTTATAGGTAGATGCTAATACTATGATACCATCCAAGCCTCATATCGCCAAGTGACTCCCCCACACACTTAACAGGCAGGCATTATGGCGCGCCCAATGATTGCGATCTGACTGGGGCCCTTTTAGGTTAACGAACGGTTCTTGCGACTCTAGGATATGGCTGCTGTGAAATAAGAAAAACCAGAGGGTCAGCCTGTATATAAAAAGCCGAGGCTGCCTACAAATTGTAAGGAGCTGCGCAACTGGGAAGCTCGACATAGGAGTAGGTAGCGTTAATAATGGTGGTGCCTGGTTCGATCGGATGCGCCACATGATCATAAGGCAGAGTCAGTAGCGTAATTGAATGCTTAGTTATAAATCACTTAACGTCCATAAAAGCCAGTGTACAGCCACAATCGTGGACATCAGCTCCGTACGACGTTGGCCGAGTCTTATGTCATTGGAAAGGTCGGGTCCCCAAGACCGGAAAAGCACATTCGACTACCCCCGCCCTTGGCACTTTCTCTTCTTTACTCTCTCTATCTTCTCTTTCCCTTCCTATTCAACTACTGCGTCATGAGTTTCAAAGGCTTCCAGAAGAGCCTGGTGCGTGCGCCACAGCAATTTAAGGTGAAGTTCAACATCGGTGAACACTCCAAAGACCCCGTGTATACCGATGCCGAACGTCGCTTCAGTGAGCTCGAGAAAGAAACGAAGAAGCTCCATGACGAGTCCAAGAAATACTTCGCCGCCATTAATGGTGAGTTTCATCTCCCCCCCATGCGCTATGCTCCCTCAGACTGACCGCGTTCGCAGGCATGTTGAACCACCAAATCGAATTCTCCAAAGCGATCGCTGAGATCTACAAACCCATCTCCGGTCGCGCGTCCGACCCCAATTCCTACCAGGCAGAAGGAAACCAAGAGGGTATTCAGGCCTGCGAAGAATATGAAGTGATCGTCCGGGAACTGCAAGAGGCACTGGCCCCCGAGTTGGAGCTGATCAACAGCCGCATTATCAGCCCTGCCGACCAACTACTGGAGGTGATCAAGGTGATTCGGAAGGTCGCCGTCAAACGTGATCACAAGAAGCTGGACTTCGACCGCCACAACGCCTCGCTGAAGAAGTTGGAAGAAAAGAAGGACAAATCGCTCAAGGACGAAAAAGCACTGTACAAAGCCGAGAACGATGTGGAGCAGTCAACTCAGGAATTCAATTACTACAACGATCTTCTCAAGGATGAACTACCCAAGCTGTTTGCCCTCGAAGCCGAGTTCATCCGCCCGCTATTCCAGTCCTTCTACTATATGCAGCTGAACGTCTTCTACACACTTCACGAACGGATGCAGGGCATGCAAATCAGCTATTTTAATCTTCAACTCGATGTGGAAGAGGCCTTTGAAGCGAAGCGGGGCGATATCAAGGAACAAGCCGAGGCTCTGAGCATTGTACACTTCAAGACGCAAGGCGTCCGCCGCTCTGGATCCAAATTGCATCCTCCTGGCAAGGGTGCCGACCTTAAGAGTCCCCTCGGCCGTGGCCGTTCCAGCTCTACCGCCACCGACGACAACCCTCCACCACCTTATTCCTCGGCCGGTATTAGCCACAGTCCGACGGGCAGTTTCTCCTCCATCGCCAAGAGCAAGCCCGCTCCGCCTCCCCCACGGGCGAAGCCATCCCATCTCAGTAAGCAGGTCGAGACTGTCACCGCTCTCTATGACTACGAGGCCCAGGCACATGGCGACCTGGGTTTCTCTGCTGGCGATGTCATCGAGATAGTCCAGCGTACCGACAATACCAATGAATGGTGGACCGGGCGAATTGCGGGCCGGGAGGGTCAATTCCCGGGTAAGTCTATCGTCTGTTGTTGACACGTGGGCATCGCTAACATACAGAACAGCCAACTATGTGCAACTGAATTAGATTCTGTTATGATTCGCATTGTAGCTTCTTTTTTTTTCTTTTGCTTGGTGCTTGGGCTCTGGCGCAATGGTCCTCAACATAGAGCGTTTCGTCTGTAAATATTCTTGGCCCTCTCTTTTCTTCCTTTTCTGTTTGCTGTATTGTCGACTTACTTGGCTTGGGTCATCACATTTTGTTGCATTCGGTAAACCAGGTGTACTCCCCGCACATGTTTCATGTCTATCCTGACTACCTTGCCCTAAGAATACCATACTTGGCTCTCTCTGCCCTGCAAGCACCATTTGAACTCTATGCCATAATCAGCAGCCAATATGGGCAGTGATCCAACGGAGAATCAACAGAATACTACGAAATATTCATACAGTTCTGCGAATGCACGACATACTTCCGTGCCTTGTGGATTAATGCATTCACGACTTTTAGGAACTGGCATAAAGAATGGAGCTTTCTTGGCATTGAGGAGTATCAAGACAATTAAAGTGATAGTTGAATGTCCGAGGTGTGAGAGAACAAATGTACATAAAGAACTGGGTTTCTGCCATGGCCAAGATTCGGTACATGAAGAGAAAAACGTCGAGTGTCAACAATGTACCCATCATACTATTGAATTCTTCTTTTGAACCCGATCGATGCAAATATCGTGCTCAACTGAGATACCATAGAAAGCATCCGTGTCCCGCGTGGTCGGTGAGCCTTTACTCGTAGTGTGATCCGGATAGCACAAAGTCTGGGCAGCAGTTATGCTCGAGAGACTCGTTGGGCTATCCTTGGTGGAAATCAGCGTACTCTCCGCACCGCCAGCAAGGGCCTTCCACAGGTTGCGTCGGTAGTCACTCTGGCTTCCGGACCGGCGCGAGTTCTCGATGGCAGCGCCAGCCCAGATTGATGACAGTGGTAGCGAGATGACGACCAGGGTTATCACGTTGGAAGGCAGCTCGGGCACAACGACATAGTATTGGATGATGGACATGATGGCTGGGACAATCATCGTCTGGCAGCCCATGACGAAGATGACCTTCATTGGACCGAAATTGCGCACGCCAAGTCGGTGGCGCTGTTGGATGGCGAATCCGAGCTTGGTGACGAAGGTCACACAGAAGAAGCAGATGCTAATGGTAAGGCAGATGTTGGTAGCGCTTTCTACCCACCATAGATCACCCACAAAGCTCAATGACATAATGGCCTCGCAGTTCAGCACCATCCATGCACAACGAAATCCGATCGGCACCAGAGCGACCAGGATGGATAGTCCCAGGATAGGACGTCGGTATCGACGACGTAGTGTAGAACAAACCACATGGACTTGAATAACAAGCGAGGCTTCAATGCAGACGACGACGAGCGTAGTGAAGATGACTGCCACGATTGAAATGGCGTATGCGCTCCACGGCACGGTTGAGAAGTCGCCGGAGACAAATGGATATACCTTTTCGAATTCCGTAGAGAAATGAATGACTTGGAACAGCAGACGCACGCTGTTGAGGAACAATGCTACGGCGTTCAGGATGAAAACGGCTGAACGGCGCTTGTCGGAATGGGTCAGCAGCACAAGAATCACCAGCAAGGTAAGCGAAGCTCCGAACTGGCAGCCGTAATTGATGCATGCGTGCACGTTGTAGGTCACAAAGGAATCCAGGGCTTCGAGTGGCACATCGAAAGCACTGCCATCCGGGTATCGGAAGGTGACGTTCTGGTTGAACGGATCGAGCAATTGAGTTGGAGATTGGTTGGATGCCATCGCAAAATCTGGACTTGTATGAAATTGAAGGCCCGGTCACATTGATAGTACGATCTAGTCGAGAGTGTGCATGGCAGGGATCGAGGTCTGCTCTTAAGGAGGTTCAAAGTCTCGTTAAAAATATATGTATGGGTAGTCAACAGCCACGAGGAAAATGAGGAGAATCAGGGTGAATGCTCAACTTCATAGAAGCCGAGACAGACAATGCGAGAGCAAATTGAGAAGAGTAACCTCCAAAGGGATCCTCATAATCCGAATCATTATACGGGCCTGCATTGTCAGTATGGGGGAGAGAACAATATTAAGGAGAATGGGAAGAACAATATTAAGGGTGAGACAAAGAAGTGTCGATATCAGAATGGTGAGAATGGGCCCGAATGGGTCTAGGCAACGAGTCTGTAATCATGGCTGCATGAATCGCCGGATTATGCATTGATTCTGTGGCTTTCACTGCCGAATCACTGGTTGGTGACATGTCGAGTTGGTAGGCTAAATGGTAGTTTTCTTTGTCTGACTTGAAGCCAAGATGTCAAGGGTCAGGACATTGGATCCCAAAGATGTGACCTCTCGAGACTTGGGTGATCATGATTCTTCATCCTTGGTCGAATAAGCTTGATGATTCATGTCTAATAATAATTAGACATTGGGATGGGATGGGAATATGTGAAGTGTTTGGCTGTTGAGGGTCGTCGAGATGACTCTGAGAAAAGGACCGACTTTCTTCCGGGCCTCCAAGTATAGAACTCTTCTACTCTCTGAATACTCTCCGTCGCATATGGGTAAATGAAAATAAATGAAAACAATTTCTCTGCCCTCTGGTAAGTCTGGTTCCTTCGTCTACGGTCTATACGGTATACCTATGGCCCTCACACAATTTATCTCATGCAATACACAGTAGAAACTGCGTCGATCAAGTATAACAGGACACCATACCAACTTTCCTCGGGGAAGATTTTACACAGTAGTAAAAGTTCCTGGGCTCAGACTAGGCAAGCCCTAAAGCATAGGAACATGGCCCTGTCACTTGCTTCAGCTCTTGAGTGGAATAACTAGAAGTACGTAGAAGTAAACAAAAGCGCCAAGAAAAGCTGCGGGGAAGTGCGGAGGAAACCTCGCTCAACCCTCTTCCATCATTCCTCTTGCCATGGCCGTCCCTCAGAGGACACTTAACTGGCTTCACAGTGTCCTGTTCAAGGTTGGTCTCTCCAGCCAACTATTCTTCCCAATACTAATCCATCAGAATCCCTACAATCCGCAACAAAGCGATCACGACCGACACAGGACCTACCACGATGTCACATTGGCACTCTCACAGTGCCCGTCACTCTCCCCTCGAACAGATGTCTACAGTGAGTATCTGCAGATGTTATATACGGCTCTCGCCCTAATCGATTCCCAACAGCCTATGAAACAGGGTACTCGGCCCTCCTCCTTCATCTTGTGGGCACCTTGCCTGTCACCTTCCGGGGGACAACGTACAGATTTCCCATTGCGCTTTGGATCCCAAATGCATACCCACGCGAGCCCCCAATTGTCTACGTGACTCCAACGCCGGAAATGACAGTTCGCGTTGGGCAGCATGTAACGTTGGAGGGACAGGTGTACCATCACTATCTGGCCCACTGGGCCGAAGCATGGGAAGTGAGTGTTTGCGACCAAGGCATAGGTGGATAGACCGCTGACCCTGATATTCACAGAGATCTACCATTGCCACCCTTCTCTCTATTCTCCAAGATGTATTTGCCAAGGAACCACCTGTTCGATACAGACAACAAATGCCACAGCCTCAACCGGGAGCAGCAGCAACCCCTCCGCCATTGCCTCCCCTTCCACCTGGCGTCGGTCTTTCTACACAACAAGCTCATAGACCACCGCCTACCAGCCAAAGTGAAGTGCCACCTCCGCCCCCACCGAAGCCAGGCGTGGCTGGCGAGCATCAACAGCAACAACAACAGCCACCACACCAGCCTGCTCAATATCGTTCACCCCCGCCGCTGCCTCCGCTGCCACCAAAAGAGCAAGACTTGCGTCGAACATCCTTATCTACACAAGCGACGACACCGGGACTCCGCTCATACGAAAAGTATACGCCTACAGGCCACAATGGGGCACTGATAAGCAGCCCTCGTCCCTTAACCCAGCCACTACCTCACCAATCGGCCCAAGGTCGAGCGCCGTATTATGGCGGGACGGTTCCTTATCAAACTGTATCCAACGTGTCAAACCAGTTCCCTCCGCAAGCTGGTTCGACGGGGGCCCGGCAACCGCCTCATCAATCACACCACCCACAACCTTCGGGGCCGCCGTATCCTCAGAATTCCCCGTATCCACCTAACTATCCCCGCCCACCTCCCATGGATCATGTGAAAGCCGATACCCCCGATCTGCTAACCTCGCCATTTGATGTGGAGCTGCCAACAATCGCGCCCACGGGACCAGCGCCTCCAATCCCTCCAAATCCCGAGAAAGATGCACTGCTTCGTGCCGTGTCCCAGACCCTGGCAGAAACGCTCCGTGTCAATGCCGCACAGTCCGACGCAGCGGCACAGTCCCTAGTCTCACAATCACGGTCCCTGCACACTGCCATGGCCACCCTGCAGGGCGAAATGTCAGCGCTCAATGCCTTGAATGCGACTCTCCAGTCCAACACCACCGTTTTACAGCAATCCATACATCGTGCCGACGCCGCCATTGCCGACGCACAGGCTCGCGCTACATCTGTACCCTCGACCAATATTGCTTCCACATCTGCTGCTCCTGGAGATGCCCCAGCTGGCCTGCCCCCAATTGATGAGGTCTTGGTCGCTCCTACTGTGGTGGGTAAACAGTTGTATGATTTGGTTGCCGAGGAGCGAGGCATACAGCAAGCTCTTTATGCATTGCAGGCTGCTCTGGTACGAGGTGTCATTGGTGTGGATTCCTGGTCGCGGCATACTCGCAGTCTCGCCCGTGAGGCTCTTCTCAAGCGGGCACTCATTCGCAAGATTGGACGTGGGATGGGGTTGGAAGAGAGCGTGGCATGAATATGTGATGCCGGACATCCACAGTAGACCTAGGTTTATGGCTGTATATACCCCTTCTTTGCTTGTCTATGTATTGGAATATCAACCTAGGCTCCGAAATGATTTCTTTGCTAGCGGATATTCCCCATTCTCGTCATTTCCGTCGTTCCGAGTATAAACTAGGTAGTAACAGGACGCAAAAATATACAACAGACGATTGCGATACACCGCGAGTCCCATAACATGCTCGAATTAATATGTAACCTACTTACATGTCAATTGACTCGAGCAACCGTAATATGGATGGCGAGGTGTCAGTCCCGGGCTTGGAACTTGGACGCAACGAGAGAAATATATATTCCATGAAATCTTAACCCGACACCTGCAGCAACCTAGGAATCAGCCATGGAAGAGAGAGGACATACTAGTGAAAGGTTCCAGGCAGGTATTAGGCATGAGAAGAGCATTGAAAAATCAAGATTTCCTAACACTGGAGATCAAGAAGTACTTACTGTTTTCTCTCAAAATAACTAGGTATCATACGAAAACTAGGTAATCTTGTAAGGAAGGATTCGGAATCTGCTAGTCGCCGGGCATACAGCACTACAAATACAGAGCACAGAAGACAAATCATGACCAATGAGTGTAGATTCAAGTCCCAGTTCATGTGCCAACACTCGCTGTACAAGGCACTCGAGGGAACAATCCTATGATATGAAAAGGCACAAAAAGCCGTGACAGGCTCCATACATACAAAGAATCAGAAGTGAAAATCAAACCAGAGAAAAACATTGCGCCAAAATTTGGTCTCAGACCCGCTTATTTCACTTCGTTCGCGTCCGAAAATGGACTCTCCACCCGAGTGGGTGGCGTCCGGGTGGAGTTGCGTCCGTCACTTAAGCCAGAAGCTCGACGTATGTCACTCTGACGATGCGACGAACCGGTGTCAAGGTCGGCTGTGGGTGAGGGGTATGTGTCATCTTCGTCCGATGAGGATCCGTCGAATGTCGAGACGTTGTGGTTGAATTGGTTGCCGTTGGTGTCAGATACTGCCTGGCTTGCATTGTTGCTTTGGCTGTGCTCCGAACTATTCTCGAGCCGGTCGAGAACGGGTGCGTCGTTTGTTTGTTTCTTCTTCAGCGAAGGACCGCGGACCATTACTGGCTTGGCCGTAACACTGCGAGCCACACACGAACTGTTTCCCTTGATAGCCTCCGCTCGTGCAAGTTGTGCCGGGGTGATGGCTGGAACGGCAGGTGCATCCGCACGTGTGACTGTAACAGCGACAGGGGAGTCATCTCCAGGGGCATTTTGCGCGGCTCCTCCGTTGTGAATGCTGACAACGGCTGCACGAGACCGCTGGATCTGCTGTGCAGGAGCGGCGCTCACGATAGCGTCATTGCGATAGATAGTGGTAGCCACACTGCTGCGCAAAGTGGGTGAGATGCTCTGGTGGCCGGTCGTAGTCGTCCATGACGAGTCACGTAGGTCACCCGGCATGAAGAAATGTTGATCGGGTGTCGCACCAGGCAGCGGGGGTACCGGGGGCACGAGAGAGGCTGGGGTCTCCGGCGGTGAGCGGTTGGTGACACCAGGAATGTAGGCGATTTGGATGACGTTGGAGGCACGAGTCAGGACTGTCGAGGCGATGGACTGGCGTTCACTGCGAGCGACCGAGAAGGGACTGTCCTTTTCCGCCTCTTGACGCTCCTGGCGCTTCTTTCGGATCACGAACCACCAGACCAAAAATACAACCAGGGCGATGGCAGCCACACCACCGATCACACCACCGGCAATGGCGCCGGTATTGGTGCCCCCGAGTCCGGATCCTGCGAGCCCGTTGATACACACCTCGTGGTTGCGCATTCGTCACAGCTAGGAGCGGTCATGGTACATACTGATCCATCTGGACAGGCGGGGCAGGCGGGGGAAGAGGTTTCGCAATGCTTGCAGCGCTTGAAGACGGAGCGGGCGGGAGAGAAGGCGGAATCGATGGGCTCGAGAAGCATGGTGGGCGATGAAAATTGGAACAAAGATGAAACAAAGAAGACGAGATGATATCGACGAGACCGGTCAACGGTGGGTAATGTGCAAAGTAGTAGGAAAAGGAGAGTGATATGCTCAAGCGGCGTCAAGTCGTGAGCATAAATAGTATATCATCAAAGCCCAATCGTGGGGCAGTGGGAGGAAACGAGTGTGGTGTGTGATTTCAAGATCGAAATGTGAGATTTAAGCGATGGTCATGGTCCTTGGAATGGCGCAGACACTTGACAAAAGTTGTAGATGCCCCGGTCGGGAGGTAAGGGGCCTAGTTTGTTGAGGCCGGGCGTATCGGTGGAGGAAATCGACTCACAAACCACCGATCGAAAGATCGATGTGTGGGAAGAATAGGAATGGGAGGATGAAAAGGAGAGGAAGAGTATGTTGAATGGAGAGAGCGAAGAGATGAGAGGAGAATTGGGGAGGGGGTCCAAGTCACGGGCCAGTACCTTCTTTTGGTTCCACGGGTGAGATACGGGGTAGTCAGGAACACAATGGATCCGATGTAACTATAAAGTACACTCGATAGAGAGTTATAAAGTGTCGATTCAACTAGAACTGAGTAGCACAAGAGTCAAGAGAGTAGAATTTTATTTTAACTTCAGGACTACAGATATGGATGTCTTTAATGTATCGGACTGTTTCATCCCATGTTCACCTTACTTCGGGAGGTGAGGGAAATCTCGAAGTCAGTGGTCTGGACTCTCGGATCATCAATTATCCAAGATTACGGTGTTGTATTTTTATTTTTGCACTTATCGAAGCCGATTATTTTAGTCATCCTAAATCCTGACCACTGTCTTTTTCATTTCTTTGATTGCAATCGAGTTTGTTCTCTTTGTAGTGTTTGCTTCAAACGCCAAGTCCGCATGGACTTCATTAATCTGTAACGTCGAAGAACCAGGGCGCCATTTGAATCTTAGGAGAATTGAGAGAGATCAAGAACACGGGGGCGCAGTTATGTGCATAGGCGGCCTGAGGGTAGGGTTCAGCTCCAGTGGATGTTAGGTTAATGATAATAATAGCCAGGATCGACTCAGCAAGAACACGTTGATCAGTCAGGTGATCATTGGTCAAGTACACAGTACGGAGTACGGAGACTCCGTACGGAGTAGAGGAATGGAATGGGAGAATGGAAACCTTGGAAGAGAAATCTCCTCCCGAGGTCGAGGTCGGGATTCGAATACCGTTCAGAGGACTACAATATATGACTACCACGTACATAGGACCTTCAAGTGAAAGGGTACCCGACCACGGGTCTGGAGCATGCCACACATCCCCTAGACAGGTTTAAGCCTTCCAAGTTCCAAGGGCATCGTGGGCTTGTTGTGATTCTTATCCCCCTGAAGAATGTGAGAATGAGGCCGAGTGTACGCCGTTACTGCCCTATCATTCAAATTCACCGAATGTTTCACCAGTGGAGTCAAATTATTGGGTTCGGGTGTGTTAGTGCTGTCAATCCAACCCCCAAAAGGGTAATGGTGGATAATCCTATCGGCCTAAAATATTGTAGATATAGCCGCAGAGATGTAGAAGTAGGTCATAAAGGAGAGGAAAGTACTCCGTTTGTCATTCACTGTCGAGGGAATTCCAGGAACAAGCCTCAGGGATCTCAAGGTCGGGCTTGATTGGAATTTCAACACTTCTTCTCTCCCAGGAATGGGAGATATGTGAAATGGCTTTGAACATAGAAAGAATAGAAAACCAACTTAACTCTACAAAATACGAAAATAAAGCGCAAAAGAAAAAAAACCCAAACCCCAAAAACCCAAAAAAACGAAACGGAGAAACTAAGCCAGGACGGGGTTAGAGACAGTCTATTTTTGACCTCTCTCTAGTCTCACTGTATCCTCCCTTTTTTTTCCCTCCGTCTTTCTTTCCCCCTTCTCTTCTTTATCTTCACCTCTTATTCAACCCTTGATTCAAAATCCTTTTTTGATCTTTTAGGGAACCAGTCACTCGTTCCCTAACTGCGTATCCTAGCCCTGGTGGCTTTGATTGTTTTGGGATAAATGCACCCAGACAGATAACCCCTCTTAGATTTGAAAAGACATCCCTTTTGTCCTTTTTCAGACTCCTCGCGACATCATGGCCTACCACGCGGGTTCGGGCTCACACTCGCCCAACTACGATGATCCTCATCCTTTGCAGGATGTGCCAGCTTCCCAGGTACGGGTTGAATGTGGGGATAGGCGGTGAAGCAAGCGCGAGAGTTGACCGTTGGGTTTCTTACCTTTTTTAGTATCGCGAAGACGAGGATGCAGCGCGTGGATTACTGTCTCAACAGCAGGGCCCCTTTGCGACACCCTTTGATGACCCCCACTCACGCGGTGTCTCTCCCCAGCGTCCGGCTTCTGGATATAGCTTGACAGAGACGTATGCGACAGACACCGCACCTTCTTATCACGACCCATACAGCACTGGCACCGTCTACTCTGGCCCCGACGAAAACCCCGCAGCAGCATTCGGAGTTCCCGGACGTGTCGCCTCGCCTTATGCTCGCAGCGAGACCTCATCTACCGAGGCTTGGCGCCAGCGACAGGCCCCCGGAGGTGCCACTGGTAGTACGACCGGTGGTGGTCTACGCCGATATGCTACCAGGAAAGTTAAGCTCGTCCAGGGCTCTGTCCTGAGTGTCGACTACCCGGTACCCAGCGCCATTCAGAATGCCATCCAGGCCAAATACCGCAACGATGTGGAAGGTGGAAGCGAAGAGTTTACCCACATGCGATGTACGTGTGGATCGGAGGAAGAACATAGGACTTGGCGAGAGAACTAACGAGACTTCCCAATTTCCAGACACCGCAGCCACTTGTGACCCCAACGAGTTTACGCTACACAATGGTTACAATCTGCGCCCGGCCATGTATAACCGTCACACCGAGCTGCTTATTGCCATCACTTACTACAACGAGGACAAGACTCTCACCGCGCGTACCTTGCACGGTGTGATGCAGAATATTCGCGATATCGTCAACCTGAAGAAATCTGAGTTTTGGAACAAGGGCGGACCGGCGTGGCAGAAGATCGTTGTGGCGCTCGTCTTTGACGGTATCGATCCTTGCGACAAGGACACCTTGGATGTCCTGGCCACTGTGGGTGTATACCAGGACGGTGTCATGAAACGTGATGTGGATGGAAAGGAGACTGTAGCGCACATTGTAAGTGGGACTGCTGGAAAGAGGCCCGTTGAACAGTACTAACAAAAACCCTCTAGTTCGAATATACAACCCAGCTGTCGGTCACGCCAAGTCAGCAGCTCATCCGGCCCACCGACGATGGCCCTAGCACGCTACCCCCTGTCCAAATGATGTTTTGTTTGAAACAGAAGAACAGCAAAAAGATTAACTCGCATCGCTGGCTCTTCAACGCTTTCGGCCGTATCTTGAACCCCGAGGTTTGTATCCTTCTGGATGCTGGTACAAAGCCCGGACCTAAGTCGTTGTTGTACCTCTGGGAGGCTTTCTACAACGATAAAGATCTTGGTGGTGCTTGTGGTGAGATCCACGCCATGTTAGGTAAGGGGTGGCGGAATTTGATCAACCCTCTCGTGGCTGCCCAGAATTTCGAGTATAAGATCAGTAATATCTTGGATAAGCCCCTCGAGAGCTCATTCGGTTATGTGAGTGTCTTGCCTGGTGCATTCTCGGCCTACCGATTCCGTGCGATCATGGGTCGCCCTCTGGAACAATATTTCCACGGTGATCACACGCTTTCTAAGCAGCTCGGAAAGAAGGGTATCGAGGGTATGAACATCTTCAAGAAGAACATGTTCTTGGCCGAGGATCGTATTCTCTGCTTCGAATTGGTTGCCAAAGCAGGGTCGAAGTGGCACTTATCTTACGTCAAAGCCTCTAAGGGTGAAACTGATGTTCCCGAAGGTGCCGCCGAGTTCATCTCGCAGCGTCGCCGTTGGCTCAACGGTTCTTTCGCAGCCGGAATTTACTCGCTCATGCACTTTGGCCGTATGTACAAAAGTGGCCACAACATCGTTCGCATGTTTTTCCTCCACATTCAGATGTTGTATAACATCTTCAACACCATCCTCACGTGGTTCTCGTTGGCTTCATACTGGCTGACAACCACTGTCATCATTGACCTTGTCGGTACTCCAAGCCCGTCCAACAACAACACCGCATTCCCCTTCGGCGAGACGGCCACCCCTATCATCAACACAATTGTGAAGTATGGATACCTGGCTTTCCTATTACTCCAGTTCATCCTTGCCCTTGGCAACAGACCCAAAGGTTCCAAATTTTCATACCTCGCTTCGTTCGTGGTCTTTGGTCTCATCCAGGTTTATATTGTCGTAGATTCGATCTACTTGGTTGTTCGCGCATTCACCGGCGGCGCGCCCATGGACTTTGTCACCGACAAGGGTCTGAAAGCCTTCCTCGACTCCTTCTTCGGATCGACGGGTGCTGGTATTATCATCATTGCCCTGGCTGCCACCTTCGGTCTCTACTTCGTTGCGTCTTTCATGTACGCCGACCCGTGGCACATGTTCACCTCCTTCCCTGCCTACATGGTTGTTCAGTCCTCTTATATCAACATCCTGAACGTCTATGCCTTCAGCAACTGGCACGATGTCTCATGGGGTACTAAGGGGTCCGACAAGGCCGATGCCTTGCCGTCAGCGACGACTACGAAAGAGGCGGGTGGTAAAGACGCGGTAATCGAAGAACCCGACAAGCCCCAAGCGGATATCGACAGTCAGTTCGAGGCGACAGTGAAGCGTGCGCTCACTCCCTTCGTTGCTCCTGTCGAGCACGACGAAAAGACTTTGGAGGACTCTTACAAGAGTTTCCGTACTCGCCTTGTCACCTTTTGGATCTTCAGTAATGGTCTCCTGGCAGTCTGCATCACGAGCGAGTCTGTCGACAAGTTCGGCTTCACAGTGAGTTTCATTTCCGTCCCCCTTGCCAATACGCCGACTAACATGATTCCAGAACACTGCCACAAGTCGTACAGCCCGTTTCTTCCAGGCGCTTTTGTGGTCCAACGCTGTCGTCGCATTATTCCGTTTCATTGGATGCTGTTGGTTCCTGGGTCGCACTGGTATCAAGTGCTGTTTCGCACGCCGGTAGTCCCATCCCAGCGAGCACAAAACGTGTACCCTTTCATGACCCCCTCACACCATATTTCATTTCATTATCTTTCCCACGTGATCTGTATTTTACCTAAAGATGCCCTACTTTGTTCCCTTGCGATCTTTCATTGCCAGCCAGGATGTATTCTCGCGGGTTCATCAGTGACCCTTTTTGTGGATTTTTGTCGGACCAGCCGTGCACCTCAATTGGATTCGGGGTGCTATGATTATTCCAAATTTAACGCCATTTTTGGTCCAACTTGGCATATTTTAAATGTAACAATAATCAAGCCGGTGGAAGGTTGGTAACGATGGTATCGCCTCCTACACAGAAATCTGAGAGGTCCGCTGGATTTTGGGGGCAACTTCTTTGTGCCATCTTTTAGATGTCGGTTTTGGTCGACGCTGCCAAGTCGTTTATCTTGAATGCGACTTTCGTTGTACGAAGCGAGGTAAGGTGAAGAGATGTAGAGTCCTACTAGTAGTACTGTGTAGAGGGAATGTAGGGCAAGTCTACCTACGTCAACTGACTTCAGAAGGCGGAGAGGCGATAACGGGGTTGCTGATCAGAAACCCCGCAAGTGCTTCAACGTTCTTTCTCTTTTCACTTCTCATCTTGCGAACATCTTCCTCTCTCTCTATATCTCTCTCTTCTATCTCCCAATTCCAGGGTGGATTTCCTCAAGGATATCAAAATTTATCGGATTTCTATTCTCTCCATTCCTTCGTCCCACCAGGTGGGGTGGTGACTCCCAACTCCCAACCAAGATGTTGAAAATCTGGTCGATGGTAGGTTTACTTCTGTATGCGCGAGCTTGAACTGTGGTTAACAGTATACACAGAAGCAAAAGCAGCAGGAGGCTGAGAATGCTGAAGGCGCTGCAGGCAAGAAGAAGAAGAAGGTTACCGCGGCGCAGTTACGCGTGCAACGAGGTGAGTTGAAGACATTGTCGCTTTTGCTGGTGGCTTTGGTGTTGTGACATCTCTGACGTCTATCTCTGTGTAGACCTCCAAGAGCTCACTCTTGGTAGTACAATGAAAATGGCCTTCCCTAACCCCGACGACATTCTCAACTTCACCTTGACCATCGAACCGGATGAAGGCATGTACAAGGGTGGCGTCTTCAACTTCAATTTCGCCGTCAATCAGAATTTCCCCCATGATCCGCCGAAGGTCAAATGCACACAAAAAATCTACCACCCCAACATTGACCTGGAGGGAAATGTTTGTTTGAATATTTTGCGAGAGGACTGGAAGCCTGTCTTGAATTTGAATGCCGTTATTGTTGGCATGCAGGTCTGCTTATACCTTTATCTTCACTGTTATGACCCACGCTGACTGGTATTCCATGGCAGTTCCTTTTCCTTGAGCCAAATGCCTCCGATCCCCTTAATAAGGACGCCGCAGATGATCTCCGCACCAACCGTGATGCTTTCAAAAGAAACGTGCGCAGCTCCATGGCCGGCGGGTCCGTCCGAGGCGTGTCATTTGAGCGCGTGCTACGGTAATCGACCGTTGGGGGCCTCACACTTGCAGTTTGAATCGGTTCCTATATCCTGTCCTCGACCATACACTATGGCGATGAGCATGTATCGCTGCCACCTACGCAGATACCGAATGACGATCTTATGGTTTTACAAATGTCAGGGACATATTTCGGCGCTCCTATCTAGGACGCGCTGGTGTTTCCATGTACATATATATCTGGAGTAATTAGCGGTTGAATACAATAGATCCAATTCGTTCATTTTACCGGTCAGGTATCGGAGTCCGAGTAGATCGGTCTGCAGAGGTTTCGGTCAATACTACATGGCAGGAGGCGCGTTGGGTAAGGCAGTCTCCAACATCGCACTGGGCCAGACAAGAGGCAAAAGAGCAAGGTCGAAAATCAAAATCAAAGCACTTGGTTGTCTGCAGGCGTATATGTACAATCGATCTCAAATCTAACCATCCACTCGTACACACCCGTCGATTCAACCAAGCCCAATGGATGACGTAAAGGCTGTGCGCCAATCACTGGGCGGATCCCATATAACGCTTTGGCAAAGAAAAGAATTGGCGCCGAACGGGCGGGAAGGAGACGATCGAGAAGAGGCAATTAATGTTGACCGATTTTAACCCCGCTGGGCAGCACGCTCGGCCTCGAGGCGGGCGTAGTAGGTATCGCGCTCACGAACACGGGGGAGGTGGTAGCCTGTGGCACAAACACATGGTCAGATTTCGAGCTATCGACCGCATGGATGGGCACAGTCCGAGATAGATGATTTACTTACCGTACCACCAGAGGTAACCGAAGGTAGTACCGAAACCTTCAAGAAGAGCATGATTAGCGCCATTGAACAGGCTGATACTCATTTGGATCATTTGCTTGATCTTGGTATCCCACTCGGTCGCTCTCGGGAGATCGCGACATCGAATTTGTCGTTTGATCAGGTCACACGATCCGGTTCACAACTTACCGAAAGCGGTGCTCAGGTCCAGAACGAGACCTCGGCGGAGCATCTGTAATAGCATATACCATGTTAGCAAACCACTACGAACATCTAGAGACCTGATCAACCCGCTCGGGTCAACCCGGCCTTCAACGGAAGGGGCACGTACGCCGGTGATGGGGGGAATAGCGGCGGGCATTGTGACGAGTAAGTGGCGTCAATCAATGCTCGAGGAAAAGCGAGGTGAATTGCGGACAGCTTAGAACCTGCCTCAGACGTTGGTGGGGAGTGAAGAGGGGGGGGGTAAGGAGGAAGGCTGGATTGTGAGGTGAAGTTGAAGCTTCGGAGCGGACTAAGCGAGCCGCCGGATTGGTCGGCCGTACTATGAAAGTCATGAGCATCGGGTTCAGCTTCCTCCGAAAGGATGTTCCTACGTCTAGTAATTTGTATTTACTATATATTTCAACTATTACAAGGCATTGAAAGGCTGTTAGCTCAATTGAATCAGAAATTCCCGTGACTCTGCCTGAAAACCAAGTCCAAAGCAACTGTCATGCCATCTGAAAGTCCCACAGATGAAGGGTACTGTGTATGTGAAATACAGAGCTACTCTGTTCCCTAATTGTTAGACTACATGGTACATACACATCTCACATCCCCGGACATTTCATCTACTTCACACTCCAAGTCGACTATTCCTACTACTCTGAGTCTCTGAGTCTTCAAGTGTGACGCCAACGATCACAATCTGCTGGTTCCACTCACCGCCCGCACGTGACCCAGACTCGATAACAAGCCCCATCAATGAAACGAGCACTTCCATCTCAGACTGACACAATGGCCATGGCGACATCGGGCGCCCAAATCAAGCGATCCTCTCCTTTCCTCGATCAGAATGACCCAAAACGGATCAAGCGTCACTATCATCATCACCATCGCTTGCGAGAGCCCGTGGTTCTTCCTTCCAGCACCGAGCCATCCGTACAAGATGACACCCATCTCGACAAATTGATGAACCGGGCAGTAGGCCAGACTCTCAAGGATGCAGGCTTTGATATAGCCGATCCAGCTGCGCTGTCTAGTTTGTGCAGTGCCACCGAGGAGTGTACGTGGCTTGATATCAAATTTGGGGTGTAGCTACGACTGACAGCTTGCGCGTGAATTCTATAGACATGCTACGAATTTCTACATTTATCCGACAATCCATGCTGTCTGCACGACGCACACAGCCTATCCCGCATGACTTTGACCACGCCCTGAAGCGGGTCCGCATCTCTCCAGATGATCTCCTCCCTCACCTCAAACCATCGCCTTCAAACATACCCGTACCAACATCATCGCCATCTCCCCCACCAGAGGATGAGATTTCCAAAAGCCTTCCATTCCTTACAGCTCTAAGTAGCGACGAAGACCGCGCAAATCGTCCGTACATCCCGAGTCACTTTCCGAGCTTCCCCAGCAAGCACACTTATTCCGCTACCGCTGTATTCATTGGAAGAGACAACGACCCGCGCAAAATTCGTGAACGCGCGGCAGAGGATGGAAGACATGGTGAGGAGGCATTGCGCAAATTGGCAAGCGCTGCGTTCCGCGACAACCAAATTGGCTCGACTGGCCGCGACAAGAAGCTTTGGGGTCGGAGAATGGATAGCATGGACACCATGTTCGAAAAGACGACCAAAGCACTTTCCAAAAAGTGCAACAAGGATTTCCCTGGCACGTCGGCTAGCTCAGCTATGGATATTGATTCCGGACGCCCGGCAGAGGAGGACACTAAGTCTCGCCTCAAGATCTCATGGACTATGGAGCTGGGTCCAATTGTCAACTGCGAACGAGATCTGTGGTGTCGACCAACTTTAAATGCGCGGCGACCGGAGGAGAAGACTCTCAAGCCTTCAGCAAGCGTCGAGCCAGCGGAGGCCATGACTGGCATGTAAGCTACAAAGGCATAAAGCCCGGCGTTTTCTGGTTTTGGGTTCTTTTGGTCGGCGTGGCGCTTGTGTTTTAAATTTCAGGAGCATGACCTGAGGAGATACCCCAAGGCAGTCATAAGCATTATTGAAATGTAATTTTCTTGAAATTTGCCAGAACTTGTAAACTATCGCTCCCATATAATCCAACTCCGCCCAATGCGCAAAGTAGCCCGACATCCTCACTGTTTCGTAACTGCTTGCTTTTGTTTCGCTTCTTCGACCAGCCTCAGTGGCTCCCATGATGTTGTTTCGACTGTCAAACCACCAGCACAGCTACAGAATTAGCGGCTTGTTCAATTCCGACTCGAGCGTCACTTACCGTCGGAACAACCGCACCACAGGCTTGCAAACCACAACTCCTGGCTCAGGAATCCCATCTTGGGGTGGATTGCAGGAGAACTGGGTCATTTCAAACAATGGGCATTGCTTCAGCTCGATTGATTCCCCTTTACGGCGTTTGTCTTGGAAATTGCGGCGGACGGTGTTGACATGATCGGGGAGGGATTCAGCGGAGAAAATGGGCACGAGAGGGGCCATTGTGTTTTGTCTCGGTTTCGCGAAGGTTTAGCAATCGAATGTGAGCGAGTTCTGGCGTTGTTCCTTCGTTGAGAAGGGATTCGAAGAAGATGCGGAGGAAGTTGGGAGTTCCGCCGTTATCACCGTTATCACTCGGGAGTCTCGGCCTGCCGAGAGTTCACTTCTACAACATCTACTGCATGAGACTACTTTGTCTGTTACATTCTATAGCCTTTTTACAAAACCATTTCTATATTTCAGTAATGTCAGATCCATGACGCAGGCCATTGCTCGCCATGGCTGCCAATCTTGGGGAGAGATCGCTCGCCGAGGTGCACCAAGAGGGACTCGATGAGGTATCGTTGCAGCTTGACTTGCTCTCAATGATTCGGCGCTGACTCGTATCAGATTTTGTCTGAACTTGCACATGTTCAAGGTCCCTTGAGTCATGGAAAGCATGCGTTAGGCGTACCCATCTTGGACTCTCTACTCGAAGTCTTTGCGCCGAAAGCACTTTCTACAAGACAACGCCAATCTGATAGTGCCCTTGGCCAGAACTCGTCTATGAAGCAGCAGGCCGTGGAAGATGAAGAGATGCTCCTGCATAGTGAGGCCCAGGCTCAGGACCTTGACCCGTCCAACGTGTTGCTCCCAGATACAAGCGGAATCAAGACACAGCAGACCCCTGTCGTGGAACTTGCAAGCAGCCTATCTGCTTCAGGCAAGTCACAAATACTGTACTATCTGACGGCCCTTGCAATCTTACCACGACAATACGAGGATCTCCAAATCGGGGGCCACGAGTCAGCTGTGGTGTTCATAGATACCGATGACCGCTTCGATGCTGACAGATTAAGAACCGTGGCTCGCGGTATTGTACTGAAGCGGCGAGCGCAGCTTCGCCCAATCGTCGACACTCAGCCAGAAGACACGCACGTCCATGACCTAGAAACATTGCTAGTGTCGTCCCTACAGCACGTGCATGTCTTTCGTCCGCAGTCATCGTCCGCTCTTTTGGCCACGATTCGCACGCTCCATTTATACCTGTTTGACCTACCGCGGCATCGCTCCGCATCACGTCCGTTGCACATGGTCGCCATTGACAGCGCCACTGCTTTTCTCTGGCAAGACCGGCTGCGCGATGAAGTTGCTCGCACCGAAGAAATAGGGCGTCCTCGAGCAGAGATTGAGCGCGAGCGGGAACAAAAGCAGTGTTTCCAATTGACTGACCTCTATAACGAGGTGATAACTGAGTTGAAGCATCTACAGAGCCAGTTTCAGTGTGCAATTGTCTATACCACAATGGCCTCGGGAGGTCGAGCTCGGGGTGCTGATCATTATGACCAGCCCCAGGCTCGGATTCCCTCGCTGAGGCCGGCTCTCCCGGCGCCTTGGAGCACGTTCCCTTCGTTGCGTCTTATTGTCCACCGGTCTTCTGTTCGCCCATTCCCGCCCAGCATGGCCGCTCATGTAGCCGTGAATGATGCCCCTTCGCGACAGAGCGTGGTTCAGCAGGGCAAGTTCTCCGCCTGGGTCAATCCGTGGGGGCATGATGAATGGCCCCGTCGGATAGTGGAAGCCATTGAAGCGACCCATGGCGGGAGTTTCTCATTTCACGTGCATGAGTCTGGAGTCGAAATAATTGATCCGGACGATTGATCTAATGCAAATCATCCATGGTAAATGTTCATATACAATGCTGTCTATGTAGTTGTGTAGTTCTAAGTGAACAGCTTCGCAATTGCCTCGACAGTTGTGTTGCCGCCGCTGAACACAACACCAATGTCCCATCCGTCCTTGCCACCCTCTTGTTCGACTCGTCGCCGGAAGTTCTCGTCGAAGAGACAGACGGCCAATCCAACCACGGCACTCGGTTCAACAACGACCTTCATGCGCTCCAGAACCAACCGCATGGCGGCCTTAATCTGCTCTTCAGTGACAGAGAAGACCCCCTCGACCTTCTTGTCATTGGAGATGACCTCCCAATTGAGCAATCCCACAGGAGTGCGGAGACCATCTGCAATAGTGAGAGTGCTCACAGCTTCTACGCGCTCCTTTGCTTCTAGTCCGCGTCGGCAATCGTCCGCCCCTTCAAAGCTGGGCTCTGCACCAAACACGCGTGTCTGCTTATCCGAGAACCAAGTCGCCACGCCGGAGTTGAGCCCGCCTCCGCCAATAGGAGTGATGACCGCATCCAAGGCCCGGGACCCAGTTTGTTCAGCGTGCTGTGCTTCCAGCTCCAAAGCTGTTGTACCCTGGCCGCAAATGACATTGAAGTCATCATACGGTGGAACCAGAATGGCACCTGTCTTTGCTTGTATTTCTGCCACCACAGCTTCACGCTCTACACTCGTCGAGCCGCTGAAGATAACTTCTGCACCATGGGACTTTGTACCCGCGATCTTAGATGGTGTACTAATGCGGGGCATAACGATGTAGGCGGGGATTTCTAGGGTCGAGGCAGCGAGGGCGAGGGCCTGTGCATGGTTTCCTAAAGCAAAAAAAAGCATCAGCATGTGTGTTTTGTCTCGTGCAGTTAAATATGGAGATATACCAGAGCTATGCGTGATTACCCCGCGCCGTCTCACTTCCTCCCCGCGCTCCTCCAACAGTCGTAGCAGTGCATGAAATGCGCCTCGTGCCTTGAAGGCACCAATCCGCTGAAAGTTCTCACACTTGAAGAAAAATCGAATCTGTGGGCGTGCCGGAGTGTGGCCTTCGAATGGCGTTCCAACCAAGGCTTCGGGGGACTGTGGTGTGGAGGCGATGGTGTCAAGTGTTTTACAAGTCAACAGCGGCGTGCGGTGCACGTGGGGTTGAATGAGTTCATGAGCCGCTTGGATCGCAGCTGGGGTGAGCGATTGTGCTGCAACGGCGGGGGAAGCCATGTTGTGTGTGGTGTGGTAGAGAGAGGAATTGCGGCGTGTCAAGATGACTCTGGATACCCCGGAATCTTCTCCGCCTCAAATTTTCGGCACGGCTAGCAGACAGGCTTAAAGGCTAAAGGTTACAAGGTTACAAGCTACTCGGTACAGATCAAGACAAGACGAAGAGATGGAAATTGGAAAAAAAAGGTGTTAATTGGGGAATGGCCTATCTAAGGCCTCAAAATAATATTTCCGACTTGAAACCAAACAGAACAGTTCATAGTACATCATCATTTTTCGAAACCCCCACGGGTATCAAGGTATTATTTATTTCTGGTTCTCGGGGCGCAGAGAGCGGACAGCCTTTCCGGCGCGCCAGATCTCGAGGTCCCGGATCTCCTGCATCTCCTTCTCGTACTTCTCACGGTAATCGGGCTGGGAGTTGTAGTCGAGGGAGCGCTGGGTCTCAGTGCCGTTGTGGACGCTGTCGTAGAGGTCGTTGAAGACGGGCTTCAGGGTGTCCTTGAAGCGGCTGGACCAGTCGATGGCACCACGACGGGCAGTGGTGGAGCAAGCAGCGTACATCCAGTCCATACCGTTACCACCGATGAGGGGGTAGAGGGACTGAGTAGCCTCTTCGACGGTCTCGTTGAAGGCCTCGGAGGGGCTGTGGCCACGCTCACGGAGAACCTCGTACTGGGCGAGGAACATACCGTGGATGCCACCCATGAGGCAGCCACGCTCTCCGTAGAGGTCAGAGTAGACCTCTTTTTCAAAGGTGGTCTCGTAAAGGTAGCCGGAGCCGACAGCGACACCCATAGCGATGGCGCGCTCCTTGGCCTGGCCGGTGACGTCCTGGTAGACAGCAATGGAAGAGTTGATACCACGGCCCTCACGGTAGAGAGAGCGGACAGTACGGCCGGAACCCTTGGGGGCAACGAGGATGACATCAATGTCCTTGGGGACATCGACCTTGGTGAGGTCCTTGAAGACGGGGGAGAAACCGTGGGAGAAGTAGAGAGTCTTGCCCTTGGTGAGGAGGGGCTTGATGGTGGGCCAAGTCTCGGACTGGGCGGCATCGGAGAGGAGGTTCATGATGACGGTACCCTTCTCAATGGCAGTGGTGACATCGAAGAGGTTCTTGCCGGGGACCCAGCCGTCCTGGATGGCCTCCTTCCATGAGGCACCATCCTTGCGGACACCGACAATGACGTTGAGACCCTGGTCACGGAGGTTGAGACCCTGACCGTGACCCTGGGAGCCGTAACCGATGAGGGCAAGAGTATCGTTCTTGAAGTACTCCTGGAGCTTCTCAAGGGGCCAATCGGCACGCTCGTAGACATCCTCCTTGACTCCGGCGAAGTCAATGGTCTTAACACCACGGACGGGGGTGACGACCGAGGAGACACGGGGAACAGCGGCAGCAGCGGCGAGGACAGGGCGAGGGAGAGCTGCGGTCACGACCGAGCGAGGAGCGGCCGCGCGGGCAAGGCGGAGGGCACGAGGAAGACCACGGGAAGCCATTGTGTATGTAAGGAAGAGAGGAGAGTGTGGAGAGTGAAGGAAAAGAAGAGGTTGCGGGAGAGCTTGGGAATTTAAATAATGGGAGCAAAGCTCATGGGGCGATTCGAGTCACCGTAGCAATTTTCGGAGAACAGACATTGCTCCCCGGAGACCCACACCGACACCGGCCGCTACTTTGATTGGAGGCGGGGGTGATAATATGTCATGAATTGCGTTTCCCTGCGCGACAAGCAATGGGGAAAATGGGAAATAACTTTTCTTCGTTCTGATGAGGAGGCAAATTTCCCCGGAGTAGGAGAGCAATGTCCGAAGTTCAATGGTCCAGAACATACGCCAAATTTGTACGAAGTTCCTACAGGCCTCTCGATCTCTCGGACTTTCAGGATTGTCTTTTCCTTAGCCCTTGAGCTTGTGATAGTACTATACTACTACTACTGTAGTTAGTTACTGTGTGCACAGTGTTATTTTTCATTATTTTTCAATTATTTTTCCACGTGACCAATATGCACCTTCCTTAGAATCCTTACTTCCCACTGGGTTGGTAGGTTGGTCCTTCCCAAACTATCCCCATTTAATGCCTCAGGCCATGACACCTCTCCGCCTTCGGTCTCCCCCCGCCCCACGTATCGGCATATCCACTGACAATGTTTGGTCTGTCCAATTGCTTTTATGTTTCTAAGCAGTGGTCGTACCATGCTCAGTCTATAGAATGACTTACTTCTCATTTGGGGACCTGCCCACTATTCAAACCAGGAAGGCCTTGATATTGTTGGATTTTCAAAATGATTTCGTTCGTTCATCCGGGGCTTTGCATATTCCCAACACCTCCGACATCCTCGAAATTCTCCCGCAGCTAGCATCTGCATTCCGTCGTGTTGGCGATGTAGTTTGGGTGCGCTCTCAGTCTGGATCACCACAAAGCATTATTGACTGGGACTTTGGTGAACGCATTGTCCTGGATAAAGAGCCGCCGCGCAGAACACAATTGCCAACTTCGAACATAATCGAGGTCGGATCGGACCGTGATTCACCAGAACCTGTCGACCCGGAAGCTTTCCTCTCGGCCAACCCTCCATCATGTTGTGACCCGCTGACGCCCGGATATCAATTCCCTGCGCCGATCTTAGCCGCCATCGAGGCCGACAAAGACACCGTGATGGACAAAACAGGATACTCGGCTTTGGAGTCACCCAGCCTTGTGCTGTCCTTCAGAACGCGGTTTGTGACCCAGCTATACCTTTGTGGCTCGCTGTCCAATGTCTCGGTATTTGCCACAGCTCTGGATGCCGTACGCCACGGGTTCTCGGTGACTCTGGTGGAAGATTGCTTGGGATTCCGCGATTTCCAACGGCACCAGGAAGCCATGCGACGCATGGCGGATATCCTGGGTGCGACCGGTCTAACGGCCCGAGAGCTCATTCAGGAGCTAGATTGGCACGAGACGGAGGCAATTGCTCGCAGAGCCGAACCTCAGCCTAAGGCCTCCGCCGCCACGGCAGGCATTGAGAGCGTCATGGATGGCCTGGAATTCTGGAATACAGCCGATGCCTCTCAAGATAACCCGCGCGATCCAGAAAACCCGAGCCTTGCAGAACTTGCTACGCTTTCTCGTACACAGCGTGCTTCAGCCACGCGGGTTCCGGTGGAAGAGAAAAAGAAAGTCCGCGCACGTATTCGTCGCCCAAAGCGTCGGGACCCCGCCAAAGACTCTATGCCCAGATCTTCCGCAGGCTCTGAACGGGGAACGACATCAAATGTACCCCAAACCAAGATTGGGGAGGGCGACTCGCGACTCGTGTGTAATCTCAATTTGGCCACAGACGTCTTTGAGCGCATACAGACGGAGGTGGATTGGCAGACGATGTACCATCTTTCGGGGCTGGTTCCCCGATTAATTGCAGTTCAAGGCCAGCCTCTACCCGACGGAAACATACCCTTATATCGCCATCCGGCAGACGAGTCTCCACCTCTCAAGCCGTTTACCGCCGCGGTTGATGAGGTGCGCGTGGCTGTTGAGCAGATCCTAGGCCATCCCTTGAATCACGTCCTTATCCAGCTTTACCGGGATGGACAGGATCGTATATCAGAGCACTCAGATAAGACGTTAGACATTGCACGAGGGTCATTCATTTGCAACGTCAGTCTAGGCGCTGAGCGCGTCATGGTCCTCCGCACCAAGACATCGGCATCTGATTCTAAAGAAGGGATAGAATCAGGTCGTGCAACGCAGCGCGTGCCTCTGCCTCACAACTCGCTTTTCGTTCTCGGCCCGAACACAAACATGCGATGGCTCCATGGTATTCGTGCCGACAAACGGCCCGAGTCAACAAAGTCCATCGAAGAGCAGGCTTACGGGGGTCAGCGCATTTCTCTTACTTTCCGTCAAATAAGCACTTTCATTGATCCCGTGGCCAACACAATTTGGGGACAAGGGGCGGTCAGTAAGACACCGGACCAAGCTCGTGCGGTGGTTCATGGGGACCCCATCGAGGCAGAACGCCTCATCGGGGCCTTTGGGCACGAAAATCGTACTACAGAATTCGATTGGGATGCCGTGTATGGCGGGGGCTTTGATGTGGTCAATTTCGTCACTCCATCGGCCGCGCAGCTGCTACTTAGCGGAGATCCCGTGGCTGATTTACGCGTACGTCTCTGTCTGGGAGAAAGCGGGATCCGATATCGATCGGTCATCAATCATGAGCAGATGAGTGGCAGAAATAGCAACTTAACGAAACTGCCATTATATGAAGCCACCGATGGGACAAGGGTCGCAGGCGAGCTCGATATTATGGTACATATGGCCAATCGATCTGCCGACACGACACGGTCAGGTGTAGACTCGCTTGGTGGAGGCCATCACATGCCGATGATTGATTTCTTCCTGGCACACTGGCGCGAGCACCGCGCCACTAACCCAGCCGGTCTGTTTAACTACGGGTTGGATGATTGGGAGCATATTCTAAATGGGCAACGTTATCTCGGAGGCTCTGTGTTCACCATCGACGACTGCTCTCTATGGCCGGTTCTGCGGGACATTGTCCAGACCCAGGGCCCATTTGATGCCCGGTTGGTGAACCTCAATCAATACTACCAACGGGTTGAGAATCGAGGTATCATTCGGTCCATTCTAGATGAATGAATCACAGGGAATTTTGTCGGATGTTATGGAATAAATCCAGGCATCTATGGAGGTTTGCATTTCAGTGTACGTTTTTCTTTAGCTATGGACATATAACGAGACATGACGAATTAACTTGCACAAATCCGATGAGAACGAGTGGTAGCATTGCTTAAGTCTCGCTGTTTGCTGAGCGCTCTTATCGGTTTGTGCTGGTGCAGCGGCCACCTGTGCATAGCCCACAAACTGTGACGGGGTATAGGTGAAGCTTCCTTCCATGGTTGCAACCTATCTTTCAGCGATAATGCAAATCCGAAGTTCTTCTTTCTGTCACAGACTGGGCGAGTGATAAAAGGACCGAATTCATCTCTAGAAATCTCGTTGGAGTTCTTCATGTACGGGGTACGGAGCTTCTTCAGGATGCCTTTCTGCTTCATATTGAGTCCTTGGGCGAGCACCGGGAAATTCATGTAACTGGAACTCGGTTGGTTTTGGACATAAAAAGATTACATGAGTGGGCCATGTATACAAAACAGAAGAAACGGGACAAATGACTATAGCTTCTCGAACGTCGGAGTGCGCTTTTGCAACCCAGACATCAAAGCAGCCGATACATCCTGCGTCTGCAAGGCAGCGCTGTTCCACACACCCGTATAACGCAGTCCGTCTTGGACCGAGTGATCGCGCGAGTAGTTCAAAATCTCCTTGGTGCCTTGCACAGCCACGGGGCTTTTGCTGGCCATCAGATCGGCAATTTTGAAGGCAGCGGCGATGGTGGCTTCGCGGTTGTCATACACGGCATTAACGAATCCCACCCGCAGCGCCTCCTCGGCGCCGAACTCGCGGGCTGTCAGAGCAACCTCCTTCACCCACCCGTAGTTTCCAACAACCTTGGGGAGTCGACTGAGGGTACCGATGTCTGCTGCGAGTCCAATATCCACTTCCTTGACCCCAAATTTGGTATCCCGTGCACAGAGACGCACATCGGTCGCCGTGGACAAGTCAATAGCGAGGCCCAACGAGTAACCGTGCATGGCCACCACAACGGGCTTCTCACAGCGCTCAACTGCACTGATGCAGTCTTGGAACGCGAGGATATGGCGACGTAGGGAAGCTGCCTTCCGGGCTGGGTCAGTCTTGGTCTCTGATGACAGGAGGCCTTCGGAGGCTGCCTTGACGTCCAACCCCGCAGTGAATGCCTTCGCTCCAGCACCACTGAGGACGATCGCACGAACGTCGGGATCCGTGGAAAGCTTATTGAAGATCCGGGCCATATTCTCCCACATCCTAAGTTGCGGGTTTAGCTGTAGCCCGTCACCTCAAGAACTCAGCACTCACACTTCAATGAAGGCATTCAAACTGCCTGGCCGGTTGATCTCCACATGAGCCACATATTTGTGGTCGGCAGGAAACTGGACAGTAAAATATTCAAATTTGTAGGCGTCAGACATTTTGAAGGTTGAATGATCGAAAGGTGGAAGATGCAGAAAGAGGTATAAAAGGGAAGGTTGCTATCTCCGTGGACCTCGGCACCGGGGTGTGGGGAACATTTTGATCATCCTCCTGGGCAGCTTTCTAGACCTGGTTTTTTTTACTACCTACTTTTAACTGGCCCCTTGTCAACTTGCTTGAGCTAATACACACAATAAGTTGCGTATCAGTAAATCTGAATACACAATGGAACATACACAAACACTACATGTAAACTAGAGCTTTGCTAGAGCTCGTAAACCTGTGGATCTTCACATGCCGAGGCAGAACTATAACCTTTAAGGAGTATATAATCAAACAATACGACCTAACTACTCTGTACATCAGGGAAAGAGTCGGATTGAAAGTTGGAACTTCAAGGATTATGATTAAGTGGTGCTAACTACATAGTACAGAAAAACAACCAGATTCACCCAAGCTCCATAATTGCATGCTCAATGTCAACGTCGAGTCATTCCGTATTTCATATCTCGTGTGCGGTCGTAAGGCGATTGAAACGCCGAGGCTGGGATAGTAATCTATCCAACTGTGATCTTCTTGGAAGCAGCAGAAGTTGCCTTGGGGACCTCAATGGAGAGGATGCCATTCTTCAGACTGGCCGAAGTCTTGTCGGGGTCAACGCGATTCGGGAAGGTGAAGGAGCGCTGGAACTCGCCGACGGAACGCTCACTGGCCCAGAAACGGTGGCTAGGCTTGGTGACCTGGTTCTCTTCGGCCTCGGCGCCTTCCTTGGCCTCAGCCTGAGATTCGGGGGTGTGGTACTCGCGAACGACGCGGCCCTTGATGACCATGGTCTGAGGATCGGGGAACTCGACGTCGATGTCCTTTTGGGCGATGCCAGGCAGCTCGCCATCGAAGTGGAAGGCCTTCTCAGACTCGCGAACGTCAAAGCGAGGGGAGAATGAACGACCCGCAGTGTGGTTAGTGCCGGAGCGGTGGGCATCGTAGTCGTCAAGAAGACGGAAGAGAGGGGCGAAGTCGCCAGAGCGAGGGAAGCTGGCACGGAAGAGAGACATGTTGTTTGATTTAGAAGATTTGAAGTTGTTGTTGGCTTGTAAACTGAGTATTGATGATGATTGTGATGATGATGGAGGGAGAGCTCATGGGGGCCTTTATAGCCCAGAGCATCTGAGGGCACCTTCCGGAAGCTGTTGGTGTTGATCGATTTCTGGAAGGTGCCCTCCCACAGATAGAACACAGAGAAAGGTAGTCGCTCCTTCTAGCAACTGCTCGATACTCCTCGTGTCACCTTGTATGACGTTCTCATGGATGGTGGTGAGTCTTGTGACTTTCTCCAACTCGCTGGATGCTTCTCCAACATTCGATCACGTGACAGAAATCGCAGATACCAAGAGGAAGGTAGACATTAGGCACATGAGAAGGGAAAGAAGGAAAGCTTCATAGAATGACATGGAAAGGCTCGTGAGAGGATGTTCCAAGGTTCTATCTTCTTCATTCTTGCTCGCAATAGGCCTATTCATTCTCACCAGCAATACCTAGGAGCTAGGAATTACAGCAGCGTGATAGTGGATTGTCCTCATAATTCAAACAGGCCCACAAAACTCCTTCGCCGCCTTCTGGTACCAACGTCTGTCCATTCATTCCTGAGAAAGGTGATATTGATGCAAGGCAGAAGACCGGGTGGGTGAGAGGGCAGCGTAGATTGGGCGCATTCGAGCGGTGCTTTCCCAGTGTATATGTAGTCGACATGGATAAGGTTTGTCGGCGCTGCGTGTTGATGTGAGGTGTTTCGATGAGAAATCATGTTCGACTTTATTCCGATTCTGATTCATCCAGCTGCATGATCTTTTCGTCAAGGTCCTACCAGATTGTTAGCGGCGGCCCTTGAATGACCAAGAGCTAGTGTGCTTCAAATACCTGATCCAGCCGAACCTTCAGATTCTGTAGCTGGCTTTCCTTGATGACCAGATGGTTTTCATCATCCAAGTCCTCCACGATATAATCATGTCGCTCTTCATCGTACTTCAAAATCATGGACTTGATGGAGGGGTCGCATTCGATCAGCAGACCTGCAAAACGCGGTTAGCGATATGATTATGGAGCAAAGGAATAGGAGCAGCTGACCTCGGACGGCGCGAGGCATGTTGAAGAGGAAATTGGGGTTGGAGAGGTAAAGAAAGATGCGGAGAAGCGAAAGAGGTGAACAGTGCCAAGACACCCACTCTCCGCCTACACCGCCTGGCCGTCTTTACTCCGTATCCTCAAGGCCTCAACGATACATCTGTTCTCTAGAGGAGGTGCATTTATTAGGTCTGCCAAGTCCATAATAGGCCTCGCCGAAGTCTTGAAATGGGAATTCAAATTTGGATCCCGGATATTAATATTATATACTGAATATCTACAATTTACGTGTTTCATCTCAAAATGCGGATGCAGGTGGCAGGTCGGGAATTGAATCAGTTCGATTAAACAACAAAGACCATCACTTCAACCCAAAGACAGATGGCCAGTGATGGACGACTCGAGTCAAAACCTTGGCCAAGTCCACCTGGTCACCAGCAGGCTCAGGAGTTGACCAGGTCTCATCTTGCCAATGGAGCTCGAAAGCACGTATCTGTGAATGCAACTCAGTTGCATTGTATGACTCTGTTGGAGTCAACTTCAAGTATTCAATGAATATACGCCAACGTGGGATGTAATATGATGAAACTACCCCACTCCATTGCTTCGATGCGTAGTCAGTGATCTCTCCATTGGGGCCCCATAGCGTGATCTGGTTGCGCGCGTTGTATTCATAGAATGCCATCTCCGTTTTGTTACCATGCGCCCACGCTCGTGCCGACTCAATCCAGGTCGAAAGTCGGAAGTTTCGGTTGGTAAGAAGAACCGAGTCAAGGTCAGTCAAAAGTTGTAGGAGCTGCTCTCCCTTCTCCTCTAAGGAGTCATCTGTGGAGCGGGAGTTGTTGTAAGACTCCACTAGGTCCGAATACAACGGAATGAAAGCGTTGTCCATGACCTGACGAGTCACGTCGACCATATCGTGTTGGTAGGCTGGGTTAGACCAGAGTCGGGGCTCTGCTTTTGTTGCCTGGTACATCAGCTGCCACGCGTGTACCAGGACAGAGGGCTCATAGGTGAGGCTGGTCCCGTGGGTGCCGACAGCATCGACCAGGTTCGAGAGCCTGGGCTCAATATCAACAATTGCCTTTGCCACAGACAGAGTGGTGAGGTTCGTATTGTTGTACACTGTCTGTCGCATCAAATCCCAGGCCGCATATAGTTGAGTGGGGATCTCTTTCTGGCCAGCATATCGGCTTGTCACCCATTTGTGAAAGTACTGCCGAGTGTCCACTGGCGTTGCAGACCATGCCTGGTCCAGTAGTAAGTCGTACACAATTTCATTTCCCTCCTGACCCTCCATACTGAGACCGTAACCGACCATGGATGGAGAGTCGAGTCGCGCTTCGGTGGCATTCTGGGTCAGGTTTTGGATCTGTCCATATAGACCCATACTGCCTCCAAAGTTGTGTAGCTGACACCAAATCCACGGCTTCCCAAAGTAATTGCTTGTTCGGCGCCACTCTGGGATGGATTCCGAAAACAGATCCAAAATCAGCATATCGTCCTTGGACTCCACACCAGACAAATATGCCTCCACTCGCTCATTAGTCCAAAATCCCGAATTTGCATAGAACAGCCAGCCTTGCATCATCCATACGGCATCGGGGTCCGCCTGCTTTAGGCTGTCCCAGGTGTTGCGAGTGACATTACGTAGATAGTCCGTATCACCGGAGTAAGGATCGTTCTCATTGTACTGGTCCAAGGTGTAGATGTGGCTGACATTGCCATAAGCGTCTTGCTGTTTGCCAATGAAACTGGCTTGGAGCTTTCCAAAGTTCTCGTCAAATGGTTCAAGGAATGTGACATTGGTGTATTCAAGGGGGAAGCCACCCCATTGCGACCCGCGAACCACATTGGCATTGGGCAGGACCCGAGAGATGTTGGCCGGGACGAACCCAGTAAATGCTGGCAGCACAGGGGTCATCCCCAGCTCTATCATGCGACGAATGATCTTTTTTTGTAGTTCAAATTGTTCATCGATCCATGTCTGGGGTAGTTCGCCATGCCAGGAGCCTTGGATGTTGCCGAACCGATTCCAGGCTTGGAACGCCGGACCACTGAGGAAAGTGGAAATCTCTGCATCGCTGAGGCCAGCCTCACGAAAGACGTCGACAATAATCCGTTCCTGGCCGACCCAAGCAAGCGGTAGATTCACTCCACGTAAGGCCATCCAGTCAAGCTGTAATTCCCAATCTTCCCATGTCCAAAAGGCTGTGGTATAGGAAAAAGTCACTGAATCGAGTCAGAAATGGTGAACGCGTGGAAAGAAAGCCGCAACTGCGCATCATACCCGTGTTGAAATGATATCGCCAAGGGACTGTACTGGAGCCATGAATTGGGCTGGTTAGGCGAGGCAACTTCTGAGGCGCAACATCTAGCCGGCTGCCAATGAACCAGTATATGTCAACATGAGCAATATCGCTGAGATAACGATGTAAACTAGGGAGATGGTTAACCAGAGAGGAAAGAGGAGGTCAGAGTCAACGTATTACCCCGAAGATAACGCGCTCAGGGTATTCCCCTTAACCGACACTGTCCCATCCGGAGCATTGGTCACAACATAGGAGTCGTATTTGCCCTGGAGAGTGGTATCCAAACTAAAGTGAAATTGATCAAGATGATTTGGCAGTCGTCGTTTGACAAGATTGGAAATGCCCTCCGTGGACTGTGCCACTGTTAGTGCAGCAAGCCAGAGCAACGAGTTGGTCCAGCGCATGGCGATGAGAGGCGGACGTGTTCGTAGACGTACTACTCAGGAGAAAGGGAAAAAGATCACAGACATAAACCAACAATGGGGTAGATCTATACCCCGTAGGGGTTCCCCGCATTCCTGCATCATGCATGCGACTCTCCTTTACAACGTGGGTCGCCTGAATTGCGTAGGGATCAGCTAACTAGGAAAAGAAATCCTTTTGACCTTTCAAAGCCTTTGCTAAAACCTCGGGGTACCATCGTTGTCCAACATCCTGGTGACTGGTCACTCGAGCAATGAAGGTTCCCTCGCCGATGCTCCCATGGAATATTTCGTTGAAAGTCGCCTCTGCATCTGACTTTACTTTGGGATCCTTCACCATGCGACGGATGTTGTCCGGGATATTCAATGAAATCGCATCAGCAGAAAGGTCTAAACTCACTCCCTGGAAGACCGGGAAAGAGAATCGAGGTCCCAAAGGCTGGCCGTCGCCGTCTCGATAATTTTCGGCCCGTAAGCTTACACGGTGTGTGGTCGCCGTGCAGATCCCCCGGTCAAGGCCTCCAAGGAGCGGCCAATATTGATCACCACTGTCCCCGGAAGTGGCGGGACAGAGATCCATGTCCCGGTTTTATTCTGAGCTTCCAGGCCATGGTGCGGTGTCCCTTGCAACAGGAAAGTGAGGAACCCCGAATCTTTATGGGGACCAACGCCTTGGAAATTAAATCCGTCGTTAGACCCCGGGGGAGGAGGATATTTCACCAATTTCAGTTTGTGTTGCTGTGGAGTGTCAAAGACCTGGTCGAATGCAGTTGGCGGCAGGTCCAGTGCTTCTGCAATAAAGCCTGGGAACACGTTGGCCAGGCTGCTCACTTCGGACAGATATGTTTCGAGTGATTTGCGGAATCCGGGGATTACTTTTTCATCCGGCCACTGACAGGGGAGGTAAGCAGCGATTTAGAGGGCAAGACAGGGGCAAAGTCGGTAATTCATACCTGGTTAGGACCGACGACATTTCTATACAAAGGCTCATTTGGACCAGGCGCAGGGAGCTCGGTTGCAAACTGACCAAGGTCTCAGTATCATAGTCGACAAACCAAGTCCCTCTCGACCTAGGGCCTTAGATCTCGAACTTACATCGAATTGTTCACGATAATCTGGTTTCAAGGCGGTGATCTCTGCACCGAGCCTTGAATAGCCCAAAAAGTGAGGACTATTCACCATTTCGATTTCAGCCTTCTTTTCTAAGGGCAATTCAAAGAGATCCAGAGCTTTTTGGATGAACTGATGTTGCGATTGAACGGAAACAGGAGGATTTCGAAGATAGAAAAAGCCCACATTCACAAGAGCCTCGCGCAGACGTGTTAAAAAGGCGGGCTTGTTAGATGAGGACAAGGCTTCGGAGAAATCTAGCACCGGAATTGAAGTGAAAGATGGATCAGACTTGCAAGGTCAGCATTCGAAACGTATGTGGGTTTAGCAGGAACGATACCATTTTGAATGATCGAATTGGACAGTTGACGGTTTTCGACGAGCAGTTTAAAAAGTTCAGGATGTCATTGATTTTATAGCACAATTAGTATACCTACCTGGCAGTATATAGAACACGCGATGTTCCAGTAGGTTGATTGGGGGAAGATGGCGAAACTGATGTTTCCTATGGGAACATCGACCCCGCTTGGGCCGCTCAGGGCATTGCCGGTACGCATTGGATGTTTTGGCTGCATACCTATAGATAACGATCAACACAAAGATACCTATAAGATGGATAGTAGGTCTCAATGCCACAATAATTCGTCTGATCTAGATACTTTGATCTTTGACTAGCCTTTATGTCTACAGATCACTGTTTGAGCCCCACCTGCACGGGTATATCATAGAATGTACCGAAAGCCAACAGCCCGGGTCTCTAGGTCATTCGGCTCTAGTATATCGTGCGAGCAACCAGCCTCATCCAACCTCTGATTCATATGACTGTGGACCAGGCGAATCACGACTGCCACCAACGCAACTAGAAGTGCTATTCCGGCCGTCGCGCTTCCGCCAGGAATATACCGAGGCCCAGAAGATGATGGCCACATGTAGCTCCCATATATTGAGGCGGTATTACCGATCATATTTGCAATGGCGATTGCAGCTGACCTTTTGACCAGTGGACGGGGAAAGGAATTGGCTACCCAGGCGATGATAATTTGATACGCAGACACAGCCCCCATGGGCATCCTGATTCCTGTTAGAAACATGCGAACCACAGTAAGATGAGAGCGACTTACAGAAACATGGCCAAGAATTTGGCACCGATGTTGGTTGTCGCGGTGATAATCACACCACCTACCACGCTCACTATCATCAAGCAGATGATATGCAAGCTGCGATCGTTGAGTTTGTCAGATGTCCACGTCACCAGCAGCGAAACTAAGAACGTTGCGATCCAGACAGGGGCGGTAATCAGAAGAGTTTTGATGTTGTCGTATCCAAGGGTTTGCACGATGGTCGGGAAAAAGTATTGGAAGTTCTGCGACAGGAGCGAGAGATGCTGGAGGAGAATGAAAAGGTAGATGCGCTTATCGGCGAAGACAAGTCCTAAAGCTTCCTTGACGCCGGTTGATCCAACCTCGTCCGCTTCTCCTGCATCGTGCATTAAGCGCCATTGCGCGTATGCTTTTTCCTGTTCGTCCAACCAGGGCGTTGTAGCTGGATAATTGGGCAGCATGAGACTATTGGAAGTCAGATAATTGAAAAGGCCCTATCGGGTAGGGAGCCTCACGTCGCGAGAAGTGATACTCCTACAGTGATGCATCCTTCGATGATGAACAGCCATCTCCATCCGGCGATACCGTGCGCTCCATCAAGGTTTTCTAGCACACCTGCTCCAATGAGCCCCCCAAAGGCATTGGCCAAAGAACTCCCGGAATAGAACCATGCAATACGATGGCTTAGCTGAATCAGTCAGTTAGTGATAATCATCGTGGCAGCCAGGTCCTGATTGATTCACCTCTTGTCGAGTATACCAACTTGACCTATACACGGTCAATGTTAGTGAATGCTCAAAGAGATGTGATAAGATTTGGAGAAACTCACATTAACATGACAGCACCGGGGAAGAAAGGCGCTTCGACGAACCCAAGGAAGAAGCGTGTCGCAATGATCCCAGAAAAAGACTGGACGGCTGCCTGGCAGGCGGAAATAACACCCCTATCAGAGCAGTAAGCACCAGGAAGCCGACGAGCACTGTCGAACAGGTCATACCAGTTAGCCATTGCAATACCCAGAAACAATGAAGGGCGAAGCCGAGTCAGGAGCAGGTTCGAAGGCAGTTGCATCAGTAGGTAACCGACAAACAAGATACTGGTGGCGAGATTGTAATCAGTGCCTTTCATGCCCAGGTCTTTTTCTAATGTACCCAGACGAGCCTGTGATAAGTTGCTAGAAAAGAACCATCAGGAATCATACTATTGTCTATTAAGTCGTAGAGAGGACTTACTTTCTGTCCAGAAAGTTGAGAAGATACATGAGGATGAGAAATGGCAAAAGATGCCAATCGACCTTCCGAAGCAGACGTTGGGTCATGTCTCGATGCCATTCTGAACTTTTAGAAACATATGCATGGTAGAGAGCATCCTGTTCGAAGACGACCTCCTTTGTACCAAATTTCTCTGGCTCCTCCACCGCATTTGTCATTGTGCAAGTTAAAGTGGCTTGAATTCAACCAGATCGAGACCAAGGTTCTTCGTATCGCAGAAGACACTATAGCTTATAAGCTGACTGGAGGACACGCTGTGTACGCAGTACATGACTGTTGCAGGCCTCGGCGCAAGTCCGAAGGTCAACCCCGGGGTCCAGAAAGGGAAAGCAGAAGTAAGGAGGTGTACGGACTAGTATTCTTTCATCTCTCGCTCGGACGATTATCCTATTGGCTACTGTGGAGCAGATGTTCATCTTGGCAGTGATCGAGCGCGGGGAAGCTACTAGGCTCGGGGTAGCTCGTTCCGAGCGTTTATCATTCATAGCCGAAATTTTGCATATGCCGTCTGTCAGTGTCAGCTCACTGAAGAACAGCGAAAGTGAAGACCATGAGATCTGGAGCAATTGGATATAGTCAAAACTCAAAAGCATTTGGTAGATAGGACTGTTGCCGCTTTCAACTTTGTTCAAAAGAGTACAAGGGTACATTACTGTGGAATGCATAGTTGTATATGTACGGAGTAGGAAAGGAGTGGAAGAAGGGCACTTTGTCTCGTTACCTCGTAACCTGGTCTCGTGGTTCCTGTCTTGCCTTGCCGCCTTGCTGCCTTGCCGCCTTGCTGCCGTATTTCCTGGTTGCCTTAGAAGTTACAAAGTGGACTGACGTCATCATATGATCTCACCATCTGGGCCCACCTGAGCATCCCGGCCAGATCGGAACCAGCGAGATGACCTCAGACATGCTGCTGAGCCAACCTCACTCGTCAGAAGTCTTAGACATGAGCCTATCGCTGACCAGCATATCGAGAACGGATTCGATATGAGATACACTGCGGGGCAGACGCGACTCTGTGATGATGCCATTCTACACAATATTCCAAATCGAATAATCACCATTCCGGCAGATGCTGTGCAAACCGGATTTAGGATCAACAGCACTCCAGCATAAAGATAGCCTACATTGATCTCATTCCATATTTTCTACAACGACCTCACTTCTCTATACCACAAATTACTATACTTCTACATCATTCTCAACATGGACAAACTCTCTGGCCTCGCTTCCAAGCTTGGAGGCCACAAGAGCTCTGGCTCTGGCGATGGAGCTGCCTCCGGCTCGCAAGGCCAGGAAGATTACGTTGACAAAGGTGACCTTCTACTGTGCAGGTTCCACGCAAGCAATTCAGGCTAACAGCAAAAGGTCTCAACACTGCCGAGAAGAAGTTCGGTGGTGGCAAGGTCGACCCTGAGAAGATGCGGTCCACCAATGAAAAGGTCACTGATACTGGCCGTGAGCAGTTTGAGAAAGCCACTGGGTATGTTCTTCTGTGCGATATCTCGACCCAAGGCAACGCTAATTCCCTATAGAAAGAACGTCCCTTCGAAGATTTCCAACTAAACATCCATACCACCGATTGATGATTGCTGCGAAGTCTCATATTGGTAGACTTGAAAACGCAGAATCATGATACCCCCTCTTGACGGATAGTGTCCTAGGTACATAGCACCATGTGGATGTCATTGAACCACACTACTGGCTGCGATATGCAATGAGATATTTGAGTTTTCTTCAACCTCGGAAGAATGTTCAATTACTCCTGGAACGTGTGTGATCACCGCTGCAGGTTTGATAGAAACCCTGATAGCCCCGATCCGAATGCTTGACGAGTGAACATGGTATGGGTCCGGCATAGTTGAAGCTGACCCTGAATACGCTCGAGCTTTGTGGAGGTGGCCCCGCGCCCGCCTGCGATAATGCGCTCATAATAAGTCTGTGCGCGTTCGTACTCTTTAGCGTTGAAGTGTAAGTTGGCGAGAAGCTCCAATGTGGCATGCGTCTCGGGATTTTCTTTGCCTTTGCGGTGCTCGACCCAGTTCAAGTATCGTATCAACCAGGGGAAGGCTTCCTCGGTACGAGCCTGGGTGAAAATGCTCTGCGCGTAACCGTTTTGCAAAGCATACATGACACCAATGTTGGCCACGATGTCCATGGTCAGGGGATGGTCCGCACCCAAGGATTCCTCTGCACTGGCCAGGGCACGACGGAGCGTCTCGGATGCTTCCATACTCTGCTGCATCAAGCTTTGTGCTCGGCCATGCAGACAAAGAGCGCGAATGGTATATGGATGCGTATGACCCAAGGCGTCCCGAAGCTCCTGGTAGACCTGTAACATTATCTCTATCGCGCGTTGTACATCCGGTTGAAAACGCATAACGATCAGTGAAGTCGAGTCCCCAGCTTGGTTGTTAATGATGTATTCTAACGTGTCCAACACGGAGCCAAATACCCGAATATGGGTGTCTCCGAGGAGACGCTTGAGGCTTTCTGTGAGCTTCTCTGCCGTCATCACGGCATGCTCTCGACGACCTAAAGCGTTGTAGGCCAACCCCAGTCGGCGTCGGGTTTCGCAAGTGTCCAGATGGTTGTCGCCGATCGTCATCTGTTGACGGGCCAAGACGTTGGCGCAGATCGACTCTGCTTCTTGATACTTGCCTTGTTGACATGTGATCTCTGCCATCAGACTTTCCGTTTTCATCGCCAAAGGGTGCTTAGGCCCAAACACACGTTGGACATTTTCGGACAGCCAATGACCCCATTCACTTGCTTGGTCCAAGTAGTTGCTCTCCAATGTCACCTCAGCTAGACTATAAGCCACTGATAGTGTACTGAAATGATCCGGGCCCAGGGTGCGGAAATGTTCTTGAAAGATCTCATGATCGATAGATCGGGCATCGTCCCATTGGGCCCGATTCTTTAATTCCGCAGAGCGAATGGACCGTGGATCGTTATCTAGAGCGATGAATATAGCTCCAGTCACCTTTTGAGCCGAAGGAGAGGGGCGACCCTGTCTTAGATACGGTACGCTACTGTTGGAAGGCATTCGTGGTGGTATTGGCGGCGGGGATGAGGCCGCGCCGGGCAGCTGGACAGACTGTGGAATGAAGCCTTGCTGTGATAATAGTGCTTGGTCGACTAATTGCTTGATGTTCCCGTTGATCAGGCGGTATTGTGGACCACGATGGCTGATCTTGCACATCTGTGAGTGATCTGCGTCGAGTTTGAGTTGTGTCTCGCGCAAGCCAGACAAACCAAGAACCGCTGACTCTTCTTCAACCACAAGCTATGAAGATCAGCCTTTGCTAAACTTGCATTGGGAGTCATATCGGTACTGAAGGAAAGATGCGCTTACATGGCTGATAGATGCTGGCCCGAGTCCTCCTAATTGCACAGCCTTCCCTTCGATAAAGCTTACGACTCGATAATCCTCCAGTTGATGTCGAAACCGATCGGACATTTGGCGTGTGAAGAGGGAATTGTGTTCCAAGCAGTCTAGAAGGTCATTGCTGGCATGGCCTTTGGATACAAAGCGGGCAACTCGAGCGGCAATTTTTCCAAGTTCTACAGCTTTCGCGCCACGATGAGGTGTTCCGAAAAAGACGAGACCATAAGTTGCCGAGCGAATAGCTGTATATTTCGGATCTTCTTTCGCATTGAGAAGTGCCTATACGAGTCCAACTGTTACGGCGAGGTCGTGAGAGAGATTGGGACATTATATTACCTGTTTGATCACCAATCCACCTAAGCTATGTCCAATAAATATAATTTTCGGTGGGATCGAGCCCTGGCAAGATGTCAATGAACCGAGAGGAACCTCACAGGGGCTCTTCTCTTACCAGTTGCGGACCACGTTCCATATCCAAAAGATTCAACAGGGTATTGGCATGGTCTTTGATGCTTGACGTAGACATAGTCTGAGCGTTGGTTATATTGGAATTGTATCCATAAACAAAAACACGCGCATATGGCATGTCCTCGGCTAGGAAGTCCTTAGGCCAGAATTTGCCATTGCTATGCGTCCATGTTTGGAATGGGTGGTCATTTCGACCGCTTGGGTTCAGTCCATGAACAAAAATAAGACTAGAAGATCGCGTGGCTTAGAGAGGCTCCTTCGTTTGAGGATACGGGGGTTGAGCATCCATACTCGACCTGGTGTGAAGACCGCGGACTGAAAACCTCCTGCAAAAAGGGAAACTCGTAGTCCCCCGCTTCCTAGACGTTAATTAGAATCGTGCCTTCCAGTTACATGTCATTACCTATTATGAGTATTTATCGAAGTAGAAACATAGACTTACCATTGTTGACACGCAAGCTAGGTACCCCAAAAAAAGAGTATTGAAAAACGTGAGTCAAGAATCTCCGGTCTCATGGATAACCCCTATTTAAGGAAAGCGAGAGAGAGATGACAAATGAACACCTCGAAGCTGACGGATTGAACATGTGGCTTATTAGGTAGTTTTTGGCGAGGCTAAGACATCAGGTCAATGACACGGGGGATGTCTCCCATCCAATGATCGCAAGGCTCCAAACTCGGCAAAGATTGCCTGAACTGTGTATGTATTTCATTTCAATGGGCCACAGGGTCATGCTGCAATCTGCATACGCCCTGTCAGCGGGGGTTATCGGCCATGCACAACGTGCATGACATTAGCGGCTATCTGTAGCTAGCTGAATATGACTCAACCAATCGGAAACAATATTTCTTCTTATGCCCGATGCCGATCTTCGTCTCGCTCAGCCCCCTCTTGCTGGAATGCCAGGTTTCGTAAACACGGAGCATAGAACAGGGTGCCACGCCAGGCTCCGTGGGCAGTTCGCAATGCCACGAGCATCCACAGTAGTAGAACTGCGCCACTCAAAACCTGGACATGCAACCGAGTTAGTATGCTTATTTACGTAGACCAAACGGGACCAGATTTCGCAACGTACAGTCCCAAAGACCTTGAAGAACATGATCTCCATTTGGATACCCAACTCCATGGTATTTGCAGCATACACTCCAAGTGGAAAGGTAAATCCCCACCAGCCCATATTGAAGGGAAATGGAGAGCTGTAGAGAATTGTGGCTAGCGCAAACACAAGCCAGACCAAGCCAAAGCTCCACATAAGGAGTGACGTGAAAACACCTAGGACATAAGCCATACTGCCCGCGATAGGATCCAGAATGGCAACATCCCGTAATAGCACGCGTGCCCCTTTGCCAATATAGATGATACTGGCAGCAGATTAGAGGGAGAGTTTCAGAATGTAGGAGAAGTTTGCCATTGCTTACCCGACTCCGCCAAAGCCAAGGGGCCCTAAGGGGAGAAAGCAGCTCACGATGACCTCTCTCGGGGGAAGTTTGTGCACTGCTAATCGCTGATAGTAGATGACCAGTATGACGATTGCCAGCGGAGTAGCCATGCCCCAAAGGATAAATGAGACAAGCAATGTCCCCAATGCATGATGTTTGTTTGGTAATATATTGGCTATTTCGGCACCAACACCCGCTGCCACAATCGTCGCTGCAATAGGCAATAGTTGAACCGCAGTGATTCTATCTAGCGAGGTAATATATCGTTGAGATATTCTGATCAGAAGTCAGCATTCCGACTGTGCATCCAATCGAAATATTCCAGTATGGGTAGGGACAGACAGAATGAAAGACAAAGACAGAGTCACTGCTGCTGCAGCCACTACATCAATCATCCACAAAGCCCAGGCAAAGTTTGCGGCCCATGGCCCCCAGAGTGGCACACAGATGAACACCCACATCTCAATGAGTGTGGCAAAGCCCATGGGAATTGTTGCTAAGAAGAGTGAACTTGTGGGGTCCTGGATCATAACACTCCATATCTCAGGGTATAGCGTATATCTGAGGATGGAAGTGATGAGGGCTAGAGTAAATAAGACGAGATTGAGCAGGAAGAAGACAATCGACAGGTAGTAGAGTGCTGGAGCATCGAATGGCACTGATGTCATCAAAACCGATACGATCCCAGTTCCCATAGTGACGGCAAACCATCTGCACATGAGCAATCAGAGCAGATCAACAAATTCGATTGCAGAAGAACATACGATGGACTGAAGTTCCGTACGATGCGTCGCCATCCCATGTTATATTTCATAGGGCCTTTCGCGGGCCTGTTTGAAGATTTTGCCATGTCAAGAAGTAAAGTAAATGTGTCTTTTCTCTTGTCAAATCCAAATAAATGGAGAGTGTTTTTAAGCACAATATAAAGAAGAGAAGAAGAGAATGAGTCAAACATTCCAAAGGCCGACTTGGCTTGTCGGCCGAGTTCGGGATGTGGCGAAATGCGACTCTGGCTCGGAGCTTCAAAGGACTGAAGTCAAAGCGAGGACTTTCGTTTATCCTTTGCAATGATTTTACTACTTTTCTCATGTCATTAGGTTACGAGAGAGGCTTTATAATCTGCCTGCAGGACATGGCCCTAGCTCTCCTACGAAAGACTCGACGTATCAAAACTCTCCATAGTATCGGTCGGAACCCCGAGCAGTTACCGGATGTATGGTCTGGAGAAACCAGACTGTACTGCCCGTCGCGACTCCCAAACCATGCACCATTCTTTGACTCGGGGAAATACCACATGTAGAGATTCCAGCGTTTCAATCTAGTTCTGAAAGGAGATTCATGTACAAATATGGCGGAGAAGTGAACGGCAGCCCTGGTGAGTAGCCAGAATGTGTATCTTGCGGTGAGAAGCCCTATACATGAAGGCTAGCCTCATGTCGATTCCTATAATGAGACTAGGTCCCTCCTTGCAAATGATAACCACAGTATATCCTAATCTAGTCAAAGTCATAAAAGGCCCTGCTCTAGACCATCGGCCACCCGCTTGAGAAATCGATCTTGTTCCATCCGAAGCGCTTTTGGCCATCGGCATATCCCACGGTGGTGTCGACGTAGTGGTAGTATAGCACTGGACCGAGGCTGGTATCGGTATATACACCCCTTGAGATTGTGAGAAAGGATAGGCAAGCAGGAACGTGCAAGAATTCCGAGAACTTACTGTCCACCGGGGCCGTAGACAGTCCCGTGACTTTCAAGAACGACTGTTCCCCCTCCGCTGGTACACGCAGTGCCGGATTTATCGACCTGGAGTAGGGCTTAGTTAGAACAGTGGACGATAGGGTAAGCGGGAGAGACGCACAAATCCACCTGTAGGTGTGGTTGAACGGCAGACCTTGATTTTGTATTCTGCTCCGCTAGCTGGGCGCGTTGTATCGTAACCACAACAAATGCCGACAGAGTAGAACAGATAGTAGTAGTCACCGTGTTGATACATATAGGCTCCCTCTACGGCATGTGTTCCAGACGGGTCATAGGCTAAGTTGTAGGATGAGGCTGCGACTTCGGTTGCATCCGAATCCATTGGAGCCTGGTAGAGATCGTGCCAGAATGAGCCAAAGTTCATGTAGTAAGTACTGCCATCTTTGAAAAGATTGCCATCAATAGCATTGTATGACTTAGAGGATGACGAGGCAATACCGGTGCTCCCACGATCAGTCCAGGAGCCAGCCTCCATAGTTGCAGAAGTGGCCAGTCCAAGAGCAGAACTCTGTGAACCAAATGTCGATACGGAGTAATAAACATGGTACAGGCCATTCACGAGCTGCACGTCTGGAGCCTAATATGGATATTAACATGGAATATGGCTGTTTGATGTGCCTCGACAAACAGTTATCTTACCCAGAGGTCATCATTTCCAGGAAGATCAATGGAAGATCCACTAGGTAACATGGACCCAATGGTAGTCCATGGGCCGTTGATAGATGAGGCGCTCGCATAAGAGATCTTATTGCCAGTAGAGAAGCGGAAATAACGATTATCTGACGACCTTTGAATCAACGACGGGTCGTGCACATTGCAGGCCCCGGAACATGAGCCTGGGTTTGCATATCCCTGCACAAGTGCAGCAAATACCACTGGCCGAGCAATACTACTGAAATGCATCGAAAGAGGGGGCCGGGATCTGTTTCAGAGAAATAACAATGGACTGTAACCACTGGGCTCCTGTAGGTAGTTATACATTGTTTGACAATGTACAAACGTGTCCATTCGTGGAAAACCCAGTCTCATCACGGACGGAGACTTTCTGCAGCAAAGCATATGCAAGACTCCAGCCAAGTCAAGAAGACAGGTCAAAGGATAGATCGCCGGAGGCAGGAGCCTAAAGCAGGGAATACCGCGATGGTTTAGGAAATAAGCCAGTGGGGTAGTAGAGCACCGACTGGTGGGAATAATAACTACACACTACTGCAACCGAAACACGCCGAGTCCCGGCCAAGTCGACACATTAGTTTCATCAGGCCGGACAAAAGCAACTTCCAATATCCGGAGGGAAATGGGGGTTCACAATTCTCCGACGGTCACTACTATCACTACTTTAGTTCTGCTCCCTCGTAAGTGCCACTTTGAGTTAATTCATTAAATTGTGCTAGATGGAAACGTTCAGCAATGTTCACAGTAACCCGGCCATGACCCGGGTCAAAGCCTCATCTTCGGCATGGAAAATATCCATAGCATTGGGCAATCTAGTGTCCCCTGCAGGCGCTAACCCCACATCTACTCTCGCCGCCATGTCCGTATCGGCTTGAGGGTCGAAGTAGAATCCACCAGCCATCTCAAAAAAGCTACTCAAGTCTTCACAGTCATTGGATTTAGGGTCAGCCACTGTAACAGGGGACATTGACCAGAAGGCGTCAGAAGACGACTGGAGGGTCGATGTTTGATGCAGGCTCGGACTGCATTGTGCGGCAGCAGATCCTGTCGTGATTGACAAGGTTGAGGTATCCCAATTTCCGCGCGACGAATACCGCTTGTATTGAGAGCTAGGATTCTCATTCGAAGCGTGCTCTGACCTCTCTATATCCTTAGAGCTTGCGTTTGACGGGTAAGTTCGGCGAAGGGATGGTTGTCGGCCAGGTTCAGTATCCCATCGGAGGTTCAATCGAATGCGCTTCAAACCGTGGATGATCTTTTGCAATCTTCGAGAAGTACGGGCGCGAGTAGCCGATCGGCGAACCATGTCCACAGCCGTATAGAATTCAGGCCGACAGGAATGACTGAAACGAGCTGGGGCATGTAAAACGGCCAGAAACAAGGCGGCTAAGGCAGACAAGAGGAAATAGTTGAATGGCTCCGGGCGCTGGAAGTAGATGGTTGAGACTCGGCTGAAATAGTCCAGCATATGGACGGTGCTCTTGGCCGTTTCCACAGCGGTGGAGGCACCGGCAATATTGTCTGCTATTCGCTCATCGCTCAGCAGATTTTGCCGATACACCAAAATGCGGAGCTGGTTTGCCTGTAGAGCAAGCAGAACTTGGAGCATCATAGCTCTGTCGGTGTGCTCTGTGCCTGCAGGAGAGCGCCAGGTTGGATCGAAGCGCAGTTCCGGTGGGATGGAATGAATCCATTGCTGGACCTGAGCGTCGAGATAGGTACAAATATCCGAAGTAGCCGCTTGTGACCGGTTGGGCCACCCAACAACGAGTCCCCAGATCTTTGTGCTGAGGCGCGCGTGGGAGATCATGCAAGTCAGATACGGGGTAGAGTGGCCGGGTTCAGGCAAGTTGGTGTCAATGTCGGAATCTTGAATCGTAAACGGCAAACCAGTGCCGAAGGCACATTTGCGGTCTAGCACATAGATGCACCAGAACAGTCGGCTTGCCCATGTCCATTCTAGTTCACCTGGGAAGACACCTCCTGTTCTTTGCCATGTTTCTTGACAATGGAGACCGAGCTCTGTGCTCCCTCGGACTGCCATCCCAATCAGACGTCCGGCGATAACCTCATCATCGCGATAAGAGTGAAAAATCGACTACCATGATCAGCCACAATGTATCTGGAATATCATAGCGTGATGGAAAAATAAGAGACTGAGACACACACCAGCAATGTTAAAATGAGGATTTCTTTCATGTCAACCTCAGCAATCTTGATTCTGCTGGCGAAGCGATCTTCTACGCTATCGGCCAGCTGGGCAGCGCGCTCACTGCGACCGTGCGTTTCAACCAGTAAAGCGGTAGCCAGAAGAATCTTCAATACCTGGACATCGCGCGCAGAGAACCAATCTTGATCCGAGTTCATCTGCGCCGACAAGGTAGACGGAGGCGGAGAATCAGTGGTTAAATCATGGGAGCGATAGTACTCCAGCACATATGTTCGCACGCCATCCAAGTCAACACAGGGATACATTACACCCACTGTGTCTTCATACACTTGTACCAATCGCAAGGCCTCATCTGAACCGAGACTTCTCAGAGGATGTCCAACAATAGCGTTGTCTCCTCCTTGGGATGCGACCGGGCTAGGGGCTGTTGTTGACAGATCGAGTTCCTCTGGACGATCACCAACTATGGCATCGTTGTCAGGCTCGTGCGACAGGGATCCTTGGGCTTGTGAAAGGCCAAACTCCGCACTTGTGGGCCCGACATATGTGGGGGACTTTGGAGCATCCAAGATCCGGTGCAGGCTCCCGGCAGCAGGTATAGCTGACGGGTTGGGTGGGGAGACAGAGATGGGTGACTCAACCCTTTGAAGGCGAGCGGAAAGAATGCGCATTTCTCGCCGAAGAGCTTCCAATTGGCGGTCCACTGCTTGGAATCGTGCATTTTCCCTTCAGAAGTGGTTTCAGTAAAGTGTTCTTGTTCAATGGGAACTGATGCAGAGCTGAACGCGACGCGACTGGGAGGACACCTTTCATCCTTAAGCTCGTTCTGTACCGACACACCCGTAGGGCGATGAGCGGGGTAGACACAAGTGATCTGGTCCCGAGAACATCTCGCGCAGCTCGATCCCCCGCTGCATTTTAGCTTGCGTCGTTTGCATTCATTGCTGCATGATAATCAGTCGTGTGCATTGAGAAAAGGGGGGACATAAACTGACCAGGCCACCTGAGTATATTTGGCCCTTTTTCTCCGAGACGTGTTTTCATCCCGTGAAGACCTCGGGGATTCAGAAGACATGCTGGGGTCGATCTTACAGGTGTCATAGCAGAAGGGAATTGAAGAAGAAGAATCTCGGAAAGGGAGAACCGAACAGTTGTCTCTCCCCGCCCGCCTACTGTGTACCCGCCCCATCACGGAGTGACAATCATCTTGCACCATTCGTTTCTGGAGATCATCTCGGGAATGATGTTACTGTCTTTCTTGAATGTTGATACACACCGTGACACCACCGCAATGAGACACCTGCCTCTCGATTCTTTGTTCATCTAAAATTCACATGTTCTCCATTAATGCCCTCTCGGTTTGACTCAAAAGGCTGACAATCAAAAAGTCATAACCAGTGATATGAATTCGCTATGATACAATGATCCTCTAAAATCTAAAATCTGGGGTTCTCTCAAATGTGAGATTTACGACAGCAATCCGAATCAGCCAGTCGTGACGATACGTTCTTATTTGAAGGGACATCAATGGAGGGATTCGCCTCGAAGAAATCCGCAGGCCGAATCATGAGCTGGAAGATTTCCACAGGCCTATTGAAGGAGGTTAGCCTCAGGGCAAATGAGAAAGAATACCACAAGACCTGGCACACTTACATTACGGGCCAGTCCTCAACGCGGGGATTGTGGGTAATACCAAACGAGTTCCACACCACGACATCAGTATCGACAACAGAGTCACCTCGGCGAACAGCATCCGAGACACCACCCACTTCGTTCTGACTCTGCAAAGTATAACGTCCGCCAGCGTAAAGCTCTCCGTCGCGGTACTTCGTCACCCAAACGTGATGTTGCGCAAACTGTGCCCGGCGAGCCTGAACCGATGCTGGATCGGCCAGCAGAGATTGAGTGGCCATGGGAATAAATTTATAACCCACGGGATTACCACTGATGGCATTCCTCTTGTGGGGATTGATCATCTTGATGGTCCGATTGAGCTGCGGAGCAGCGTCAATCCAAGACGAACGCTCAACGGTCTGCTTGGTGATTTCATAGAAATTGCCGTTCGGGTTCGTGACCGCATTCATTGCAACTGGGTGTGATTCCTCCACGACCACCGAGTTGTGGGGTCCGTCGATGGCTGGGTCAATTCGTACATTGAAAATATGCTGGTGGTTCTGGGCGAGAACACCACCGCTGACCACATTTCCATAATCACTGACCTTACCAGCGTCGATATTAACCACATTCAGAATGCCCGTTGCGCGGGCTTCGACCGTGATTCCTGCAGATTGGTCGAACTTATACGCAAAGATATATTCGTAGTTGGCCAATGTGATAATGAACTGGACAACAAGCTCCCGGTGGCGTGTGACCACAGCACGCCCAGTGCGCCAGTTAGAGTGCTTCCAGGCAATTCCATTATCCTGCTCATGGAGACAAATTGCATTCGGAAGCTTCTGGGCGGTGCCATCTGCCTGGGTAATGACGGCGTCAAAGTATTTAATGACGCCAAGACAGTCACAACCAAGAGAGAGGTTGTTGGCCATGTTTCCACCACCTCCATCGCCGAAATCAAAGGCCTGTTTCCGATGGAAGGGGGGTCGAGGGTCGGCGTATGGGACAGTCTAGATGAAGGAACACACGTTAGTCGTAGTTTTGTCTCGAGAGAAACGAATCATTTACCATTTCGCTCACTGCTAGTCGATGCATCACACTGCGACCATCATACGACACGTCGTGAATGGTTGCACCCTCCCGCGGGTTGAATGCGACGCGGAAACGCCACTTCTGCCATTCAACCAGAGACTCGTTGGTTACGTGAAAGGAGGGACCCTCAGGCTGGACCACGTTCAGTGGTTTGAGATCCTTGCGAGTACCCTCAGGTAACAGCTCTGGGATGTACTCGGAGGCCTTGCAGTGGCCAATAATATCGCGCTTGAACGTCTGTTCCAACAGACCATCGCCCTTGCCGCCAGTAGCAGGTCGATCCACCCGGATGATCTGCTGGGTATGGGCATCCATCACGGGGATAATTGGCAACGGGTAAGAGTAAAAGTTCGAGTCTTCGTTTCCCGATCGCTTATCCTGAGCAAAGCAAAGGGCCTGGAAAAAGCGTCTGTTTTCATCGGTGTGATCCAACCCCCCATAAGGCCATGGCTCAATGACGACCTCAAAACCTTCGGGCAGATCGAAGTCGGAGATCGCTTTCTGGAACAGAGGCGATTTCAGACATTGATCGACGAGGACATCGAATTCGCTCCTAGAAACAGTCAGGAAACCTTGCCAAGAAATGGATACAACAATCCTTTCTCACAGAGTCAGACTGGCATGGTGTTCTTTCCCCACCACCGTGTGCTTCACACGCGATCGCGAAACCACATCGATCACGGATTCGTGGAACTGTGGAATGCGGTCGGATCCAATCACATCGTACTGGCACAGAGCTAGACGTGGGGGCCGAGGGGTAGTTGGGCTCAAACGACCTGCATGTTCGATTGCTAGAAACTCCAGGAGTTGAGCTTTGGGTGGTTCTTCTAAGAAGATCTCTCGAAAATCGATCACAACATTGGGGTGAGCTGCCTTAACCACGTCGCGCGCCAGGTTGGTCTCCTCGATGGAGAGGATTGAAAGTGGATGGGACATTGCACGAAGTAGTTTGATCTAATTTCTGTCCGAGAGGGAAAACGAAAGGGAATGGGGAAAGGTAACTTATAACTACGCAGTACATTTGTAGATGCTCGGAAAGTTGCTCGGAAACTCGGAATAGTCGGAAAGTTCCGGACAATTGTGGGGATCCGGAACAGGTTCCGTTGTGATATTGCGGGGAAAGAGTTTACTAGTATGGAGTAATCAAGAGGAGATTGAGTTATCTTTTCCTGGGATGATAAGTGAATACGAGTCGAACTGAGTATTTCCTTACTATCCTAGACGGATCATTGTCAACTTTGTATTGACTTGATCGTCGTCTACTCTCCCCCTAGTCTCCTTGGCTATATAGGCCTCGGATGCCCCAAGATTCCCTTCCCGTATACCAAGCCCTTGGGTAATTCCACAATATCCCCATTATTACCTACCAAGCATCAATAAGTGTGGATCATGAATCCTATGCCCAGCAATGACATTCAAGCCCCCATTCCAGAGAAACATCTCAGCGATGAGGATCAACTCGCAACTCTTGGCCATGTGCAAGAGCTCCGCCGCGAGTTCTCACTATGGTCAGTTGTTTGTCTCCAAATTTCATTAATGGCAACCTGGGAGGCCTTGTCCTCGGTCGTTGCCACAGCCCTTACCAGTGGGGGAGCACCGTGCCTGTTTTACAACTAGTAAGTTCCGTCACCAACAGGTTCTCTCCTAGGTTATCAAGGTCTGACCATGTGGTTTATCAAGCATTCTGGCATTTGTAGGCACGATGTTCGTTGTATTTTCATTAGGTGAAATTGCCTCGATATATCCCACTGCTGGCGGTATGATCCATAGCCCCCTCCACCTGCCCGTCCCGATGCCCAACGCTGACATTTCACGCGGTATTCTTCAGGGCAATACCACTGGGTCCATTGTCTCACGCCAGCCTCATACCGAGGTACTGCATCTTGGTTCACTGGTTGGATCTCGATTGGCGGGCAACTGGTCTTTTCTGCCTCCGCGGCCTTCGCAGCTGGCTTGCAGTTACAGGCGCTTATCACCTTGAACAATCCGGAGTCATACGTCCCAGCTCGGTGGCATGGAATGCTTTTCTACTGGCTCATATTGTTGTATTCGACTGCAATCAACATATGGGGCTCAAAGATCTTACCTCACACGAATACAACGGCCGGTAAGTGAACAAGCAAGAGAGCTTGGCCCCCATGCCTTGCATAACCAAGTGCTTACTGTCAACAGGTGTATTGCACGTTGTTGGGTTTGTTGTCATCATCGCGGTGCTAGGAGCAATGTCCGAAAAGCACACCGCAAGTTATGTCTTCACTGAAGTCTCCAACACTAGTGGATGGGAAAATGACGGAGTTTCCTGGTTGATTGGATTGCTGAGCACTGTTTATCCGTTCCTGGGGTAGGAGTATTCCATATAATTTGTGGCGACAAGAAGGCTGATGCTTCCCCCTTTGCAGATATGACGCAGCGTGTCACCTTAGCGAGGAAATGCCAAAGCCGTCCCGCAATGTACCAATGGCTATGATAGGCAGTGTCACTATCAATGGAGCAATTGGCATGATCTATGCGATTATTCTGCTGTTCTCGCTAGGCGAGTTAGAGCCCTTGCTTCAGTCCAAGACCGGATTTCTGTTCATGCAGCTCTTCTTGAACGTCACAGGCTCTCCAGGTGGTGCCTCCGTGCTATCGTTGTGCATTACCGCCATTGCCGCGGCTGCAAATGCCGCATGCGTGACATCAACCAGCCGTACGGCCTGGGCATTCGCACGCGATAGGGGTCTGCCAGCATCTGGATTCTTCTCAGAAGTGAGCCCCACGCTGAAAGTCCCTGTGCGCATGGTCGCTGTGGTTGGCTTCCTACAGATGCTCCTGGGGTTGATTTATCTCGGCAGTTCAACGGCCTTTAACGCCGTGTTGTCCATGGCAATTTTGGGAATGTATGCCTCATACCTTTCTCCGATTGTGTTCATGTTGTTATATGGCCGAAGACGCTCAGCCCCGATTGTCCGTGGTTTTGGGTTGGGCACATTCAGCCTGGGTTCACGATGGGGACCCATCGTGAATGTCGTTGCCATCCTTTGGCTCACCGTAGCCATGGTGTTCAGCACCTTTCCAACACTACAGCCGGTCACAGCTGACAACATGAATTATTGCGTGGTGGTGACAATGGGATGGATGCTTGTCGGAGGAATTTATTATTATCTTTTGGGGGGGAAGAGCCGTTTTACTGGCCCGGTGGTGGAGCTCGCCGAGGGTCTGTGATCTTTGCACTCTAAGAAATACGACATATATATGACTACGTAAAGCCTCATCTTCACCGTCAATTTCCAGGCCCTTGGGGTAAAATGGGGTTTCCACGATAATATCCGAAATATCCACATTGATTCGAAGCCCCACCGATTGTGTGTGTTGTATCTTCGGCCTTTCCCCCACTAAGACCCGCTCGGGGCTGGCGGGCTCCATCAACATGAGGGGTCGATGGAGTTAAATACTCACAGGTTTCCCCTTTAAATTGTATTTTCCAATCATTGCAATGCCCTTTGCCTGCACAATGTCCAACACGAAAACCATCTATGTGCCTCATCTGGGAGGCATTTCCGCAGCGTACCAAATGCCCAAACCATACGATAGCACAAAGCCAACATTGTTGATGGTCAACGCCTTCACGATGTCCTCAGAGCTTTACCGGGCCCAATTCGATGACCCCCATATCACGGCCTCTATGAACCTCTTGGCTGTCGAGCCGTTGGGTCACGGCCAAACGCGCACCGCTCGCAATCAATGGACGTATTGGGACACCGCGGAAATGAATTTGCAGGTGTTGGATGCTCTTGGGATTGAAAAGGCTTTCATACTGGGCACTAGCCAGGGGGGTGGGTCACGGTACAGATGGCCCTGACGCGACCGGAGAAGGTCCCAATTTAAATCCGCCTACAACTATACAAACTAATTGTGGTCAGGTCGTTGGAATAATTCCCTTGGGGACATCCATGGACTCCGAATCAGAGCGTAGTCGCCAAATGCAGTGCTGGGATGGGCCGAGCATTGTGAAGGCATTTTTGGCCCAGTGGGCTAGCAGCCGACCAACCCCAAACTTCGAACCTGATGATGGATATTGCGACGCCGTGATCAGCATCGGTCTCAATGATTGCCCATCGGAAGTGCGTCAGTTTTGGCATACCACCATCAAGTCACATTACCGTGGAGAGGAAGGCAAACAACGACTACGCATGGCCGCAATCAACTTAGCAGAACGCGATGGACTGCGGCTTCGATTGGCCGATGTCACCTGTCCTATCAAATGGATACAGGTAAGGGCTCCTCAGAGGACTAAATGAAATCTCCACTGACCACAATAGGGGACGAATGACGCCGTGTTTTCTGTAGCCAATGCCGCCGAAGAGATCCAGATGTTTACTGGATCACCAGATGCACAACTTATGATAGTCGATGGTGGTGCACATTTCCTGAGCGCTTCTAATCCGAAGGAGATCAATGCAGCTGTGATAGAGTTTGTAAATGCCCACTGGAAGTGACGAGTGGGAGTCGTCGAAGCACTGTTTCAAATCCAAATCGATTCTTATGAAAAGCAAATACTAGAATATGAGGTGATGCTGACATACCAGATCATGTCCATGATGATGATCTCCTTAGCACTCGGGGTCATTGAAAGACCAGGCCACCACGAAGCAGGTTGTTGAAGAGAACTGATTGGGAACTGCAAGGTTCACTTAGTTCGACTCTTGGCATTCCTAATAATAACCTAGTCCCCTTGAGTCTTGACTTTCCACGGTAGCGCCAAGCAAACCTGGACCCGTGTGACACTCCGCTCGGCGGAAGATACTTGGCATTTTGGCCCCTGTCATGGAAACAACAATTTTAGAGCTCCTTACCACCTTAGAACAGACAAGAGTCTTCGTGGTGATTCCAAATGTATGCGTTGAATAGTACTACCTGATATCAGATTTTGCAAAGGGAATATTACCTTCCTGATCACTGTAGATAGAACGACTGTTGCCCAGACACCGGTCGCCACAGAAGCTAACCAATGTTTGGTGCTGCAACTCTTGCTGATTGATGTAGGATCCCTGAAGTCGTCGACATTATACATAGAACGAAAGATTGAAGTTCAGGTTTCGAGGCTACCTGTAGCCATTTTCCAGTCTTATGTATTCTTCCCCTTCTGATATATGATACTATATGATATTGCCTACACCGGAGGGCCGGAAGGCCGGAAACAGGCTGCGGGGTAAGGAGCGCCATTCAGACTTGGCATTACCAAACTCGGCATGCTCGACTTTGGAAAGCCAAGAGGCACTCGACGCCAAGCTCTTGAGACTGGGCGGTGCAAAGCAATACTGTGGGCATCCAAACCGAAGGCAGACAATTTCTGGTGCCAGGATCTTGGGATAGAGAGTCGCCTCTCTGCCAAGTCGACTTGTTTCATAATGAGGATACAATACGATGGGTTCCATTATATTATCTCTTTGTCCTTCTGGGGAGCTCACATTCATTTTGCTCTCCTGACCTCAATGCACTCACTGTCTCCTCTCCATTTCCCAGTGTTATGCATATTCCCCGATGTCGATCCCACCTGTGGGTGTGTCGGATGAGGCCTGTGATTCTTCCTGGGTTGTTGACCATCCTCTTTACCTGTCTCCTCGTGCCAAATGCGCTCGCAATTGACGTTAATCCCGATGATATAAGTGAGTCCATTTCAGACGCTGCCTCGGCACCCCAACTGACTTACATCTACCTCTCCGACAGCCTCCCTCCGAGATGCCGCCAAGACCGTCGCATCCAACATGATGCAGTTCTACAATGACCGCGACTCGAAAGATATTCCGGGAAAATTGGACGGTACATGGTGGGAGGGTGGTTCAATGTTTATGACCCTTATCCAGTACTGGTATCTAACTGGCGACGACCAGTTTAACGACGCCATCCAAGAAGGCATGTATTGGCAAAAGGGTGAAAACGACTTTTTCCCAAGCAACTACTCGCAGTATCTCGGCAACGACGATCAAGTGTTCTGGGGATTAGCGGCAATAACCGCGGCAGAACTGAATTTCCCAGAAAGAGACAACGAACCCTCGTGGGTTTCTCTAGCGGAGGGTGTCTTCAATAGTCAGATTCCTCGCTGGGACATGACAAGTTGCGGTGGGGGTTTGCGATGGCAGATCTGGCCCTACCAGAATGGATTCAAATTGAAGAATGCCATATCGAATGGGGGCTTATTCCAATTGTCAGCGCGTCTGGCGCTATATACAAAGAACGCGACCTATGCCGAGTGGGCTGAGAAGATTTGGGATTGGAGTGCGACTACGCCGCTATTGAGGAAAACCTGGGTTATCGCCGATACCACTAATGTCGATGCGAATTGTAAGGATCATGGTGATTTTCAATGGACTTACAACTACGCTACGTATATCTGCGGTGCGGGCTATATGCACAATTACGCATGTCTACCCTTCCTCTCCCGAAAGATGCGGGACCAGCCGAAACTAACGAGTTGTATAGACGAATGGTGAAGAAACCAAATGGCTTGAAGGCATGTCAGGATTGATCAAGACTTCTGATCAGTTCTTCCCTGACTCTGCTTCGAACCAAGTGATATCCGACATCACCTGTGAGCCAATCAAAAAGTGTGATCGCAACCAGAAAACCTTCAAGTCCTATTTCACTTCCTGGCTTGGATTCATGTCGCTTATAGTACCGACGAACACCACAGCGGACATGATGGCCAGATTCAAGACTTCTGCTGTCGCTGCCGGTCAACAATGCTCCGGTGGAAGGGATGGGAAGCATTGTGGAATTCGATGGACAAAGAGGACGGAATGGGACGGCACCTCCGGCTTAGAGCAGGAGATGTCTGTTTTGGGTGTTCTTAACGCTGTAATGGTCCCATTCAAGGCTCGGGCTCCTTTCAATACTCATAATGGCGGGAATTCCCAAAGTCGCCCCCATGGGGAAAGCGATACCGAGGACACCCCTGGGCCTATCACTACAGGTGACAAGGTTGGCGCGGGAATCTTGACTGCGATGTTTGTTATATTCTGGGCCGGGGCTGTGTCCTGGATGGTCAAGGATAAGTAGATACACTTAGCTGTGATGATCTATAATATGTATATTGCCAAGGGAATACTCGAAGCCCGGCTGCATGCTGCACACGGGTCGACTCGGCAGACACCATCTAGCATAGCATCGGAGTTCAGGAAGACGTTGGAGCCTGCGCTCCAGAAGTGGTACCTATCGGAGAGGTGTAGGAGTGTGTTCTTTTCAGTATGGCTATCTGGCGCCTGTCTTCTCGTCATGAGCTCGGCTCTTAAATTCAGTTGCTCCAGCCGCAATAATCACACTGGCATCAACATCCGGAGCATATTGCGCGACATTGGCCTTGAGCTGGTTTGTGAAAACGTTCTGTGCAACAGACACGACGACTCCATGCACTGGCGAGGTTTTCTGTGAAGATGACAACGGCGGTGCCGATTGGTATGTATATCTTCCAAGGGCGAGGCAGCCTGGGGTGTGGAGAATGCTGTTATGAGCCAAATCTTTGATGAAAAGAGTGCTGTGATTCAGAAAACTAAAGGTGAAGAGAGAAAGAGAAAGAAAGAAAGCAACTATCTGAGAGGAACCTTTATGCTCCTCAGGTACGTGCCTCAGGCACGAACAAACAATCACCTCCTCTATCACATGACCCTTGTCCTTTGAGTCGGAAACTGCTTAGTAAATCATAGCGCGTACCAATCGGATATCAACAGGTCTGAATTTCTATGAAGCCCCTGGCTGGCAATTTGTATGGGCATAACAATGACTAATCTAAGTGGGATATGGTATCTCCGTTCTCCGATCTCCACTGCTGCTGTTGTTCCGACACACCCCCTCAGCGGTTAGCGAGTGTTGAATATCTTCGCCAATGTTATATTCAATCGAGCTGAGCGCTGATTTCCCGCAGCAGGTCTCTCTTTCCTCTCGCCTACACCTCAATCAGGTCGTGTATGTCCTCCATGCGCATTAACCGAACAAACTCGTCGTGTTTCAGACGTGGTAGGAGCTTCGTGAGACCATCTGCTGCCATCTTGGCCGTTGGAACCCATTTGATGTTGATTCTGCCTTCTCTGACCTCTTGCCTCAGCCAATGTCCATGGATATCGACGTGACGAAGCTTCGTATCAATTTTAGCATGTTCGGAGGTTAACAATATGACAGTCTGTTTGTTATCACATCGCAGGGTGATTGTATGGTCCGGTTTGAACGAGATTCGTTCGAGGAATCGCGTCCACCACTGTAACGAGCGCGCAGCATCTGACAACCCCAGGAGTTCAGCTTCAGTGGTAGATGTGGTGACAGTGGGCTGTTTCGAGGCCTTCCAATCGACGGGGCCTCCATAAACTTGGCAGACATATCCTGCAGAGCTTCGACGATCGTGATTATCAGCGAAGGATGCATCACTTGCCAGTTCAACTGACTCCATGTCTCCTTTATTTCCATATTGCAGTGCCAAATATCGTGTGGTATATAAGTAGCAGATCACTCTATCAACAGCTCGTTGGTGCTGTGGTCCGGGGTTTTGAAGGAACTGTGAGAGCTTCGCGGCTGCTTTTGATGCATCCGGTCTAGTGATCGATGTTGGATACTGCAATGAACCAACCTTTCCTTGGTATAACTTGATCTCAGCCGGTGTTGCTGTTCCTTCGAATGCCTTCATTTCTTCCACCGGGAGAGGGGTGTAGACAGGTGGTCGATCGGTCAAATGATATCTAGCAGCCATACTGCTGATATATGCGTCTTGGCAAAGCCAAAGTTTCTGTTGCTTCCGATCGCGTACAATTCGAATATTCAAAAAACCATTCTGCTTCTCCATGATCCGTAAGCTCCCAGTGTGCCTCCAGATCCTTCTCAAGTTGGCGAGCTCTGTCTCGTTCTGACGGGTGGTTCGCAATAAGCATGTCATCAACGTAGAAGAACACGATTATGCCTTGTGTTACGAAGACGCAGGGGTCTTCAGGGACCTGTGTGAGTCCAAGTTTCAAGAGAACCCTTGATGCTTCCTGTTGCCAAAGCTTCGGTGAGATGCGCAGACCATAAAGCGCACGATTAAGCTTCCAACACATCCCTAGCTGTTCAAATCCTTCAGGCATCTTCGTGTAGGTTTCTGTGGGCAGTATGCTGTTTAGGAATGCGGTGACTGCATCTCGCTGACGTAGATCGAGATTAAACGCTGCGACCAGGGCAAACATTACCCGTGCTGTGCGCGCTGCTAGTGTCGCCGCTCTTTTTTCCTCAGGCGATATTGTCTCAAGGTCTCCTCTTACACAGATGCGTGCTTTTAGCTTCAGCAGATAACCGTCTTGGTCGAACTTGTATGCGAATACCCATCGGAGTGGCAGGATCTGTTTCGACACGTCTTTTGGTCGTTTAATGACGGTGAATGATGACTTTTGCTGCAAGGATCGTATCTCCTTCGCGCAGGCAGCCAGAAAACCTTCAGCCATTGGGTGCTTCAACATGTTCTTCCATCCATCAGGCGCAGGGGGTAGGTCGTCTCGGTGGCGTTGCAACGGCTTCTCTGTGTACAGCGCGGCGGCAAACGTACGCAGTAGCTCCGGTGGATCTTCTTCAGTCTCTGGCAAGATCGTTGCGTATGTTTGGTAATCCGGATCTACCCTCGGTCTTCTTTCTCTGCGTCCATTCATGATGTTCGCCGTGACAATCCCGTCTCTCCTTTGAGTGTGGAGCTCAGCATGTAACTGCTGTTCGCTCTCGGAGAGCGCGTCTGGATCAGGTTGATTTTCTAGGCTTTCAAGCGGAGGATTTGGTTCTGGCGGCTGGTCTTCCTCCTCGTTCTGTTCTTCACACTGGTCCACCCCCTGAGCAGCGGCAGGGCCAAATTCAGCGGTATTCTCCTCTGGTGGACTTGGTGGTAGTTCCGGTATCACTTCTGGAGGAAACGAACCAGGGAGTGTGCTGTTAGGGGGATCTTCCTCAGGTTCCGGGGTGATCGGTGCATACACCCCCCTCAGGTGTACGGTCCTCATGATCAAGTTCTTCCTGGTGTTCATTCTCTGTGCCTTCATGATTACTCTCGTGGAGTTCTTGTTGGCGATCTTCCTGCGTGTTCCGGTTGACTGATCCTTCCGGTATTCCAATGTCTTCACGGAGGACTTCAAGTTGCTCCTCCTCAGTCAAAATGGTTGCTTCAGGTTCAGGTACACTTTCGATATCTTCCCAGTACCGCATATCAGACTTCCACTTCCTCGATTCATCGAAACGTGCATCTCTCACGAATTCTATCGTATTCCTGGCAGGAAACCAGATCTTCCACACGTTCGATGCGACATAGCCAACGAGGAACCCAATCTCTGCACGGGGAGAGGTCTTCTTGGTGCGTGGGATATTGCGAATACGGCAGTACGATAACGAGCCATATACGCGCAGGTTGGCTAAATTAGCCTTCTTCATCCGTTCGCCGCCAAAATCCCTTCGTGCTTCATCCCAAGGCACGATCCAACGATTCTCCTCCTTTAGATGGGTAGGGATACGGTTCAGGATCCACACAGCAGCGCTAACCATCTCGGGCCACAGTTGACTCGGTAGCTTGCTCTCGATTTGAAGGTGTCTCGTCATGGTCAAAATCACTCCTCCCGAACGTTCAGCAGGTCCGTTTTGCTCGGGATGGTAGGGGATGCCATGTGATACCACAATGCCCATATTGTTCAAGAAGCCTTCAATCTCTGCGCCTGCAGCTGTTTCATTGTCATAATGAAACGATTTGATTGGTATGTTCCACCAGTTTTTGATCAGAGCGATGAATTTCCTGATTCCATCTCTGCACTGCGACTTCAATTCGTGTGTGTATAGCCAGTGAAATCTGATGCCTTCAACGTAAAAATGTGTCATCCACCGATGTCGGTTGTATGCGGGTGAAAATTGGACCAGATCGAAGTGAATTCGGCCATATCTTCCAAAGGTCTGGCCAATTGGTCGTCGTGATATCTGTCTCGGTGCGTTTGAGAGATTGCACACCTGACAAAGCTCTCCTTCTTCGGATGGTGTTTCTGGCAGATCTTCGTTGATTTTAACACCATCTACCATTTCGGCAGTTTTCTTCATCACACGCGTGGATACGTGGGCTAATCGACGATGCCAACGATCTGCTGAGGCTTCCGAGACGAGAGGTTTCACCGATCTTCGTACTGCATGTGCGTGGGCAAGGGTTTCTGGTGAGGAACGAGGCTCTCTCGGTTGATTAAATGCCCATATTCCTAACGACTCCATGAGGCGTACACTAATGACTGATTCGCCACTCGAGTCCCTGATGCACTCGTTATCCTCGTCCCAGCGAACACCCTTCTTTTTCAGGGCTCCATAAGACATCAAATTGGCATGGAAATGAGGCGAATATAACACATTGCTCAGTTTAATTCGTCGAGTTGATCCGTCAGGGCCCGCTCCAGTCATGACAACGTTTCCAATACCTTCTACCGCAGTGATCGAATCACCTGTCTTCAGGCCTGATTTCATCGGTTTAAAGGTTATGAAGAGGTCTTTGTCGTTGCATACATGTACTGACGAGCAACTGTCGAGGAACCAACGTTGTCGAATGTCATCATCGGCGCCTCCCGTGTTCTTTACGCTTTGGAACACCTGTTCGGGAAAACCTGTGGTGAGGAAGGAGCCATACAGTTGTGTGCTATTGGCCGTATTCGTGGCAGGCCTCACTCCATTCTTCTCGTTGTGATCCCTGACAGATTTCTCTATCCAGGCTTTCCACGCCGGGTCTTTCGAAAGACGATCTTCCACTCGCCTCGCGGTCTTCTCAAAAACTTCTTTGTCAGGGAATGCATCCCGGTTGACCGCCCAGCACTTCCACGGCTTATGGTGACGGTTACCACAGGGGCAATATCGCTTCGGGATCGGTGGTAAAGTTCGTTCACGTGGCGATTCCTGCGCTTGCTGGCCTTGCGGCTTTCCCTGCGGTGGCTCTGGTCTAGCTTCATCGAAACCTTGCAGTGTCGAAAACGATGCTTTGGAAATAGTGCTGACAGTGCTCGCGCTCTGTGGGTGCAGCTCACGATAACTTCCTCTGAAGTTTTCAATCAAATCGCGAGTATCCCATTCTTCCTGGTTCAGCACGATCGCCTCAAATTTCAGCTGCCACCAAACAGGGAGTAGATCTTTAACAGCGCGGAGGAAGTCCTTATTGGCACTCTTCATTTCTGGCAGGTCTAGGCTTACACCTTGCTCTCTTAGTGCATCCCATTCATTGATCCACTGATCGATATCAGAACCCCTCTTTGGTGGTGAGGCTGACACTCGCTTCCACTGTGCACGGATATCTTCTTCTGCCGCAGATGATCGGCCAAATCGGGTTTGAAGATATACAAGCCGTCCGTATGGGGTTTCGTAGTTAAGCATCGAGGTGTGATGGACTGGATCCAGATTTGAGATGATCCATTCATTGATGGCATCTAGGCTCTTGTTTTGCTGTTCCCATTCGGCAAGGTCCAGCTTGTAGATATCCATACGATCTCTCCACTCTCTCTTCGCAAGTTCGTTGCCACCCTCCGGGTATTGCGGTCTTCGAGGTTTGCGAATTGGCTTTTCCAGATCTTCTTCTGCGGTGTGAGGGTCGATCAGTTCCCATACCCTCTTCTGTCGTGCATAGATCTTGATTCGTGCGAACCAATTCCTCCATTGACTTGGTTCCTTCAGTTTTTCGCCCTTCATGGCGGAGACAACGGTTGAGTCCATATTTGTCACGTTCTCTTGCAATTTCGTTCGATGGGGAGCTGATCGGGGTCGACGTCTGTCCTGTTTGGCTATCGCGGTAAACCTGCGTATGTCTTCAATTGACGAATTTAACCCTCTTAATTGCGAACCGGGCTCATAACAGTCGGAAACTGCTTAGTAAATCATAGCGCGTACCAATCGGATATCAACAGGTCTGAATTTCTATGAAGCCCCTGGCTGGCAATTTGTATGGGCATAACAATGACTAATCTAAGTGGGATATGGTATCTCCGTTCTCCGATCTCCACTGCTGCTGTTGTTCCGACACTTTGTCCTAGATCTCATAGCACGTGACATCCCCCTTGCAAAACTGCATTCAGTCCTCTGAATGCCGTCATAGTCACACTTTATCATCGTCAGGGTGATCCTCCAGTAGTTGGTCTGCCATAGCAGCGTCCTTCCATGCTTGCAGCCGTAAGGGTGGTCCCGGCTTTGACGGGTAATTGTCATGGAATTCCTCGATCTTATCGGCTGAATTTTTGAAGTTCCCAGCGGGATACCATGTCAGGTCAACGTCATGCCCGAGCCATTGGACTCGGTAAACCAATTTTCGGTAACGAAGTTTGGCATCGAGAATCTTCTCGACCTCCCATTCATCGGTTTCTCCTACCTGAATAGGTGGGGGATGGTCCGAATGCTGCCCTCGCAGTGGTTCAGTCGTCGATGCCTTCCGTAGCTTGCTAGCATGAAAGACTGGATGCACCTTAATCGACGGAGGAAGGTCCAATTTGAACGAGAACCCTTCCTTCTTGATGATTTTGTACGGTCCACTGGCGACGTCGGAAAGCTTCCTGCTAGGCCTGTCCTTCAGCCAGTCCTTCGTCGTTACAAAAACCAGATCACCGACGTCGAAATCAACTTCACGGCGATGCCTATTTGCTTGTTGAGCCTGCCGTCCCTGGGAATGCGTAGCTTGTTCCTTCGTCTCGTTCCAGATCTCATGTAGACGTGCTAGCATGTCAGATGCTTCTTGCTCATTCTCAGTCAGGGTGCTCCGATCTCGCCAGTCGAATGACATCACAGGTTCGTATCCTCGCTCGACGAAAAATGGGGACTTTCGAGTTGTTTCTTGGGGCAGAATCGATGCTGCAAAGTCAACCATTGGAAGGTAATCGGACCAATCGTCCTGGTTATGCTCAATGTAGGGGCAGAGCCGCTGTGCCATATATTGATTGGCGATTTCGCTTTGTCCATCAGTCTCTGGGTGATGTGCTGATGATAGTCTTCTCTCAATTCCAAGAATTCGGCAGAATTCAGTCCAGAACTCCGAGATAAACTGTCCTCCTCGATCTGATATGATCGATACCGGAATCCCGGTGATCCTGATGACATTGTTGATGAACAAACGGGCCATCTTCTTCGCAGTCGTCTCTTTGTGACAAGGTATCGAGACGGGTCTCTTAGAGAGTCGATAGACGATCACGAATACAGCGTCAAAACCATTCTTATCCTTCGGGAATGATCGGAAATCCATAGTGAGATGCTCCCATGGACGATTCGGGTTCTCTATCGGATGGAGTAAACCTGGGGTCTTGTCTCTCCACGCCTTGGTTCTCTTGCATATCAGGCAGTTGTCAACGTATCGCTTTATGTCACTGGCCCATCCATGCCAATGATACCGTGCAGAAACTAATTTCTTCAGCTTCTCGATGCCCGGGTGAGCTACCAGTGGCTGGCGATGCATCTCGTCGAGGAGTCGAGCACGGAGATCATCTTGGTCAGACACTTCTAGTTTACCATTGTAGAGTAATAAACCATCGTCGTCTATGGACCAGCTTGGGCTTCCTGCACCGGCCATTTCGCGGAATTCGTTGAGGCTTTGGTCATTGCGATTGGCATGCTTGACTCGTTCAACAATGCTGGATCCGTCAGGTCCGTTACCTGCTATTTCGTTAGAGAGAGGGGATATCTGAACGGGATCAGCATCGGGATCTCTCCCTGGGTCTTCGAAACAGGACTCTGGGAGTAAAACAGCTTGTCGACTATCATCCAGACATGGAGCGTCTTTTCGCGATAAGACGTCTGCAATAATGTTCTTCTTTCCCGGGCGATATTTGATCATGAAGTGAAACTGAGAGAGAAACTCGCTCCATCGCATTTGTCGTTGATTCAGCTGTCGGTTCTTCATGAAATACTCCAGAGATTGATGATCCGTCACTACGCCAAAACACTCTGTCTGCGTTAAGCTAAGCAACTCTGGTCTCCATTCTTGCAAAGCACGGACTATTGCTAGGAGTTCTTTGTCTCGGATTTCGTAGTGCAACTCCGCTTGCTGCATGACTTTCGAATAAAAGGCGACAGGGTGCCAGAAATCGTCCTCTTCGTAATACTGCGTTAGGACTGCACCCAGCACTCCGTCAGATGCGTCAGTTTCTACTCGGGTAAGGCGCTGATGATCGTAATGTCGTAGAATTGGCGCCGAGAGGAGCGCGTTCTTCAGTTCCTGGAACGCTCCTTCACAATTGTCATCCCAGTCCCACGGGGTGTCTTTCCGGGTTAGACGGTGTAGTGGTTTGGATATCTTGCTGTAGTTCCGTATAAACCGCCGGTAAAAATTGCAAAAGCCAAGAAATGACTGGATGCCTCTTACTGTATCAGGAGACGTCCATTCTTCAATAATGCGGATCTTCTCGGGGTCCACGGAAATTCCATCCGTGCTGACGATGAAGCCTATGAACTTCGTCTGTTGGACTGAAAATTCGCACTTCTTGATACCCACTTGCAATCCAGCTGCCCGGAGTCGACGGAGAACCTCCCTGACATGCCGACGATGGTCCTCTTCGTTCTCGCTGTAGATCAAAACATCGTCCACAAAGGCGATCGCGTATTCATCCATGCATTCCCTCAGAACGTCGTTCATAAAACGCTGGAACGTAGCGGGTCCATTGGTTAAACCGAAAGGCAGAACTTTGTACTTGAAGGATCCATATCGAGTCCGAAATGTCGTCAGATCTTCAGCATCAGGCGTCATGCGGATACGGTGGAACCCTTGTTGCATGTCCACCTTTGTGAAGAATTTAGCCTTGCTAGTTCGCTGCAGAACCTCATCAATCAGAGGTAATGGATAGCAATCCTTCTTGGTAAGCGCGTTCAGTCTCCGATAGTCAACGCAGAAACGTAGTCCACCTCCTGGCTTCCTAGCCATCAGGATCGGCGAGGCATATGGTGCTGAGCTGGGAACGATAAACCCTTTATCGAGGTTCGCTAGAATATACTTCTTAGCTTCCTGGAGCTCCTGCGTAGACAGTTTGTAGAGAGGGCAGTAACCAGGCTGAGCTTCTGCCTCCAAAACGATGTCATGATCGACTCCCTTTCTGTGCGGCGGAAGTTCATCTGATTTTCTCTTCAGGAAGACGTCGGCCAAATCATGGTATTCAGCCGGTAGCACTCGAAGGATTTCATCCATCTCCGGGTCATCAGATACGCTGCTGCTCTTCACTTCAAGGATGCTATCGATCTCACTAAGAGACGTTGCAAAGACTTCCGTTTTTGAATCTGACAGAGACCTCGTTTCGAGTCTCTAGTATCCGCTGGCACTAATCATACTTATGTCAAGTGTGCCGGATAATTCTGGAGATTTTGTTCCGTCGAGGTTTCGTTGCATTTTCTCAATATCCTTTGCCCGCCATTGTCCCTTCTGATGATGCCGTGGGGATGGGAAGCGTCCCCCGTTCCGATCTAGGTAGGGATCAATGCTCTGCTCCAGGATTTTGTCACGACGATCCGCATCCTTCTGGTGAGTGAGGTTTCGAGGATTCTTCAGGATCGTGATGGGTGTTGGAAGTGCTATTTTACTAGCCACTTCTTCAAACAGGGACACTTCGTGGGGCCAAATCATTCGGCGACGACGACAGTCAAGCAAAACGTCATTCTCTGAGAACCATAGCCTTCCAATGATCATATCGTGCTTCCCAAGGTCCGCCACCAGCATTGGAATTTGCTGTTGGATATGTCCATCGATTCCCATGGAAAGGATCACTGCATGGGTGATGGGCCGAGAAGGCTTTCCATCAAACCCATTTACGGAGCATTCTCTGTCCAGTCGCTGGGTTCTAAGACCATGCTGTCCAAGCAACTCCACTAGTGCTGAGTTGATAAAAATTGATCCGTCTGCTCCAGTATCACCAAGTGCTGAGATCGAAAAGGAACGTCCATTCAACATAAGCTCTGTTTTAAAAACTAAACTATCGTGGGGACTTCCAAGTAATTTCTGCAGATTCAAAGCAAAAAGTGATACCTTCATTCCGCCTAGGAGGGAGACTTCGCCTAGGCACGAGCTTTTCCCGAGTTGTCAACCGCGGGATCCTCGAGAGCTGTCAAATTGACGACGGGCTGGGTTGTAGCGACAGTAGGAGCGGCAGTGGGCTTCGACGTGTTTTTGGGACAGTCGCGCGTCATATGACCATGCTCTTTGCAGCCAAAGCATCTCCCTTCTTTCATGAGGGTCGCACGTTCCGTGGCAGACATGGGGACATAGGTCGACGATGTGGGGTTTTCTGTCTTAACCTTCGTGTTCGATGACGATGATCCCACCCCAGTTGAAGAGGAGACTGGATTCGATCGTCCTCGGCCAGTCGCGGTGGTGATCTTGCTCTGTTGGACGAGGGCGATCGCATGAGAGCGTCGGATACACCTATCTTTGAACGTCTCGAAACTGACTCCATCCTCGCAGGAGTCCCCCAGCATCTGGCTTTGCAACAACGGAGGTAGCTTTTCGTACAGGTCAACCTTGCGGTTATCGACATGGATATTTGCCTCGTTTGCTAGCTCCATAAAATCCGCAAGGAAGCCAGTAAACTGGTCACGAGGCTTCATTGTGAGCCGCTGATACTTGGCACGTGCTTCTGCCGCATGGTTTGGGTTTGAAAACACGGTCTTCATATGCGCGAGGATATCTCCGTAGTCTTTATACGGGTCGGGCGATTCCTCGTTCAGACGGGGAGCCATGTGACGAAACGCTTGTCCCTCGGCACGGCTCTGCACGTACTGGATACGGGCGTTCGCGTCGGGGAAATGGTCTGCATTCCCTGTGAGCTTCCTCTTGATGCCCGTCATCCAGGATTCGTAACGGATGTCAACTCCGTCGCTAAGCATGGTGTTACGCGGTGCCTGCTGGTCACTGTGAGTAGAGCTGCTTCCGGGTTGTACTCGCCTAGTTCCACTTCGAATCCCAAGAGTATCTCGCAACCGTACCGTTGCTGTGCTAAGCCTTACACGGACTCGGGTCCTGTTGAGTATCTTGCAGGATGTGCCAGTAGTGCGCGCTAAGTAAGTCAGTCACCAAGTGTTACCACAAGATGAGCTCCCCTACTTGTAGGTTGGGTTGTCTTAAGGGTGAACCGTAGAGTGCAAAGTCCAATAGCTAGTAACCAAGTAACAATGTATGATTGATCGCGAAGAACTAAATACATGTCGGTGAATGAGCGTCCTTATATATCAAGTTCTTCATATCCTGAGCTCTGATCGGGTCATATCTGAGGGTATGATCCGATCATATCCTGAGCTCTGTTGTATCATAGCCAGGGCTATGATGCATCATGTGACTGATGATTGCCTCAGCTGCTGTTGGAGCGTGCCTCGCCAGTCACGTTATCTTTCCCGCATGACGTATCCAAGTTGATTGGACTTCCTGTCTTCTGGCAAGTCCACGCTAGTGGGGTTCGTAACACATGGGTGCGTCTGGCAGACGCGTTGTCTTCTTGACCGCCTCCACAATCGGTGCGCGGGTTTGCAGATCACAAATCTTGATGGCCATCTCATGCAGCTTGGTAATAGCGGCATCCTTCTCTTCCGTAGCTGCGGCTGCTCGAGAGACCGCTTTCTCCAGGTCAGCTCGCGCGTTGTTTCTCTCTTCTCTTGCTCGTTGGTAGCGAGCCATCGCCTCGTCTCGCTCACGAATGATTTTTCCTTCCTGATTGCGGGGCTTGTCCTGGAGTTCAGAGTTGAGTCTTTCAAGTTCGTAGAACTTCTGCTCCAGTTCCTTGTAGACCGCGGTCAATTTGTCATATCGGTCCTTGAGATCAATCTTCAGGAGCTGTTTGGTAACCGCCGGCGAGTCCAGTTGGAGGTTGATCAATCTGGTTCCCTTGAACGTGATCTGGGGTTCAAATCCTCCGCCAGTATCGTCATCATTGTCGGCGAGAGGATCAGGAGTGGTTTCGTGGGAAGGGTCGGAGTCAGGATTCGGGGGTGTCTGGGGTTCGTCATCGGGGTTGCTCACTCGCTGCTGTCTGCTGTGCTTATCAGCCTTAGGAGGAGCCATTCTGATTCGTCAACACAGTCGGCACTGTGGGTCTTCGGTTCGGGAAATCGTCGGATTCGGGTTCGGAAGTCTTGGCTGTATGGTGCCAAGGAACGTGGGGTGAAGATGAGCTGAGACCAATCACAATGATGGTCTGTACAGCGTTGCTTCAGTGAGGGTTGTGATGACCTTTAGTTTTATGTTATGAGCCAAATCTTTGATGAAAAGAGTGCTGTCTGTGATTCAAAAAACTAAAGGTGAAGAGAGAAAGAGAAAGAAAGAAAGCAACTATCTGAGAGGAGCCTTTATGCTCCTCAGGTACGTGCCTCAGGCACGAACAAACAATCACCTCCTCTATCACATGACCCTTGTCCTTTGTCCTAGATCTCATAGCACGTGACAGGACAGAGGACAATACCATAAATACAGCTATAAGCGTATTCCAACAACCTGTCTCATACAGAACGCACGGAGACTCTTCGGCGCCACTCTGGACACTAGAGATCAACTAGGAGGGCGAGGTCCACCCAGATGTAACTTAGCCCCCATGACTCTGGACATATCTTCCGTGCTCCGATCTTAACACTTACATTTTCCCAGCAACGCTACTATACACTGGACCTGCATACCATTATGCGATCCCAATCCCAAATTTCGGAGTACGTTGCTTTCTCAGTCCGGAATATATATTTTTTTATACTGACATTAATCAGAGGCAAGGGTTCTATTAGACACAACGTGCCCATACTTAGCGTGTCGTTTGAAACCGAGGATGGCTCCAGAGAACTGAAGCGAGAAAACGGCGATATAAGCATGAAATTTCGATACAAAGTGACATATCACGGTGTCGATACTACCAACTCTACAACTGCCGGTCCCCTTACTTTCTTCACCAATGTCTTCCGTGACGTATTAAATTATCAATTAGATCGACGGGTTCAGGGTGGCAGCGGACAGTGGATTCCCTGCAGATATGGTGATTATTGTCCCGGTTTTGTGAATGATCAACCTTCCAAGATTCACGTTGCTCAAAGTGAAGACTTTGTATGTCTCCATCCGAGTGAAAGCTGGGAAGGGTCATTCACCTTGGATGATGAGCTCTGGGAGTTCCCAGATCATCTCAGAACTGGGGCGATCTTCCGATTTGCATTTAAGGGCGCAACGATTGAGTGGTGGGATTGGGGCACTAAAGATGGGACCCATGCTGATACTGTCGTGACTTTCAGGGAATATGGTCAAAGTACAAGATCGGGCTTTACAGATGATAATAATGGTGGCAGACCTCTAATCTTTGTTCCCTCTTCCAGCGAGATAGAGCTAGTCCTCGCAGACTAAACTGCTGTTATTGTTGTGATAGATCTCTGGAAATACATATGTGAATAAATATTACAATGAATCTTTTTCCGATCAGAAACGAAAGCAAAAATCCAGCGATCGCAAAATAGCATAGTTGAACCTTAAGTATCATCCAACAGGGGCTCCCTTTCCCCTGATAGAGAATGAGTTCTGCCATTAGTACGTCTCCAAGTAATATAGCAAAGAATCGCCTGGCCAATGGAAAATGCGAGATAATCCACAGCTGGCCATCCGATCTGTCGATATCATTCCACAAGAGGAAGATCGAAGAATGCGGGGATGCGGCTCGATGGCCACAGGACCCGAAAGAACCATGATGCACCGAGAACAGCGAAGACAACAGCTTGAGTGGCAAGTGTGCGAACACTCAAACAAAGCGATTCCTCTCGTAATCCGCGACGAATTTGAATGATAAATGATGCAATGAGTGAAAATGTCACCACGGGGTTTATGAACGTTATGTGAGGAATGCAGAACCAAGTTAATAGGAATTCCCGATCGGGATTTGTGTCATAGGGACCCCCGGCGATGACATCAATTAATTCTGGTATGACACTGACGAGCAGAAAGGCGATAAAAATAACCAGAGCAGTACGTTTATCGACTAGATCATCCCTTGGAAGATAATGGAGGCTATATATGTGACACTGCAGGTGGGTTCTGCCAGGCCTGTCCAGGCGGTGAGTCGATTCAGGTCATGTGACAGGAGGAGGAGAGACGAGGGACTTGTTTTGTTGCGCGCCTCTTTCGTTTTCTTTCTTTTCTTTCTCTCTTCTTCCTTTCCTTAGACTAGTTATCTTGTCGAATTGGACTCTTTTGCAAGAATAGCCTACTGTCACATAATAACTAGTCTCTTTTTACTTTCATTTCTGGACCGCCGGCCGCACAGACGCGCGTTCCTGTAACGCGTATCTTGGCACCGGTCCACCCCACCGAATCCCGACTCGCTCCAGATCCCGATCCCGATCCCGATCCCGAACCACGGTTGCCGACCGTGCCGAGAAGCTAGGATGGCTTCTCCGAACTCAGATCCCGCGCCCAGCACTGCCGCTGGCAATGACGATACCACACCGAGACACGCATCTCGCCTGATCTCCTTCCGACTCGACTCGTCGTCGGTCGCGAGGCGACTCGAAAACACCGAAGAGAAAGATCGGTATCCTAAGCTCTCGACGCTGTACCAAGCCCTCGAACAGAAGTTTCACGAACTCGAGGCACGGAATATCGAGCTCCAGAACGACAACGATGAGGCCCTAGTCCAATACCAGGGAGCAATCGAGCAGCAGAACAGAGCTCAAACCACCCTCGAAGCCGCTCTAGTAGCAGAGAAAGCAGCCGTGGCGAAACAGAACGAGATGGCTATGAAGTTTTTCGATCTACAGAACCGGAGCACACCGAGTATGGAAGCTGCGGTCCCGAGGAAATCTGCTCGTATGCCTGACGCACCAATGTTTAGCGATGGGAAGGAAGTCCGATACGAAGCTTGGGCCACAACGATCCGCCAGAAGCTACTCGCAAATGCGGACCATTATCCTGAACCAGTACATCGTAAGCTCTATGTACAGAGTCGCTGCGAGGGCAAAGCCCAGCTCCATATTGCCCCCCGCATGGATGAAGCCTCCACCAGGCCATACGAGGATGCGGAAGATATCCTTAGTCACCTGCGAAGTGTGTTCGCTAACCCGAATCGGAAGGCGGAAGCATACTCCGTCTACCATCAGCTAACGATGAAGCCCCGTGATGGTTTCACGGATTTCTTAGCTGAGTTCCTCCAGCTCGCTGAGGAAGCATGCGTGGTCCGAGAGAACTTGAAACGCGACCTCTACTTGAAACTGCCGAACTTACTTCAAACCCAGATGATGCTGGCCGTTAACCAGTCCCATGTCACGTTCGACAATTTCACTGAACAGTGCCAGAGCATCTCCCACGAGATCATGCTCCAACAGCATCGATCCACCGACCGCAGGAATCACCGGGGTGGCACAGTAGGAGGAAGCGCAAGAACCACGACCGCACACACCGCCCCTAACACATCGGGCACCAGCCAGCCGACCACCGCTCGAGTCAAACGAGAGGGATTTACGCCGGCTAGAATGACTGATGCGGAACGGAACAAACTGGTCAGTGAAGGAAAGTGTTTCTATTGCAAAGAACCCGGACACATCAGCCTCCAGTGCCCAAAGAAGACTACTACTACCCCCGCGGCTGTTGCGACAGCCTCCACTAAACCCAAGGAAACAGTGGTGACCCCGGATCCCCGCATTGTGGAACTCGAAGGATCGGATGACGAGCAGGGAAAAGAGTACGCCTAGGGCAAGTCTCCCGCCTAGGCGTCTCACGGCAATCTACTAGCGGAATTGACATCACGAAGCTGCTCTCATCTAAGAGCTTCCTGACCAAGGCACAAATTCCAATCAATTCGTTATTTTTTCAAGTCAACGCGTTAGTAGATTCTGGAGCAGATATGTACATTATGATTCACACCCGGGTGGTGGAGAAGTTAGGCAGGTACGGTCTACGCACTGCGAGAGTGCAGGATATGGGTGCACATTCGATCAGAGCGTACGATGGGCGACAGTCGGCGCCTATCACCCATGTCGCCAGAGTACCCCTGATCGTGGATAACCATCGCCAGCCATTGGCAACTATGATGATAGCTGACATCGGCCACCACAACATGATCATCGGCAGGCTATGGCTAGCAGAACAGGACGTGCTGCTGGACAGTCGGAACTCTCGACTACTATGGCCAGCTCCGCGGACCACAGAGCAGAAGATTCAAGCCATAAAGGAAGAGGTGGCGTGCCAATTGACACGGCCAATCCCCATGCAAATCCTCAGAAGGCCATGCGTGGAGGAGGATCTAGAGCACCAGAGAGACTGCGAACGACGTGACCGGAAGTTTGAGAAGGGTCTCCTCTCGGAAAAGGAATCTAAACCCCAGAAACGGATCCCACGGTCATATAACCATTCCCATGGAGAGGATACCCTGAAGAAAATGCACCGGGCGCTGTCGAATCAGAGTGTAACGCCGACTCCCTATCGGAAGGTACAGCCAGAGAAAGTTCTCCAAAACTTCGAAATTGCAGCGATCGGACGGGTCGGTTTCGAAAGATGTGCCCGTAAACCCGGTACGGAGACCTTTATTACCTCCCTCTGCGAGATCCAGCATGCCATCGATGAACTCTCCGAAAAAGAGACGGAGCTGCGGACAATCCGAGAAACGATCCCGAAGGAGTATCACCAGTTCGCGGATGTCTTCTCGAAGAAGGAATCGGATACACTACCGCCGTACCGACCTGGGACTGACCACAAGATCGAGTTAGTGGACCAGGCCACACCGGGATATTGCCCGCTGTACAAGATGTCCGTGGAGCAACTCGAGGCCGCAAAGACATATATCACAGAGAACTTAGAGAAAGGGTTCATCGTGCCTAGCAGCGCTCCGTTTGCCTCCCCAATCCTCCTCGCTAAGAAACCAGGAGGTGGATTACGTTTCTGTGTGGATTTCCGTAAACTAAATCAGGTCACGAAAAGGGATGTCTATCCATTACCGCTGATCGATGAGCTAATGCAGCGTGTACGAAAGGCTCGATACTTCACGAAGGTTGACATTCGACAAGGATTCCACCGAATCAGGATGGACCCGGATTCCGAGGATCTTA